ATACCACCAGCACCACCACCAAGGGCAGCCAAATACTTCATCGCGTACTTTGCCGTCTCAGTCTTACCTGCTCCACTTTCTCCGCTGTAGGAATCAACATCACAAATTATTCTTCACTAGAACAAAAGTTTTAAACAGTGGGGAAAAAGTAACCTCAAACAAAAAACGCTTGAGGATTCTGGTAAAGTTCCCTAACCTTATAATAATGGATTGATTCTTTCCATCTGCAAGAGAGGGGACACAGTCCAAATATAAGAGAAAAAAGATGATGGATAGGGCCTTCCAGCAGAAGCTGGCAACAAACAGAAAAGGTAAATGAGAAATCTATGTGCTTTCACCTCTCATCATCTCCTCGTAAGCAGCATCTACTAGGGCATAAACATGAGGCCAGTCCATATGCTTCTGCTTGTAAGCAGCCATAGCATTATCTCCATACAGTGGGACATCTTTGAATGGGTTGACAGAGATTAAAACTGGCCCCGCCTTACTCTGTTTGAGAAACACTAAACAAGTTAAAAATGGCTCACAAAGATGTAGCAAAAATAAATGATTTCTATTAGACATACATAGATCATATCCTCAGTATATCGGTACTTAAGGTTGTGAAGAACGGATGGCTCATTCAAATAACTAAGTTGCATAAGATCGTCTACACCATCAAGAATCTCTGGGTTTGCAGGTAAAAGCTGCCCTGGTGGCACGTTTACAACCTGTTGCAATGATACAATGCAGAATATTAAGCTGTGTTGAATCGACAAAATAGCACTACCCTTCGCATTCAACAAGGGAAGGGGGAACAAGAGCATAGACGAGTATGAACTTACATTTTGAAGACAAAAATTGGGAGAAGAGAAAATAAGAGATAAACAGTATATACGATAAGGCGCTCACATTTCCATTTGCAAGTGTAACAGATGTTTCATCTCCTGAAGTTGACTGTATCTTTCCAGAAGCCCACAGCCCAGTTGACAGTTGACACCAAACACATAGTTTCTGAAACAAAATAGTCTCGACGTTATTGGAATTGCATGGATCAACAAAGAGCATTTCCATGCACAATCAACAAAGAGCATAACCTTGTCATAGAGCATGTACAATATACGAACAAAATAGGAACAGCTCAAGGGTAAAACTACAGTGCAATTTTCTTGCAAAACCACTATAAATAAGCCAATTCCTACAACTGTTTCATATTTGTGTCTCCCAAGTCCCATCAGTTCAATCACCTAATAAAATTCATTTTATCTATGAGATCAACTTCATGATTATAAATAGAAATTCAAACACCACGCTGTCAACATGAGTAAAACTAGTTTATAATGTGAAATTCCAACTTAATAGTGTTGCATGACGCAATTGGCAAAACAATTGAACACAAAATATGATGCAATACTCAAGTGGCATCGATACCGAATTCAGTCATGCCTCAACATATCGTGACACAGCAGGCGCTTGCAATGAGTGAAACAAAACAAAGAAAAACAACTAATAAATACTTCAAAATGAAAATGGAAATATATCAACTGAGAACAGCTTTTCTAAAAATAACTCTGTTTGTAACTTACCTTCCTAATAAAGTAGCCAATGTTATCTTCCAATTCCACCTCGTTAATAATAGGTATCGAACTTACAGAAGAACCCCTTCGTTGTTGATTCATTTCTTTAACGTACGGATTTGAGTCGGCAGAGTCCATGACCTTCCTCATTTTCCTGCTTCCAAAACTTCCCATCCTGCTCTCCAGCTCCTTCCTCTTGGGTTCCTCCACTTTGTTGTCATCGACACCTACCAATAATTTGCTCCCTAAAACAACACTCTCTATCTTGCTCTCTAAGATACTCTCTACCTTGCCTGCTAACTGACCATTGGCACCAACTTTGAAGTCTGTGGGCAGCGAAAGGCGTGCAGAAGGAAGCCTTGCCCTAGAAGTGGGTCGAGCAGGCAAAGCTGGAGGCAGGTCCTTGGCTCTCTCCAATGCCTCATCTCGCTGCCTTAGCGATTCCAGCATCTCCTCCAGGGAGCTCCTCGTCACCGGAGGAGAGGATGCTGATAACATCATTTTAAACTATGAGGTGAACTACCCTATTCCAACTTCAAACCACCTGAAAACATAAATGGAGAAAGGGCAAAGCAACCATTTCAGTCCATACCCTCAAGTCAATGATCTAATGGAATCGAAAGAACCCAGATATTGATTATTCCCGACACAAAATCAGATGTGGGCTTCACAAGTCAAAATCCCCCTTCATTTATTTCAAATCAGCAGTTTCCCAAAAGTGGAAAATGAGATATAATTCAACAGCTCAAAGAGATCGAGATTCAACATAAAGGTCGCGCCATTCTCGCCAAAAAGGTAAAAGAAAACAAACAGTCCTGGAACCCTAGTCTGGATTAGAAAGTTTAAACAACAACAAAATTGTGCAAACTTCAAAATTACTGATCCGAAAACTCCCTAGGAAGAAAGAAATGGAACCACAACAGAAACCTCTGAGAAACCCGAAGAGTTCAATCTTCGAAAACACAATGCAAAAAAATAAATTTGATGAACACAATTCAAAATTTGAAATGACGATAAAAAAAAAAGGCACTTACAGTTTCCGCCACCGCAAACTCGGAACTCCGGTCCGAATAAGCGGCCACCTTGTCCAAACCCAGAGGTTTAAAAAAGGAAATGAATCGGGAGAAAGAAGAACCACAGCGCTAAAAAATCCGGCGAGAGCTGAGAGAAATGTCGATGCCCGACGAGTGGGGATAAAGAAAGGGGGCGCGAGATTCAGAACCCAGACAACCACAACGGAACCCAGAAGACTTGAACAACAACAGCAGCAGCAAAAGGTAATTTGGCAGAGAACCCCCCAACAAAAAACGAACGCGGAGAAATGGTTCAGCACCCCGCCGGAAATTTGTTTCTTGCGTCGCTCCCAATCGACGCAGACAAATGTTTGAATATAGTAATGTTTCCTGAACCAAAAAAGCAGGCAAGGCACGGGTGTAGGGTCGAAGATTGCTTGGACGAAAGAAGCCGTTAAGGCTGTTTGTAAGGGAAGCAAAACCAAAAACCAAAAGAAAGGGGGAAACAGAAATGCAAGCCGGAGCTCCACCACCGGCGAGAGAGAGAGAGAAGAAGAAGAAAGAGAAGAAGGAGAAGGAGGAGGAGGGTAGGTTCTTCTGGTTCGAAAATATTTCAAGTTTCTGAGGATTTTTTTTTGTTTTTGTTTTTGTTAATGGTTTCTCTCTTTCTTTCTCTCTCCCTCTCTTCTTTCTTCCTCTTCTTCCCTCTCGTCCTCCTTTCTTTTCTGCAGCTATTGTAATTTTTCGTTTTGTTTTTTGTTTTTTTCTTTTCTTTTCTTTCTGGGTACGTCTGGTTTGGTTGCCTCCAACGTTATATTATTATTTTCTGTTTGTTTGTTGCTGTCCACTGACTGAGAGAGTGGAGAAAAATTCAAACTTATTAGCTCCTTTTTTTTTCTTCCTAATTTGAATTTTAATGAAACGGCTTATGTTAATTAATCTGTTTGAATCCATTATTATAATATAATGGATTTACTCTCAAACAAAAACAATTAATGATAAAATGGTACAGATAATTGAAAATTTATCTGTTAATACTGAATTGTTATGGTAATTCTGGAGAGAAAAAAAAAACAATTGTGACAAAAAGGTAAGGTCACGTGGGAAAGGGAATGGCCATAAAAGCCCCTCACCGGCGATATGATTAGGAGGAATGGTCAAATTAATTAAATGGTCACTTAACTTAACTACGCGCTACTAACACATTGATCACGTAATTTATGTTATCAATAAGATGCCATATATGTAGATAAGAAAAATGGACTGATAGTCTAATACCAAAAACAAAAGATACAATATTTGACTCTTATTGACAAATATAGCATATAATTTACGTAGTGATAAATATAGCACGAAATCAAGTGTAATTTACGGCAATATGGTACAAAATACATGCGCAGTCAATTCTTCGACGGCACCTCGCAAATGGATACAATGAGTTTTGCATCAATGTCATTTTGAAAATTTTAGTTTTTTTTTTACATAACAAACTTATGAGTTAATGGTCTTTTTAGGTCCATGAGGTATATAAAACACGTACTATGGAAGTCCTTGAACCTTTTTCATTGATATAGTTCTGCGGGTTTTCATATTTTCTTAATCGAGTTTATACCAATAATTTTTAGGTAGTTGACTATTAAATGGGGGATATATTTTTCATCGTGCATTTATCAAGCTCCCAGCATTGATGAGTTTTCTGCCCTTATGGGGATAGAGCGTCATAAGTGTGATTTGATTTCGCTACCACCAAAGCGAGGAAGTATAATGTGCTTCGAGGGGTTCTAGGAAAAAACTAAGAAACTTATATGAGAAATAAATTTATAATTTGTGATCAATTCGGGTTCAAATCAGGAGGACAACGGCTCGATTGATATGAAACGAACCATATAAGTTCTACATAAACATTCTTTTGTATTTTTATATAATTTATATTTGTTCCTTCCTCGACTTGTTTAATCTTGATGGTCGATCGAGTTAGGAGAATCCTAATATCGAAGGTGACTTATAAGATGTGTTTTTTTTAGCTAAATAATAGTTTATAGTATAAGAGGTGAACCTAAAAGTTCCAATGGACACACTTAATTCAATCCAAAACTTTAAAGCTATTACTCTATCTAAACCCCAAAATTATTTAAACTAAAATTCATCTAACCAAAAGAATTTCATGGAATTGGATCTTTGGCCCCTAATTTTCGTTGGTGGATAGGACAATTGGGTGTGAGGTTGGGACAAGAAACGGATTAGAAAGCCTTTAGGGGAGGGATAAGGCCACGGAGGACTTTATTAATACTTTGTGGTTGGTAACGATACCAATTATTTTCAAAACTTTTGAGGTCCTTTCTTTTTCGAATTATAAAGAAAAATTGAGGTTGAAAGTTGAGTGCATATTGTATTTTAGAACTTTTTTTGAATTAATTCCTTCTATTTTTGAGCAAATTTTTGAAATTTATTTGAATTGGTTTGAACTGCGGTCATGGTTTAAAAAAGGTCAAAAGGTATTTAGACGTTGACAATTAATTAGTTAATTCGATGATGATGTATGTAGGGCTGCAAACGAGCCGAGTTGAGTCAAGTTTTTATTTAGTTTGAGCTCGGTTCGTTTATAAAATTTGCAGCTCGAACTCGAATTTTAATAATCTAGCTCGAGCTCGGCTCGATTAAAAATAATATAGCTAGAGTTCGACTCGATAGAGCTCGGTAAATACTCATTAACACATCTTGGCAAGCTGAGTACAAGCTCGGCTCAAGATGAGCTCGATTTGAATTTTTTTTTTTTGCTGAAAAATGTGTAAACATAAGAGTTTAAATGAGAAAAAAAACACACTAGAAACTATAAATAATAGCTAACTCTAATAAACATCCGTATTAAAACAATAATGTTCATGTTCAAAAGAGTAATTAATCATTCCACAAGCTCTAAACAAGTAAGCCCGCGAGCTTAGTTCAACAAGCCACCGAGTCAAACTAGCTCCCGAACTTATCAAGCTGAGTATGGTCTAGCTCAAGCTTGGCTCGTTTACTAACGCGACGGCTCGCGAGCCGGCTTGTTAATTAACGATTCGAGTGTCGAACGAGACTTTTTCGATTCGAACACCGAGTTGCTCGCGAGCGGTTTGACTCATTTGCAGCCCTAGAGGCTAGATGTATGTAATAGCTGCCATTTCGTTCTTTTCCTTACTAATCTCTACACATTTTCACTTTCATTACGTGCAACTTTCGAATTCTTACAAAAACTTACTCATTTCACTCCAAAACATCTCAAAGTTATATTACACGAGTAACTTCATAGTACCTCATACTATAATGTACATATACATGAATGAAAATTTGAAACTACTTCTTCTCATGGGTGGACAAGAGGGTGTGTTGGGAGGCCATCAGACAAAGAGTCCAAATATTAGGGGCCTCCATTTGGACCTTTTAGTTAATTCGATCGTATATTATATGTAGTATTTATATGTGATTAATTGATTAGGAGTATGCTCACCAGCCACCAAGTATGTCTACGATCATTACTGATGATATGATGGGGGTAACTTTGCCTCGACAGATTGTAGCTCCCTCTCACTCTCCTTCCTCTTCCATGTACTCCCTGTAACGCTTTCTGTGTTCTTGGCCTTGGCCTCCCCTTAATGCAAAAAAAAAAAAAAAAAGATTAGGAGTATGATAAGATTTTAACTATATTAATATAGATAATTGTTAGTCATTGACCAATATTTTCAATTATATATATTCGAGGCAATGTATAATAATTGTTATAGTCTTGTTTGCACCAAGACTAATAATTTGGTTTGGAGATTTAAGGAAAGTTATATCTCAATCTTTCTGTTGATAACTTCGTACTGGCAAATCATTATTTGTAATAACCCACCGAGCATTGTTGGAGAGTTGGGTAAGCAAAGTTCCCAACTAACCGGTCATTTCATTTGGATTATTGATTTGGATATGAAAGTTTTTGTCCAAACATGGTTGTTTGATCAATGAAAAAACAGTATCCCCTCATGATTTTCAGTTGGCCAAATCTTAATTTATATTGAGGTGGGTTGGGACTTGGGGAAAAAGAAAATCACCAACATTTTCCCATCTTATCAATTACCAATGTTTGAAATATCAAATGTCGCGGAGGAGGTTGTCACCCACCATGAACTATACATAATCCCGTCATTAATAGTTTTGGATGTCTTTGAGTTCCGAAAACTCCTTCGAGAATCCGTCTCTTCCCACCAATTTTTTTAACTGAAGTGTGCCTTTTTTTAGGCTACCGCATCATAAAACAAGGAAGGTTTTATTTGTATGCCTTTAGATATGATGATTTGGATTTGATTTTGAGATTTTAAATTTCAAATACTAAATCATTTGTTTGGATAATATTTAGATATGTTATTTGGATTTGTACCGTATACATTGTTGAATTACAAATACATATCTAGTATCTTACTTATAAATTTCAAATACATTTTAAACAACTACTTATTTGAAATTTCTCTTAGCATCAAGTAGTACTTGTTGGAAAAAAATTTAAAGTCCAGGTACCAGAACACAAGAAAAAAAAAGTATATATGTACTAAAATATAACTTTACCATCAAAATATATGGATATGTTGGTTAAAATAAAAATTTAGGTACTAAATCATAAGGGCAAAAACAAATTTGGTAGTAGCAAAAATTCACAAAAAACTTATAAATCTGAAAATACTAAAAAGTTGAAAATTAATAATCAAACACTAAGTTAGAATTACACCAATTTCAAATACAATCTTTTGAAATCCTTTATATAGGGAATCATATTGTAAGGATAATATGGTGGATGCAAAAGTATAGTAATTAACCCTATAGACTAATGCTTCTTGGGTTTAACACTTCAGATCTCAATGATCAAAAGGAGGTTCAAGTTCAATCAACCTTAGACTAGACTAGGCAATCACTATGCGCCATTGAAATGATGGAAGTAATGTGGCCTCCAATTGACCTTAATTATTAATCATCTTTACCAAAACCATTCATCGCACCACACTTCTCCTTCTCATCAAATTGGTAGTCAGCACGTTTTATCTCCAATTTTCAATCATATAATAATTTCAAGCTTTTCACCAATATTCCCGGACCTTAATTAGTTCAGATTGCCCAAAAGTTTGAAGAGCCAGAAAGGAAGCACAAATTTGGGAGACATTATTATTATTATTATTACTATTATTATTATTTTGTCTTTTTATTGTTACTAAAATCCCAACAAGACGAATGAGGACTAGTTCAAGTGGTGTGAGTGTTGATCTGTTGGTCTTCTCGTAGCGATTCAGGGTTTGAAATATGTCTTTGGTGCTCGCCTTTCTGATCACCGACCGATGCGTGTCTTCGTCTCTACCATGAGGTAGAGAAAACTTGCCTTGCCTCTAGTAGCACTTCCACCCCCATCTGGCCATCTTACAAGACTTGGATTATGTCGAGCTAGAATTTAGCATATGCCTACACAGTCTACTAAGTGACCACGGTAAATAACTCTTGTATTCTTCAAAGTATATATGATCGATTCACTAATTTGTTAACAAATCTAAATTTCTTGATGGGTTTTTCCTACTTTGCAAACCTCCATGCATCTTTTTTTACGGAATCAGAATGTACTGATTGCACGCGATTTTAGACTTCTAGACCACTATACACACAAAATATACTTTCACAAACCCTACACTGATCATGAACTTGTCAGTGCATTCTCCTGCAAATATCCATGATTGATGAAAGAACCCACTGAGAATGAATTCTGCAGCTTTCCTCACATCTCCTTATGAGCAATAGTGAAATACTATCAAGAGAAACATATCACTGCCACTCTGACTCCCAGCACTAATCTAATAGGTAGTTTGAGTGCGTACCAAGCCAGAAGTGTAGCAAAATGACAATCATGTCCCTCCTTGCTCCGCCGGCTTGACATGGAGCCATCAGCCATGGAAAATGGACCATTAAACAATTCCAAAGCCCCATTTTGATGCAATCTACGCCACTTAAATGCGAAAGGAGGAATGTCTTATTGCCCAATGGAAGAAGGAACAACAACCCCAAAATCCTATCTCTCTTTCAGGGCAAGTTCAGAGTCCACCACGCTCCACGTGTAGGTCTGTAACTGGCACTAATAGCTGCTGCTGCTGCTGCTGCTGCTAAGTAACAGTATATATTGACGTTTTCTGGCTTGTCCATGGAGGTTACTGGATATGAGAGGAAAAGGGCCTACCCAGAATGAACATGATACCTAATCAACCCCCACATGTTCCAGTTTCGTATCAGAAGTTTACATATGACAGTGATATGTGAAGAAGATGGCCAGCAGGAGCAGCAGCAACATGTGTAATGGATATGTTCCAATTAGCAATTGTTAATGTCGTATCCCTGCAGCTGGACTCTCTTTGCCCTTTTCTTTTTGTACTTTACTATCTCCTTCTATTGCCAAAACATCAAAGATAAAGTAAATCCTTTCATCACTCCCTTCAGTCTTCTTACACCATCTTTTGCAGCTTTGGAAAGATATTCCCACCAGCTGCTGTTATTTCTTCTCAGTAGTAACAGCCTTATTGCAGCTTTCTCTTGAAAGGGTCAATTAGTAAACTTGTCTTAAAAGGCTCATCATTTGGCTTCTCGATATGAGAATTGAGGCTTTTTCTCAAAAAACCATGAAATAAAAAAGGGCTTCAAAGGAAGAGAAGGAAAGGGAAGGGGCAATTACAAGGCAACCTGCTGCTGCCAGTTTTAACCTAAGGTGCCTTTGTTCTTCCCCCTATTTATCAGAAGAGGTATTTCCTAATAAGATTACACTGATTATACAAAAATACACACTTCAATGTCCAATCTTTTCATCGCCAGAGCAAAAGTACATCTGATTGCTACTTAGAATACACAGCACCATGTCGTTCTCTATAATGGTACCCCGTATGTATGTTAATATTAAGAAAAATAACATCCGTGAAGTTTATTCATGTTCAGGGGGTAATCCTTACTGATGAATAGGGAGGGCTGCCGACGGCGATGAATCCCTGCAAAGACCAACCAAAAGGAGGAGCCGAAAACCCCACATCGATGCATTCTTTCCCAAGTAACTGAACATGGTCTATAGTATGCCACATGGACTGGCCAAAGCTACTCCCATTTCCAAATGAATCGTGTGTAGTGTAATTGTATATGATAGGTATCAGTGTAGCCGAACCTGACCCTTCTAAATCTGTGCTGCCAAGAGTTCATTCCATGTATCAGGAATACCAGGCAGGCACCAGTGAAGGCAATCACTCACATTGTTCGTAGTCTTAGCGCTGTAATTCGATATGTGAGCCTCATCTCTCAACTCGGATAGTGCAGTAACATCCAGAAGCTTAATCCGTGTTCCCTCAACAGCAGATGCAATGACTGCATCACTTGACTCATCCTTCGAGACTTTGCTCCCTCTAGTCATGGGAGTGGTATTGTTACAATTCCCACCAGTGTTCCAGTCCCCATCACGATAGTGCCTCGGTGAAATTGTTCTGAAAAACACCTTGAGACTACGAGGATGCGAAGGAAGCTGCTGATCGAGCCACCTAGCGACACTGCGAACTGTTAGATTCTTGGCAGTGTGCAAATCAACAAGTCCTTTGTCTTCGAGTGGCTCCCCATTAATGTACATCACCCAGCGGTTTGCTTTGAGCTTCCCACGGTTCCAGTGATGGCCAGTGTTGAGAACTAGGACATTGAATCTGTGAAGGTATCGTCGCATGAAAGCTGGTGGATGGTCCAAATGCATCCGGACCTCTGTCTGTCGATCTGTGGCGTTTACAGGGACTAGGTCAGCCAGGCTGGCAGACCAGTAGTATAAAATGGTTGTGTTGGTGTTTGTGAAGCGATAGGCCCAGCCATCTGGGCGTATAGCACCTGGCGCTTTGACTAGACCGAATTCATAGCCCACGTCGGCTACATCCATCCTCCATTCTCCACCTGATGCCATGCACATCAATGATTGGAATTGCTGTCTGCCCAGCGAGTCTCCGATGAAGGCAATCGTTTTGTCCTGCATTCTGGATGGGATGAACTATAATTAGTAGAGACAAGCATTTGACCTCAAAATTCGGAGGTTGAGAGCAATGGAAGTCCACCTTTTGAGGAATTCCGATTCCTCAAACTCGGTCGTTTTGCAGTGTTCTGGCTGCCATCTATACCCCTCAAAAGAAAAATCTTTTCGAGGAAAAGTTCTGCACGCCCACATTCCCGACAACCATTGTTTACATTGGAACCCGGAATATAGAGGTCTTTTGCTGTCTGCAATCCATCTACCCTTAGCATAATTGCAGTCTGCAAAGTGTAACAAAGAAGAAGAAGGGGAGCAGTGAGAGAGAGGTAAGAAGGAAAAAAGGCAGCACACATACATAATGAGTAGCACAGGTGGTGGATAATATACTTGTGTAAAGGCAAAACCAACTATATAGTATCAATATCCATTAATGCGTGTGACATAAGTTTTTAAACAGGCAGAACAAGGACGAATGTTCATACACTCATTGGCACCGAGGACATCTTAGTACACTTTTTCTTGTCAAGTATGGGCAAATGATTCAATAGAAACCAGTTGGACAAGGATGGCAAAAGTATAATTTTAGGTTACTCTTGATTGCTAGCATCATCTTCAGAAAAGATTGAAAGGAGCAGAATTTAGAGGATAGTTAAGGCCAGGGAGGATCTCGGAATTTGTAAGCGATAAAGTGAAAACCTTTAAGCATATTGGCCAGAGAACACTCATTTATCCATCAAAGCGATAAAAAAGGCTAATATAAACTTCATACATGAAGACAGAGACTTCTAAAAAGCAAGTTCTGAATTCTGATGTGGTTATCATCAGGGTCTCTTATCACAAGCAAAGCCACAACTGAGCAAAGTTCATCAATAACACCACAATAAACAAGCCCACTGCAAATACTCTACCTTTCAGATTCGAAGACGGTACACTGTTTGTAACATTCACCAATGAACCTGAATGGGATGCATCACTAGGCCAGTTAACTACGTTACCTGAGCATCAGAACAAGAAAAGATCAAATTAGAATGAAGTTAGCACATGTAGCAAAAGCCACAGTGATAAAGGAAGCTACCAAAAAGCCCAACAGATGCACCATGTGGTGTCAGAAAGGTTGCTTTTCTGTCTGATCCAAGGTAGTTAAAATCCTAACTTTGACTTCAAAATCATATGATTCTAGAAGGATACACAATGTTAGGCCCAGGCTTATCATACTTATGGTCTTCTATGAACTCTAATTCTGTACTAAATATAGTAGTTTCAAAACCAAACCAAAGATGTTATATTATTATCATACACATTAGACAAGAAATTTGTTCTTTCATCCACTTTGTTTACTGGATCATTGTTTTTACTTCGTACGAGTGACAAAAAATGCAGTAATTCTACATCTGTGGTTCTCTCTTTAAGTTTTTTGGATTGGAATTTTAAATAGTTTGTAATTTTACATTTTTAAGTGCAATCATAACTTTGACTACGGTGTTCTCACCCAGCACACTAGAGTCTTGCAACTCAGTAGAGCACCAGTTACAGTTTTATCAAAAGGCATAGTTTTGACTGTGCTGGTTTACCTTGACAGGAACAAATAGGCAGAGAAGCATACCTGAAGAGATTACTCTAAACTGCTCTTGCGCTGACTGCAAAGTAGAAACAAAAGGATTCTCTTCCCATGTCCATAGAATAACTGCTGTAAGAACAATCGCAAGCAGAGAAACCGAAACGTGAATCCCCTTCCACTTATAGAAACTTATTACTTTCATGCCTGCTCACTGCAAAGGGCACCAACCCTTATGCATTCATGAATCTCAGACGTCCTAGTGTTGGATGGCTACCATAATAGGAAAATTATTCAGTAGAATGCTATCATGTGTGGGAACTCTTTTATCCAGGAGCTTCAGCTGCAAGCAAAAGGAGAAAAAGAGAATCAGAAACAGAATAAGGACAAGGATAAAATAAAGAATACAGAATGATAAACAGATATATCTGCAGTAAAGTGTCATTCACGAGAACAACTGACTACTAAAATAAGAGTCGAGGCCACCACTTCAATTGAGCAAACAGTGTAGATCAATATCAGTGAACACCGTTCTCAATAATGGAAACAATCCTGAGTACAACCTATAGAGGAGGATTCTGCAGCATGGTGCTTAGCCATAAGACAGGGAATGCCTTAATCCCCCAAACCCCCCAAAAGGAAAAACAATTTGATATGTACTATCACCTTATATAATGAAAAAAGATAATGTTTGAACATATCAGCTAGGTGCCTGATTAGTAAGATCTTGACTGCTGCCTGCCATTGCTTTAACAAAGGGAGGATTCGTGGCCTAGTGTGTAGAATGGCCATGATGTAGGGTTCTACTATTTTAAAACATCCAAGAATGGAATCAATACGGGCAGCAGGAAATGGTCCTGTGAACTATGAAAATTAAGCTGCCGCTATTTCTAGCTATGATAGTGCAGCAGTGCTAACAAGAAACAAAGAAGGCAACTGGAAGTTTTTGGCACAGAACAGGTCATGGAGTGGTGAAACTTCTTGATCAAACAGAAGTTTTGTAGTCCAAGATCACATTTTTCAAATAATAAGGAAGAAGAACAAAGATGGGTTGGGGTCATTTTTACAGTGCCACTCAGTTCTGCTTCATTTATTCACCATCTCCAAAAGGCTAAAACTTTACGAAATGTCCAAGATCACATTTGTTCAAATAATAAGGAAGAAGACCAAAGCTGGGTTGGGGCTATTTTTACAGTTACATTCAGTTCCTACTTCATTTATTCAACATGTCCAAAAGGCTAAAACTTTACAATTATACATTTGTTGCCTACTCAAAAACACCAAGTAAAGCCAAAATATAATCAATCTCCTATCTCTGCTATTTCAAAAACATTCTCAGATACTGAAGCAACCCAAGTTCAGTTACCACTTCAGCAGAGAAATTTGTTCTGGAAATCAGCAGTTGGAGGCAAAGCCATGGCCAAACAACAGAAAACTTGACAGGAAGGAAAGGAAACCGAATGCCAATAACCAGAATCCACGTTCCACAACAAAGCAAGTTAAAATCGGAGAGACTGCAAGGCAATGCGAGCAGGGAAATCGTCAGGCAAAAACTGAATACTGACAACACATATACTGACAAATTTCCAGCACAGACAGAACTTGTAGCGAATCGCACTTGTTCGATGGCGATAAATGCCATTACAGGGACACTGCGCAAAAAAAAGCTGCCTTCAAGCTTTTCCAACTGCACGGATTGGATAACTGATACCTAAACCGAAATCAGTCTCTCACCGTACTCAGCTTAACCAGCAATCCCGGCATCCAAAATAGCAGGAAAGCGCATATAACGAAGTAAATCCAAGAAAAAGGGGAGAATCCACCGATAAACAATCATCGCGGTGAAGAAGATGAAAGCAGCAAGGGACATGATAAAGTGTGTTCCGTGAGAGGGAGAGCAAAGAACCTGCTAACCTGAGGTACGAGAAAAGCGTGCCGAAGTTCCTCTCTGTCCGTCGGTGTCCGCTAAAGGCAGTTGTGGAGTGAAATGACGGGGGGTTTTTTTTTTTGGTGTCGGATCAGAGTTCACCTGGAAGAAAATCCAAGGCGTTTAAGAGAGTTAGATTAGATCCAGTAATGGCGGTCGCGACAGCTCCACGGTTAACAAAGGACAAGGCGAGAGAGATGCACGCCGCAGTACAGATGCGACTTGTGAGGCTTAATTCCGTTATCAGAACAGCTTTCTTAGATGTGTTTTTTATTTTATTTTTTTTGTGTATCAAAATTAAACATTTGTTATATCATACAAATGCTAGCCTACAATATAATATATGTCTGAATATTGTACATACTTTTGTATATTTTGATTAAATATAATCTTCGATTATTATCTATTTAGATTTAGCGATTTTAGTAATGAGATTCATTCATTGAAAATTAATGTATAGTATTACGTCCTGAATTCTAGTTAATTCTTGAATAAATTGTAAAACTCGATGGATACTCCGATAAAATTAGTAAAAACCAACAAATATTAGCATGCTATGTTTTTGCCACACTTGTCAAGTATCATGCAATATTATTTCTTAAATATTCTTGCCAATGTGAGATCCTATTTGATAGCTGTTAACCATTTTCATAATGTGTTTGTTGGGTGTTATAAAAATAAATAATAATAATGGATTTGTTGGGAGGTGTGTTTAATACATATATTTTTCATCACGGAGTTGTTACTTGTTAGTCAAGGGAGTGGTGTAACATTTGAGATACAAACAAGATCACTAGCGAGTTATTTATTTATAGTCTCGAGTTGAATAAGGAAAACGAGTATATGATTACGTGAAATTATTCATTTTTGTCTCTAATATTGGAGAAATTGAGTTTTGACAATGTTGAATTTAATCAATCCGTGCTTGTTTGGACTTTTAAATTTGTAATGTTTTATTTGAATAAATTATCTCATTTTTTTTACAAAGGAGATAGCTATTTTTTTTTGAAAATCATGTTTTTATTTTGGGATGGGATTAGGTGCTAACTAACAAAAAACGCTACTAAAAATAACGAAATCACTACGAATTATTATAAAATCAATACAACATCTAAGCTAAATCACTACTAATTCAAACTAGTAGTAGTTTTCCCCTTGGTTAGGACGGTGCTAACTATTGTATAATTAGCACCGTAGCCGTTCCTTTTTTTTTATAGATTCTTGTATTTAAATTTCATTATTTTTGGTGATTTGAAGAAAAAAGGGAAAATTCCAAGGCTTAGTTGCTGGGCTGAGCCCATAGCATATAGGCCCATCCAGATCAGGCCACAAACAGATTCACACTTCGGACACATTCCCAGGCTTAGGGTTTAAGTTCGATTTTTGACCGCTCTCCAGTCTCCATCATCCACACTCGGGCAATTCCACGCGGTAGCTCTTTCAGCCATGGCGAAAAACAGGAACAAGAAGAAGAAGTCTGGCGCTGATTCCATGGACACGACGGAACCTACTGTCTCAGATTCCGCTCAAGGTAGTAGCTATCTCCTTCCCGTCCTTATATCCGGTTCAGCATACTTGTCGTCTCGTGTTGGTTGATTGGGACTTTGATTGATTCGAGAATCGCAATGGTAGTTTAACGATCAGAGTTTGAAGAACCCGTTCAACTCTTTTTTTTCTCCTTTTTGCGTCTGGGGTTTTCTCAATTTGTGTTTTGCCGCCGGGATTCCAACATGTAAATTGACTTTTCTGGGAAAATCGTGGAACTTTGCAGCGATGGACACGTCGGAGCCTGGAGCTTCAAGACCTGCCTCCGGTGGTCTCAATAGGTTAGCATTCTACAACACTACAGCAATTTCCTTTCTTTGTTATCGGGGAAATTTGAATGTTTCATGGCTCGAACTTGTTTCCAATGACAGAAAAGTAGTTATTTTTTTGAGAAAGCACGAGACCATGTTGCTAGAACTTAAGCTAGTCGTCCACCAAACTGCTTGCTTTATTAGGGCTTGGTACAGAATCAGCTGGTTTAGCATGGTTGTGACTGTTGTCTCTAGTTGCATCAGTAGATGAAGCATTGGTTTTTGTTGCTGGAATTGAACATTGCCAGAACTGGAAGATTTGTTGGCAGCTTAGTATTTTGTATATTTAGCTCACTTGTGCCCATGGTTGTGTTGTTCGTCCGGAGCAGAATACAGAAGGGAAGGCCGATGAAGAGATCGAAGAACGTTCGCAAGAAGAAAGCCCTGGAAAAGGCCATCTCCAAGACCGAGCAATCTTTTGAGAAAGTTGCCAAGTTTGAGAACAAGAAGCAAAGAACTCAATCTGCTAAACAGCTCTACGACTGAGCAGTAGTAGCAGTATAGATCAATACATATTGAAATGTATCAGGAATCGGCATATTCCATATTCAATTTTGTTCAGCTTCTCAACATATATGTAGTAGTTTCGAATCCCTTCTGTAAGGTTTTATTCCATATTCAAAATCTATCTTTTATCTTAGAAATTTATGTGCATTGTCAAACAACTTATTGATTGTAAAAATCATGGCATATATCCTTGTCTGATTAGCTATCGATGTGGAGATGCGAAAACCATAGCTCTATACAAAGAGTCGACCCTGTATTGAATTTTGACGGGGTTCAAATGAAGCGGCATCATTCCGATGAGCTTCTTTGGCCCTTGCGTTGTGCAAACTGCAAAGACAGATTCAATATGTTTGTTTTTGGTTAAAATTTTCAAGGAAAAAATAGATTAATCGTGCTGCTGGAAATGACGTTGACTTTGATATATTTTGAAATAAAAAAAATTAAAATATACATTGACGGTATATATCATGGTGGTAATGTCCTATAGTGCATAAGAACATGCCATGATGGTATGAAAGTATATTATGGTGGAAGGATGCAAAGTTTATTGTTCTGTCATATTGCCATGTCTATTCCCACGTATCAGATTCTAGATTGGAAATCAAAAGTTCAGTCCTATTCCTTCAAGAATTCACTGTACGAACATCAATATTCTATGAGATAGTTTTCGATGATCTGCTAAGGAAACAACCTAGGATTACAGTTACAGATCCTTTCTTATTATTTTTAAATCGATCGTTTTCCAACTTGGATGATATTATACACCAACACAAGGAAAAAAAAGTCGCCGGCCTTATTTGCTTGAAGAAACCTTTGCTTCCAGTGAAATACAGCTAAATGGAACTCAAATGGCGTGAACAGTATTACATCAATGCAAATCTTGAAATAGCTAAGCTTTTATTGAACTACAATCGAACTCCACTTTAAAAGGTTTCCAAGATCAGCAACTTGATAGAAACCATCGACAAACACAGATTCCAAGCTAGAAAAACTTTCGCAACTAAGCCAAATCGGATCACAGATTCCGGGACTTTAAGCTCTTTGTTCAACATAAGATCCAGCAAGTCCAGAAGTACCAATCAGGGTCACCTGCAAAAACAGGACCAAGTGATTTAGGCTTGCTTTCAAAATATGCATAAAGTACAGCCAAGTACAGTTCAAGAGGCACAACTGAAAAGATAAAAGCTAGTAAGCCCCGGGATTCAAAACAGTTACCATCATTAAAATGTTAAAGCCATGACGAGCTAATCTCGCTAAAAAGAAGATGATACCAATATGCAAATGCATGAAGCATATTGAGGCAAAACAGATGGAAAGAAAACATCCCTAGAAACCCATAAAAGCAAAAGGTGCTAGATTGAGGGAGCAATAATCTAAATCGTAAATTTCAGTTAATTAGCGTTCAATAAAATTGAGCAAGTCATAATACCTTGCCCCACTCTGATCCTAGGCCAGCACATCTCATCTTCAAAAATATCATCTTTGAACCCAATTCCATCTCTACTTTCTTTCTCAGATAGGCCTCATCAGGTCCAAATGACTCCAAATACGCAGAGTATCGTTCAAAAAACATGCGGATTGCCTTTGCATAATCATCTGTTAGCGGTTTTACATCCTGTGCCACACATTTTTACAAACTATTATTAACCTTCAAGAACCATTTGACGAATACAAACTATAGAACTAAGAATTTCAAATGAAAAACCATGAGCATACCTCGCCGCTCATCCCAATGCTGTCATCTAGCTCCATCTTTAGAGACATGACCATCCCACTGAATTCTTCGACAGCTTCAGATGACCGGAAAATATTCTTCAATATCTCTTGACCGGATTTGTCATCAGTGTTCTTCGACAGAGCATTCTTCACATCATGGATGACTGTCGCATCAAGTTCATCCCAACTTGCAGCCATCAAGTCCTTGAAAGCACATAAGACATCAGGGTCCTTAATCTCGGGCAAGTGTGCCACATCCTCACTATAAGATCTTTTGCTACCAATATTGATTGCCAAAGGAGATCGAGAACCTAACAACAAGCATGACCAAGAAAAGACCGCGTTAAAAGAGGCATGAACTATCATTACCAAGGTAGCATCAACTTCACACAGACAGTCGTTGGTGGATAAAATCAATCATTGGATCCATCTAATTCACATAAGCCTTGATGAATTTCACATCAATGACAATTGCTGGTACAATTCTATAGCTAGACAATTTATAAAAAAAAAATTATACAGCTAGACACATGAACCAAAGAAAATTCCTCTCACACATACCCGGCAATGTTCAGATAAAGGCTACAGCTTCATTTTCCTATTAAATGAAGATTCATTCAACCCAGTTCACCAAATTCGCTACCAAATCGACCCAGAATTTCAAAAGACCCCAAACCAGGTTTTAGATAATAACTCCAAGCGTGATGATGAAATTGATAACCAAATAACTACTCAGAGCGCCCAAACCCATAACCGGAAGTATGGTTCCAAAAAGAGGCATTACCGGAAGCGATGCGATCCGCAGAAGCGGTGGCGGAAGAGAGAGTGAACAGGGATCGAGGAGCTGACTGACGGCGAAGGAGCTGGTTGCCGGCAACAGCTGCGAAGCCTATCGAAGATCTACGAGAAGCTGCACGATATAGAGACCTGAGAGCCACCATCTTCCCCATCTTCGAAACTTTTCCCTTTTCTGTTCTTGAAAGCAGCAGTTCGGGTCAGCTCTGGGTATGTCTGTATTTCTTCACTTCTTGATGAGGAAAAAGGAAAACCCTCAAATCGCGTTCAATTGCAGCAATGAAACGGCGAATCGTTTTGATTAATCGACTGTCGCTAATTTTTAAATTGCAATCAAGCTGATAGAAACGGCGTCGTATGAGTTGGATCCCGGGTTTGTGAACTGCTTCCGCCGGTGGCAGTTCTTGAGTGATGATACGTCGAGCTTTCTCCATCACGAGAAAGCGGAAAAAAATCTCTCCCGCCCTCTGCGAATCAACGGACGGCTCAAACAATTCGTCGCCTTCAGAAACAAACGCCAAGCTCGTTGACTGATCTTCCAGCTGCTATTCTGCAAGATGAGCTTATTGGTAAACCAATGTGCGAATCGTTGGATTGGTGGCGATGAGAAACTCTATCGAGGTGAGTGGTTTGAGGTATCAATCTTTGTTACGCGAGTCGGCAGGCGAGATTGAATTGTTTTCTGATAGTGAAGCGAAGGGTCGCGCTGAGGGTGAGTGGTGGAGGTTCATCCGGTGATGAGTGTGCTCGCCGCCGCGACGTTGTGCCGATGATGAAGAATGACAGTATAAGTAGCTTTAGGGAGAAAGCCATTGCGAGCTCCGTTGCAGGTAATTTTGTTTCCCTCTTTGGGTGTTTCCTTGTTCATTTTACAGTAGCTGGCTGTAATTCATTCTTTCTCGTCCCGAATTCTTCCTCAGTTGCAAATTTGGTTGCTGTTGGAAATGCAAAGGCTATGTCCTCGGACAAATTACTGGTAAGAGTCTTTCTAGTGTTATTGAAACTCTTGGGATTGTTTCTCCCCAGACTTCAATTGTGCTGTTTGTTAGGGCGAGTAGGGAAGACTTAGAATATATCATATCTGGACTCTGGTATTGCTGCTGCTAAGTCTTGTGTTATTTGTGTTTGTCTAGTTTCTCAGAAGGCTAGTAAAATCTTGCGGACTCGGTAGCTTATGTTCATGTGATGAGTGTCTTCCAAGTTATATCAATATTGTTTGTTGTTGAGTCAGGAAGATGCTGCATTCCTTTACACTCTAGCTGATGGGAGCATTGGGGACTGGTTGGGAGGATTCCTGTACTCTGCTAATCAACAGGCTAATGAAGCTGTTCAGGGCCAATTATCAGCACTTAGCTTCACCAGGTGTTTCCATACTAAGCCTTCTCTTTGCCCTCTTCCCTCACCGAGTTTTTGTATTTCGGGATGTGTTCGTGAATTTCATTTTCTGCATTGGTTGCCGGCTGACCTCCTTTACAGTTTGGCTGTTATATTTGGGGCAGGACTTGTAACTAGCCTTTCTCCATGTACATTGAGTGTTCTACCTTTGACGCTTGGTTACATTGGTAAGCATGTACTGGTTCATTGTTCGAGACAGTTGATGTACGTTGTTCATTTGATCACAAATTCAAAATATTTTGATTCGCTTGGTGAATCTGATGTATAATTTTGTGGATTGTACAGGAGCATTTGGCTCTGGCAAAAGCAGAACAGAGGTAAAGAGTTTATGGCATTCCTTTTTTTGTTGCTAAGATTTTCGATGGTTAGGTTTAAGTGACAATCGGTGTGTGGATTGAGAAGGTTCCAGTATGTCTGAGAACCAGTCTTCCAATAAGGAAAAAGGATTTGGTTTGGAAGCCTTTAGCAGGAAGGCAACCTTTTTTCAGTTAGTTTGTGGTTCTCAAGAAATCTCAGCAAGGACTTTGTTTGAAGTTTTCCCTTCTTTTGCCGTCTCTTGCATATGACCTTTCCATTACCACATGAATATGAAGCACAATTTCACTTGGTTTATACTAAAAACAACTGAGTCATTTGTCGGACAGGTCATTGGTGACTCGGTCGCATTCTCCTTAGGATTGGCAACTACGCTTGCTCTTTTAGGTGTAGCTGCCTCTGTCGCTGGAAAGGCGTATGGGCAGATAGGGCAAGGATTACCCTTGGCAGCTTCTGGATTGGCGATATTTATGGGTCTCAATCTGCTGGAGGTAATCAATATGTTGCATCTGCCTTTTGACATAAGTGTAGATGGAAGCTTTCCTGGTCATAGCCTTCTAGCATTTTATATGATTTTGGATGAGTTATGATGTGTCATGAACTTTTCTTAACTACTATCTCTGCTGACTTTCAACCTTGCTTATAGGTGATCGAGTTGCAACTTCCTTCCTTTTTTGACAACTTCGACCCTCGTGCTGCTGCTGCTAATTTTCCTTCAAGTACGTGCTATACAAATTCCTTCCAGATAAAAATGCATTATCTTTGGGCAATAGTTCTTGCCTTCTCTACAACTTCTGAATGGTGTAAATTTCTTTTCCAGGTGTGCAAGCATATTTAGCTGGGCTCACATTTGCATTGGCTGCATCACCTTGCAGTACGCCTGTGCTGGCAACTTTGCTAGGATATGTAGCCACCTCTAAGGTATGAAAGTGATTTTGGGCTCTAGGCCTTTTTGTGCTGATTTGGTATTTGATTTACCTGCTTTTTCTTATTCTTTTCTGCAAACTAACATCTTCTTAAGCCTTGGTTGTTCAGTAACACTCGGAGTGTTTGTCACTTGATCAGTGGTTCATGAATGCGTTACTCATTGAATGATGATCTGTGAATTATTGGACTGGAGTCTTTTCATTTACTTAGTTTGATTCAGTTTGAATAGTGTATGACCTGTGGTTGCTCATATCATCGTCATGTGATGGCAAGGAATCAGTTTGAAAATTGTTGGCTACATATAATCAGTTGGATTGTGAGCTTATTGAATAAATACAATGTAAGCATGTTAAGAAGCAAATAAACGAAGACGATCTTGAAAAAAAAGGTAAAACAATGGCCAAAAAAAGCAACAACCTCTTTGCTCCAATGTGTCAGTTTGTTGTTGATCTAGCTTCCCTTCAAGTCCATTAACAGTGAAACTATTTCAGCTTGGCTGTTTTAGATTTCAGCGTTGTTCTCAGCACGTACAAAATGATAAAATAATTATCTACACAGGATCCAATAGTTGGGGGCAGCCTGCTTTTGACATACACAACTGGTTATGTTGCTCCACTTCTTCTTGCTGCTTCTTTTGCTGGAGCGTTGCAGGTATTATTTCCCAAAATTTACCCAGATTCCTGCAATTGCCTTCTTTAGCGATCTGTCGGTTTCCTTTTTTTTTTACATCTTTTCAAGCATTGACCCCCAAAGTATTCTTGCAGAGTCTACTGTCGTTCCGGAAGTTCTCAGCATGGATCAACCCCACCAGGTAACCCATTCAATTACTTGCAGTCTCTTGTGTTGTACTATTGTTTCCAGAATGTGATATGCCTTTGCTCGACCTAAAGTTGGGATCGGTTTTAAAAAATATCAGCGGAGCGCTACTGTTAGGAGGGGGAGTGTACACTTTCTTGGATAGACTCTTCCCTATTTCAATGTCGATGTAGGAGTTGCCACAGGTCAGGAGCTTCAAGTAAACAATCGGGGATAGGGAAGTACAACATATATTTCGATTTACTTTCAGCTGTCTCCTGCCATCTTGGTTCTGTGAAAAGCAGGATGAAATTGGTCAAATATAATACATCAATGTCATGTCCATATTCAGTCCTTTTGATTGCATTTTCCCTAATTTTCTATATCACGAATTAATTGCAACGACAGATACATTTTCAAGAACTAAAGATTAGTGGACCTCTTTGGTCCTTGAGTCCTTGACATTTCCGAAGGAACCTGATGACAGAACAGAACTGCTGGTAGACAGACCCCTGCCTACCGCCAGGCCTGCAGGTTTTGGGTGGAGTATTTAAGTTCCAGTAGTCTGCACTCCAAAATAAGGAGCAGCTGGAGGGGTTGAACCCTTTGCTGCCAAACCACGAGACTTTAGTTTGCACAGGTTGGACATACCATTCCTTGTGCTAAACGAATTGGCATGAAATGGGGGTCGTTATGAGGATTTGAAACCATGACCTTTTGATTTTAGGCTCTGATACCATGTTAGCGAACTAACCACTTGGCCCCAATAACTCGAGTTATTGGGAAAGGGATAGTTAAGCCTTTTAACCTCTTATACGCCCCCTCAAACGAAAGCCGATGCCGAATTGTGGATTTTTACGGTTTGCACAGGTTGAACCCTTGTGCTGCCAAACCACGAGGCTTTAGTTTGCACAGGTTGGACATACCATTCCTTGTGCTAAACGAATTGGCATAAAATGAGGGTCGTTATGAGGATTCGAAACCATGACCTTTCGGTTTTAGACTCTGATACCATGTTAATAACTCTCGAGTTATTGAGGCCAAGTGGTTAGTTCGCTAACATGAATGGCTTGCAGTAACTAGTAATAATTATCCCAAACTCTTTGGATTGTCGTCACTCATAATATTGGAATGCGTAGAGAAGGCAAGTAGGCAACGCCTAACAAGTAAACAACAAGATAAGATAAGGTGGCCAGGCAGCAGGCAAAAGTGTCGGTTGCAGAACGGAATTCTCCTCCCAGGCGTGCTTTCTTTGTGCTCAGACAGATGGTAACATTTTCCAGTTAAGGGCAGAAACCCTACAGAAGGGATTGCAGAGGTATGACTTCCAGTTCAGGCACATCCATTTCATTTATTGCCCTGTTGAGTAATGCAGTTAAAAGTTCAGATTCTACGTAGAAGTGTTTTGAAACTTAGAAATGGTAAAAGCGTAAGTTGTTAAGTTTTTAATCGCGACTTTGACAACAAGGGGAAAACGTGATTTTACATAAGAACGTTTTGGTGAACCAAAAATATAAATACCTAAATTTTTAAGATTTAAAGCGCGGTTTTAACGACATTGTTGGAGTGAAGTAACATCTCCATAACCGATGGTTTCTATTAGTATAAGCATTGGTGAGGTGGTTGCTTGTAGTTGTAGAGGCAAAAAGGATAAACATGAAGCAGAAACCGACATCTGGTGCACTGCACGAGAATATGTAACTTTTTATGGGGTAATTAAGTTAGGAGGGACAAGTACAATTCCGTTTTGTTTGAGAAAAGACTCCCAATTTAGGGGTTCTATTTCCTTCGTGTCAATGCACGATTGAGTAAGCTGTTGCATGAAGAAAATGGGAAATTAGTTGATAATGAGTTCACTGACGAAACAGAACACTCCAAGCTCCTCACGTACGTAATATTATACTTATTAGGTATGGCGAGGTTGCCATTTGATCACGAGTGAGGGGGAGATTGAACAACATGTCACTTTTATGTTAGTCGTAGCTAGGCTCTATCGTAATTAAACAGAACTATAATTTAGCTTGGTCCTGCTGTAGCTTTTGCAGAAACAGTTTATGGCTGGAGTTTTTAGATAAGTATTTTTAAAAAAATGCAGTTTAGCGTTTGGTTATAAAACTATTAGAAGTACATTTTAATATGATCGGTTGTGTAATGACTATAAAGAACTTATAATACAAAATATAAATAAAAATTCTAAACAATAAAAATTAGTCAAAATAGATCTTGTTAGATTTCTTTTATATTAAATAATATGATTTTATTTTTAAAATGATATAAATGAAGGAAAATTATATTTTCTAAAATAAAATTAAAATATGGGTAAGGATAATCTTGTATTTTCAAAACAGTTTTTTGCAAAAGTTTCAAATCGGAGCTTTTGCTTTTATGTTATACAAAAGCGTTTTTCCACTTTTCAAAAGCCAAGCTTTTAGAGGTGTTTGATTGACCCTGCTTCAGCTTTTAAAGCCGAAAAAGACTTCTAAAAAAGCCGAGCCAAACATAAGATATATTAAATTATTAATATATTATCCATACATCAAAATAGTGTCATCACTTTATACGAAGAGATTTAATCGAGTTGTCCATTTAGTGACGAGGAGTATATTACATTGAAATTTTATTTATCTACATCCGTTGTGTTCTTAGCTCATTAATTTGCAACCTAAAACCCATAATATTCATCCTCATCACTTAAAAGCTTAAAACGAAAAAACTTCGCCGCCTCGAAGCGACTCCTTGTAGCGATTGAGGGACTCTTGCCGCTGCAGCCGCATCTCCTCGTTGAAGTTGTTGATGAACGCCTCCACTCGCCGGTTCAGCTCCTCCTGACTCAGCGACGGCCCCCTCTTCCTCACTACTTTCCCCGCCGCCGCGGCCGACCCAGCAGCTTTCCCGGCATCTCCGATGAACGTCTCGGATTCCTTCATCGCCTTCCCCGCCGCCGCCGACGGATGCGACACGTGGCTCGAGCTCCACGTGTCCGACTTCTTCAGGTGCCTGGTTATCGGCACGTGACGCCCATCCGTTATCATGTTCCACGTGCTGTCCAGCGTGTCGTTCCGCCTCGCCGACTTCGAATTCGATATCCCCAACCCCGCCGCCTTCCTGCCGCCGCCTGGAAAAATAAAATTTTCAACCGAAAATTTAATTCCACCGATACCGCCTCTGATAAATATTTAATCAACTAACACTAAATTTTGTTAGAACAAAAAAAATGTAGAATCATGATCAATTACACTAAATAAAATCGGATATCATAATGAGTTTTCACAATCATTTTCTCGAACAAATTTTCACATTCATAAAGTTGGCATTAAGCAAACCAATAATAAATACCTTTGGAGGGAGTAAAGTTGGTTGCTTCTCCAGACGACGTCGGAGATCCCAACTCCGGCGGCGGTGCAACAGTATCGCGATGATGATCACCATCACTATCATCCCAACGGTCACGCAACAGCACCGGCGGCGCCGGTGCATACACCTCTCCCTCCTCCCCGACACCCTTCTCCAAACCCTTAATTTCATCAGCACCAATACTACTATTTCTCCCGTCGGTCTCCAACAACAACGACGGCGGACGACGCCGCCGTCCTATGTCCAAAACATCGCCACGACTGGCCGCGGCGGCCCTGGAGTGGATCTTGGCGGAAGCGAGGATGGAGATGATGATGGCGTTGACGAGGAGGTAGAGGTAGGGTGGCGTCAGCCACGAGGACACGGCGTCGGTGCCGCTGTGGAGGAAGTTGAGTAGGTGGGAGAGATGATGAAGGTTGTGATATTGGTGATGTTCATCATGGGTTGTAATCAATAATACCGTCCCCACCGCCACCGCGGCGGCGGATGAGATTACGGCTAGCTTCGGTGGCGGGAACACCATGTCGTGCCGGTCTCTGTGCTTCTCGGTTCAGTGTTTCTGCGTAAGAATCGATTGTTTGTGTTTGTGTTAGAAAGGTGGGATTTTAATGGAGGTTAAGGGGTTGTTCTCATGTTGTTTATATATATGGGGTGGGCGGAGGTAAAGACGGGATCAACTACTCGAGTTATTCGTACCAATTGGTTTATTATATGGCATTAGAATTGGTTTGATTAGTGACTGTGTGTTTGAATTTTCATGACCTCAATGTAACGGTTGATTTAAGCATAATGTGTTGTAGGTATATGCAAACTTCAAGTCCATGAGTTAGTTTTCGTTTGAGGGACGTGCAAGAGTGTGATAAGAAAGTATTAAAGTGTATATATAAACATCTTCCAGCTTCTAACTAGGATGAACGCGCTAACTATGGATATGATATCGAAAAATAGACCGATTTTATATCACCCTTCAATTCGAATTAGCAAAAGCAATGTCTCCTTGCATAATATGGATTCCAAACATTCATGATCTGGTTGTGAATGAGTCGAATTACTTATCCCTCAGTCTATTAGTGAACCATCTCTCCGGTGATTGTCAAAGATGTTCCACTAGAAATATATTTGTTATTTCTTCTACTGCAATTATTGTAAGTTGGAATCAATTGGTTTAGCATAAAATATTATTTTGATCAAAATAACTTATAATGTATTGTTTAAGCAAAAATAATTCGATTGCCATACTTTACCCATACAAGTTATTTGAATGCTAAGTTATATACAAATCATTTAAAATGAGCTAACGAGTTAAACTTTCTAAATTGGGAGTATAGCTAGATAAAACTCAACTCAGTTCCTTGGGAGTATTTAGAAGAGGACCCAATCCGTAAGGTGAAAGTCCTCTAGACCTAAAAAAGAGCAAGGCCCAGGGACTATGGGTTGGAAGCCCAAGCCCATGATTGTTTCTATAGAGAAATTAGGGGATATAGAAATCAAATTGGTTTATAGGTAGGCAACAACTTGGAACCCACTCTATAGATGGTAAAGAGAGAGTGAAAAGTGCAATGAATTGTTAAAGTGCATTTATGGAAATTTTATAGGATAATTTAGTGTATGATATATAAGTCAGAACTAATTTGTTCGCGTTCAAGTTCTTATAACTCACAATATTAATTGTTGTTTGAAAGCACATAGTATAGGGATTGAGTATAAATTTTAAATTCATTGATTGGCTTTTGTTTGAGGTGATATATAAAAAAGAGGTAAGATCCACACATGAATTTCATCCAACAACTTGAATTGTTTAGATAAATTGATATTTATGACAAAAGGTGACAGAGACACTGAACAGAATAAAAACCAGAATAGTAGAAATCTTATCGACCGCCTTGGCGGTTCATGTCAGCAAACGCTAGAACCATTTTGTCACGTTGAAACTCAGCCATCTCTCGTTCTTCCAGACACACCAACGCTTCGACTCCATCCCGGTCTCCCGTATCCAACAGCACAATCGTATCCTTCAGCTCCTGAGCAGCAGTCGTCACCCGAACTGGTTTCCCCCAGCCGAAATCCGCTTCGTATACTGGGAAGTTGCACCAGCTGGAGCTTATGTACACCCTTGGCTCCGCAGCAACAACTTCTTCACTACTGCCTGCATCCCTGAACACCTTCGTGCTCTCTACGATGAAAGAACGAAAATCTTCTCCACTGGAATACTTTGCACTGCAGGTTTTGAAATACTCGGTTTTCACCCTCCTGATCGTGCTGACAAACGAAACCAAATCCATCTCGACCCCTGCTTCAATCGACATCGCGAAAATCGAAGACAAATTCCCGATGGAACTGGTTGTAATTGAGGGAGGGGAGGTCAACCTGGAACGCAAGTTTACAGCTTGCGTCAGAATGGTTGACCCCAGTCGGGACGTGTTGCTGTCTGATGAGCAACAGGTCCTGCCTGCTGAGATGGCACTGGAACAGACCAGTGCCAGAACCACCTCAACCCTAGTAGGATTCTCGATTTTGTGCCTCATCATCATAGCTTTGAGCTTTCCAATGTTGGAACCGCCAAAAGCGAACCGCCTGCAGACAGTTTTGACATTCGGAGGGTCGAACGTCTTCGTCACCTCTACGTCCACAGGTGGGAACAAAGCGGCCAGATCGAATCGAACATGAATATGTTCGATTCGATCACCGACAGTACTGCTGGCTGCTGCCCAGTGGTTGACGAAGGAGCAGAAGCTGGACATGTCGAGGACCTTGTGTGACGCGCAAACGGCTAGTGCCATCCCTCCACATTCAAAACCTGTGATCTGAACGACCAAGGGAGTGCTCAAGGTCGTGCTCCTGAAAGCGAGATCGTCAGGGAACAGGAGGCGAAGACGAGCCTCGTCATCTACGATCGAAGCAAGCGGCGAGCTCATCATCCGTGCTTGCAGGAAGAGAGCCCCCTCGTCGTTACATTGAACTGTCAATGGATTACCAGCTAGCGGGTAGTATGTGGACAGAGCTTTTGAGAGGGACGATTTGAGCAGAGGAGCTCTGTTCTCGACGAGATCATGATTGTTGTCGTCATGGTTTGGGTAGAGGTAGAGAAGAGGGACGTAGAATGGTGGTGCCATCTGGTCGAAGAAGGAAAGGCTGTGGTTTCTGAGGTGGTCTGGGGTTCGGGTAGACGGTCGGACCATCTCTCTGGAGAACACCTCTGGCTCCATTTGGTTAATTTAAAAAAACTCTGCTGCGTGAATCTGAATCAATGGCGCATGAATCCTCTTAATAGTTCGATAGGAAAAGTTGGCCGGGAGCCCGTAAACCCGTTGTTTTCATCGACGGTGTTAATTTCGCCGGTCGCGAAAGTCGCTTTCTTGCTGATTTGACGTTTCATCGGTCTAACAAAGAAACAAGCAATCAAACAAGCAAAATTTTCAGGACCTCCGGTCTCCGGAGTCCGACCCATGTACATAAGAACTTTACGATTTGTTTATAATCGAGTTGCATCAGGTGGACGATAGTTTTAATTAAAAATTCAATCTAACATATAAAAAAAATGCAACTATTTTATACCATAAAAGTATAATATAACTAAATAAAATTTCAAACAAATAAATTGAGGTGAAAATATCATGTTATTTGGCTTTTAAAGAAATACAATTTGCTTCGATATATTTCTAGTTTTTTTTCCACCAACATTTGTCAAAAGTACAAAGAAGCTAAAAATGTTATAATCGAACACATTCATAGTATGTTATAAAATTGAAATAAGAATATTACATGAAGCATACCTTATATTAAATCAAGTCTAAAATTTAAGTCCAACAATGCATTAGGTTAGGAAGACCACAAGAGAAAAATATGATAAAGCATCTTAATTTTCTCACAAACATACTTATATGCGACACAAATATGTTTCGATACGAACTTATGACAATAGTTGGAACACGGGTTGGATCGAGTTCTAGGAATTGCATAACCCAAAATCCGCACCCAAAAGAAGCGGATTGTACAAAATAAAATTTTCACCCAAATTTAAATCTTAATATTAATGATTAATACGGGTATAGGTTGAGTCGGATTAGGCAGATGTGTCCATTTGCGTGTCTTTTCGTTCATCCGTATACGAAGGAGATTCTCTCTATAGGAAGAACTAGCCATATACGGACGTTATAATGAAATGAGGGCATCATCATTTTTTTTAATATAAAAAGATGGGTTAGGTGTTATTAGCTTAGTTTGGCCCTGCTGTAGCTTTTGCAGAAGCAGTTTCTGGCTGGAGCTTTTAGATAAATACTTTTCAGAAAAAGCAGTTGAGTGTTTGGTTGTAAAACTATTATAAGTGCTTCTTAATGTGAGAGATTATGTAAAATGACTATAAAGGACTTATAATATAAAATAAAAATAAAATTTTTAAACAATAAAAAGTAGTCAAAATGGATCTTGTTATATTTCTTTTATATTAAATAATATGATTTTATAATTTATTTTATTTTTAAAATGATATAAATGAAGGAAAATTAAATTTTCTGAAATAGAATTAAAATATGGTAAGGATAATCTTGTATTTTTAAAACAGCTTTTCGCAGAAGCTCCAAATCGGAGCTTCTGCTTTTATGTTATACAAAAGCGCTTTTCGGCTTTTCAAAAGTCGAGCTTTTACAGGTGTTTGCCCTGCTTCAGCTTTTGAACCCGAAAAGCACTTCTAAAAGCCGGGCCAAACATAGGGATTATTTGTTAAGTGTTATTTATGTAAACTTTAGGGATATTCTCAATAGATCACATATATGACATCATTTTTTCTTTTATTTCTTTAACCATAAAATTTTGTTTCTTTCAAAAAGCCACATATGTTTTTTTTTTTCGTTTCTTTTAATTACATGAGAACCTTTTAATGGTCTATTTTTATTTTTATTTTTGTTATCCTGAAATCGAGATCTCTGTTCGTATTTGACTCATATTCCGATTAAGCATTTTTCATATTCTTATTTATTGACATTTTTGTGAATTTCTGGACTATTCAACTAGACGCCGACCGATCATGCGTATTCGACTCACATCTATATCGACGATAAATTTTACATCTTTGTGAATTATCCGACTATTTAACTGGAAATCGACTGATCACGTGTATTTCGATGGTACATTATGTTGTGCCGGCTGGGGCGGACCTACCTTTGAGAGAGGTGTGCCACCCTACACACCTTCGCCCCAAATTTTTGTGAGGAACCCACATTTTTTCGGTATAAATTTTTTGTAAATGGTACGTCCGACACACCTTTGATAATTGTAACCGATACACCTTATTGCATTACAAGCTAGTTGCTACCAAGTCATCCTTGTCTACTTGCTAGTTGCTACCAAGCAATCTCATCAACTTGAAATATACCCCCTGCTACCAAACCAACCCTGCCAGCTTGGTCTCCATAGTTAGTTTGTAGAATCTCATCAAGTTGGTACCATGCCACCCTATTAGGAAGCCGCCAAGCCAGTCTCCATATGACCATCGGATCTACACACCAGTTTGATCTCTATACTTAGATTTTGGCAGGTTTGGTAACTTGATACCAAGCCTGTCTTGCCAGCTTAGTACCCTCTTGCTTGGCTACCAAGCCCGTTTTGCCAACCTGGTATCTAGACTTAATTTTTGTAAGAATCTTTGGTTGATACTCGGCTTGATACTCTGTTGCCTTGCCACCAAGCTAGTCTTTCGGACTTGGTATCCATACTTAGCCATATTTCATATGTCGCTACCAAACATGTCTTGTTGGCTTGGTACCCGTTCGCCTTGCTACCAAACCATAAGGACTCCAAACTTAGCAAACTTTCATATCTTGGTATCATGTCTGCCTTGCCTGTTTACTAACGGCTTGGTACCCTTTTGGCTCAATACTTATCCAAATTTCAGGTCTTGACAGGCTTGGTACCTCATTTGCTCTATAATTAGCCAAATTTCATATCTTGGTACAAAGCCTGTCTTGACCGGCTTGATACCGTCTTGGCTAGCTACCAAGTCTGTCTTGTTTCTACTTCATACCAAGAGGGAGGAGACCACTGATCATGGAGGTCAGGGAGACTCGTCGGCCACCTATGTATTTGGAGTCATACTTCATACCAAGAGGGCATTATCTGGATTGTTAGTTATTTACATTAACTCAAAACGAGTTATTTCAAATAAGTAAAGTCTCAGTGCCTCACAATTAAATTATCTAAATTCGAGCTAAAATATCACATAAATAATTTAATATTTATTTAATTTTATTTCATAAATACCACACTGACAATTAATCCATCCAAACAACTCCACAACATACAAACCAGAATAGCTAGAACAATCACTACACATAAGCTACATCAGCAAAAGTTAGAACCATCTTGTCACATTGAAACATGGTCATCTCTCGTTCTTCCAGACACACTAATGCTTCAACCCCATCCCCGTCCCTCGTATCCAACAACACAATCGTATCCTTCAGCTCTTGAGCAGCAGTCGTCACCCGCACTGGTTTCCCCCAGCCGAAATCCGCTTTGTATATTGGGAAGTTGCACCAGCTGGAGCTAATGTACACCCTTGGCTGCGCAACATCAGGTTCTTCACTACTGCCTGCATCCCTGAACACCTTCGTGCTCTCTACAATGAAAGAACGAAAATCTTTCCCACTGGAATACTCTTCACTGCAGGTCTCGAAATACTCGGTTTTCACCCTCCTGATTGTGCTGACAAACGAAATCAGATCCATCTCGACCCCTGCTCCAATCGACATCGCAAAGATCGAAGACAGATTGCCGATGGAGCTGGTTGTCGAGGACGGAGAGGTCAACCTGGAACGCAAGTTTGCAGCTTGCGTCAGAAAGGCTGACCCCAACCGGGACCTACTGCCCACATACGATGAAGATGATAGGCAGCAGGTCCTTGCTGCTGAGATGGCACTGGAACAGACCAGTGCCAAAACCACTTCAACCCTAGTAGGGTTCTCGATTTTGTGCCTCCTCATCATGGCTTTGAGCTTTCCAATGCTGGGACCGCCAAAGACGAACCGCTTGCACACAGTCCTGACGTTCGGAGGGTCGAACGTCTTTGTTACTTGTTTGCTCACAGGTGGGAACAGAGCAGCCAGATCGAATCGAACAGATTGTTCGATTCGATGTCTGGGGCCACCGGCAGACGTGGCTGCCCAGTGGTTGACGAAGGAACATAAACTGGACATATCGAGGACCTTGTGCGACGCACAAACGGCCAGTCCCATACCTCCACATTCAAAGCTAGTGATCTGAACGACCAAGAGAGTGCTCAAGGTCGTGCTCCTGAATGCGAGATCGTCAGGGAACAGGAGGCGAAGACGAGCCTCTTCGCCGACAATCGAATCAAGCGGTGTGTTCATCATCCGTGCTTGCAGGAAGAGAGCCCCTTCGTCGTTACATCGAACCGTCAATGGATCGTGATGGCCATCTCCAGCCGTCGTCGTCGTTGTCATCGTGCCGGCTAGCGGGTAGTACGTGGACAGTGCTTTGGAGAGGGACAGTTTGAGCAGACGAGTTCTGCTCTCAACAAGATCATCGTCGTAAGGAGCAGTACCGTCGTTTGGGTAGAGGTAGAGAAGAGGGACGTAGAATGGTGGTGCCATCTGGTCGAAGAAGGAAAGGCTGTGGTTTCTGAGGTGGTCTGGGGTTCGGGTAGACGGTCGGACCATCTCTCTGGAGAACACCTCTGGATTTCCTGGAACCGACACCATTTGGTTTCCTAGAGGACGAATATGGATCGATAATGGAGCATGCATTCTCTTAATAGATGGTGGCAATATAATGCGGCCGGGAAAATCAATTATGCTCTGCCAGCTGGCCGGCCGGCCGGTGGCGGCGACCTCATTGATTCCATCGAGGATCACCGTCGCCAAAAGTCGCTTTCCTCGGGCCAATCAACTAGTGATGATGACTACAAAGTTTGAACAATTGTTTATCCTTTTGGATCACGTTTTCTTGCGTCCCTGAGCCCTGAGGGATCCTCGATTTCGTAGCCTGCATGGCCGTATGAGTTCGCATGCATAAGGACAAGAGCCAGGACTCTCTGCCAGCTGTCACAAGAAATAATTAAAGTTGTTGAGACGGAGAGATTCGCCTGAGGCAAGTTAGGGTGGATATTTGGGTTCGAGCCGGGTCAGGTTGAGGTCCGGTTCGGCCTCATGGACAATCGTTAAAACAATTTCCGTGACATGAAACTAATCGAATGACCATTTCGTAGCGTGACCCCAATCGTAACTGAACTAGTTATGTTACTGATTCGATATTTTGTATCTTAGCATTATTAGCACACAATGAAACGACGGTTTATTCGCCGTGCAGGGAGGGATGGCGTTGATGGTAAAGCATCTAGGCGGGTTAATACCTCACGCTAACCACCGTGAGCTCTGAGCTCCATCAAAACACGATTTCGGGTTTGGCGAGGTATGTGGTTGCGACTTTCAATTTCGAACTCGAAACCGAATAATGATCAACCATCAGTACCCTTGTCCGAGATCTAGAGAGTGTAGATGGCTTGGAGATTCGCTCTGGAGGAAGAACTAGCCGTACATGGACGTTACAAGGAAATGAGAATGAATCTACTCAAAATACGAACGAGAAAATCAACCCAACCAATCCACCAACCAGCAGAGCCGAAGAAAAAGAAGGAACAGAATCTACAAAATAGTTTACAATAATTTTTATCAACAATACAGATATCAGGACAACAGAAATGCCTTTAAAAAAGAGGAGAAAATTGTAACTTCCCAATTGCTATTTTTGCTGTGTAGTAATACAATCTTCTAACTTTTGGGGTTGTGCATGCTTATGCGTTTAGAGAGTACGGATCAAAGCCAGACTGTATAACCACAGCTCAATGCTTGGAGAACATGCCTTGAGTTAAAGACGAGAAATCGTACTCTTTACCAGTCTGCGACGAATTGCTCGATGCTACTACTGGAGTTGCCGATTGTGGTTTGCTCGCCCCAGCCGTTGTGCTCGCCCCATTGACAGCTGGGGTTGCTTGTACCATGCTATAAAAGCTGCAAGCCACAGTTACGCCAGCAGAGAAACATAAGGTGTGATAAAAAGAAGAAAACTCAGAACCCCAGGCCCCAGCCCAACTAGGTGAAAATCCTAGAAAGAAACAAATAAGAGGTCATCTGGTTCAACTACAACTACCGTCAGACTACAATTGAAGAGACTGCTCTGCAAAATAGCTGAAGAAAAAGCAAGATATGAAGGTGGCAACATGCTGGTGCTGCGGATACTAGGAAGCCGATGTTATTCAAACAGAACAAGCCCATCCAAGAATTACCGGTTGTAGGAAATGATACAGGACTTTGGAAACCACAGAAAAATCGAAGGTACCTACCTAGATCCTGGATATGGTGATGAGACTCCCATCGGCTGTGTTGTTGCTGCCAAGTTACCACTCTGACAGAAGAGACGGAAAATAATGAAAGAAACAACTCTGCATCAGAATTTCAACTAATACCACTTGGAAATTCGATGTTGTTCCTTTCTCAATAAATGAACCTCCTTGTATATTTATCCCTATCAAAAGATAGTACCTGCATAAGTTTCTGTACGTCGCCTTGCGCAGCCACAGGCCCCATTAAACCAGGAATCTGGTACCCAATGTTGGGCCAAGTTTGAGCTGGTGAATTAAAACCATTGGCTCCCGGTTGTTGACTGTTGGTTGAACCAGAACCACCAGCTGATTTTGCTGCAGCCGCCATGAGAAGGGATTGTTGGTGCGCTAGCATAGCAATTTGTTGCTGAATGTTGGTCGAACCAGAACTACCACCTGATTTTGCTGCAGCTGCCATGAGAAGGGATTGTTGCTGCGCTAGCATGGCTATTTGTTGCTGATGCATAGCAAAAGGAGAGGCCATATTGGACTGCAACATATTCATGAGCACAATTATCAGTTGTTTTGAAGACTTGGAGCTTAGAAGCACCAATTGAGTACTGTATTCATTTAACATTCAGGTCGAATATAAACATAAATAACATAGCAGATTTAGACAAATGTTCTGAACTATACAAGTAATAATGAAGACCTACCTTCTCAAAAAGGCTCATAATGTCAGTCTTAACATCTTTCTGGGGTTTCTGAGAGTGTGAAGATGTTGATAGAGAAGGTTCATCTTTAAATAAATCCTCAATAACAGGGGTGGAATGAGTGTTATTCGACTCCGCGGTCTTTTGTAGATCAGCCTTATCAGTTGCTGATACTTCTCCAGTAGCAGTGGCCGCAACAGCATCAGCAGCTACCACAAAGAAACAAGATTAAAAACATTGCAAGCACACAAGGAAAGAAGAGCTGAAAGCCCGAAACAATACACTAACTAGAACTGTACAGAGGCATAAATGATGCTAGTGAATTCAAATTAATAAAGGCAAGAAGACATACATTGAAAACCTGCCCATCCATTATCATCACTGGAAGGTGCCTCAGAGCCGTTCTCATTCGGGCCTTCTAGTGACAGCATGTTGAAAAGATCAGTAGCATAATCCACCTTAGGCTGAGTGACAGTTGGTGTAGGATCAGCTGCCTTCTTTGCGGACTCAGCTGGCTCTGTCACAGGTTCAACTTTATGGACAAGCTTAGGAGGGGTAACCTGTTCAAGCAGTAACAATTTAATGCTAAAATGATGGACTCATGAGGCACAACTACTATAACTGCTATTTCAAATTGCAAGCCTCGTGTCCTCTTCATTATGAAAAGTTACTGTATTTGAGTCGCCATGCCAAATATTAGAAGCTTCTTCAACTTTTGTAATAGAAGATATTTCATGACTGCTATTCAGCAGATAGTCGAGCCAAAGACTCATTCTAAAACAACCTTTTCAAAAGAACACCAGAACTTGCCCCTCTACTTTAACAATAATCAATTCATAAGTCTTCCAGTGACTACATCCTATAAATGAAGTCTGATTCACTATGGGATCATCATTTTAACTTTAAGCAGCTGAAACATCCAACTGACTTTTTAACACCAGGTACACTAGAAATTCAAGCCTTATCACCATGTCCAAATTTCCCATTTTAACTTTCTTACAGTTTTACTCTTGACTTAAACAGTTATCAATTAGCTAACAATAGGAGTAAGTCTTTCAACCTTCCTGGAATATACACTAGAATTACAAACACAGGAAAGCGAGATACCTGTTCAGGTCCTTTGGGAGGTACAGGAATACTTATTCGTGCAGCAGGAACTCGGTCTTTTGAAGTTTGTGCAGGTGAATTCCTCCGTCCCTCAAATAGATTTTCAGAGCTGCCAGTTTGAGCATGCCTACTTCTTTCCACTGGTTTTGGCTTTTGCAAATAACTTTCATCCTGCCGTCTTGGAGGAGATTGTGTTTTCCCGTCCTTAGGTACCCACCTCTTATCATCATACCTGAAGCATCAAAATCATGCTGGAGGTCAGAGACCCTTAACGGGGAGAGGAATTAGCACAGGGCACTAAGAGAAATGAGTGATATTCAATACTCAAGTCAACTTACGTACTTTGCACGAATAAAATTCTCAATTCCAACTCTGTCGTAGTTTGGAGGCAGTTCAGCTTCCCAATAGCTATTTGCCTTTTCATTTCCCATGGCTGAAGAAGATAGCATAATTAGTTATATAGGAAAGGAAAAACAAAATTTTAAATCAGACTATATTCCAAATAAATCCCAAATAACTTACACTGGATAAATGCAACCTGCTCTGGGAGCCAAGTGTCGAGGGTTGCAGATCGAACCTACAGCAAGAACAAAAACTCTCAGATTTGCTCCACAGTCCTTCCAATGTAAAACTGCACTAACCAAATAAGGCGCAATATTCTCGAAAATTCTGACTGTATTATACTACTTGGCTATTATATTGAACTCTCAAAATTGTATACCATGCCACAGACATTTCACATAATTCAATCACAGGAAGCTATAGATACACATTGGCCTGCAGGTTTATTCCTTTTGTGAATCTAGAACATTAATATGAGAAGGTGAAGGCAAATTTTAATAACACGGTAATATCATTAAAGGTTAACAATCAAATTCCAGTAATACATGGAGGACGCATCAATTCAATTGTAGGTTTTTTATGGCCAGAACAGGATTTGCAAAACAAGCCATCAAACAGAAATGCAATTACTAACACTTGTAGTATGCACAAATAGAGTTTGAGCGAAATAAGGAGATTAAACCAACAGCACATTCTTGCAGTTCTAATCAATCTTACTTATATCATTGTTTAGTATAACTTTAAATCCCATCAGCAAAGATTCATAAAGTTCACACTTGTTTAATCCCTCAAGACACAGAACACTGGCAGCCTAAAGTTAAAAAGTAGTCCACTACTCATAATGCCTCAGGAAGGCCATTCATAATCAATGATGTATGAAAGATCTCAATATCACCTTTGATATGTGTACTCCAAGACTCCTGTGGATCCCAGAACACTGCATGCATATAAAGATACCCAAATTCACACTTGCCCATCTTGGACCCCTGCACCCAAACACTTTTCCTAAGAACAGACAGGAGAAATATAAAGTAGCTCTCACGAACTTCTGAGGTTTATTGACTATAATAATTATTACAGAAATCCTGGATGCATACTTTGCCTTGCAGTCTGCGCATTCCCTATTCTCGGGCAATTTCATCAGGCCTTCCAAGATCTGCATGCATAGATACAACTTTAGCTTTAATCATATAGAACATAAAATACAAGTTCTTCAGTTTCTGACCCTATCAACAATCAATATAAAAAAGGAAAACAAAACGTCTGGACACAATCACACAAGCAAATAGCAAAGACAGCAAGAATTTACACACAAAACTACAATTAACAAGTACCATACAGAATAACATGATAAAGTACTAGAAAGTGGATTGTAGTAAAGTCCACACTGCATATGCAGGACTTGATGTACACCGGGGGGTAACCACAAAAAAATCACAAGTTAAATTGACCAGATTTAGGCCGCATAGAAAAAATGCAACAGGCTACCAATAAGATATCTGCCAATCTGCACTACCAAACAGCTTTGAAGCTGTTGAATCGGGGATTATTGTATTTATCCAACCAGAAACGGGTTAACAACAAACAGGCAGGAAAGTTCCCAGACGGCGAATTTGCAATGGTCGGTCCATAGGCAATGTGGAGCAAAGCAATGGGATTGAGCAACTAATGTAACTCTAAACACATATTCCAGAAAGTATCACACATTACTTAACTTACAGAACTAAATTAGCTTCGTAAATGATAACAAGCGTCCTAGAGATTATTAGATAGAATATCAGCCAAGGTTTGGTAGCTACAGAATTATGAGCCCAGTATTACAAGCTGAATATAACATCCACCAACTTCGAGAGAATTCCTCGAGAACTAATATCCTTTGTGTAAGAACCTATCCAGTCACATTCTCATATACAACAGTTTAGCCAATAAACCAGAGGACGAATTCTTTAACATACGGTTCAAATGGAAGGAAGAATTACAGGACTCAACCGGCTAACCAATCCAGGTGAAATAAAATCGATCAAGAACAATCAACGGAAAACAGCACGAATCCAACCGCAAACTCCCAGATCAAATAAAAAATCAATCACAAATCCGCGAGCCATGTTCTAAACCAGACATCTGAGCTCAGATCAATTAGAAACTTCGATACGGATCCACAGAGCAAGGAATAAGATCCTTTCAGCAACGGTACGAACAATGAAATGTACAGGAAATGTAACGAGATAAGGGATGAAGAACCTTTTTGTGCCTGGCATTGAGCTCTTTAGAAACATTCGCCTTCCCGTTCATGGCGGCAGATAAACAAACAGACGAATCGAACAAACACAATCGGCAAATCGATCGGGAGATTAGAGAGGATAGCAAGCCGGAGAGGCCAATTCGGTCGTTTCTTTCACGGGTCCAACTTCCGCTCCGCGCCGCCTTCACCAGGAGCTGGTCTGACTCTATCGTCGGAATTCCCCTCTCCTTCGACTCTCTTCCGATTAGCTGTACTTGCCGGTTAACCGGCGAAGTCCTTTCGAAGAGAGAAACGGAAAGAGAGAAGATAGATCGCAAACAACAGAGCGCCTTCCTCCTCCGTTCCTCCCCGGTCTCCTCTTCTTGACCTGTTTTTCTTTTTTCCCTTTTTCTCTGGTTTTTTTTAAATGATAATAAAATAATAATTATTAATATTCGTTTCTTTCAATTTTCTGATTTAATTTTTTCGGTTGGCCTTTATATACGTAGCGAACTAGCGATCAATTGGTCATTCTCTTTCGTCCTTACGTTTAAGCCCTCAGGTTTCGCACGTGCCTTCTATTTCGTACGTGCAGAAGGCGGGAGAGACCGCCATTAATCCTTGAAAATAAGACTGCGCGGAAGGTCGGAACTCGGAAGTACGATCTAGGTCTCCGGTCTGCCTATAGTAGCGCCGGCAACCTGACTGCTCCGGCGAGCTCGAAGCTGTCACTCTTCTGGATTCTGAATCTGCTCTTTCCTCTTATCTCCGATTGTAAGTTTCTTTCTCCCCTCTCTCTCTCCTCACGATTCTAAAGCTTTGATTAGCCGCGTAGAAATTACCGCGGGAAACAGAAGCCAACTCGCTTAACGATGAATTCATCATCTTCTACCTAGGGTTTTCGTTCCCCTTCAGTTAACGCAGTGATTCTCGCTTCGTAATTCTCGAACGCAGCAGTGCTGTGTGCCGCAGTTATGGATGGCGTATTCCCCTCTGCCGCCGCCGATGCCGCTCCGCTGTCTGCTCAGACGCCGGCGAGATGGCAGACGATGGGGAATGAGGAGAAGAAGGCGGTGGTTCACGAAGAGGTGAGGAGGATGAATAAACTTCCTGCTAACAGCAGTTACGCCACCCATCGTTTGCGAGTGCTCAACAAGATTTTGCAGCTTCTATCTGCACAGGTACGGTTTTCAGAACGTTGCAGTAACCATCTTCCTTTTTGGGGAAACATGTGCTTGCTTCTCTTGAACAGGGCATCTCTTATTGGGGATATATATGTATAACAATTGATTATCTTGCTTCTTTCTTCCCATGGTTTCAGAGGACTATCTCACAGGATGAGGAACTGGAATTGCTCTTTGCTGGCCTGCGTCTGTAAAATCTAGACTCCTTTCTTCATGATTGGAAATGGGGTAAGTTTTGTTCCGAACTTGTGTGTTCCAGCAGTTCTTTAATCATGGTGTGATGTAGTTTATGTGAATTATGAGAACTCAGAACGAGGGTCAGCTTCTAAGTTTTCCAAGTGAAGTTGTGTCTTTTCCTATCTTGCTGAACTAGGAATTGGGTAGCTAGTTAATGAGCGAATAATTGCAGAAAGCTCGGTGATCACATTCGACGTGAATATAGTCATCTCGATATAGTCGAGCAAACCAGTATACATGTGGAGCTATGAATGTCCTAGTTGATAGTTGTTCAGTTCCATCCCATCCCTCTATTCCAGTCTATGCTATTGATGCTGAGATTTTTCTATGTTCTTTATGTGTGTATGTATTACTGAACCGAGCTTCAAGTTTTCTACTGTTCTTGAATCTTGGATGGCTCCAACATTGGCTGTCTGTGATCCATTATTAACCATCTTGAGTTCATCTGCAATGACAGGTTACATGATGCTGTTAGCATGTTACAAAGTGTCTGACGCTGGGCCTTCATTCCTCCATGTTCATATGCGTTGTATGATGCTGTTACCAATTGTTTCTATGCAGCTGTGCATACGGTTCCTTTGTTCCATGCTTCTGTATAATTTGTAAGGTTGATCTAAGATATAAACTAGTGGGACATCCCCGTTGTTTTGGTCGCATCAAGAGGATAATTTGCATAAGGGATCTCATACGCTGAACTTTTCAGATTTAAGTTGAGATTATAGATAAGGGAATCAGCAAAGAGAATGAATGAGAAAAAAAATTTAAGGAACTGAAAAAAATGAATTGAGGGTAATTGCAGCCCTGCAGTTTCAACTATTGCGGGTAGATGATTACAGTGGGGATAGGTTTAAGCGAATGTTTATCTCACCAGCGTTGGCACCAGCGTTCTATCACATTGGTGTGTACTTTTAAGCATATGATGATACAATGTTCTATTATTTCTAATCTATGAACCCAATTCAATCTATAAACAAATTTTTTTTATTTTATTTTTACGTGGCGTGCTGATTGTACTCCGTTAACGAATTCTTGGGTCCCTCCACCAGAAGGCTTTTTGAAGATCAACGTCGACGCAACGGTTAGTGCCTCCAGATGCTCGATTGGGCTTGTTATTCGGGGCTCAGACGGACATGTGAGGTTGGCGATCGGATTGCAGCATCAAGGAATAGTCAACCCTTATCTGGCTGAGCTTCTTGCTTTCAGGGATGCTATCTCCTTTGTAGCCTCAAGATCCTTGTCTCACGTGATAGTCGAAGGCGACTCTGAAGTGGTTGTCAACCAAGTCTGTCAAGGCGTCTTAGAAGACTCGCCAGATTCTTAGCTCTTTTTCTGCTTGTATAGAGTTTAGGGCGGTACCTAGATTCGCCAACAGTGCTGCCCATAGAGTGGCGCGTAAAACACTGCTTTTGTCTCTTGTAGAGCTAGAATCTTTTGATTTCTTGGGGGTAGCTTCAGGGGTCCTGGGTAGAATTGTAAGCTTAACTATTATTTCTCATTGATATCACTCAGAAATAAATAAAAAATAACGAATTTTTGTTGACCATTTTGTTATTAGTCCAAATGTGTTTTTACTGAAACGTGGAAAATTAAATTTTAGTAAATGTTTTATACTAGGTGACATCATGTGACCGTTTATAATAATTACCCGTGCATCTAACCCACCCTTGGTTCTAAATGCTGAAATCCGGGTGTGTCGGATGGGCGAACCGCGGCTAAGGGTTCTGAGTGGTTCCGAAATTTATTGATTTATTTCCATTTTACCCCTTTCAATCTGCCGACTGCCGCCTGTGCCATTTTCCCGCGGGTAAGTATTAAACAATTCAACTGGAATCAAGATCGTCTTTTGTAAAAACATAATCGGCAAAGCTGCGCTCCGCCTTCGCCCTTGACACATGAATGAGGCCACTAAAGCGGCGGGAAATCTTCCCGGCCGTCGGAGTAGAATCGGAAGATTAGTAGCCAGCCTGACCAAGTACGGCCTCGACTCCGCCGCCGCCGACGCTCCGAAGGCATCCACCGGTAGGTTTCCTTTTTCAATTCGTGTCAAGATAAATGTTTTTTTTTTTTAGTTATCTTGGCAGTCAACCATAATCGCCTGCCATGTTGCTCGATTCTGTGCCCTTAGTTCTGATCTTTCTTGTATGTGGTGTGATTTTCATGACTACCAACATCCGTTCGGTTAATTATGTGAGGTTAGGGTTAGCTCTTTGTCTCCAGTGGTCTTTTGTTGGTCATTTGTACACAGTACACATACTGGTTAATGGTGGACGATGATGGGTTAGGTCAGTAGCTCTGTCTGTATGCAATTTTAGCTACTCCCCTTTGCAACCGGTTGGGGATCAAAGCAACAGTTCTTGTCTCTGCTGCTACGTGCAGCTTTTGGGGCGACTAAACCCTGCCTTATCGGCATTGACGGGTGTTTGGAAGTTGTTCTGATGATGAACGGTGTGCATAACAAGCTGGTATTAAACCCTTCACCAGAGCAAGTGGAATTGCTGCTCTTGCTGCTTCACCCTGTTGTTGCAGAAGTTATATTGTCTGGATATATGAATGTTTGTTGCAATCACCGCTCGTCCCTATCAATGGTCCTCCTATAAAGAAGAGTATTGATCTTTAGGCATAAGGTTATGGATATCCAATCGACGAGCTAATGCTGAGAAGTTTGTAGGTTGGGGTAAATGGTACCACACTCATCACATAACTCCCTTGCTTAGTGATACCGACATTCCTGTTTAAGTTACCCCAGAAACAGGTTTCTTTCTGTTTGATGGATGCTCATAATTTTAGGCATTGCGATACCGAGCATTTTTGCTCGTCTCTTTGTCAGGTATCTGTATGCTTTTCTTGAGCATTTTTCGCCGGTCTAGCTATATACTTCATCGGTCTTAGTAAACCATGATCTCTTAGTCATACAGAATGTGATATTCTGTGATCCATCTTAGTTTCCGAATTTCGTCCAGAACTACTAATTTCTGTTCCAAAATACTGCCTTCTCTTGTTTTGTTTTAGGTCTTAGGAGAGCATATGAGATTGTGCAAGAGATATTGAGGGATGATCATTCCCCAGCCTCACCTTCCCTAAAGCAACAAACCAAGCTCAAAGGTGTCGCAGCAATGCTGGAAGAGATGCAGAGGAAAATGGAAGCAGCGGAGCAGAAGAGCGAGGAAGGGGTGGTGAGACAATCAGGCGAGACATCATCAGCAATAAGCGTAGAGTCGGGAGTTGTGAAGAAGGCACCGGATGATAAGTACCCTGTGAAAAATTCAGCTGCTGTGCACACCGGGAAGAAAATGATCTTTATCCGTTCCCGTCTCTGAGCATTGTTCTTCCTGTGCCAATGCCATAAACGTTAAGAACATCGAACCGTTATGTAATATATCCTAAGCTTGTAGAGCAATACGTACTTGTTATCAATTACAGACTGCCTGTAAGTGATGAAATGTGATCTGCTGGAGTTTATATTACATAAAGCTTGTAGAGCTATACGTAGTTGTTAGTTGTTACCAAATACAGACTTCCTGTAACTGATGAAATGTGATCTGCTGGAATTCTTCCATTTCCAACATCCTAAGTTTGTGGCATTATTCCTATGACACGCAGTCTTCCTAATCCTACCAATCAGTTTGTTATTCGAATAAGAACAGCGGTGGTAATGTTTGAAATCATGTAATGTGCATGTTTGTTCCAAAATGAAAGCTTGAACATTCATACTTTGCAGAAAGTTCATCATTTTTTTACCGTTAATATCGACGGAAAACTTGTACTCTATCAAAATGCTTCTGTGTTCTAGTTTGGTGAAATGACATTTATGGTAGGAAGTTATTATGAAATAGAAACAAGCTGAACTATATTCGTTATGATCTGAACCAAAGCCATGCCTACCAAACTAGGGTGCTAAATCGCAGCTCGTCTATGCTCCGTGGTAAAGTCTGTTAACAATAGGATTCCAAACATCTTCCAGTTTCTTCAGCATCTTCTCATGATCCACCTTGCTCGCGCCTTGATTCTCTTCGTACCAGCGAGAAGCTTCTCCCACGGCACTCTCCACCATTTCCATGCTGCCTTCATCGGCGATTCTGCAGATGGCATTCCTGATGCCATAGATGTAGCGCTCCAGCTCGTTCCTGGCATTCACGCGGGCCTTGGCCATCTTGTCTTCCTCGGCCATCTTCTTCGCTTCCTCGACCAGCCTCTCAATCTCTTGTTGCGTCAGATTTCCTTTATAGTCGGTGATGGTGATGGACTGAGATTCTGCTGTGGGGAGTTTCTCCCTGGCCGTCACCTTCAGTATTCCATCCTCGTCGATCTCAAACGTGATATCCACCTTTGGCACTCCCCTGAAAAATTTAAACAATCCATCCTTTTAGTTTGTCATAAGAACGTTTAATGGTTTAGCTGCTCGATTTCAAGAGCGATATACTAGTTGTTTCGTTCGAAGTTTAGAGCCAACAATCGTCGAAAAAGAGACTGTAAGTCTGTAAAGTACCTTAAAGCAGGAGTGATGCCTGACATAACAAATCCTCCGAGCTCGATACAGTCCTTGGTCAGGGGTCTTTCACCTTGATACACCTGAAACAAAATTGTTTATATTCCCACTTCATATTAATGGGCAAATGAACATCTGCTGCTTTATTAACTTTTAACTGTTAATTAATGAACCAACTAACCTTAATATCTGCAGTAGTTTGCCGGTCATCTTTAGTGGTGAAATCCTTTGACATTTTTGCAGGAATAGCAGTGTTTCTTGGGATAACCACAGATATCACACCTCCGACTAGATTACATCCCAAACTCAAGGGAGTTTTACATCAACTAAAGCAACACCTACAATTAATTCCAAGCATTTGTTTCTTAGTGAGTCGAGTCGAGTTTTGACCTAATTTGAGCTCAGCTTGTTAAAAAATAAGTTGAGGTTGAGCTCGACTTCTTTACTTAATCCTCGGCTTGTGTTTGAATCGATTTCAATTTGAGCTTGACTCATTAATAAGATCATCAATCAGAGCGCGAACTTGACAATTTTACCCTACAGCCTACACATAATGTCATTTCATAGTAATTAGTATCGGGCAATCTATCGTACATAATTTCACTTTTGAATTATAAATGATACATATTTGTTCACATACTCATCGCATTAAACATCACAAACAATGTGATACATAATCTAACAAAACTAAAAATTATCAAGAAGCCATCTCATAAGATATATATTGATTTTATCATAAGCCCGCAATCGAACTGGCTTGCTAGCCATACTACGAGCCAACTTAAGAACTCAAATTGAGTCCACATTTGAGTTAAACTCCTCAACAATTCACCGATTCCAACAATCTCACAAGCCTTACGAGATAAATAAGGCATAGCTCAAACTCAACGGCTGATTTACTATCGAATGAGATGTCGAACGCCAAGTTGCTCACCAATAATTAATATGCAAAGAAAAGAGCAACAAGAAATTGAAAAACTATACCAGGTACTGCATTAGCTTGGCCACTGAGGTTAGCTCCCAACACAGCAGCACCATAAGCCACAGCTTCATCAGGGTTGACCCCTTTGCACGGCCCCTTCCCGTGAAACATTTCCTTCAGCATCTCCCTCAGCTTCGGAATTCTGGTGCTTCCGCCCACCAGCACCACCTCATCAACCTCCTTCGTCCCCAACCTCGCGTCTTCCAATGTCGTCCTCACCACCTCCATCGTCCTCCTGAACAGATCCAAGTTCAATTCTTCGAATTTCGCCTTGGTCAGTGGCTCCACAAAATCAATCCCATCCACAAACGAATCGATCTCCACAATCTCCCTGCTCTGATGGCTCAGCACCCTTTTCGCCCTCTCGCATTCCCTCCGCAGCCTCCCCAGCGCCTTGCCGTTCCCGCGGATGTCCCTGCCGTACTTCCGCCTCGTCAAATCGACGAAATAATCCACCACTCTGTTGTCGAAATCCACCCCGCCCAAATGGGTGTCGCCGCCGGTCGCCAGCACCTGGAACAATCGGCCGTCCTCGATCTGCATCACGCTGACGTCGAACGTCCCCCCTCCCAAATCGTACACCAGGGCGTTCATCCTCTTCCTGTTCTTCTCGACTCTGTTTTCCAGGCCGTACGCCAGCGCCGCCGCGGTGGGCTCGTTGATGATCCGAATTACATTAAGCCCCGCGATTGTGCCGGCGTCCTTGGTCGCTTTCCTCTGGGCGTCGTTGAAGTAGGCGGGGACGGTCACCACGGCGCCGGCCACGGGTTTCCCGAGGTAAGATTCCGCCGTCTCCTTCACTTTACCGAGTATCATCGCGCTGATCTCTTCTGCCCTAAACGCCCTTTTGACCTTTTCAACGTCGCATTGGACTTCAATTTCAACGCAGGGTTTCCCGTCTCTGTTGACCACCGGGTACGGCAGGTACTTGAGGTCCCTCTGGACCTCCGGGTCGTCGAATTTCTTCCCGATGAGGCGCTTGGCGTCGAAAATTGTGCGGCGCGGGTTGCGAGCGGCTTGATTCTTGGCTCCTTCGCCGATTAGGCGCTCCGATTCGGCGGCGGTGAAGGCGACGAAGGAAGGGGTGATTCGGTTTCCCTGATCGTTGGCTATGATCTCGATCTTGCCGTCGCGGGCGACGGCGACGCAGGAGAAGGTCGTGCCTAGGTCGATTCCGATCACATCGCCGCCGCTCATCTTTGCCCTAGCCATTGTGGAACTCTGCGGAAGCAGAAATCCAGTGTGCTAGCTCACTGCTGTTCGTCTATCAGACGAAAATTGAAAAAGCTTGGTTGCCAAGTTAGGTTTGGTTTTAGGCTTATTTGCCGCCGGAAAATTCGCCCCCGAATCAACTGAGTTTTGGGCCCAACATGGCTATATAAACTCCTTCCCCTGGAGTACTCTCGTACTTTCTGGCAACTTTCACCTCTTCGTCCAGAGTTTCTGCGATCATGGCGGGATGGACGGCAGCGACGGTAGCCCGGAAAGCGGCTAATTTCAGTCGGCTTGCCACCGTTTCTAAACTGCCTTCACCGGTTCCTCAAGCCTCTTCCCTCATCCAGCGCCGTGGCATGGCCGGAGGCGGTGGTAATCGACGATTCTTTTCTTTCTTCTACTATTCGCCTTCTCTTGTTTACATCTTTGATTGTCTGAGAAAAACCTCACGAGTTACATTATTTTCCTCTGTATTTAATTCGTTTAATATCCGGGGGGTTGAAACTGTAGTCGAATATACATATTTTGGGTTATCGTTTCAAGGCCGATAGTGTATGTTGAATGTTAGCCGTCTTCGACTTTGGAATTTAAAGATCGTCTCTTTTTAGTGCTCTGCTATATGGGTTTTAGTTTGTTGATTCATTTAAGTGTTTGTGTTCGTTTCTTATGAAAAACAAAATACTGCAGATCCTCATGGACCACCAAAAGTGAACTTCTGGCAGGACCTTTTGAGCCCATCTAAGTGGAAAGATGAGCATGTGAGTTTCTTTCTTGTTTGCATTTCTAGTTGCTGAATCTACTAGATTGTGACCATAGGTTTTGTTTTGTGTTGTAATTGGCTTCTGTTCCACTCATTCGTTAGTGAAAAGACTGGTTTTGGATTTCTGCATTGTCCGTTGAATAGCAGCATATGGAATGGTGGCGAACTGGCAAGGCCATCTTGATTCCAATTGAATCATGCGGCTAATATGTTCCAACACATAATTTTCGACAGATATCCATAGTTTTTTATTTTCTGTCTGCTGAAATGCAGAAGATTCAGGATGAGTGGCAGGAGCTGTAGTATACTTTGATTTTTCTCTATGTAAACAGCTAAATTGGTTCAGAACACTTGGTACTACAGAAATTTTGGTCCTATCTGAATGTGATTAGGCTTGTTTGCTATGACCATTTGTTCTGCATACTAAGCAATGTTGCTATTGAGTTTGCAGTTTGTTATTGTCTCTATAATTGGCTGGGCGTTGGCCATCTATGGAGGCAGCAAGCTCTTCACAGGAGACAAGGGTTGGCCATCTATGGAGGCTGCAAGGTCTTCACAGGAGACAAGAAGGACAAGAACCGGGAGGTAAACTAAAATCACTACAATGATTTCCATTTTATTGTACCCTAGTTACGTAACAAGATAACTCCTTCACCGCGAAATCAAGATCAGTGTTTTTAGTTTTTACCAAAGCAACATTGAAACTGGAACCAAGTGCTAGATCACTTAACAGCTGCTGCTTTTTTTGTTTTGTGCAGAAGAAGAAGGTTGGAGAATGGAAAACCAGCACGCTAGATATCAAGCATTCCCTAAAGTTACCTGTTTTCGTTGTACACAAGATTTTTCAGGAAGGGTCTAAAGTTGTATGTGACTCAGGAGCTGCATGATAGAAATCATTGCTAGTTCTTTCACTTTCAACTATGTAATGGATATTGAAGCTTTCATAAATCTCTAATAATGAATCGTGCTTTGTTTGATGGGTATAAGATAATTACAAGCTGTATTATCAATGGATGACACTTGCATTGATTATATTGTAAACCCATGTAGAACGATGAACAGGTGTAACAGTATGAATGCTGAACATAATATACAGTCGGGATTGATCATCAAAACTTGATACACAGTAGCAGCAGCAAATACATCCCAATAGTCAAAGCAAGATTGTCCAGAATTCTTGTAGCGCCGCCATCTCTGCCTCTGCTACTGCCACCTCCGAAACCTTGGTTAAACCTCATCAGAACCACTTGGTGCTACAGACTGCATGCTCAGCAGTAGAAGCTGCCCAAAACTCTTCAGCAGTCTGCAGAATGTATTGATCTCCAATGCAAAGCTCAGACTTCGAGCCCTTGGTGGCTTTGTCAAAGAACTGATTGATTAGAAACTCAGGTTTCTGATCAAATGTGCTTCAAGACCTCACCTAGAACTATGCCCCATTGAGTCCAGTGAGTACCACCCTGTGGCACAAGAATAAAGCTTTTAATCGTTTAATGATCTTTCTTGTTCTGAATCAACCATCACCAGACGGAATGGAGTGCAGACCTGACAATATACAGCAAATGGTTCTCTTAGAGGTCCATCGCATGACAATTCACTTGTACTCCCATCAATGAAAGTCCCGTCAGCAAAAATCACCTAGGAAACAGAACTCCAACCATGTTAGAACACATAATAAAACGTGACGACACATATAAATCCTTCTATCAAACCCATCAACCCAAATGATGCTTAGTTGCAGCTTAACATGCAATTTTGCTGGCTGCAACAGCCTTTACTACCATCCAGTAAAAATGTTAGGGATGACTCGTAACTGTCCAGAAATTCCAGTACTACAGTATATATCAATCAGTATAATACTGTAGTCAATTGCAACACTCCAACGGTACTAATTCTGAACCACAATTCAACAAGAGATTTAGTACACACATAACATGAACAGACCTCAGATGCATATCCGGGCGTTGAACCAGCAACCGGTTTGGTGAATGAGCCAACCGGTGAGCTTCTTTGCACAGCCTCACAGAAAGCAAGGAGACGCTCACGGTTCCCCAGCTGCACAGCCTGAAAAACCAAGCCAGACAACTCATTTATCTCCAAAACATCTATCCATCATACTATGGGTAATGGCACTAAACTAGTTTTCAACACAACAATAACTTCAAATTGGAGAACTCACTTGAACTGTATCATGTCGACTGGCACAAGGTAGCGGCTGCACTTTAAATCCTTTTGATGCCATGACTTCAGCAATCAGAAAGGTTCCCTATTTACAGTGAGCAAAATAAACCACGTCAGTACTTGCAAACAGAAGAATGCATAGGCATAGCAACAGGCATGAGCAATTTGAGTACCTTTATTGCCTCACCAACCATTTGAGGGGAAAGGTATAAGCCCTGAAAATAAGCTCGCATAATGTCCCCTGGTGTTGAGCCACAGTCAGTTCCAAGGCCCGGAGCCGAGAGGCGAGCTGCAGCTGCTTCTACCCACATCCGCTTCCCTGCAACATATCCACCACATGGAGCTATGGTCCCACCAGGATTTTTAATCAAGCTACCTGCCATCAAATCAGCACCCTGCAGAGAAAAACAAGCTCGTAAAGAAAATATCTCTTTTTGCTTTTCAGATGAAAAATGGGTACATACCACCATTGGAGGTTCAATTCCTTCAACAAATTCACCATAGCAATTATCAACCATGACCAAGCAGTTAGGATTCTGCATCTGCAAGAATTCGCATGCAAATGCATCAACAAGATAACATTGAAGAGTGCAAAACAAAGTAAACCAGGCAATAGGGTAAAGCACCTCAGTGTCGGTAATGATAGAGATAAGGTGACGCTTAAGTAGGAAGGTTCTACCAATCAATGAAGCAAGTATACCATATAAAAAAAAAAATAAGCTTGTTGCTCAAATTACTTGCAACCATCCCAACAAGTCATCGTTTGAGACAAAGAAACCATCAGAACTAAGCATAATGACATGCACAAACTGTAAAATCTATTAAAAAAAGGTTCAGAATCGGAACCTTACTCCAATACATAAAACAGCAATCTGAAAGTAATAGTTGGCGACTTCATACTTGCTTAGAACCTTCAAACACATCAAACAAAATCTGATAGTAAGGATACAAGCTTCAAAGTTCCTACCTTGATCATCTTAATGGCCCTCCCTATATCATTCACACTTAAACTTTGTCGCCATGAATAGCCACAAGATCTCTGTATTAGAGCACATTTTGTTTGAGGTTTCACAGCACTCTCAAGTGCATCCCAGTCAAGGCCACCATCTTCAGCAAGCTTGGAAACAGTAGCAAGAGATTAAGTTTGTGTTTGTTTGAATTCAATACTTTTGTTCCACGGAAAGTTGAAACATACAGGAAGCTCTCTGTATGTCACTCCAAAATCCTTCAATGACCCCAAGCCATGAGAATCCCTCTTTCCAATGACTTCCTCTAGTGTGTCATAAGGTGCTCCAGCAACTGCCAAAAGCTGAAAATAACAAAATTCAACCAGGTTGCTGTTCAATTAAGCACACAGCATAATGAAGTTACAGAAACAAGCTTTTCTACAGAGAGCAGGGTGCTGAAAATTTCAACTTCAGAGCTAACCTCATCACCTGGCCTCAGAAATGCAAACAAAGCACAAGTGATGGCATGGGTCCCTGAGAAAAACTAGTGATGAAAGAAAGAGGATTAATAAAAAAATATTTAAAATGAAATAAAGTAATGAAAAACAGTAGAAAGATACATTTGGCAGAATACTGAAAAGAGAAGGAAAGACAAGATAACCTGGGACCGAACTATTGCAGATTCAGCTCCCACAATCTCAGCAAAAGCTTGATCCAGTGCTTCTCGTCCTCCAGCCTCATCATGGCCATAGCCAGTTGATCCTCCAAAATGCTGATTATAAGCATTACTATTAGCAGCTGCATAGTTATCCAGAACAGAAGAAGATTTTCCTTTTGCCATTGGTTTCTGGAACTTGCTGTGAAACATAGCTGAGGTGAAAATAGTTACTTAATCTTCACCTAGCAACATATATCTTTGTTCATTTCTTTCCACTTCATTTTCTTTTCTTTTCTATTCCATAAATTTCTTTTTCCGTAATCAAAGGACCGGATTGACAACTTTGGCACTTGACAGCTACAGAGTTAAAACATATGATCCCATTTACCAAATAATAGTCATCCCAGAGGTAAGAATGTATTCACCAAAATTAGGGAAATCATATGTTATACTTTTGTCAACAAGACAGAGAAGTTTCTGAAGTTCAGAAGACGATCTGGAAAATACATAGTACACCACTCCAGACAGTCTCGAGAAGACAACAAAGTGCACTAAAAACAAATTAAACTCGCACTCAATTCAAGTTACTTACATAAGATCCGACTCGAGCATTCTGAAAAGCTTTGAGAACACGAAAGGAGTTACGTGCCACCAAGTTATCCACAGCTCTGAACTCAGACTGCAGTGCATCAACTGCGTGAACAACCTGCTTCCCAACACGCAATGCCAGTAAACGATTTAGCTACCATGCATCACAATTAAGCACTTAGTAGACAATGGAAGTATAGTTTCCCCCGTCTTATTGGTGCAGAGACAAAATCCATATATGCCCTTGAGCAAAGCACATCTCAGAAACTTAAAATAACCAACCTTCCTTAAAAAGGAAATTCGTCTCTTTAGTTCCTCCATTTCTACCGGAAACAACGAGCTACCCACCACAAAACCATCCTCAAATTTAGTGAAACTAAAATTCACACGGACAAAACCACAAACACCATGTACGCACAAACATCCCTGGCCAGCTGGTCTACACTAGAGCTTCCAGGACGAGACAGATATCTCTCAAAGCAACAATCTTTTGCTTCGGAGCTACTAAATTCACAACTGGGTCCAGACCATTAAGAACAAAAATACGTGTTCCAAGTCTATTACATCCTGCATTTGACAGTGTTAACGGCCGGCGAGGAGGCTAGATAACGACGGGGAGGTTCCATTTGTGAGGTTACCTCTTGAACGAAAGGACTGTCACTGTGGAGAGCTGAAAGTTGAGTGCTGGAAGTGACTTTCAGGGTGGCCAAGGAAGCTGTTGCAGAGAGAGCAGGATAAGACGAAAGTGGGCAAGGAGAGAATGCCCTCATCTTTCACTCTTCCAAAATTCCAGCAAAACCTGGGGTTGCTGACCTGCTGTAACCCCGCGAGAGAAGTCACATACTACAGCAAATGTTGAATCAATTTTTATCCTGGCCGGTGCCTCGTTGGCAGCGAATTCTGTATATATTATCCACTATAATCGAGGCTATCCTCATTTAAAATTGTTTTTTATGTTGTAAATATTCTTCACATAACGTTGTGGATATTTCTAATGTATGTTGTGAGCAGGCTTACAAAATTCTCAATAAAAATAACTCAAGTTATATGTTCAATGAATATTGAGATTGATCTTATGAGATAAAAATTACTTTTATACAAAAATTTCTTTAAAAAGTACATTTTGTTTCCAAAAAAATCATAAAAATAAAGAAAGTATTTCACTTGCAGGCGAATCAGCGTGCCCATTTGAATGTCTTTGTCCACAGTACTATGGCAAGACGCGTTGTACAAATGTTCTGGTCGTTATTTCAACAAATTTTATTTTACCGTATAGTAAATTTCATTTTCACTTACCTAGTATTACCATGATTTTTTTACCTTTTCAAGTATGAAATATATCGACTCTTTAAATTGCCTTTTACGGTAACTTCAGAGAGTGAATATATACAGTGGGTCAAATTTTTCATAATCAAATGAAAATGATATGTTGGAAACAAAATTAATGTTCCGCTAAAATAATATTTGCTTTTAAAATCCAGCAGTAAATTTCAGACACCTGGACAACATGCAAGGAAATGGAGCAAATTAAGGAAACTGAATCTAGACCATTTGAAAACTAAAACAAAATATTTAAAGATGGATTTCACGATAAAATAATTTCAGTCTTTCTCATTTCTTTTCATCGTCAGGAAGTCACACTGCAGAGAGTTCAGTCGGAGATTTATGATCGTACAAAACAATACAGAAAGAGGTTCCTTGCTTTCAACTTCTTGGTATGCGATGGGTCGAGGTAAGTCTTCTCTTTTTAGCGAATTGAGTTTCAAGCAAAATCTATCAAATATACTCTGTTATTGCTTCACAGTTTGATGAATTCCCAATAATACATATTCTTAGTACATCGGGTTTTATTGTTGTGGCAATCGTTTGATTTGCGGTCTCTTTCAAACTCAATTAGTTTTGCTCAAAGAGTGATGAATATTCTTCATGAAATTAAAAAGAGCAGGACACACAAACGACCACGACTCGTAAGCGATAAACTCGAGGATGAGTTTCGTGTGTACAACATATATGGAAAAAGAATAAGGGAAAGAACGACCCTGAAAGAAAAACACTACATAGAGTCAAAAAGTGAACATCATCTTCAGGGTACATGATCATCGTGGAGATAAAAAAAGTTTTGTTATATGGATTCGTTCAGGTTATTTTATGCTAAGATAATTTTTGACTGTTTTTTAGTTTTAAAAAGACTTGTAAGAGAATATATTTTCTTAAAATTTTAAAAAGAATTGTAGCAAAAATATCGTATTTCGGTACATATTGTCTCATATACTCCAAATCTCACCATAGGTATGTTGTGAAAATTCATATATTTGAAAAGCTCATTAAGCTATAGCGTATGCTATGATTTATGCATTTAGAATAAAGAAGATTTTGGAATAGATAGCCAAACCTACCCTACAATTGACTTACTCTGTTAAATTGATGAATTACCCGAATTTAACCTGAATCAAAATAAATCCGACTCATACAATTGAAAAACCTAGTTTTGTCGGGTTTCAAATCAAACCAACAACTTAACTAGTCCAATCCCCCCCCCCCCCCCTTTTTTTGCAAATCGCTCATTTTTACATCACGATAAAATCATGTAAATGGAAGAAAATATTGATGAAAATTGGTTCTTGTGTTTAGGGTTTAATTTTCATTTTCTAAATAAATAAAACTTTCATCACATATATTCTAAAGAGAACAGTTAAATACATAGCGGAAGTCTTTTAAAAAAACCCATCATAATGTAGATAAAAAAGAGAATAGAACGATGGTCAGCCTTAATCGAACTATCGATGATAAAAAAAAAAGTTGTGCTACCATATGAACAATACGAGAGATAGCAGGTTGGGTGCTGTTCTGGAAGAGATTGGTCATTACTTTCGTACTCAATCTGGTTTTAGTGTGCGCTTTGTGGGTCGGGAGAACAATAGGGTAGCTCATTTGATAGCTAGGAAAGCCCTTTCTTTGTTTCCGACTATGAGTCGCTTTTTTTATTTCCAGTCCTGGCTGGTTTCCAGGGTGTAACTATCTATTTTATGATCAATACATGATATCTTTTGAAAAAAAAATCTAAAATTAGCCACTTAAGTTGATGAACATTAAGTAAGTATTGGTGGAGATGAACCCAAATAAAATGGTGTAATTTGATTCTCATAATCTTTTTTGCTTAGTGATACTAATTGGAACACCAATACGGGTAGAAAAACTCTCTGTTTTTTTCCAAGTGATCGAACTGGAATTGGATTTTCTTGTAGTTTCGGCCAACAAAATCGTATTTCATATGTGACCTTTGTTCTACCATAGCAAATCCAATGAATCACATCAACAGTCTCTGAATATGTTTCGAAATGGTTTAATGTCTCTACATAAACATCATAACTAAACCTCCAAATTCATTGGATCAATGGGTTGTATACACTAATCACTTTACCCTTTTTTCCCAATGCACGTAATCAAACCATCGTTGATTGATTAATTTCAGATGGGGATGAAGCCACTTCAAAGATGACCGCAGCACTTCTGGAAGAAGGAGGAATGCATGAAGTCCCAGTCGACTACTCCGAAGCCCTCTTCCTCGAGCCACAGCTCCGAGCCATGGACGGCTTCCGCCGCCCCGCCGCCGACCACATCCAAGTCAACTGCGGCTGCACCAGCAAGCGATTCGGCGACTGCGTCGGCATCCTCAAAGTCTACTCCTCCGGCCAGTTCCTCATCACTTGCCACTGCAATGCCTGCGACAGCTCCAGTACGTTTTTGCAGCAGCAATTCGTAGTAGTAAATCTGTGTATTCTTTACTTTCTTCTCGCACTGTCGCGCGATTTTCCCCCCAATTCCGTTACAACCGCGTATTAATCGTATTCTCTGTGAGCTTCGATTCGATGGCAGAGCAATTCACGCCGTACGAGTTCGAGAAGCACGCCAGGGGGCAGCAGGGGAACGGCAAGTGGAAGAGCCACATTTGGGTGGCGGTGGACGGGAAAAAGGTGGCAATGTGGAGGACCGAGCTGTACAAGTACTACAAGCACGCTGCGAACGGCGCGAGCGGGTGCGTGAGGCGGCAGTTCCATCGCGACGAGTTCATCCCCTGCTCCAGCTGCTGCAAGCAGCGCAGGTTCCGGCTTCGGACCAAGCAGCTCTGCAGGATCCACCATGATGCCTTGCTCGCCAAGTCTACTTGGAAATGTGCTGATAGGCCGTATGACAGGTACAATTTGGCATATAATCTTAGATCGATTTACATCTCCAATAAATCGAAATAATCGCGAATTAAATCGATTTTTTTGCAGGATAACGTGCGGGGATCCGGATGAGAGGGGGAGCAGAAAGAAGTACAGAGGGTGTCCGAGGGCTTCATACTGCAGAGGCTGCACAATTTGTTCCTGCGTCGGCTGCCTCATCTGCAGATTCGTCGACTGTGGATGTCGAAACTGCACCGATTTCATGCAGAATGCCAACCCATAGGCCATAGCCACCCATCCGGCCGTGCTCACAGTGATCTGCTGCTGCTTGCTTATTTATTACCTGTGTCCTTAATTATCTTGAAGAACTAGCTAGTCATGTTGGACAAATACAGCCAACCAATTGACAGAAGAACGGTACTATTTATGGGTTTTTGTTGTTGTTGTTGTTGTTGTCAAGATCTTTGAGAAGACCAAGAGTAGATTTTAAATACTTTCATCTTTCTATACTTCCAATGGTTGATTTGGAGACAATGGAATATGGTTGTCATGCCGGTGGCATGCCACCTGGTGTAACCTGTGCTGGTCATGAAATCGGTATGACACCACCGGTATGATCGACCTAATCATTCTAAGTAAAATGACATCATTTTAATGAATTTAATGAATAAAAAAATTAATTTATTATTTATTTTATGAATGTAATAGTTAAAAGTTGATATTTGTTGGATTGTAACTAAATTGTCCACAAATATGTTTTATATATGATTAGATACATTGGATATTAATTGTTTTCACATTTTTTAAAACCGACATGAACCGGCACAAACTGGTTATACCACCGGTCGTACCATTTCACTTGCCAAACCTGCACAACGGTATAAACCGGTTTGACAACCTTGCAATGGAAGATACTCTAGCTAGTTTCTTTTATAATGGTCTATTGGCGGGAAACTATATTGGAAAAGAAAGCAGAGGTTATATTGGAGATAGGGGGATTTAATACATAGTTCCTCGTAAAATTGTGCATTCTACATATAAAATTGTGCTGGAGAAAGCTGAAGGCTAGGGTTTCTGCTGGGACTCGGTTTCGAATTTGTGGAAAACGAGTTCACTCGGTCCGCGCGGAATTTTGATTCGCGAGGGAACTTAAACTTTGAAGGGGCAACGAGCAATGGGCTCGAGAAGAAGCCCAACTTCTGTAGGCCCAAACTGATTGGGCTTTGCATCTTGTCAAATTAATTTTTTCTACCCAAAAAAAACCCAAGTAATTTATAACTTAGGGTTGAGCAACGATCAAGTCTACACCGGGAATTGTACCAAATAGACATTTGAAATGAATATATTTTAATTTTGTTTCCCATCCTATGAAAAGTGAACCAAAATTGAATTTGGACCGAATCGAGTCGAACTAAATGCACCAAATATGATTTTGGTCTGAGTTTGATCCTCAATTTTTATTTCATTTTGGTCTGCCTTTATCTAGATGCGATTGATACTTGACTGAATCGATCAATGTCCACCTTTACTTCTAAGCCGTTGGAAAATTATGTACACAAATTTCAAACAAGAGAATTATATTCGAATTTACTCAACTCATTCACTTTGAAATTAAACAAACTTTTTTCTTGACCTCACAAAGCCATGGTAATTTTGTTACGAAACACACTATCCAAATCAATTGTCAAATTTTTTTGACAAACCCATATATATCTTGTACTTAAATCGATTGTCAACCATCGAGTGGTTGTGAAAATTCAAACAGAAAAACCTATGTATGAATTATCTCCCACACAAGTAAACCACTTTGCTTGGAGAAACAATGTCAGGTTTTGCACAACAGAAACACTCCATCCAAACCCTCAACTTTCCATTTCGCAAGTCACTTGAAGCTTTCTCTCTGGCACCCTTTTGTGCTAAGTAAACCATTGTTGCAAAAAGTGGCTTGAACATCCGTTGACTAATACACTGGAACATGAACTCCTGCAGATCAATCGCTCCCTCTGTTTCCCAAATTCGCCCGCCCCCATGTTCAAATGCTTCAATTACCCGCCAAAAACAAAAAAAGCCATTAACAATCTTTCCAACAGTTCTTAAACATACCTCTGTTCCTATAAATACCATCCCATCTTCCCAAACGTTCCACACCTCAAATCACTCTCACCATCCTCTCCTTCTTCATCTTCAGCAATCTCACTAACTCGATCTTGTTCGCAGCAACCAAGCATGGCGTTCGGCACAATCGCTGGCGTTACCGCCATTCTGATGGCGGCGGCGGCCATGGTCTCAGCTGCCGATTACCCCAAGGCAGAAACCGTGTGGTGCGCCGTAGCTTCCCGATGCTCCGACGCTTACGTCAAATGCCCCGCCGAATGCGCTTCCACCACCACCCCAAACGCCAAGGGCAAGGTTTGCCATGTCAATTGCGACCACCCACAGTGCAAGTCCGAGTGCAAGAGTACTGTCATACTTTGCGCTTAAATCAACTGTTAATTTATAGATCTTATATCACTCTCTTGTATTAGCTAATCGAGTTAACTCGATTGATCGCAGAACGCAAGCCGAACTGCGACGCACCAGGATCGGCCTGCTACGACCCGCGCTTCGTGGGCGGGGACGGCAGGGTGTTCTACTTCCACGGAAAGAGCGGGGAGGTCTTCAGCCTGGTCTCCGACCCCAGCTTCCAGATCAACGGCCGGTTCATCGGCCACAGGCCCGTGGGCCGTCCACGCGACTTCACATGGATCCAGTCCTTGGGCCTCATCTCCAAAACCCACAGGTTCACCCTGGAAGCCACCCGGGCCGCGGTCTGGGACGGTGAGGTGGACCACTTGAAATTCGCCTACAACGGACAAGACCTCTCGATCAGCGAAGGCTCCCTCTCCGCCTGGCAGTCCCCCGACGGGGACGTCAGGGCGGAGCGCGTCTCGAGTAGGAACAGCGTCATCGTGACGATCAAGGACAAGGTGGAGATCCTGGTGAACGTCGTCCCGGTGACCAAGGAAGATGACAGGATCCACAAGTACCGGGTCCCCGAAAACGACTGTTTCGCCCATCTCGAGGTCCAGTTCCGGTTCTTCAAGCTGTCGCCGCGTGTCGAGGGAGTGCTGGGCAGGACGTACCAGCCGGACTTCGAGAACAACGTTGCGAGGCCCGGAGTGGCAATGCCGGTGATGGGAGGCGAAGATAAGTACAGAACCTCGGACCTTGTCTCTGCGGAATGTGGTGCTTGCATCTTCTCCGAGACAGAGGATTTGAAGCAGGGGAATGGCGCCGTTGATTTCCCTACCCTTGATTGCACCAGGGGAGCTGCAGCTGGGTATGGAATTGTCTGCAGGAAGTAATTGAGGGTATATGGAGGTTTGATTTGTGATGGTGGATTGATGAACATCATCAGCTTCTGGTTTGAATTTGAAGTTCAATAAACGTTGTGGAGGCAGGGGAAGGGGGATCTTCTATGTTGTATTAAAATGATCTCTCATTTGTATCTGGTTTTTAACGAATTTGTTATGTTCGTGTTTGTTTTTCATCAAAGTTGTAACGCTAATGTTGTGCTCGACGATTATCTTCGTAATTGTACTACATTATCATTGTATTATTGAATTTTAAGTGAAGTTCTATAAGAACGATAATTTGGTGATTAAATATGATGCTATTTTTAAAAAATATGTATGTTTTTTTTTTTTTTGTGTGGTTATGCAAAGGAAAATGGGTTTTCCTAGGTGATCATGACATGCAATTTGATCGACATATCCAACTCCGGCCAAATGAAAAAGCTGAATAGATGCAGAGAACTTGGATATGTGGATACAACAACAATTTTCATAACTGATCTGTTAATCGTATTAATAAGTTTCATTGTGTTAAATAGAAGGGTTAATTACTAGCACAAACGTATCATTTTACTATTTTTTTTCTTTCCAAAACGTACTCTTTTATTATCGAAACATAACATACATTCACTTTTGTCGTAAAATCTGTTAACTGGTAGTATGACGAGGTGAAAAATAATCAATTAAGATAACCGTTGTTGATTAATCAAATATATAACTACTTTTTTAGAGAATTGATCAAATAATTATTTCAATTCGATAACAAAAAAAAAATTACGACAAAAAAATAAAATAATTTGTGGTATAAGTGAATTCCATAACTTTTGAAGAATTCATTTTGAAATGAATCATTTTTGTGTTTGGTATTTAAAAGAATTCATTTTTAATTCTAAATTTTGAATTCTATGAAATTCGAACTGGTTATAGCAATTCCGAGGAATTGAGAAGGAATTTCCAAATGAATTCCATAAGTATTTACTAATTATAATATAATGACATAATTATCCTCTTTTATTAACTACATTACTTAACATATGACATACCAAACACGGGAATTCATTTGACAATGAATTCTACACGTCAATTTTTTTTTATGTCTAAAGATTTGAATATGACATACCAAATACAAGATTTCATTTGCCAATGAATTCTACAAGGTAATTCATATTATAATGAAATGAATTCTCGATTCATTTGATACCAAACTATCTGTTAGAAAACCGTGTTAATTACTTGCTTTAACATCAACCGTATGTATGTTTTTATTAGGCACATTTGGTAACATAAAAGAGAATTAATGACACTCAATACATACATTCACGAATACTTGTTGTTTTAACGAAGGGTCGGGTTATAGCGTTGAACATTATTAACTTGGATTATAAATTGAATCTTTTGTCGGGAAATGCGTTTGTAACCGTAAATACTAGTAAATTTCGTATAATAATAAAGAGGTAACAACATATGTTTTTTTAACTTCCAAAGAGAAAGTATTGGCATCGAGATAGAAAATCTGAGTATAAATACTAAGCTCTCACACAAGAAGATCAACCAAAAAAAGTAAGAAAACATTTACAAGGCAACAATATATAGTTCTTGACCATGGTTGTCAAACCGGTTTCATGTCGGCCGGTATTTAACTGTGGTCAAATCCGGTCAGATCTGGTTAAATTCGGAAATTCCGGCCGGTTAGACCAGAAACCAGAATTTAATGTTACCCATATTATATCCAAAAATAAACATCTTTCATAAGATTTGAACCAAGGACCTATTGTTCATTTTAGTTTAACTTATACACCAGTAGGTTACAAGCAATTTTGTTATCTATATTAACCTTATATGTTATATATCTAATACTAAATTTTACACAAATCATTATAAACATTAATAAAATTTATTTAATAAAATTTTATTTTTAAGCATCTAATTGTTTAGTATTAGTTACCAATTCTTAGCTATAAATTATTTTGTGTGAAATAATTCTTCTAATTGCTTTTTTATGACTAATTTATTTGGAATTGAGGATTTCCATTTTCCTCATGTATTTTATTAAAACCGGCACAACGGGCATGAATACTGGTTGTACCACGGTCAGACCATTCCACTTACAAAACCGGCACACCGGCATAAACCGGTTTGACAACCTTGTTCTTGACAAAAGGACAGAGTCAAAAGATGACAAAGTTGTTCGCTTTAGCAGCAATGACGCTGGTCCTCATAATAAGCGTCTTTGCGTTCGTGAAACCGGTAACGTCATCGTCGTGTTACCGTTTCGATCATTTTGGCCCACCTTCTCCGATGTCTCACGAGGAGGTGCAATCGCAACGGAATATGAGGTTGGCTCGGTTTTCGGTGGCGAATCACAATGAAGTGCTCTCGGGTGCTCAACGATTGAAGTTGGTAAGTGTAGAAAAGGGTGCTTATTACCATGTATCACCCGATGGAGACTATAAAAGTTTGGATATTATTGCATCCAACAGCTTCGGCCAAGCCAAGTATAGGGCCTTTGTCATTGAGTTCATTGCCTATGATGAACTTTCCCTTCAATGCTTTGAGAAAATTTATTAAAGATGGATGTTATTTAAAAGCATTTAATTTGTAATGCAAAGTCAGTTGCGCTCTGTGAGCAACGTCGTGGCCGCAATAAACATTTTTGTCTTTGGTTTAATTAATGCCAGCAACAATTAAAATAATGTTGATGTTTCATGCAACCTTTTTCTGAAATGGGACCATATTGGTCTTGGATTGTGGTGTGGGGGTTCTGTGATGCCCGATGTTGGACTTGTAATAACGTTTCTAAAAAAATGGTTTACCTAGGTGATCATGGCATGCAATTTGATCGACATGTCCAACTCCGACCAAATAAAAAAGTTGAATAGATGGAGTTTAAGAGAACTTGGACATGTGGTAGATATAGCTAGACCTGGCAAATTATAATCTGATTCGTTGATCTGATCTGAATCCGCCCGAAAAAAAATAGAAGTTTTTACAACCCGAATATGACTAACCCGTGATTTTTTGAGTTGGGTTGGGTGGGTTAGAGGGTCGACGACCCGTTAGACCCGTTCCATTTCATATGTCACTTCAAAAATGATAAAATCAATCATAAATTGGTGAGATGTTTAAAAATTCACAAAGATATGAAATACATGTTTGGAGTTTGAAGATAATCAAATATCATGTGTTTCTTGTATTAGTATTACTCTTGTGATTGTTTTTTGACGATTTATGCAATTTGTATTTCATTTCATTAGTATGGAAGGATTTGAGAATATGTTAATTGACATGTGTTAGGTAAACTACTGTCATCATATGTGAAGATTTGTGTTCTTTCAAAAAAATATGAAGTATGTTTGATATTGTTTCTGAGAGCGCTCATGATCCGAAATGACCTGTAACCCTACCCGAGGTTAATATTTGACCCGAAATCTGCCAACCCAATATGATCTGATCCATAACCCAATGCACCGATCCGAAATGACTCAACCAGACCCCATTCTCAGGTCTAGATACAACAACAATTTTCGATATGTTAATCGTATTAATAGGTTTCATTGTGCTAAATAGAAAGGTTAATTAATAGCATAAACGTACCATTTTACTATTTTTTCCTTTCCACAAACATACTCTTTTATCATCGAAACATAACAGACATTCACCTTTGTCGTAAAATCCGTTAACTGGCCGTATAGCGAGGTGAAAAATGATCAATTATGAAACCCGTTGTTGATTGATCAAATAATTTTATTTTAATTCAATTATAAAAAATTCTGACAGAAAAATCAAATTTGTGATTTTGAAAACAATGTTAATTACTTGCTTTAACATCAAAGTACGTATGTTTTTATCAGACACATCTGGTAACATGAAAGAGAGTTAACGACACTTAATTAGAATAATATATAAATTATGATAACCGTTGTTGATTGATCAATTAATTTCATTTCAACTTTGATTACAACATAAATTTCAGACAAAAAAATCAAATAATTTGTGATCTAGAAATTTATGTTAATTTTTATATGCTTTACGAAAAAAATACTATTGATACTGGCCTACAATGATTTTCATTATATTACTTTCTTTTTCTAATAGTTTGTTATATAACAATGATACGACTACATAATGAAGCATTTGCAATAAAAACAAAAGATAAAAGTGATATTTCACTCAAAAAGTAATATAACTTATTTATATAACACAATAACTATCACAGAAATCAAACGATGTAAATTATAATATGACAAAAAACATACAATCATTACAACAAATGACCACTCAAGGTGTTGGGAATGCCACCAACAAGACGATCTCTATCGGATCGGGAGCTTGTACAGTTATGAGACCAACATTTCAAGTCCACATACATGCATGGGAACACCTTGCTCGCAATGAGCTTGTAGGCGTGATCTGTGAAATGCAAGTCGTCCCACCATATGTAATGGTAAGGGTCCTTGCAGAATGGGGTATCTAGTTTACGACAAGTTACGTGCTTCGCGGTTCCACAATATCTTGCGTAGCTTGTGTGCTTCAACCCTACGTCAGTCACAAACCATAATTTTATCAAACTTAGTAAAGACTCACACAAATCGTTAAAATACCAACTGATTGGTAGAAAGAAAAGGAGTAAGGCACGTACCAAGGGATCGGTAATTGTCAAACATCCACTGGATTCCGTCCCAAATGTCGCCATAAGCGAGATGGACGTGAGGGACCTCCTAACCAAGATCAAGAACCAGCTGTTGCACTTGCTTGTTGTGTAGGTCATGGTACGAATTTCGTTCCTTGTCGCACACAATCGGCCTTTGATCGTGTTCCAAAATCGTCTTATTGAACCCGGGCAAGCACCCTCCTTGGTACACCCCCATCGCAACGATCCTCTTTGCACCATGGTGGATCACCGTCTAGAAATTAGAAACGGAAGAGAATATTTGTCAATATTATCACCATGATGCCCGATGTTGAACTTGTAATAATGTTTCTAAAGTATGATGTATGAAAACTTTAGAATTATGCACATAGTGTAGCAAGTATATATTTGAAATGAGATTAGGTGCTAACATTCTAAAATATTAGTCATTGGCGGAGCAACATTACCACATGAAAATAAATTCTTGAAATGTTGTATTGATAAGTGGTTATATAATTATTTGTTTTATTATGTAAATATTAATATTTGGATGACCAATGGCCTACCACATTAGATGCTCACTTGGGAGTTACATGTAACTCCCATTCCTATATTATTATCTCTAATTTATATGCATTGATGTAAGGGTGTAGTGGTTACCAAAGGGTGCCTATAAATAGAGCACACTATTGTATCACAAATGAGTATGAATAAGAAGGCCTATTCCCCTCACTTCTTTTGTGTCTTTCCTCCTCCAATCCTCTCTTGTAGTTGCTTACATTTCCATTAGTTTTATAACACGTTATCAGCACGAGACTCTTCCTTTTGAAAAGGTTAAATTCACAATTGTTCTGCTCAAGTATGTCGAACCTTTCAAAGCTTGAGTTTGTGGCTCTTGATGTCACTGGAAAGAATTACCTATCATGGGTGCTAGATGCTGAAATTCATTTAGCTGCCAACGGTCTTGGAGACACGATTAAAGAGGGCAATGAAGCATCAGATCAAGACAAAGCTAAAGCAATGATCTTTCTTCGACATCACCTCCACGAGGGATTGAAGAATGAGTATCTTACGGTCAAAGATCCACTTATTTTGTGGACTAATTTGAAGGAGCGGTATGACCACCAAAAGACTGTGATTCTTCCTAAGGCTCGTTATGATTGGATGCATTTGAGGTTACAAGATTTTAAATCTGTGAGTGATTATAATTCGGAGCTATTCAAAATAACCTCACAACTACTGTTATGTGGAGAAAATATTACTGATGAAGATATGTTGGAAAAAACATTCTCCACTTTTCATGCATCCAATGTGCTCCTGCAGCAGCAATACCGTGAGAAAGGTTTCAAGAAATATTCTGAGCTGATTTCTTGTCTCCTTGTTGCTGAACAAAATAATGAGCTCCTAATGAAAAATCACCAATCTCGTCCTACTGGTGCCGCCCCATTCCCAGAAGCGAATGCGGCGACGTTCACCCAATATCCTTATGGGCAAATACATGGACGTGGACATGGACGAGGACGAGGACGTGGGCGTGGTCATGCTCATGCTCGAGGTCGTGGCCGTGGCCGAGATCTTGGTCGTGGTAATGGTCGTGGTGAAAGTTCCAAAAGCTCATTTTTCCCCAGAAGTGGAAAAAATGATGGTAGGAGAAGCAAGGAACAAAGTGTTCATGGTAACAAACACGTCGAAAATGTGTGTTACCGTTGTGGTGGAAAAGGTCATTGGTCTCGTACCTGTCGTACGCCAAAACACTTGGTTAACCTCTACCAAGAATCATTGAAAGGGAAGAAGATAGAAACCAATTGTATTTTTGAGGAAGATGATTCAGGAAAAGACTATAATGATGCTACTCATCTAGATGTGTCCGACTTCTTTGCCCACCCTGAAGGAAAAATAGATCACCTGATTGGTGATGGGAATGTTCGCAAGTGAAAAACTTAGCATTTCCATTTGAAATTTCTATTTCGTTGTCGCTTTGTTCACAAGTGAAAAGTTTGGGTTTCCCATTTGAAATTTCACTTTCTTTGTCGTTTTCCTTGAGTGTGTTTTTCCTATTAATGTGTCAGTTTAATATAATTTCTCTTTATAATCCTTATGTGGTTAAATTTCATCTATTATAATCATGTTATTATTTTTATATTTGTTTGGAGATATTTTCTTATATTGATTTACTTTCTATCTTTTGTGAAGAATGAATATTCCCATGCTTGGCACCAAGATAAAAAACCATGATGTGTGTCTTATTGATAGTGCATCGACACATACAATCTTGAAGGATAAGAAATATTTTTCTCATCTTGAAATGCGAGAAGCAAATGTTAGTACTATATCTGGAAGTACAAATCTAATTGAAGGCTCCGGAAGAGCTAGTGTATTGTTACCAGAAGGGACCAAGTTGTATATCAATGAAGCCTTATACTCTTCAAAGTCTCAAAGAAATTTATTGAGTTACAAAGATATTCGCCGAAATGGATATCATATTGAGACAAAGGAAGAAGAGAATAAAGAGTATATTATGATAACAAATATGGTCTCCGATAAAAAACACATATTGGAGAAATTGCCTGCTATTTCTTCTGGGTTGTACTACACGTTTATTAGTACAATTGAAACACATGCAGTGGTAAACCAGAAGTTTACAAATCTTGATAATTTTATAGTTTGGCATGACCGGTTAGGCCATCCCGGATTGATTATGATGCGAAAAATCATTGCCAATACATGTGGACATCCATTGAAAGGTCACAAAATTTATCAGTTTAAAGATGTACCATGTGTTGCATGTTCTCGTGGCAAGTTGATTATACGGCCATCACCTGTGAAAGTAAGGAGTGAATCTCTCACATTTTTAGAACGTATACAGGGTGATATATGCGGGCCAATTCACCCACCATGTGGACCATTTAGATATTTTATGGTTTTAGTTGATGCATCAACTAGATGGTCACATGTGTGCTTACTATCAACTCGCAACCTGGCGTTTGCTAGATTACTTGCCCAATTGATACGACTACGAGCACATTTTCCTGATTTTCCAATCAAGAAAATACGTCTAGATAATGCTGGTGAATTTACTTCACAAACTTTCAATGACTATTGTATGTCCACTGGCATTGATGTTGAACATCCTGTAGCACATGTTCATACACAAAATGGCCTTGCAGAATCATTTATTAAGCGTTTGCAACTTATTGCAAGACCATTGCTTATGAAAACAAGCTTGCCAATTTCTTGTTGGGGACATGCTATATTGCATGCGGCAACATTAATTCGCATAAGGCCAACAAGTTATCATGAAATTTCCCCCTTGCAAATGGTTTTTGGTCAGGAACCTAATATTTCCCATCTAAAAATATTTGGGTGTGCCGTCTACATCCCTATTGCTCCACCACAGCGTGTTAAGATGGGTCCTCAAAGGAGGTTGGGAATTTATGTTGGATATGAGTCCCCGTCAATCATAAAATACTTAGAACCCTTGACGGGAGATTTATTCACTGCTCGTTTTGCTGATTGTCATTTTGACGAATCAGTTTTTCCAACATTAGGGGGGGAGAGCAAACAGCTGGGAAAAGATATTTGTTGGAATGAATTATCATTATCTCACCTTGATCCTCGTACTAGACAATGTGAACTGGAAGTTCAAAAGATAATTCATTTACAAGGTTTAGCAAACCAACTGCCGGATTCTTTTACTGACCAGAAGAGAGTGACAAAGTCACACATACCAGCTGTAAATGCTCCAGTGAAAGTTGATGTCCCTGTTGGACAATCTGAAATTGCAAATGAATCTAAACCACGAATGAAGCGTGGTAGACCAGTAGGTTCCAAGGATACAAAATCCTCGAAAAAGAAAAGGAGCCATGAATCAAGTTGGTCAAATCGAGGATATGAAAGGTCAAGAAAAGTCCCCGAGCATAACTAAGATTGTAGTTCCCGAAGAACATCAGGTACCTGAAAGTTTTGATAATGAAGAGATCTCAATCAATTATGTCTTGGATGGAAAATGTTGGAACCGAAGTAAAATAATCGTCGACGATGTTTTTGCTTACGCTGCAGCGTTGAGTGTGATGAATGAAAATGAGGATCATGAACCAAGATCTATTGATGAATGCAAGTCAAGAGATGATTGGCCAAAGTGGAAAGAGGCCATTGAGGCAGAATTAAACTCGCTTTCAAAGCGAAAGGTTTTTGGACCGGTAGTCCTTACACCAGAAAACGTAAAGCCAGTGGGATACAAATGGGTTTTTGTGCGGAAAAGAAATGAAAAGGGTGAAGTCGTGAGATATAAAGCACGTCTTGTCGCACAAGGATTCTCACAGAGACCTGGCATTGATTATGAGGAGACATACTCCCCTGTGGTGGATGCAACTACGTTTCGATACTTGATTAGTCTAGCAGTTCGAGAAGGACTAGATCTGCGTCTAATGGATGTTGTGACAGCCTATTTGTATGGATCACTTGAGAATGATATATATATGAAACTCCCTGAAGGATTCACTTTGCCAGAAGCGAACAAAACACATTCTCGAGAAAATTTTTCTATCAAATTGAACAAATCCTTGTATGGATTGAAACAATCTGGACGAATGTGGTACAATCGTCTCAGTGAATATTTGGTGAAAGAAGGATACACGAATGACCCTATTTGTCCATGTGTTTTTCTAAAGAGATCGGGTAGTGAGTTTGTTATAATATCAGTTTATGTTGATGACATAAACATCATTGGAACTCCCGAAGAGCTTCCAAAAGCAGTTGATTGCTTGAAGAAAGAGTTTGAAATGAAAGATTTAGGAAGAACAAAGTTTTGTCTTGGATTACAGATTGAACATTTGAAGGATGGTATTTTTGTGCATCAAGAAGGATATGTTGAAAAGGTGCTTAAGCGATTTTATATGGACAAATCACACCCGTTGAGTAATCCAATGGTTGTAAGATCACTTGATGTGAAAAGAGATCCATTTAGACCTCGAGAAAGTGATGAAGATCTGCTTGGCCCTGAAGTGCCATATCTTAGTGCAATAGGAGCATTAATGTATCTAGCCAGTCACACACGACCCGATATATCGTTTGCTGTGAATATATTGGCAAGATATAGCTCTTCTCCCACTAAAAGACATTGGAATGGAGTTAAACATTTACTCCGTTACCTTCGAGGAACGACAGATATGGGCTTGTTCTATTCGAGTGCATCGAAGATGGATTTAGTGGGATATGCAGATGCAGGATATCTCTCAGATCCCCACAATGGTAGATCTCAGACAGGATATTTGTTCACTTGTGGTGGTACAGCTATTTCGTGGCGATCCACAAAACAAACTATAACAGCCACATCATCCAATCATGCTGAAATCCTAGCAATTCACGAGGCAAGTCGTGAATGTGTTTGGTTAAGATCTATAATTCGACACATCAGAGAATCGTGTGGACTATCTCTAGGAAAAATGATCCCGACGATCATGTATGAAGATAATGCAGCATGCATTGCTCAATTAAAGGAAGGATATATTAAAGGAGATAGAACAAAACATATTCCACCCAAGTTCTTTTTCACTCATGATCTTCAAAAGAGTAGTGAAATAATTGTTCAAAAAGTTCGTTCAAGTGAGAATCTAGCAGATTTATTCACCAAGTCACTCCCGACGACAATCTTTGTAAAGCTTGTTCGTGAAATTGGAGTTCGACGACTCAAAGACTTGAGCTGATGTGGTCATGAGGGGGAGCATATACGCGCTGCACTCTTTTTCCCTTAACCATGGTTTTTCCCACTGGGTTTTCCTGGTAAGGTTTTTAATGAGGCAGCATGAGATAGCGTAATAATGCAATCTAGTGGTCATCCAAGGGGGAGTATTATGTAAATATTAATATTTGGATGACCAATGGCCTACCACATTAGATGCTCACTTGGGAGTTACATGTAACTCCCATTCCTATATTATTATCTCTAATTTATATGCATTGATGTAAGGGTGTAGTGGTTACCAAAGGGTGCCTATAAATAGAGCACACTATTGTATCACAAATGAGTATGAATAAGAAGGCCTATTCCCCTCACTTCTTTTGTGTCTTTCCTCCTCCAATCCTCTCTTGTAGTTGCTTACATTTCCATTAGTTTTATAACATGTTTAGGATTTTGTACCCCATAAATTTTAGAACATTTTTTATACGGGTAGAAAAAAGTATTTTGTTCTCGGACCCCACTTTGGCAGATGGCAAATGCAAATTTCTCACTATGTTATATAACAAAAGCAAAAAAGAGTTGGTTAACGGGATGGATTCGAGGCCAATCTAGAAGAACGATAAATCAACAATAGTGCAAAGAGTCATTCTATACTATGATTTAAAGCATTGGTAATTCGAGGTACACATTGAACTTTTTCAAACATGTTTTCTATTATCAAAATGTAACAAATATATAAGGACGTAAAAAACACGTGCACTTCTGTCATAAAATATGTTAATTGACCGTATAACAATGTGAAAATGACCAAATTATCCTTTCTTATTAGGGATGGGATTAGAAGGGTTAGCACCGTGATAACTAGCAAAAAACGCTACTAAAAATAACGAAATCACTACGGATTATTATAAAATCAATACAACATCTAAGCTAAATCACTACTAATTCAAACTAGTAGTAGTTTTTCCCTTGGTTAGGACGGTGCTAACTATTGTACAATTAGCACCGTAAGTCCTCCCTTCTTATTAAGGTTTTATTTTTTCCAGCCGATATATAAATAATGGAATTACATAATTTTCTCTATGATTCTTACTAAGTTACTATCCCTTCCACCTCGACAATGAGTTTCCCTTTTGAATCTCTAATTCTTATATATGAACCCAAATATTGCTTCGATTGCTTTTTTTCCCCAAGTAATGTCAAGATACCATAGTTAAATCCTCTACCCAAAACCCCAAGCAACGACTAGTGAAGCCACTATACAAAATCAAAGGATGCTATCACTACAGGGGACAGTAGCAGAGCTTGCTTTGCCACTATATGGGCAGCCCAGTTGACAGTCCTCGGGACCGAACAAAAAGAAAAAGAAGAAGAACAAGATCTCACCAACTGAAGACAATCACGAAGCAAGGGCCCGCCCACTGACTTCAGCATCACCTTCGATAATGACATGGGGGAGATTGCGGGAGTGAACCAAAGAAATGGCATCCCTGGCAGCTAGCAGCTTTGCAAGATAGGGATTCGATACTCCTGAATGAAGGAACCCCATGGCCAAAAAGACTTGCCCATCTGTCCCTCGAACGATAAGGCCAGACAAGCATCCTGAGTTACGAACAACAACGTCAAAGTTGATTTTGAGAAAATGTTTAGGAGGTCCAACCCATACGAAAAGACGAGATGGCTGGAGGCGAGCCGATGGGATCTGGGTCTGGAAGGAGACTAAGGAATATTCATGGACTTGGAAAAAGAATTGACGGGCAAGAGAACTGGCTAGTGGTTGAGCAAATTCAAATAAAACTTTATTTCTAGATTTCCAAATTCTCCAGAGAAGACAAATGCAGGGGAGATAGTGGATTTGAAAGTTTTCTGAAATCAAAACATATCGCCACCAGATACCAAAATTTTCAGTTGGGGCGGAGTGAAGTAAACTACTTAATCCCACCATAGTCCAGAGATGAGAGCAAGAGGACAATGGAAAAAGAGATGTTCGATACTCTCTTTGCTAATAGCTATCCCAACGACTGGACAACGAATAGGGCAGTTAATTCCCCGGGATCTAAGAGCCACCATAATTGGCAAAATTACTTTTAAACATTGCCATAGAAAGAATTTGAGTTTTGGTGGGACATCAAGTGTCCAAGTTCTTTTCCAAATAGGAGGGTCTATAATAGGGGTCACTAATTTTCGACTAAGAGCCAAGATATTGCTTCCATTGCTTACCGGTAGTCGGCATATGCAAAACCTCCATTGAAGATGATGATGAACGGCGGTGGTTGGGTAAATGAAGAAGAGATATATATATTGATGGGTAAAATAGAACTAATGTAATCTCCCTTACAAAACATAATTATTTTTCATTCGGTTATTCCAAAAACTACTTGCTTTAACAACGTATGTATGGTTTTATTAGACACATTTGGTAACATGAAAGAGAATTATTGACACTTAATTAGTCTAACATCTAAAGTTGAACACTATTAACTTGTATTATGAATTGATTAAGTTTCAAAGAGAAAACATTAGTCGAGATAAACGATTTGATTATAAATATTTAGCTCTTGTACAAGGATATCAACCAATATATAGTTCTTGACAAAAGGACGGAGTGTAAGAATGGCGAAGCGGTCACCTTTAGCAGTAGTAGCGATGCTCGTCTTTATGGTAATTAGTGTCCTTGTGTCTGTGAAGCCGACAACGGCGTTGTGTTACATATACGATTTCTAAATTGTTGATTGATCAATTAATTTCATTTCAACTTCGATTACGAAATAAAATTCAGACAGATACATCACATGATTTGTGATCTAGAAAATCATGTTAAATTTGGTAACATGAAAGAGGATTAATGACACATAATTAATACTAACATACAGATTATCCACCAAACTATACAACTGAACCGCATTTTTGGCGAATTGGAACCCTTTATTCCTTCATTCTCACCCATGGTTGGGTAATGATTTGGGTGGCTTGAATTAATGTTCTCAACCTAAAACGTAAGCAAACACTTTGTGATCTGATCGAGAACGGCTACGGTGCTAATTGTACAATAGTTAGCACCGTCCTAACCAAAGGAAAAACTACTACTAGTTTGAATTAGTAGTGATTTAGCTTAGATATTGTATTGATTTTATAATAATCCGTAGTGATTTCGTTATTTTTAGTAACGTTTCTTGCTAGTTATTACGGTGCTAACCCCTATAAGGATTAGCACCTAATCCCATCCCTGATCTGTATGGTGATTCTAGTGAAGTTGACATGTGTATAAATTCTATACTTCTATATATATTAGCTAACAATCATCCCCTGTTTCGAGCATCCAATCCCCTGTTTCGAGCATCAAACCACCTCTCTACAGCACTAGTCCGTTTCATCTCTCTCACTCAATCAGTAGCCTGCCAATCCCATGTTTCCCCATTTCCTCTTCTCGATCGGGAAATGTCGCCGCCGGTTTCCTTCCTCTTTACCTGCTGTCTCATTCCATTCCTCCTTCCTGCAATTCACCTCCCTTTGACCTCGCCACAACTTCTCAAGGGCTGTGGGTTTTCGGAAATATACAATTTCGGTGAGTCGTTGTCTGACACCGGAAATGCACTTATCCAGTTCGATTTCGGAGGGAACGGCAAGTACCCCTACGGGATGACCGTCGGGAAGCCAACCGGCCGACCCAGCTGGTTAAAAAAAAATTGAAAGAATAAGGAGAGTTAGTAGGTACGTAAAGAAGGAAGGAACCCCAACGAAATGAGTAGGGTGGAAACAGAAAGCAAGCTATGAGGTAATTACATGGAACACCAAACAAATAGAGTTGAGAGTTGAGAAAACGTAAATCAAAACTTAAAATGGTGTACGTAGTGGTTGTTTGGAGAGTACTCACCGATTCTGTCGATCAGAAGCAACCCATCGGAGAATCTTCCGGTTGGCTTCCCGACGGTCATCCCGCAGGGGTACTTGCCGAATCCACCGAAATCGAACTGAACAAGGGCATCTCCGGCGTCAGACAACGAATCACCCAAAATTGTATATCGCCCGAAAACCCACAGCCCCTTGAGAAGTTGTGGTGAGGTCAGAGGGAGGTGAATTTCAAGAAAGAGGAATGGAATCAGACAGCAGGTAAGTTGAAAGGAAACCCACGGTGATATTTTTCCGATCGAGGAGAGGAAATGGGGAAAACAGGGGATTTGCAGCTTCTGATTGAGTGAGAGAGATGAAACGGACTAGTGTTGTGGAGAGGTGGTTGGATGCTAGAAACAGGGGATTGGATGCTCGAAACAGAGGACGATGATTGTTAGCTATAGCTACCACCGGGTATATATAGAACTACAATCGTCAACTTTACTAGAATCCTATACTATTGCTTATGTGTTAGGTTGAGAACATTAACTGAAGCCACCCAACTCATTGCCTAACTCTGGTGAGAATGAATGAATGGTCAGAGTCACAGACCTAAACCACATTAATCAAACTTTTCATGCAAATAGGAATAGACATTGGGCATGGTGAATGAATTTACAGAGCCAACTACAAAGTGAACTTGTTGTGAAATAATCGATCTCCTAAATTATCCCAATCCCAAGTAGAAGGAAGAAGGAAGTAAATAACCTATTGTTTTCATGACAGAAATTAGGTAAATGTCCCCGTTGAAATGAAATGAAATGAAATGAAAGCAACTCCTCTTTTCCTAATTTGCTAGTTGGCTTCTCGATTGCTTTGTGTATAACGTTACATCTGTTTTGATGCAAGTAGAGAAATGAACGGTATATAGAATAGAAGTAGTGCATAGCTTTGTGCTAACCATTAATTCAAACTAAATGTATATAAAGAAAAAAGTAGTGCATGATAGAAGTCCATAGATACATACACGTAGCATGTGGGGTTTTCATTGTTTCAAATAACAATCCACATTGTTGTTGTACGCGTTCTACCTTCTAAGCTAAGGTGTGCACTGCCAGTGTCTGTTAGGGTTAGGTCATGGTTTGGTCTAATTTGAGATCGAACCTAGTTAGAATATGTTGAACGTATGAGAAACATAGGATACAAATTATAGATACAAATTATCGAAAGTGTACACTATCTATAACAATCCAGATTGTTGTTGTATGATGTTCTAGCTATCTTCTAAGCTAAATTATGGATACAAATTAACATATTAATTGCCAACAACAATTCCATATTATCCTTTTTTTATAGCTTTGACATTATCATTATATATAGTACAACCTCAATTTTTATGCATGGCATTGGTCAAAAGACGACTGATGCCGACCTCAAACCGTTTGATTGTTTAGAAATGGTATAAGGTTGATTTGAAAGTTGAGTGTTTCTCGGCCGATATTGTTACCATCCTCTACAATCGAAGTCGAAGACAGATACCAATCTAATTAGCTAGCTAATAGTGTGTGGAAATGAAATTGGTTCATACTTTTTTTTTTTTGTTACATACTCATGTACATGTGATAATCTAACTTGTTACTCATGTGCGTGTATATAATATTTATCAATTACAGAGTTTGCTTCGTATCAATCAAGAATCACAATTGATTGTAGCCGAGTTTTGACTTGATATTGTTCGAACTTTTTCTCAGGTGTGGAATGTTGGGGAAATTGTTCATGTATACTATTTTTCTTGCAACACAAGCAAACACATAAGATTAAGAAAACATGCAAAGACACATGCAAGCGTCCTAGCCGATAGAATTCACTATCTCTCCTTAAAGAATCTTATTCCCCTCTAGTACCCAAGGTTATGGAATGATTCCTCCCAGGATAGAAAGGACGTACCTTTTCCGGCGCAGCGGTACCTCAAACCCCGGAACCCATCGAACGCAGCGAACCGGCGAGAACCACACTTGACCCTATTTTCTCTTTGAAAAGAATGCAGAAAACTAGTTTTGGATTTTGGCAGAATTTTGGTACCGGGAAAAACCGATGTTAAAAAACCAAAGGGGGGTTAGGTGCTATTTATAGAAAATGAAGGGGTGCGTACGAAGGGAGGCGACTCTTCATATGGGTGGTTACACCTCAACCAACACATTGGTTCATGTTTGAAATAATGAACCATTGCATCGGTTCGGCCCATGGTAGTTGGACCGGTTTGGTTATTCCAACTGCCACATTGGTTCGGTTCGATTTGGTTCAACTCAATTTGGTTTGGTCCGTTTGGTACACAAACCAATTTAACAGATTAACCACATATTACATCAAATCGATCGAATTCGAGGCCGTGCCTTCCCACATCTTACCAACATGGTACTTCAAGAGACTCTTAAAACTTTCCCCTTTTATTTCCATTCACACCACTAAAAATCCCAACATGGAATTGAACGACAATCCACTTTCGCAAACCCAATTATCATGTTTTTGTTCTTGTTTGAGTTGACTTCAGAGTTTGATCAAGAAAACTCGTGATTTAGATGTGTATGTACTTTGATCATTATAGATCATCATGCTTATATCACTTCTATTGTGCTACACCCGATTGATTTGAAAATCATGGTAATGTCCTCAGCTTGTGAAAACTTTTATGTCGATCTTAAATGTTTTTTACGAAAACATACTATTGATATCAACCTACAAGCTACAATGGCTTTCATTATTTGTCTTTCTTTTTTCTAATAGTTGTTATATGACTTATGATATACATATGGTCAGAATGAAGCATTTGCAATAAATTATGAAGGGATTAACAAGTTGCAAATATCATTAAGTAGAGCACCATTAACTCACATGCCCTTGAAATTAACTCATAACCTAACACTTCCGACTCAATCAAACTACATATAGATAACCACGATCGATTACAGCATGACAACAAGTACTTAAAGAAACCACCATTAACTCACATGCTCTTGAAATTAACTCATAACCTAACACTTCCGACTCAATCAAACTACATATAGATAACCACGATCGATTACAGCATGACAACAAGTACTTAAAGAAACCACCATTAACTCACATGCCCTTGAAATTAACTCATAAGCTAACACTTCCGACTCAATCAAACTACATATATATAATCACAATCCATTACAGCATGACAACAAGAACTTAAAAGCCCAATATAAGCTAAACTTAAAGAGTCAAATCATGTCCAATGTCTTCACGCCTCATAAAACAAAAGAAAAGGAAGATAACCATCACTGTAATCGTTCCCTCCGCCGCCCTAGAACGAACAGGGCCGATTCGAAGTTGGCCTTGCGGGCTGAAAAATCAAGAGACATAAATTAGTCATTAAAAAGGGTATTCTAATTGAATGAAAATATGATCACATATCTCTTAAATTTGGAATAACTAAATATGATCACCTGATTCGTTGTGGAATGCTTTCTTTAAGAAATTGACGAACCATTTGAGCTGCACGTCCAGGGCGCTTTGGGAGTAGGTGTAGTTTATGCCGAACTTTTCTAAGGTAACCCGGCCGACTCAGCTGGTTAAAAAATTGAAAAAAAAATAGCGAGTTAGTAGTAGCCGTACCGTAAAGAATAAAGGAACCCTAATGGATGGATACAGAAAACAAGCCAGAGGAGGTAGACGAAGACAAAGAAGCAAACAGAGATAAACAAAATGGAACAACACACCAAACTTAAAATGGTGTACGTAGTGGTTGTTTGCAGTAGTACTCACCGATTCTGTCTATCAGAAGCAAGCCATCTGAGAATCTTCCATCAGTTGGCTTCCCGACGGTCACCCCGTAGGGATACTTGCCGTTTCCGCCGAAATCGAAGTGAACAAGTGCATTTCCGGTGTCGGACAACGAATCGCTGAGATTGTACAAGGCCGAAAAGCCACAACCTTTGAGAAGTTGTGGAGGGAAGTGAGGAGCGAGAAGCAGGAATGGAATGAGAACGCTGGTAAGGTGAAAGGAAGAAACCGACGGTGACATTTTTTCCCCCCCGATCGAGGAGAGGAAGTGGGAAACAGGGGGATTCAGGCTTCTGATTGAGAGAGAGAGTGAGAGTGATGAAACGGACCAGTGTTGCAGAGAGAGCTGGGAAGTTATGGCGATGGGTGGAAAACAGAGGAGGCAGTTTTGAGAGAGGTGGGGAGTTATGGTGTGGAAAACAGAGGGGATTGGGGGCTGCTTCTGATTGAGAGATGAAGATGAAGCAGAGAGATGGAGGTGGTTCTTTTCTTTTGAGGGAGATGGGTTGTTTTTTATAAGCAGAGGAAGCTAAGGTAAGGTTGGTTGATGCAAGTTGCATGTCTTCTCTATTGCTTTGCTTACGTTTTAGGTTGAGAACATTACCCAAGTAGAAGGAAGAAAGAAGAAAATAACCTATTGTTTTCATGACAGAAATTAGGTAAATGTCCCCATTGAAATGAAATGAAATGAAATGAAAGCAACTCCTCTTTTCCTTTGCTAGCTAGTTGGCTTCTCGATTGCTTTGGGTATAACGTTACATCTGTTTTGATGCGAGTAGAGAAATGAACGGTATATAGAATAGAAGTAGTGCATAGCTTTGTGCTAACTATTAATTCAAACTAAATGTATAACAAAAGTAGTGCATGATTGAAGTCCATAGGTACATAGACAGAGCATGTGTGGCCGTGTGGGGTTTTCATTGTTACAAATAATAATCCACGTTGTTATTTTACGCGCGTTCTACCTTCTAAGCTAAGTTGTACACACTAGTGCATGTTAGGGTTAGGTCGTGGTTTGGTCTAGTTTGAAATCAAACCGAATTAGAATATGTTGAACCGAACATATGAGAAAGAGAAACGTAGGATAATTTCCGAGGATCAAGATCTAGCGTTTGATTCGAATTGGTTCGGTCGAATTATGATTTAGATGCTTTCTTTCTATTTTTTTTTTTTTAAAGAAGTTGTGAAATCAAAGCAAATCGAGCTATGTGCTCGATTAACAATCTTAATATCAATCTAAACCCACTTGAATTGAATGTGATTCGAATTGGTCCTAGTCTGACCCAGATTACAAGTGTTTGCTTAAGATTGAGAACATTGATTAAAGCCACTCACCCAACCCAACCACCTTTATCAAAGTAATTTCATGCAAAGAGACATAATAAGAGTATAGACGCAACCATGGTGCTCTGCAATTGCCATTATTGGCCTGCGATTGGGACAATGCATATCGTCTGGGGAACTGAATGATTGAAGAAGTTCCATAGATACATATATTGCAGAGCATTTGGGGTTTTCATTTGTTTTTACTTTACATCCCTCTTGATGTAAATTTAGAGCAAATCTGGTGGTTGAGAGTGGATTAATTAGTTAGGTACTTGCATGTTTTAGGAGTTCTTCATTCATTTAGGGCTTTCCTTTCATGTTGCACATTTAGATATCACTATCAAAAAGAATTTATTATTAGTACTATTAGCTCCAAAGTGTAGAGTCCAACTAAAAGGACTTTATAATTGTTAGGACTATTACCATATTTATCATTTTTTTCAAACATTTACATTGATCATAAGTCAAGATTTGTAAGAACATCATGATTAATTGCTCATCTCTTTTTGACTTTTCCTGTTCGTAATATTATTGCATCACGTTAAGGTATCAAATTAGAATATGTTATCAGATGAGAAACGAAGAAACATTTTCGAGGAATATAGTCGGATCAAAATCACTGTGATTTGAATTGGGTGGATTCTTCAGTCCCTCTTTGCTTTTCACAGATTGAAATGTTTGCAAGCTGTTGGGTGGATTCTTCAATTCATTGATTTGGGCTCTCTGCTCCACGTTGCATGCAGAAACAACATCCATCAATCATCATATCACTAAGAGCAGAACAGTAAATGATAAGAGAGAAAAGATAAACCAACCAGTACTTCTTCTTTAACAGGCTGGGCTGGATGTAAGCACATATTCAGCACTCTCCACATTCCAGTTTCAAGCCCAAACATGAAAGCCCAGACGATTAACAAAAAAACGCAACTACAAAGCCCATATTCGATACTTGCCCGAGTAGTTCAATAGGTCCTATCCATTTGCATGCAACTAAGGTTACAAATAGGGTAAGACTACATTTAGTATTTTTAAATCTTAATAATTGCGAATTCTTATCGAATTCAATCGAGATCTATTTCTTATAAGTTACCCGCCTAAAATTAGGAAGGAGGAGTGTGACTGTTTGAGAGAATGTTTAGTCTCATGCATTAACAAAATGGTTATGATATATGCAAGATGATAACTATTCTAGATAGTGAATCCACTTAAGGGTAGAATAGCATGGGAGAAAAAATGGGTGTTCAAAATTCAAACTTAAAGAGTGAAGAGAGAAGATGGAAAACTACCTATGTCGATGTTACGCTTTCTTCAATGATGAAGATGCGATTCATTCGAGCTGTAATAGAACTATTAGTTTCTCTAGATGTTGAGTAGAGTATTTACACGGTTAAAAATGTGTAGTGAAGTTAAGGAGAAAGAAACATGACTTGACAATTGAAGGACCGTCTTTATTGCTTGAAGCCATACTTTTGATTCGTTTGTGGATGTTCATAACTACAAAAGATTTCCGATGATAACTTCAACGTCCTTCTACTTTATATTGATGATATTTTAGGCAAGATACCATCATGATGATTCATAAGTTGAATGAGTTGTCTAATGTCATAAACCAGTTGGTCCCAATAACTCGAGTTGTTGGAAGAAGGTTACACACAGTAATAGCAGCAAGCAGATCACCATGGTTGCGCCTACACTCTTCTGTCTCTTTGCATGAAAACTTTGATAAGGAACAGAGGAGTTGCTTTCATTTCATTTCAATGGTGACATTCACCTAATTCCTGTCATGAAACAATGGGTTATTTGCTTCTTTCTGCCCTTCTACGCGGGATTGGGATAATTTAGGAGATTATCCACCAAACTATACAACTGAACCGCAATTCTGGCCAATGGGAACCCTCTATTCATTCTCACCATGGTTGGGTAATGGGGTGAGTGGCTTTAATTAATGTGATCTCAACCTAACACGTAAGCAAAGGCTTGTGATCTGTCTGGTTCAGACTAGGATTCTAGTAAAGTTGACAAGTGTTCATTCTATATAAACTAGCAGAGACCCGCTCGCTACGCTTCGCGCATAAGCGAAACCATAACCCTTTGCGCATAAACGAAACCATAATATCATTTTGTATGAATCATAATATAAGTTTCAATTGAATAACACTAATTCATTGTATTTCTAAGGTAAGTAGGACATACGTAATTAATCAAAGCATTAGATGGCATAAAAAGTTAATAAAGAAGTCTGTGAATAGATTCGTTTGTCATGCCAGGATTGTTGTCTATAAAAGCATATTACAAAATACATTACAGACTGTGCCCACAGGTTGGCTTCCACGTTGTGTGTGTTCTCACAATTAAAGAGCAAAGGGCCAAGCAAACCTGTGAATAGTAGTACACGACTCAGATTGAAAGGGAAAGGAAGGAGAATAAGGTTTGTAGGCGAAGTACCAGGTCAATAATTATGCAAATTGGCTGTAGCCTGGAACTCCATAACCGACAATGAGTATTTTTCATAATGGGAAGGCTCCCAACAAAACATAGTCTAGCAATTAACAGATGACTCGAACACCTACTATACAATCTACAGGTATGCAGGTTCGAGCTTCAAAAAGGCAGCGATCATATAAGTTCTTGAACTGCCTGGGGATCATAATGCGGCAGCTTAGGATCGAAGAGCAAGAACAGCTGGCACTCAGAATACAGCAAGAAGAAGGTCGATTCTAGACTAACTTTGCAGTTAAAACATGCACAATAGGAACCGGTGTTAAGGGTAGCAGGTTATGCAGGTAAAAAAGTATGGGCATGATTGAAAACAAATTGCATTAGTGAGGATATTAAAAAACCAATCTTTTGCCATCCAATCTGTTGACATTGTGAAAACTTGCACTATTTTAACGTGGCCTTTCTGCAACAGGGCATCACGTCAAAGCAAGATAGCCTCCAAATCCCATGTTGGTATCCATATAAAAAACTAATATAAGCTGCAAATGAACATAAAACAGATTGAAATGGTCACTAAAGATATACCTTATCAAATGCGAAAATGAGCTTAAGTATCTATAAAATAACAATGCAGGTCCTAGATAATAAAAACACAAGCATGTGGAACATGTTCTTTATTACGCAAAAGTTTTGCTTCCAAGTAAAGAAATTGCCTAAATTGAAATGGGAGAACTGCAAGCAAATCTGGAAGAGTTCTACAGGTAACTCATAGTTAATAATGAGAGCAGGACCTAGAGAAGAATTCTCACCTCCCAGCAATCTATAACTTTTCACACACCAGAGGCGAATTCAAACATCATTTTACACAAAGACTAAATGAAATTTGCAAGTAGAAGACCCTTAAAAGCTCATATCCTAAACATCTGAAGCAACCATGCCAAGCAAATCTAAAGTACTTCTAAGTATTTATAAATTTACTACTTTAATTTGGAACTTGATCATGAACATGAGAAACAACTAAAAAGAACCAGCAACACTGAAATAATCAAGCGCTTCGATCCAAGAGTTGAAACACTTACTAAGGCTGTAACAGAAAACAACAAAGATATTGTTTCCCTCGATCAGTATCAGACAGTGAATATGAGCACTTCCTTGATAACTTCAAGAGCTGAAAAAGATGGGATTGTACAGTCAACTACAGTAAGAATGTGATTTGATGAGAACTAATAATCTGGAAGCAAAGGTAAATGATCAAGCATTTCAAACTGTTGGTTCCTTAATAAATATGGCATCAACATTTCACAACTACTAAAGGTATATACGAACTCATGAGTCAATGAGAAGAAAATCAAAACTAACCTTGTCACCTAACCAAAAAGCATTACTATAAAGTAAGGAAATCGAAAGTGTAAAAATGACTACTTTCATGAAAAGAGTCGCAAAATAGAAGTGGATGCAAGTGCTGCTTGGTGTGATTCTCCTTTGCTGTGTTGGCGTCCACACAGTCCAGAAGCAATAAATCTTGAACCTAGAAATAAGCAAGAGCATAGAGAGGCAACAAAGCTAGTAAGTAAAACACAGTAGTGGCCAAGGTATTAAGATTTGCCAAATCAAGAAACTAAAAACACAACCATGCTTGAGAATGGACAGAAAGGAGATATGAAAACAGAATAGCAGCTGAGAGTACCAATAGGCATCAAAGCAAGAATGGCCAAGAAGTTTGGTTGAGAAGCAGAAAGGAGATGCGAAAAATGAATGGCAGCTTAGAGTCCAAACCAACCCTAGGTTCCAAAAGAAACCATTTGTTCTCTGAGCGGTCAAGTAAGCGAAAAAGAATAGGAAATTGGCTCTAGAAGCATGAAACTAATTGGATCGCCAAATTGGATTTAAACCCCAAAACAAAAGGCTATTTTGTGGTAATATAGATCTCTCCAAACCCTCACTTGCCTCCCTCCAATTCTAGAAAACCCATCATCTTCTCAAACCCAATAGAAGCATTGACGTTTCTGAGCAGTAGAAAAAGGCAAAGATAAAACTGAAATAAAATCCAAATAAGTAATGGTGAGAAATTCCAAATAATTACCTGCCGCTATCGAGTTCCATGGGCATCATCTCTGGTTTTTCTTTCCTTCTTCTTCTTTTTTGTTCCCCCACGCAAGGTGAAGGCTTTTAACAAACTCACAGCATGGCCATCATCACCCTGGCTTCACCTAATTGATTCGATTGTAAGCAACACCTGAGAAAGGGGGAAACAATCGTCGTGTAAAAGCTGGCCTGGCAGGCACGAAGAAAGAAGAGACAGCGAACAAAGAGAGAAGGTCACCTTGGTGTAAGAGGGGAGATCTGTAAAGCTTGAATCAGATCCGGGAGGAGGCTGGTGAAGTTGGGAAGCTGAGGCGGTCGTTCTGGGGCTTTTGGAGCTTGGATTCAGCCGAATCGCAGCGGAATTGCTGGGTTTCGAGTGCTGAGTGCTGGGTTTCTGCTCAGGTCGCTCCAATCGCTTCAACCTTTCCATTAATATCCATCGAAGACAACACGGGTAGGGGCAGAATTCACTCCTCCAGAGGCATCCCTGGACTCTGTTGTTTCCCTTATTCAGACGCTCCCAACGTATCCAAAACTTCCTTGGCGGAATTCAAAGTCTCCCAGTCCTTGCTCATTGAGATTCCAGATCATGTACACCTTATCGAGAACTTGGCCACCATGGTGGATTACGCGGCATCGTTGGAACGCTTAAAAAGTGGGTAACAACTGATAATATAATGGAGGTGGCGGAGGGATGGTGGAGAAGGGGAAGGCTACATGGAGCAGTCCGGCGAAGCTGGGATTCCGCCGAGGTATGATCGACAGCCCAGAGATGGACGGGACAATGAGAGGAGGTATGTGAAAGATAGGAGTCTTTTCTGTGAGATGAAAATTGGTATTCCATCGAGAGGAGGAGAGGGATGGCGTGCTCCGTGCAAGAAGAAAGAAGATGAAGCAGAGTGATAGTGAAGGTTGCGTATGGAAAGGAGAAGCAAAAGTGAGTGGGGAGTGCAGAGGTACATAGTAGCATCCGATGGACAAAGAGTAAATCCCAAGGTTTTTGGACGGCGAGTGGGGTAATAGGGATTGGAGGGTTTTTGTGTGAGAGGAGAAGCAGATCACGTGGACAAATGAAGGGCAAACGTTTGGGCCTCCACCAGTCGCAGAGGAGAGAGTAGGGGCCACTAATGAACAGTAATGGCAACCAAGGCTTTTATATACCAACAACAACAATACCTGGTGGCTATAGCTAACAATCATCATCCCCTGTTTCGAGCATCAAATCCCCTGTTTCGAGCATCCAACCACCTCTCTCTCAATCTGAAGCCTAAATCCCCTTGTTTTCCACTCTCTCTGTCTCTCTCCCACACCATCACTTCCAAGTTCCAACTCTCTCAATCAATTCAGTAGCCCCAATCGCCACTTCCTCATCGACCAGGAAAAATGTCACCGCCGATTTCCTTTCACCTTACCTGCGTTCTCATTCCATTCCTCCTTGTCGTCCACTTCCCTTTGACCTCGCCACAACTTCTCAAGGGTTGTGGGTTTTCGGCGATATACAATCTCGGTGATTCCGTGTCCGACACCGGAAATAACCTCGTTCAGTTTGATTTCGGTGGATCCGGCCAGTACCCCTACGGGATGACCGTCGGGAAGCCAACCGGAAGATTCTCCGATGGCCTTCTTCTGATAGACAGAATCGGTGAGTACTCCAAACAGCCACAACGTACACTATTTTAAGTTTTATTGACGTTTTCTCAGCTTTGAACCCTATTTGTTTCGTGTGTTCCATGTTCATCTTTTTTGCTTCTTGTCTTCGTCTACCTAATGGCTGGTTTTCTGCTTCCACCCTACTCATTCCATTAGGGTTCTTTCATTCTTTACGTACCTACTACTAACTAACTCCTTATTCTTTCATTTTTTGGTTTTAAACCAGCTGAGTCGGCAGGGTTACCACACTGTAACCCTTACCTGAGAAAGGACATGGACCACTCTAAAGGCGCAAACTTCGCCGTAGCCGGAGTCGGCCTCCTCTCCAAGGCTCAACGGGATAAATTCGGCATACACTTTAACTATTCGCAAAGTGGCCTGGACGAACAGCTCAAATGGTTCGTCAACTACTCCAAGGAAGCATTCCCTAATGAATCAGCCCGCAAGGCCAACTTCGAATCGGCCCTGTTCGTACTAGGCGGAGGGGGAAACGATTACGGCGGTTTTAAGGTGGGAGTCGAGGAGAAGAAGAAGATCATGCCGTATGTGATTGGCGTCCTCGAAGAAGGACTAAAGGTAATCGATTCCATCATCACATCATTTTCTAATTAGTTTCAATCTCAAGTAATTATAATATACTGACCCATTTAGTTTCTTCCGTTTCTAATTCCCAGACGGTGATTCACCATGGTGCGAGAAGGATCGTCGCGATGGGGGTGTACCAAGCAGGGTGCCTACCCGGGTTCAACAAGACGATACTGGAGCACGATCAAGGCCCGATCGTGTGCGACAAGCAATGGAATTCGTACCATGACTTGCACAACAAGCAGGTGCAGAAGCTGGTCCTTGAACTTGGAAAGGAGTTCCCACACGTCCATCTCGCTTATGGCGACATATGGGACGGAGTCCAATGGATGTTCGACAATTACCGATCCCTCGGTACGTCCCTTAGCTCCGTTTCTTTGTACTAATCAATGCTTTTTAGTTGGTATTTTTAACAATTTGTGTGAGTATTAATTTGCTGAGTTTGATAAAAACTTATGGTTTGTGATTGCTTCGTAGGGTTGAAGCACACAAGCTATGCAAGATGTTGTGGAACCGAGGAGCACAAAACGTGTGGTGAACCCGGTACCCCCTTCTGCAAGGATCCGTACCATTATATATGGTGGGATAACTTCCATTTCACAGACCATGCATATCAGCTTATCGCGAGGAAAGTGATTCCATGGATCTACAGTGTGCCAACTATAACTCTACAAGCTTCAAATCGGGTGGAGTTCGTGTTGCTGGAAGCATCCATCAGCAGCACCTCTTGTTCTCGTTTGCTGTAATGATTGTTATCTTCCTTTTTGGTGTCATGGTACTAATGTATCGTGGTTATATGTACTAATGGATCGTGGCTATATATATACTAACATAAATCTGAAATCTTCGTACATAGTACTTACTTCCAATGCAAGACCATTATGGTCCCATTTCCACAAAACGTTGAATGGAACATCAACCTTATTACATTACAAAAAGCTTTCAAGTAATATCCATCTTTAACTAAATTTTCTCAAAGCATTCAAGGCCAAGTTCATCATAGTTCATGCTATCGCTGACAAAGGCCCTGTACTTGGCTCGACCGACGCTGTTGGATGCAGTAATATTGAAACTTTTAATTTCTATAGTGGGCGATGCATGGTAATAAGTACCCTCGTCCACGCTTACCAGCTTCAACTGTTGAGAACCCGGGAGCACCTCGTTGTGCTTCGTCACCGCAAACCGAGCCAGCTTCTGATTGTACCACCATTGCAGCTCCTGGCGAGACAGCGGAAACGGTGGCCCGTAGTGATCGTATTTGTAACACAACGACGCTATCGGCTTCACGAACACAAGGACGCCGATTACCATGAAGACGAGTGTCGCTGCTAATGCTGAAGGTGACCCCTTTGTCATTTTTTAGACTCTGTACTTTTGTCAAAAGTCAAAACTATATATTGGTTGATATTCTTGTGTGAGAGCTTAGTATTTATAATCAAATCGTCTATCTCAACTAGTGTTTTCTCTTTGAAAGTTTTAAAAAATATGTCTTATACAAAAATTTATTAGTATTTACTGTTACAAAAGTATTTCTTGGCAAACGATTCATTAATCCATTCATAATACAAGTTAATAGTGTTCAACTTTATGTGTTAGTCTAATTAAGTGTCATTAATTCTCTTTCATGATGTGCATAATAAAAACATACATACGTTGATGTTAAAGCCAGTAGTTTTTGGAATAACCGAATGAAAACAATTATGTTTTGTAAGGAAAATTTAATTAGTTCTTTATTTATCTTCTTCATTTCAGCATAACCTAAAATCTTATTGACATGGTTGAATGAAGAATCTTTCAATAAAAATTATTCATGAACTTTTATGCGACAACCACACTTCTCAATTTTCCCATTGCAAACAATTTTCCTGTCCAATTTCATCTTGCTAGTAGAGGTGGCAATTTCAATCCAATCCACCAATCCATTAAAAATATCCACCTAATCCAATCCATTTAAATCCAATCCATTTTATCCAAATCCAATTGGATTGGTGGATTCATGGATCATTGGAAAATTACGGTTTAGTACTTATAATTTTTATTTTTTACATTTTGGTACCTAAAATTTAATTTTTTATACGAAAAATATCATTGGAAAATTATGTTTTGGTACCTAAAATTTTTCATTATGACATTTTAGTACCTAAACTTTTTACATTTTACATATTGGTCATTGGTTGAGGATGTCATTTGGATTCATGGATAATCCACCAATCCACTTGATCCAATCCATGAATCCACCAATCCATTAGATCCAATCCATTTGATCCATGGATCCACCAATCCAATCCATTTGCCACCTCTACTTGCTAGCATTATGTCTTAGACAACTCCTCATTCATCTTATGAATCATGATGGTATCTTGCGTAAATATCATGAATATAAAGTAGAATGATGTTGAAGTTATCATTAAGGATCTTTTGTAGTTATGAACAACCACGAAAGATCAGGCGTACATTGGTGAGTTTTTAGCTCCAACCTTGGTTAGACGCAAAAGTTTCAACCAATCATATGTCAATTTTTTATTGGTGATTTCATCTTTTTTTATATATATTTTAATCCTTGATTTATTTAGCAAAATTAAGAACATTAAATATTAAGAAAAAGGAAGGTGATCGAGTCCACCAATAACAAACTGACATGTTGGATGGTTGGAGCTCCTGCGTCCAACCAAGATTGGAGCTAAAAAAATTCCGAATTTGAGTGCTTCGAAAAATGTTTAGTCTCATGCAATTAACAAAATGGTAATGATAATGCAAGATGATACCTATAAGTGTAGAAAAGCATGGTAGAAAAAGTGGGTGTTCAAAGTTCAAAATTAAAGAGTGGAGAGAGGGGATGGAAAACTACCTAACCGCACTTTTTAGTAGAGGGCTTTCAATTGAAGATATAGAGTTGAATTTGATAAGATGTTATGCATTTCTTCAATGATGAAGATGCAATTCATTCGAGCTTTACTATAACTATTAGTTCCTCTAAATACTGAGTAGGAATATTTACACGTAGAAAAGTATATCAAAGTTAAAGAAAGAGACACGTGACTTGACAGTTGAAGAATCGTCTTTATTGCTTGAAAGCCGTACTTTTGATTCTTTTGTGGTTGTTCATAAGGGACGGGATACGGTGACAACCCTTTGGAGGTTGTCAGATTCACAACCAAGGGTATTTTGGGTATGAAAAAAAGGAATATATTAATTACTTTTTTTGTAATAATTATATTGGGAATTAAAAACCCATATTTAAATACAAATTTAAATCCTACAAAAGATTCATAAGTTGAATGAGGAGTTGTCTGAGACATATTGCTAGCAAGATACCATTATTGTGTTTCTTTATTTAATAGCGTGCACCACTGTCCATTTCACTCGTAGGTCCCTCTTTGGGTTAATTGCATGGTTGGTCACTGAGATTAAAAAAACGTTCATGTTTGGTCACTGAAAATATTTGAATCCAATTCTGGTCAATCAAATTAGTTAAATGGTTCAAGTTTGGTCACTCTCAGTCCATTTCCGTTAACTCTAGCTTATGTGACAGTCAACTTTTATAGTTGACCATTAAATACGTGACGTGGCATATAAAAAATTATTAAAAAATAAACAATAATCTTTTATATTTTCCACCTCATTATTACATTCATTAAAAAAATCCTAATTTCTTTTCTTACACAACCCCTACCCTACCCGACCCAACTTCACCACCACCATAACCCAACTCCGGCCCGGCAGTGACATTCCCTCATTTCGCCACAGCTTGCGATACTCCTCTCTGGCGTCCGGCTATCATTTCAACCGCCGCCACATCTGGATGCTTCTAATCCTCCTCCGCACTACCTATAGCGATAGACAATGCAAGCGGGAAACATCCAACAACATCGACCGATGTTGAAGAAATTGACTACAGCGAAGGCAACCTTTGCTGGAATAGAAGAAATTTCCTCTCTTCCCCAAAATATCTCCACCGTCGCTACCACATAATCGCGCTCCTCTGCCGCAAAAAAACTCCCTAATTTTGAATCGTAACTCCAGCCACCATCCCACGGAAGCTTCAAGGTTCCTTGTTCTTCTCGTCACTCCTATCATAGCATTGATGAATGACATGTATTTGATTTTTTGTTGGAGATTCCATGGTTGCAGATCTGCTGGTCTCCGACGTGAAATAGAAGCAGGAAAAGTTGTGGTTGAATGGCCTCTCTCCAAATCGATAACCAGGAGAGGAGATCTACCACGTTATTGAGGGTCTAAGGGAGGAGGGCGCAGACAAGAGGACGACAGTCAGCCGGATCCAGGAGCGAGGGAAAGAGATCAAGAGAATCAATGACGGCGAGTTGCACAGTCAGAGGTGCAGACAGGAGGACGGCAGCGGAATGAACCCGGAAGGCAGCGGTGGCTTCGGACAGACGTGGCGACAGTTGATCTTTTATAAAAGACAAGTGATGATTTCTATTCATTTTCTATTTTTCAAGCCGAATCCACTTTACTGAGCTCAGATACGGAGAAGGCATTAGCTATTGCGGTGGCCGCAGGCAGAGGAGACAAAAAAAAAAAGCGCGATCACAATTTTCAGGGTAATGTGGAACACGAATGGCAAACTTGTAATAGATGGAAAAGTAGTATGGGTATTTCTGGGTGTTTGGACTGATGTCAACACCTAGTGTCTTCCTAGCCAAAAAACTTGGCTTTTAGCTATAGAAGAATTATTAGATTTTTGTTTAATGAATGTAATAATGAGGTGAAAAATATAAAAGATATATTTTTTTTAATATTTTTTTAATTGCCACGTCACGTTTTTAACGGTCAACTATGAAAGTTGACTATCACGTAAGGTAGAGTTAACAGAAATGGACGAAGAGTGACCAAACTTGAACCATTTAACTAATTTATGTGACCAAAATTGAATTTAAATATTTTCAGTGACCAAACAGGAACATTTTTTATAATCTCAATGACCAAACATGCAATTAACCCCTCCCTCTCTTGACTTTTTTGCTCAATCTGTTTTCCTTCCATCTTGGCGAGAGTTTAGGAGAGGGGAATCAAAATCCACCTACCACATGTACATGCCAGCGCCTCACTGAGCAATTTTGACTTGGTATAAGAGAATAGATAAAACATGGGCAAATGTTATTGTACATACATTTGCTCTCGAATCAAAGCCGATGAGAAAGTATGAACAATTGTCTTATTTGCACTGAAATGTCTGGCACTAATGTCGTCAGACAAGAGTAACATGGAGCTGACAGCCACCCAAACCCTGTTCTGCTAAGCGACAATCACAAAAATCATTCTCTATGATACACTTTTCTTCAACCATATAGCCACGGAACAATTAACCACCACCCTCCTCATCTATTGTCACAGACCCTTTAACAAGTAACCAACCTATACCACCTCCAATTCCGTCATGTAAGTAAGAAGAAACAAAAAAAAAAAAAAAAATGTAACAGAAGCAAAATACACTTAACAACACAACAAATCTCGAATCAATCACTGTAAGTCTGTAATGTACCTATCTCCCCCGTGGATTAACCAGCTGCGAGAACACAGCACTGGTCGTGGCACCTTCGCCGTCGTCGTCCGTCCCCGAATTCCCGCCTCCATCGACCATCATGCTCACGCTGTTATCGAACTGTTCCACCGGCGTCAAGGCGATCCCCGGTATGTGATTCGTGCTGTTGTCGTCGGCCTCAGTCAGCGCCGCGGCCAACGAAGTCTCCTCCAGCTGCAGCGCGTACTCGAGGTTCCACAGCACGTCCCCCATCGACGGTCGATCGACACCGTACTCGGCCAGACACTTCTCCGCCGTCTCGCCGAACTTCTTCAGCGACGCCGGGTTTACTTTCCCGGCGAGGTTCTTGTCCATGATCTGGGCCAGCATTCCCTTCTTCTGCCATGTCATCGCCCACTCTGCTATGTTCACTTGATCCCTCGGGAGAACAGGGTTCAGAGCCGGCCGAGTGCAGAGCACTTCCATTAGGACCACGCCGAAGGAGTAGACGTCGGATTTCTCGGTCAGCTGCTGCCTTCTGAAGTACTCGGGGTCGAGGTAGCCGAAGCTGCCCTTCACGGCGGTGCTGACGTGGGTCTGGTCGATGGCCGGCCCGGTTTTCGACAGCCCGAAGTCGGCGACTTTGGCCACGAAGCTCTCGTCGAGGAGGATGTTGGTCGTCTTGACGTCTCTGTGAATGATGCTCTGAGTTGCGCCTGTGTGGAGATAGTGCAGCCCTCTGGCGGCTCCGATGCAGATTTCAAGCCGTTGCTTCCAGGACAAGGATGGCAAGTTTGCACCGTACAAATGGCTTCTCAGCGGACCATTGGCCATGTACTCGTAGACGAGGATCATTTCAGAGCGCTCGTCGCAGTAGCCGATGAGAGAGACCAAGTGTCGATGTCTGAGCTTGGACAGCATTTCGATCTCGGTTCTGAATTCTGTGATTCCTTGCTCTGATCTTGGGTTTCCTCTCTTGACTGCAACATTAGTGCCATCTTCTAAGGTTCCTTTGTAGACTCTCCCGAACCCTCCAACCCCGAGAAGGAGGCTCTCGTCGAACTTGTTGGTCGACTCCATGATTTCCTGGAATGAGAAGAATCGGCCGAGGTTTGTGGAAGCCAGTGAGATGCAGCTGGCTGTGGCACTCTTGTGTGAAGTTGTGGACATTTTTGAAATGGTCTGGGAGATGCTGTATAAGGGTAAAGGCAGCCATGAATGTCCCCCCTGCTGCTGATGAGGGGCCTTCTTGCCAGCTCTCCTGCAGATGCAGCAGAGACCGAGTATGACGAATGCAGCTATAGCTCCAAATGTGGAACCGATTATGATTCCTACATTATGGCTCCTTGAATGGGATTGTGGAGTGAGACTCTCCACTGAGGAAACCCCATCCAAGCTTTTGACATCGTTGCTGATCTTCAATATCTCCAGCCCGTTCATGGTTGCGTTGGTGATGTCTGCCGTTGTATCAGGACCAACACTGACCATCAATGTATCGGGTGACTCTGTCGATGAGTTGGAGACAAAGTCACGGTAGTATGGTACACCCAACCCACCAGTGATCGTTGAGAGATCGAGGCCTTGGGCGAGATCATCATTTACATAAAGGTTGAACACTAGAGTGTTCAGAGCTCTGCTGATGATGTCACAGAAATGGACTCGAACCAAGTACCTGAAGTTTGGGTTGACTGGAAGAACCCAAGTCATGTTGAAGTTCGCATTCGTGACACTCGGATCTCCCATGGCAACAGCAGTGGCATAGACCATGTTTGGAGCTGTCTCTGGTTTAAGTGCAGCAGGGTACCTTATGGATGAAGGATTGGTCGAAACATCCACAGCAGAGTTGTTGACATGACGATACTCAGCATCATTCTCCCACACTCTCCCCAGAGTGTCGTTTTCAGAGGTGATCAACGGTCCGCCCATGTTCAACCGGTAAACGGTTTCATAAGCCAGATCAGAAAGGCCATCAACAGAGGTGGAGGGGTTGAGAGTCCAAGCTTGGTCAGGGAGAACTGCATCAGGGATAGAAACAACTTCAATGGCGTTGACAAAGGCCACCGAGTTGTTTGAAGGAATGAAAGAAAGGGCCAAAGTGTCTGAAGTCACATTGACTGAATACTCCTTGAACATGTAAGTGCCGTTGTAGTTCTTGAATGCAAAATTGTGCAAGAGCACATAGTCCTTTGTGACGACGGAGATGGATGCAGACGTCAAGTTCTGGGCAGAGCCCGGAATGGGGTAGAAGTAAAGGCGGATCCAATGCCGACCCTGTTGCTGAATGTCGAAGCTGTAAGTAGCAACGCTGGAGAAGATACGAGCAGACTGGTAGATCGGAGATGGGAAGCTTGCATTTGAGGTAGTAACATTACTACCACTGGAAGTTGCAGTCTTTAATGAGAGAGAGGGATGCTCAGAATCAGGAACAAAAGTTCTGCCTTGGAAAGTGACATCTTTGGTTGAACCACAAGCAATCAGGTAGTTATCAGGTGGAGTGAAGGCGGCCAGTGATCCATTCTGACCAATGAACTCCACCAAAACAATTACAAGCAGTATCGAAAACGAAGCTTCTAGCTTCATCTTCACCATTCCCACCAGTAAACACACACAAATCCCAAAAGAAAGCCTAAATTTCTCTAAGCTAAAAAATTGGAGACCTCCTCACAATCCTGCCCCAAAATTAGACTCCAACTACAGAACTCAAAATACCTCTGCAGGAGACTGCAACAAATAATCTAGAAATGGTATGAGAGAGGAAAGACCCCTGCTGCCAGAGTATGCAGACCCCTTACCTCGAAGAGGGGGCAGAAATGTGAAGAAGCTGCCGGAGAGATAGGGGAATTGAAGCTTCTCTGAGTCAAAAGATCGAACACCTGGTGGGCATTTCGAATTGGGGGAAAGAAGGGGAAGGGAAGGAGGGGGGGAGAAAGAGAAAACCGAAAAACCCAGGTGGGGAGGAAGCCGTTAAATGCATATGTAGTGAGCGAGTGGGCAACCATCACAGCAGCTTAACGACAAACAGCACTGTCCAGGCTGGTGATCAGCCTGTCATTTTACCTCAGCCCAAATGGAGAAACTGGAAAATAATAAGTCCCCACACAGCTCCAGAGCAAGAATAGGAAAACATATAAAAAGAGCCACACAACCAAGGGAAAAGCGGTCGCTGGGGCATGTGGGTTTGTGAAAATCTTTGCCAAGATTGGAACTTTGTGGCGGAGAAATGGATGGCTTTTCCAACTTGGGGATTTTATTTATTAATGCAGGTAGGAATAGTTTCGGAGTAGAATTAAGCTGCCGGGAGGAAGCTTTTATTCTTCCATTTTTCCTTTTCTGTTGCAGAAACAGAGAAGAAGCAATTTGGTGGAAGCGAAATGGGGGTCTGGCCTGGTACTCTCTGGTTGCTGCTGCTAAATGCTGCGCTGGGGACCAACAATCCTGCGGCCGGGCGGGTCCCGCTTTAACGCGGCAATTGCAATCTGCAAATGCGCCGAGAATGGCGGGGAAGGGGGAAGTTGCCACTGACAGCTGCTTGCTCCCCGGCAATATTTCTCAACTCCGATGTTTAGTTTAGTATTTACAACTTTGTACCTAATTCGATGTGTCAATTTATTTATCTCGTGATTCGATAATTCGAGATGGAAGGAGATGATTTGAAAAAAAGGATCTCAAGAGTGTCTAAGGTTAGTACGAAAATCATTTGATGCCTTATCTGAATACTTCAATTAGAGCATTTTTGCGTTAACTCGAAATATAAGTGTGAAAATATGAACATTGTAACCTGCATTTTCGTCACAAAATTTGAAGCAAGAATTACACATACCGAACATTCATTGATGTCGCCGTTGTTGACGTCAAGAGGAAACCCCTGCCCTGTCAATCCCGCTGGCGGTGGGCACATGGCCACCGTAGTAGTAGTTGTCCCTACCCCCTCTCTCTCTAATCCTTTTCATATTCTTCGTATCTACATTTTTATTCCAAAAATGGCTGGCGTCTGGAGAAACACAGAAAAAAGAAATGGTTAGCTCAGCACAATTTTCTTTCTCATTATTTCAAAAGGAATCGGTCAACAACTAATGTACAATAACATAAGTCGAAATAAAATTTGGATTGCTCGCTTTTTCGAACTTATAGAGTAAGGTACTTCGAATGTGAACTCTAAAATTGTCGTCATAACACAAATTTGAAACGACACAAAAACGAAGGATACGATCCCCTAATAAAAAATACAAGGGAACATTTTTCTGCCAAGAATATATCAAACCTGTATGTGTCTCTGCATACCATGTCAAACAACTGGAGAGTTGTTGCATCACTGCATTGCATTCTGATTTGCCGAATCGAGGTTCTGATTGATTATCTGCAGGAACCTTCCAGGGGAAATGGCCGAAGGCCTCGACAGTGAAGCCGTCAAGAATTGTTTGGGTTCCTTTCATGTACTTCAGAGGATCATCCTCCTTCCCAGCATTGTAAAGATTGACAGACGCTGCAGCATAGGCCACCTTCTGCGCTCCTCTGGCTTGAAGAGAAGTGCGACAATGCTGTCCAGCATTTTGCCCCAAGGGCAAGCAGCTGCTGGATCCATGAGAACAGGAGATTCGCAGATGAGTCTGCACGATGCAACAGCGACTAACTTGACCTCAATGTGCCTGGTAATCAACTTGAGTTTCGGAATCTAGAACTTGTTCAGAATAATAGCGAATATGCCAGCTTGAACTGAATTCTCGAGTCAATGAGGTTTGCAGGACCATGCTTGATCAGAAACGACGACATGAAGATCACGAGAGACTTGGTAAACTCTACCGTCTTCTTCTTCTGCAGGCAGGTGAATAGGGCAGCCCAGATGTGAACCATGTATGGAGAGATAATGGCAAAGTCAAGATTCTCAATAACAGTATTTAGAAGATGGTAGCCTCATTCCTCGGTACTAGGAGATGATACAAGCCGCTCGAAAATTCCAAGCACCTGGCTCAGCCTCCCTTCTTGGTTAAGCTCATGTGGTGCTTTCAGGAGGAAAGACTGAAGTAGACGCACAAGGGCAGGAAAATTTGAATCTGTATTCTATAGTTCAGGAGTGAGAAGGAGCATAAAGACCTGCATGTAACCAGGAGAAATAGGAGGCTGATTCAACTCAACCAGCTGGGCCAAGAGTTGAAAAGCATAAGGAAAGAATTCAACCACATTCTTGGTCAAGATCATTTCAAGGCTCGGGAATAATCTTGCTTCAAAAGCTGGTACGAGAGAGATGTCCCGGTTACATGCTCGCCTCACAAGAACGGCTACTGACTCAAAGAGATAGTGGTTGAAGATGGGGTTTTTGGGATTTTCACAAACTTGATACACTTCTACCACACCAATCACTATCATGATACATTTCATGATATACTGATTCTCTTCAGACTATTAAACCTTCAGTGCATTAAAAAGGTTATTCATCAGCACTAGAATGAATGGACACAAATCAGCTACAGTATACCTTGCCCGGGCTCCATCATCCTTGACCGTAGTAGTTTCTCTGTACAACAGGCAGCAAAAGAGTGAACTACATTCGACTTTGTCCCAAGGAACCGAGCCAAATCTGGGAGCAACTGAATCGCGAGATGCTTTGGTAACTAATTTCTAAACACTCTGAAGAACTTAAGGGCACCAGCTTTGAGCAGTGGATATGGATTAATATCCTGGCTCTGTAACTCAGGAATTATTTCTGAGACAAAGAAGTTTTCACCATTAACTATGTCATCAGCTAAAACATCGACCCCCCCTAGATTTCTTGCTCGCTAGAAACACAATTAGATACATTGCACAGTGCTTGTTTTTCCAATTCACCGTTGGATTAGCAGCATGAGCAGAAACTATAGCTGTTACCTGCCCCGTGTAATTCATTGCAAACCCTTTCAGCAATTCACACGCAATCCTCCTTCTTGTGTCGAGATCGCTACCCTCCACATCTCTCCTGACATGCTCTATAAAATTCATATCAAAAAGATCTTCGTCATCCACTCATCCTTCCTTAAACGAACATTCGGGGATCACAATGTTTTTAGAAATCGGTCGTATCACATCATCGTTTCTGAAGAAAGCATGGTGGACACTGGTATTCACTGCAGTTAAGAACTTAATCGCAGTGGCGGCCAACCTATCACGGGTATGATCCTTAGGCACATCCACCAACAGATTTCGAACAGCATCTGCGAAGCTATTCAAGTAGGAGTGGAAGGCTTCTTCATCCTTCTCCGTATATAGAATAATATTCTCACACACATCAACTCTAAGCTCATCGGGAACAGCAGGATGAGTGGAGGTCAAATCCAAACTCTAGCATCCATTCACTGATATGATACTTTCCAAACATATATAGAAGCGGCGGTCCTAAGGAACATTTCGAGCCAGGAGCATCAAAATTGACAAGGCAGTACTTCAAATCAATGCAAAGATCATTATCCGCGTGTTGATACCTGAATTTCTTGAAGATCGATTTGCCCGTCCCGAGTACACCATTGATGTCGGCGTAATTGTAGTTCGAGGGATCCGAGCCAGAGATTGCTGACGAGCTCAGGGAGCAAAGAGGGCCATGATATGGGGAATTCGTGCTTGCCGATGAGGATAAACAACTTCGCTGAGCTGCGACTGAACGTGAGGAGAAGAGGACGGCGAGGGATGAACTCGGAATGATTAGGGTTCCGATCTGGTTCTTCTAATCGTCGGTGATCGGGCTGAATTCGGAATCCTGAACAGACACTCAACGCTGAAGGATGTGATTCTTGAAATTGACAGCCGCGGCGTGACGGATGTCCATCTCCTCGTCGAAGTTCGGCGTCCCGACCAAGTTGAGGACGGCGAGGGCGAAATTGGGCGCGTTCGCGGCGTCGTTCAGCGGCCTTGCGGGGTTCGCCGTCTTTGGACAAAGTGTCGAGGCAACACTGGGCAGGGAAGCCGGAGCTCAAATCCATGATCGGCGAAAATGCTGGCTCGGGTCGGGAAGTTCGGTGCTCGCTGTAGGGTTTCTCTAGGGAGAAGAATATCAATGAGAAAAGAAAAAAAAAACAAAAGAAGATCAGTGAGCGGGAAAATGGAGAGGTGAGGGCTTATGAAATAATCACGGCGGGATGGATTAATGGATACACATACATTTATATAGGTTTGCTTTTATCGGTGGAAAATGAAAACCCACACGCGCTTTACTAAGTGGGTAGGGCTGCAATAGCTACTCGCGAGCAACTCGAGACTCGAATCGGAAAAAATTCGTTCGAAACTCGATTCGTTTACTAACGAGCCAAGTTTGAGCTTAGCTTTGTTCAGCTCGTGAAGCTCGCGAGCTAGCTCGACTCGGTGGCTTGTTGAGCTCAACTCGTGAGTTGGCTCATTTAAAGCTCATGAGATGTCTCAACATTGTGGTTTGAGGGCCAACTTGATCACCGACTTATGGACTAATCGATCTAATTTGGACTTTCATAATTCATAGGATTGTTAAATTATATATCTCACATCATGTGAAGTTTAACATGTTGAACATGTAAGAAAATATATGCCTTATTTTTAATTCCATAAAGAAATTATGTACAAAATTGTTTCGATACTATGAAATAACATGATTTGAACTAGTTAAAATTTATTAACTAAACAATATGACACCTAAAAATTATAAAATAAGATTAATTAATGTTGAACATTTGATTTTTTTTTTATCGCTACATCAATCACATGTATCATGCACGACATACAAAATGTATGTATCAAATACGATCTAAGAATTTAGTAAACAAGACTAGCTCGAACTTGACTCGACTCAGCTAGTTAATAAATGGCTCGGGCTCGAGCTCAGCTCATTTGTTAACGAGTCAAACTCAAACTGGGGTAAAACTCGGCTCAGCTCGACTCATTTGCAGCCCTAATGGTGGGAGAAGAACTACTATTCCAATACCTATAATTTTCCTCCACGAAAACATGGTACTAAAACTTTTTATACTTTGACGATCTGACCCCAAATTCTCCTTCTTGATTCTCAACATCCTTCTAAGTTCTAAGAGATCCTTTAACAACTAAAGATCATGAATTCAAACTCTATAAATCATTACATCCGTCTGAACTATACTGCTTATTGCAGCAGGCGAAAATATGTTTGCACAAATTTCGACCATTTTCACATTCGTAAATGAGATGTAATAAGATGTGATATACTTGTTTTCTCTTTTCGAACGCAAACTAGATACTTATTCGTATTGTTATCATGAAAAAATAAACATATGTTTTAACACATTTTACAATCATCTAACTATAATTGATTTTGTGACTATGACCAACACTCCATTCCTACATATTCCTAGCTATGAATGTGAAAACCTAGCCTCTCATAAAGACTTAACACTTCTTATATATGTTTTCAAAGCATTTGATCTGTTTTCGGTCACAACTTGTTCGATTGTCGATTTGATATTATCATTTGACCTGAGCACTTCTACTATGCTAAATAGTATTGGTGTTTTAATGTACAACTTGAAGTTGTACCATAACATTAAATGTATAAGTTTAGGTTATACCATAATGGAATTTGTATCATTATGTTATGGTACAACTTTACAACTTGAAGTTGTACCATCACATAAAGTACAAGTTTAAGTTGTACCATAAAAGAATTTGTACAAAAAGTATAGGTACAATCTTAAGTTGTACCATAACATTAAAGGTACAATTTCAAGTTGGACCATAAAGGTAAAAACCAATGTTGTCAAAAGGGAACCGGACTATGACCCGATAATGTGACGGTTCGGTCTTTAACGGTCCAACCGACATTAGACTGTTTAAAAACTGTTAGAGAACCGGTACCTAATAAACAATCATTATAAATATGGGACATTTCTTAATCAGTGTAAACCATGACTAAATTAGTAAATTACACTCTTAACAATTCTAGAACATTAGTACCAAAAGTTCTAAAATTCAACTACGGACCATCACATTGTTCCAAAATAAAAGTAATACCACACGAATCTAAACATGAAACAAGAGTTGAAGCAATAGAGCTTGGTGTTGTTGATAAGGTTCCACTATCTAGATTTGAATTACTCATCTGGAAAAAAAACACCAAATCACACAAATGAAGTGGACCGATTCTCGACCAAACAAATGCAAATTAAAATGCCAAAAAACCAACTCCCTGCCTCCTGTTAAAATGCAAACCGTGATTCTCTACCAATGCAATTAAAATGTTAAGAAATCAGCTCCCTGCCTCTTGTTAAAATCAGCTAACAACATCATTTCTTAAAGATTCCGAGTTTCCAAATGTTTATGTTGAAACAAGAACCCACACGAAAGTTAAAAGAAGGAATCAACAATTCAATATCTTACCTCGCCGTGGTCGAGCAGGGCAGTGACCGGTGGAGATTATGCGGAGATGAGACGGTCGCAGCAGGAGCAGGAAGATGGGGAGGAGCTGCTACGGGATAGCGATGGCGAAGATGGCGAGCGGGGCGAGGAGCGGCTACAGCATACGAGGACCGCGGATGACGACGATGGCCAGCGGGGGCAAGGAGTCTGCTATAGACGCGAGATGACGAGAGGAAGCGATGGCGATGACGACGCCGAGACGGGAGATAACGACCCCGACTGGGAAGCGATGCCGAAGGGAGAGGCGCAGCCGGGAACGTCGACTGGGAAGCGATGGCAATGACGATGTCGCCGCTATTCTCTCTATTTGCGAAGAAGACGGAAGGGGATGAATTGAAATCAGTCGCTATGGTTTTCTTTCTTTGCAGCCCAACCCGACAATTTGCGTTTTTGCTTTTGTTTGTTTTTTTATTAAATCAAAACGGCTGGAAGTGGTGAAAACCGAGCGGACGGCTCAACTGGTTAACCGCTCCGGCCGGCATCCAGCCGTTTCAAAAAGCCGTTCCGGCTAAATAGCTGATCTGAGCCGGTTTTGCGACCGGGTGACGGTTTTATTGGTCCGGCCGACCGATTCGGATCAGCTTTAATAACACTGGTAAAAACCTATAGCACCAATGCTATATAGCATCGTAAAATTCCTCCATTTTGACCCACCTTTGTTGAAATGAAACAAAATTACAATTTAAAATGAAAAAATTAGCTAAAGAATATTGTTCCTCTTTTATGGTACAATTGAGATTGTTGGATGTTGATCATGAATACTTTATTTGTATAGCTGTTGTTTATGGTCTTATGTTGTGCGTCGTAGATTGATGAAATAGTAGTTATTAACTTATTATTCTATATAAAAAAAAAACTATTTTAAACCACTACACGGCTAGACGGCAAACACGGGTCCGGATACTATAACAACACTCATAGTGTTGTTAGAGTAACAACAGGGGTAAAAACGGAAACTCACAAAAAATAATAAATTAAAAATTAAATCAAATGATTCATTACCCCACCCGTACCCTTCTCTCTCCCAGGTTTTCGTGCGACTCCGCCCATCGCAGCACTGGCTCAGATGACACCGATGGAGACGCGCCCCCACCGCCGGGGATTCCCTGCTACTATGTTCATGCCGGAGCAGAGAAGAGGCGGGGTCCGGGGAAGAATCGGTGGAAGGCGGAACGGTGGAGGAGGAGGGGACAGATCGCCGATTAATCCGGTCATCGTGCTCCGCGGCGGAGCGGACAGTGGGAGCCAGAGTGGGAATAGCTTCACCAGTACTGGCTACGGCGGCGAGAGCGGAGGAGGCGGAGGCCGTGGATTCGAGTTGTAATACGACGACGACGCCGGTTCTGGATTGAGGCCGCTGCCGCCGAGCATGTCGGAGTTTCTGCTCGGATCTGGATCATGCTCCTCGATGCCGCGTCCAATACAATCGTCACGTCGGGTCCGCTGTCTTCCATCAAGATTAAAATCGTTGTCCTGGACGGCGATTTCGGCTCTGTCGAAGATTGGTGCGCGAAGGATTTCAACGACAGTGTTATCAGAGAACGGGAAGGGAGGAGGCCGAAGATTGTACCATATCCCCAGGTAAAGGTTGGAGAAATTACCCAACGGGCTAACATAGTCGAACTGAAGCTTGAATATCCAATTTTCTGACGAAAATAGTTCTACTTGTCCATCTTCCCCACCATCAAATTTTTGCTCCTGTAGCAGAGTGGATTTCTGGTGACAGGGCCTTGCTAACAAGACCAGGTAGCATCCCAAGCTGACGAGGATTGTGTTCACAACTGTTGTTGATCCTCCTGCAGCCATTGATGATGCAAAATTTCGGATAGCAGCAGTGTAAATGCAGCTAGGAGCTACAAGCTAAGCGCCGGCGAGCATTAGATTAGGAGTCCCCGTCAACGGGCGATGACTTGATGACAATTGACATGAACATATTGTATTTCTGCTTGCGGTGTATCCGAAGGAAAAACTGTCTGCTGGGTGGTTTCGAAAAGTCTTGAGAACCCCACAAGTAAGACGTTTCCTCCGGCCCTGTAGAGAAGAAAAAAGATCAGCATGAAAGGGAAGCCAGTAAGAATGACCATTATTGTGTTTTTTTATCTCATAAAGTATACCATAAATATGGTTAATCAAACCAAAAAAATTGTATCATAAACCTTCTAATGCAGACCAATGACACGGTATAACAAACCACAAAAAGCATACAAAAAACCTCCCAATGCATAGCACAAATTCTCTAAAACAAACTAGAAACCTCACAAACCAAACCATAGAATTTTCGAAAGCACGCTACAAACCCCCTAATGCAAACCACAAACACGGTAAAGTAAAAAAAAAGCACACCAGAAACTTCCCAATGCATACCACAAATCCCCTAAAACACACCAGAAACCTCACAAAGCAAACCACAAATATTTTGAAAAGCACACCAGAAACACCCTAATGCAAATCACAAACACGGTAAAGCAAACAAAAAACGTCCTAATGCAGACCACAAATATATTAAAACAAACTAGAAACCTCGCAAAGCAAACCACAAAAGTTTCGAAAGCACACCAGAAACTTCTTAATGCAAACTAGAAACCGTCTAATGCAAACCACGAATCTCCTAAAACAAACCACAAGCCTCACAAAGCAAACCACAACATTTGCGAAAGCACACCGGAAACCTCCTAATGCAAAACACAAACACAGTAAATCAAACCACAAAAAAACAAACCATAAACGTCCTAATGCAGACCACAAATATATTAAAACAAACCAGACACCCCTCAATGCAAACCACAAATTTTTTGAAAACAAACCAGAAACTTCTCAATGCAAACAACAAACACGATAAAGCAAACCAGGAACTTCTTAATGCAAACCACAAACACGATAAAGCAAACCACAAAAGGCATACAAAAATATGAGAAACCAAACCATAAATCTCACAATGCAGACGATAACATTCGGTGGTCGTTGACCGTTGACCAGTCAACGAAGACCGTTGACCGGTCAACGAAGTTCGTTGACCAAACTCCGATGACCGTCAGTGACCGGATTCCGGCGCCGATAAGCATATTCCGGCCCCGATGACTAGATTCCGACGCCGGTAAGCATATTCCGACCACGGTGAGCATATTCCGGCGACGGTGAGTATATTCCGATGACAAAAAAGCATATTCCGGTGACAAAAAAAGCATATTCCGGCGACCGACGACCAGATTCCGGCTATCGGTGGCCGAATTCCGGCAACCAAAAATTTGGGCAGAAAATAAAAAAATATTTTTTTTATTATTATTTAAATATATTTTTCATAATGAAAATTTCACCTCTGCTTTGATTTTACGTCAACTCATCTAATAAGAAGTTATCACAATCCTAGCTTCCTATTGGTTGGGGGCTAGTGTTGTTACAATAACAACACAAGGGGTGTTATCACACTATCTAGTCCCCGCAAACACAAGCCAGCTGTTGCTTCTTCTTTTGGCGCAATTCGACAGTGACTACTCTTTGATTTTCTCAGGAACCAAACAGAAATCAATCACACGGTGTGATCTCCTTGAATCCCTTTATAGGCTCTCTCAATGCTGGTTCGCGACACTCCGCCGCGAGAGTGTGAAAACCACACCAGAGCTCTCAAATTTTGCATGCGGTACTGAATTTGGTTACAATCTGAAGGGAGGGCATAGTTTCTCGGAATCAATGGGAAGACGCTAAGTACGCGAGGGAATTGGACGTAGCGGTTCCCGCTGTTCATATGGCTTGCGCCTCTCTGCCAGAGAGTTCAAGCAGGGTTGGTTTCTCACGGCACCGGGCAGGTCAAGTCTAAGGATGATGAATCTCCTGTTACTGTTGCAGGTACTTTGCTGCAATGGGTTCCATATCTTTGGCGGGGTTTGTCTTTCTGAATTGAGTAGTTGTCAAGGCGAGGCCGTTGGTTTCCCCATTTTCTGGGCTACGGGGAGGATTCCCATTTTCGGGGGTAGTTCCCTTTCTGGTGGTTTTTAGGTTTCGTAGTGTTGGTTGCCAATAAAGTTCGTAATTGGGTATCAAATGTGGAATATGAGTTGGTGAAATGATGGGTAAAGATCAATTGCACTGTAGTTAATGGTTTCTTAATGTCTAGGCTCTATAGTGGATTTTTCAAGAAATTGCTGTTCTAATCATGAAATGAAGGAAATTTTGCTGAATGGCCATTCTTTCTAATCTATTACTATCCTTTGGAAGACTCTGTAGCAGCGCTAAGAAATTGTTCATTTCAGAATTACTGAGTTTTCCCCCCTTATTACATAACTATCACCATCTTTGATCGATATTTCCAGCTCATTATGAATTTACAATGGTATTGCGCCTAAGTTATCCACTGATTTCCGTCCTGTCGAAGCATTTAACAGATTGGAGTGTTCAAGCAGTAGTTAGTTGGTTACTGGCAGAATCATTCCAGGATCAAAATGTCTCCATAGTTGCTGAAGAAGATATTCAAGCACTGTCAAAGGCTGAATTATCTGACTTGCTGGCACCCATCACGAAGACTGTTAATGAGAGCTTAGCCAAAGCACCAAAATATGGTCTCCGAAGTCCCAAGAAGCCCCTGGGAGCATCCGAAGTTCTCGAGGCTATCAGCAGATGCAACTCAGCAGGTGGCCGTACTGGCAGACACTGGGTCCTTGACCCTGTGGATGGAACGTTAGGGTTTGTTCGAGGGGATCAGTATGCTGTAGCTCTAGCTCTGATTGAGGATGGAAAAGTCATGATGGGAGTTCTAGGATGTCCTAACTACCCTATGAAGAATGGTTGGCTAAACCATCATCGTCATCGTTACAATGAAAGCATGTCTTCCACTGTTACTGACACACGGGATAAAGGATGTGTGATTTATGCACAGAAGGGCAGTGGTAAGGCATGGATGCAGCCGTTGGTCCACAAGAACAAGACGTTTGAATGGCCAAACTCCGCGAAGCAGATCAAGGTCTCATCAATTGATGACCCCGGCCTAGCTACTTTTTGTGAACCAGTGGAGAAGGCTAATTCAAACCACTCGTTCACTGCTGGAGTTACTCATAGTATGGGTTTCAAGTATGTTCTGTTTGCTCTCTTTTCTATTTTTCCCAAGCTGATTTTCCACATCTAACAGTTGACACATTTGATAAGTCCTAGCAGAATAATTTTGAATGTGAATGCATGTAGATGTAGTTGACATTGAAGTTTGGAAGAATACGATTTAGTCATCTGAATTCCTAGAAGCTTTAGTTCAATATAATCTTGCTTTCCTTTTTGAATTGATGTCTTTGATCTTCACCACTTCATTCTGATTCGGATGCCTCATTTCTGGCTTTGATTCCTGGCTTTGACATCTATTTCTCGACCTAATGATTCCTGGCTTTGACATCACTCCAGATATTCACTTCTATTATATTCTGCTACCAGTTGACTGAGGGAAATCAGGTATTAAATATGCAAGAGCAGGTGAGGTTGGAGCAATGTTCTATGCAGCTGGAGTTTATTCAGGAATGGAGTCTCCATCCAAAATGGAAGGTTAAATCTCTAACTGAGGGCTCCATTTAGCTGTCTGTTTTACATAATAATTTGTTCATGGAAGGTTGATCACGGTTTTCCTATGATTAGGACATGATTTTGCTATTATTATTTGCAGGGTTGATGCTATTCTGAAAACTCTCATGGGAGAATCAGACATAATACCTTACAAAATTCCAGTTCTAATGCCTCTAAACCATCAAATTACTTTCTAATTCTTGCTCAATTGCTAATTAGAAGGTATAGTTTTTCATTTGTGTCAATCATTGTGAGTCACCACATTAATCTAAACGCAAAAAATGAATTAAGCTCTAGTTATTCTAAACTTGTATGGTCAATTTGTTAAAATTCAAAATTGGGTGGTTAATTTGGTAATCAACCCAAAGCTCAGTTATCGGTTATGTGTGATTGGACCAGGAAGGAAATCTGGGTCGATCAGATTGTCCAACCCCACGACAAACCGAGGGTCCTACTCTCTCCTACCAGTTTCATGTAGGTCGTTGGGCATACTGAACTCACCATGCGTCACCGAGTCTAGAGCTCGAGCTTCTCTGGTACGATAAGGAAGAAAAACAATGGAGCTTACCGGTTCTTGTTACAGAAAGGGCACCGGACATGTTCCACCTTGTCATGGTTGCTTGAAGTAGTTCACAGGGGCGGCAATGGAGGAAACACTTGACGGTATGTATATACTCGTCTGATGCTATCAGCTTTTAGCTATGTCGTAATTGCTGGATAAGGTAAACAATCAAATTTTCCATTTCACTCGAGCGTTCTTTACTTGTAATGATGATTTAGCGAGAACCGGTGATGTCATTGCTATGCATTGATAGTTCAAGCGTATGATTCTGTAAATAGCGTTTTACTGGTCTACTCTAGGTCGAATTGGGAAATTCCATTCATCAGAGTTAGGACTTTACTAACTTAGACATTTAGATTGATAGTGGTATCATAGATGCAGCTACTCTGCAGAGAAGGGATGCCACAATGTAGACACCAGTTGCAGATAATTTTCTCTTCTAATAGTCGCCCCTAGAGGTTCACTCATGCCTAGAATTTCGAGGTTGGCCTCACCAGGGAGTAACCAGGTGAAATGGGAGAGTAGATTCTCAAGAGGAAGCTCGACATTTGGTATTCCAAATGTTATTCCAGGACACATCCTTCTTCCCGGCCGCAAATTGGATTTTGTTCGAAGTTGTAAAATGCCTATCTAGAGTTCCATTGAGCTTTTTGGTTAACTGATTTCGTGTAAATTAGATTATTGCTAACCAGAACTTTGAATTTTGGTTTCCAATTGTGAGCCTCGAATAGGTGCATAATCCTATCTCGAGTTCCATTGGGTGCTCTGCTGACTCCTCTCAAGCAGTTAGCCTCACCCATCCTTATTAGCAGCTGCATTCCTAGATCTGTGGCGATGATGGATTTGCGTTATCTCTGTCTGCCTCTAGATGCTACTCATGCTATATTATATTTACTCTAACTGATCAGCCCTACTGACTTTTTCTCTCTTTGTAGATACTCCTAAAAGCTTGTGAGTTCATAAGAGATGACAACAACAACAAAGAGGACTGGGTATTGAGAGGTTGAGATCTAGCTACTCTGTGAGGCAAAATGGTGTAGGAAGCCTTCAACCAGTACATTAAAACTAAATAAAAAACAGATGGGAGGGTACAACTGAAACAGTAGGATGTCATCAGCTTAGACTCTCATCTAATTGCTGCTTCGGCTGATTTTATTTCTTTATATGGAAGATCTTGTGACAATGATAATGATCGATCATTTCTGATTATTTGCAGCAGAAAAGGGATTATGCCTGCCAGATTGTTGGAATCAAGTGCAGCTCATTTTTCCTTCTTACCGTAACACCAAATAGTTCATCCATGTCCAGGCTTTCAGGCTTCACCCCTCCAGGAAGCTTCCAATCAAAATGGAAGAGCAAATTAGCAAGCGCAGTCTCCACGGTAGATACACCGAATGAGATTCCAGGACAGATCCTTCTTCCAGCACCAAACGGAATGAACTCGAAATCATTCCCCTTGTAATCAACAGTTCTGTTATCCGTGAACCTCTCTGGGTAGAATCTCTCGGGGTCACTCCAGTACTTTGGATCCCTCCCAATGGCCCATGCATTCACTATCACCTTCGTCTTCTCCGGGATTATATACCCTTCCATCTCGCATTGCTCCAGGGACTTTCTTGGGACAAGGAGAGGCAGCGGAGGGTGTAACCTCAGGCTTTCTTTGATAACCATCTTCAGGTAATTCAATTCATGAATTCCTGTTTCCTCAACCTTCCCTCCCTTCCCAAACACTGCCCTAACTTCGGCTTGTGCCTTCTTCATTACTCTTTCATCTCTAACCAGCTCTGACATCGTCCATTCCAGTGCTGTCGATGAAGTCTCGCTTCCTCCAACGTAAAGGTCCTGAAAGAAACACAGTTGTTTGATTTACGAGGTAAGTCAATATATTGACTTATGTTGATATATAAAAGCCTTATGTTTACTATTCAGTGAGTGAGTGAGTTTTTTAAATTCTCATCAACTTTAGAGGCAATATATTGATGGTCATGGGATGGATGTAAGAGGTGTAATTATGAAATTTTTAAAATACTTAAATTACAAGAATACTACTCATTAGTGATTTTGATGCAACTCTATACATCTTCGTGTTCATCCGAAAAGATTAAAATTTCTTGACACAAATCAGATGATTATGAGGAAAGTGTATAACGAATGCTCTTCAGTTTGGGGGTGACTTAAAAAACTGTATCAACTAAAATGCAATGCAGGGTAGCGAGTTACCAGGAGTACTGCTGTTATAGATTCAGTAGTTAATGTGAATCCAAGGTCTCCATTTTGCTGAACCTTCAATAAAACATCCACAAGATCATCTACTTCCTCCTTTTCACCTTCCTCTGCTTTTGCTGCTGCTGCTGCTATATGCTCATCTATTATGATATGGAATATTTGGTCAGATTCTCGCTTCAATCTCTGCAATCTGGATCTAATCCCAGTGATCAGCTGAAGGAATTTGAAAGATGGGAACAAATCAGCAACACCAAATCCACTCGAAGCCTTGATCATTTCCGTGGTCATCTGTATGAATGATGAGTCTTGCTGCTTATACAGTTTCCCAAATGCAGCCCTCGATGTGATCCTATACGTCAGGGAGAAAATCATCCTGCTAATGTTGAACGCCGAGTCTTGTTTGCAGCAAATGTCAGCAACCAAACAGGACACTTCTTGTTCCCTGATGGGGCGGAAAGAATGGACTCTCTTGGCACTGAGCAGCTCCAACACGCACAGCTTCCTGATCTGTCGCCAATACTCACCGTAGGGTGCGAACCCGAGGTTGCGGTTGCGGGAGATGATATCTACTAGGAGGAGAGATGGTCGGCTGGAAAAGGTGAGGTCGTGGGTCTTGAAAACTTGTTTAGCCATCTCTGCTGAGGAAACGATGATGGTTTGGAGTTCACCGAGCTGGAGGTGCATCAGAGGACCGTGTGCATTGGCTAACTCCAGCAGCCGGTGGTGAGGAAGCTTGGAGCCGGATAGTTGGTGCAGGTTTCCGATGATTGGAAGCTTTCTAGGCCCTGGGGGAAGAAGCGCCACCCCCTCATGCTGCTTTGGGACTGCCATCCATAGTTTGAGGAGTAGAAAGATGATGGAGATGGTGACGAGTAGGAATGAGAAGAGCAGGGGAAGGTGGCTGCTGCTATCCATTTTTTTCTTTCTTGGGCTGGATGGAGATCGATGATGACCCAATGCACTCTAGCTTTTGAGCTAGCAGATGACTTTGTACTGTGTTTCTCCAGATCCAGTTCTACCAGATGTGATCTGTTGACTTCGTAGTTAAAGCCAACAGCATCTCGCATTCTGTGCCGAAGTTCTCTCATTTGCCACCAAGAGATCTGCGCCAGCTTTTTATATATTCTTTCCTGTTTCCAACGTGCATAATATACTAATACGTTCCCACATTATGGCCCATACCGCCCCTGTTTTTTTATACCTCAAGTTGTCCAGATGCTGCCGCCATTTTTGCAGTATACGATGGATGAAGTCTCCATTCAGAAATGGAATGTTGAATTTGCAACTGAGGGCTACATTTTGCTCTGTGTACAGGTAACATTTGGTCCAAGATCAGAAATATGGCAGAGATGGATTTCCTTTCTCAACTATGATCATTGGAAAACTTAGACTCTCATTCTTATTGCGGCTTCAATTTTCTCTGCATTTATTCGTCAACTAGTTTTATTAAACAAACAAACAAACAAAAAGAGATACGAAGGTTCAGGCGTTCTGCTGATAGAGTAGGATAGCATGCCTCACTAGCATCATTCACCATCAGCTTAGACTCTCATCCTCTGAAGCAGTTAGCCTCACCCATCCCTATTAGCAAGGTGCATTCCTAGCTCTGTGGCGATGATGGATTTGCGTTACCTCTGTCTACTTCTAGATGCTACTCATGCTATTATATTTACTGCAAGTGATTGGCCGTACTGACTATTTCTCTCTTTGCAGAGACTCCTAAAAGCTTGTGAGTTCATAAGAGATGACAGCAACAACAAAGAGGACTAGGTATTGTGAGGTTGAGATCTAGCTAGTCTCTGAGGCAAGAGGGTGTAGAAAGTCTTCTACCAGTACATTTAAACTAAATAAAAAATAGATGGGATGGTACTATTGAAACAGTAGGATATCATCAGTTTAGTGCTTAGACTCTCATCTAATTGCTGCTTCGGCTGATTTTTATCTCTTTATTTGGAAGATCTTGCTACCATGATAATGTTCCATCACTTCTGATTATCTGCAGCAGAAAAGGGATTATGCCTGCCAAATTGTTGGAATCAAGTGCAGATCATTTTTCCTCCGTACCCCAAGACCAAATAGTTCATCCATGTCCAGGCTTTCAGGCTTCACCCCTCCAGGAAGCTTCCAATCAAAATGGAACAGCAAATTAGCAAGCGCAGTCTCGACGCTAGATACACCGAATGAGATTCCAGGACAGATCCTTCTTCCAGCACCAAACGGAATGAACTCGAAATCATTCCCCTTGTAATCAGCAGTTCTGCTATCCATGAACCTCTCTGGGTAGAATCTCTCGGGTTCACTCCAGCACTTTGGATCCCTCCCAATGGCCCATGCATTCACTATCACCTTTGTCTTCTCCGGGATTGTAAACCCTTCCATCTCGCATTGCTCCAGGGACTCTCTTGGGACTAGGAGAGGCAGCGGAGGGTGTAGCCTAAGGCTTTCTTTGATAACCATCTTCAGGTAATTCAATTCATGAATCTCTGTTTCTCCAACCTTCCCTCTTTTCCCAAACACTGCCCTAACCTCGGTTTGTGCCTTCTTCATCACTCTTTCATCTCTAACCAGCTCTGACATTGTCCATTCCAGTGCTGTCGATGAAGTCTCACTTCCTGCAAGGAAAAGGTCCTGCAAAAAACACAATTGTTTGATTTAAGAGGTAAGTCAATATATTGACATATATTGATACATAATTAGATGATTATGTTGTATAACAAATGTTCTTCAATTTTAGGGTGACTTAAAAACTGCATCAACTATAATGCAACGCAGGGTAGCGAGTTTACCAGGAGTACTGCTGTTATACTTTCAATAGTTAATGTGAATCCAAGGTCTCCATTTTGCTGAACCTTCAACAAAACATCCACAAGATCATCTACTACCTCCTTTTCACCTTTGTCTGCTTTTGTTGCTGCTGCTGCTATATGTTCATCTATTATGATATGGAGTATTCTGTCAGATTTTTGCTTCAATCTCTGCAATCTGGACCTAATCCCAGTGATCAGCTGAAGGAATTCGAAAGATGGGAACAAATCAGCAACAGCAAATCCACTCGTAGCATCGCTAATTTCCGTGGTCAACTGTATGAATGATGACTCCAGCTTCTTATACAGTTTCCCAAATGCAGCCCTTGATGTGATCCTATATGTCAGTGAGAAAATCATCCTGCTAACGTTGATCGCCGAGCCTTGTTTGCAGCAAATGTCAGCGACCAAACGGGACACTTCTTGTTCCCTGATGGGGCCGAAAGAATGGACTCTCTTGGCACTTAGCAGCTCCAACACGCACAGCTTCCTGAGTTGCCGCCAATACTCACCGTAGGGCGCGAACCCGAGGTTGCGGTTGCAGGCGATGATGTCTACTGCGAGGAGAGATGGTCGGTTAGAAAAGGTGAGGTCGTGTGTCTTGAAAACTTGTTTGGCCATCTCCGCTGAGGAAACGATGATGGTTTGTAGTTGACCGAGCTGGAGGTGCATCAGAGGACCGTGTGCATTGGCCAATTCCAGCATCCGGTGGTGGGGAAGCTTGGAGCCGGATAGTTGGTGCAGGTTTCCTATGATCGGAAGCTTTCTAGGCCCTGGGGGAAGAAGCACCACACCCTCATGCTGCTTCGAGACTGCCTTCCATAGTTTGAGGAGTATAAAGATGATGGAGATGGTGATGAAAAGGAACGTGAAGAACAGGGGAAGGTGGCTGCTGCTATCCATTTTTTTTCTGTTCTTTGGCTGGATGGAGATCGATGATGACCCAATGCACTGTAGCTTTTGAGCTAGCAGATGACTTTGTAATGTGTTTCTCCAGATCCATTCAACCAGATGTGATCAGTTGACTTCGTCATTTAGGCAGCATCATCTCGCATTCTCTGCCGAAGATCTCTCATTTTGATCTGCACTAACGTTTTTATATATTCTTTCCTGTTTTCCAACGTGCATAATATATATAAATACAATCCCACATTATGACCCATACCGTCCCTGTTTTTTTTTATACCGCAAGTTGACCAGATGCTGCCACCATTTTTGCAGTATACGATGGATGGAGTCTCCATCCAGACATGGAATGTTGAATTTGCAACTGAGGGCTACATTTTGCTCTGTGTACAGGTAACATTTGGTCCAAGATCAGAAATAAGCAGAGATGATCATGGGACCAACCTGCAATTTTGTTAGGATCAATCTTCCTTACCAGCATTCCATGGGAAAACTTAGACTCTCATTCTTATTGCTGCAATTTTCTCTTCATTTATTCGTCAACTAGTTTTATTTAAACAAAAACAAACAAAAAAAAGGCATAGAAAGGTTCAGGCGTTCAGCTGATATATATAGTAGGATAGCATGCCTCACTAGCATCATTCACCATCAGCTTATATTGCTGCTTGAGCTGATTCTTATTTCCTAGATGAACGATCTTGCAACCATAATCATGTTTAATCATTTCTGATTATCTGCTGCAGAAAAGGGATCATGCCTGCCAAACCATTGGAATCAAGTGCAGATCATTTTTCCTTCTTGCCGTGGCTCCAAGTTGTTCACTCATGTCCAGACTTTCAGGTTTCATCCCTTCAGGAAGCCTCCAATCAAAGTGGAACAACAAATTAGCAAGTGCAGTCTCAACGCTAGATACGCCGAATAATATTCCAGGACAGATCCTTCTTCCAGCACCAAACGGGATGAACTCAAAATCACGCCCCTTGTAGTCAACACTGTTGCTGTCCATGAACCTCTCTGGGTAAAATCTTTCAGGTTCACTCCAGTACTTTGGATCCCTCCCAATAGCCCATGCATTCACTATCACCTTCGTCTTCTCTGGGATTCGATACCCTTCCATCTCGCATTGCTCCAGGGACTCTCTTGGGACTAGGAGAGGCAGCGGAGGGTGTAGCCTAAGGCTTTCTTTGATAACCATCTTCAGGTAATTCAATTCATGAATCTCTGTTTCTTCAACCTTCCCTCTTTTCCCAAACACTGCCCTAACCTCTTCTTGTGCCTTCTTCATCACTCGTTCGTCTCTAATCAGTTCTGACATCGTCCATTCCAGTGCTGTGGATGAAGTCTCGCTTCCTGCAATGAACATGTCCTGCAACCAGTTTTATTTGATACAAGAGGTTAGTGCGTTTTAAATTCGTTAAGTACACGTTCGTAAATTCGCTTAGACAAATGCTAACAGTCAAATGTTGAATTTTATGATTATAGTCTAAGAGTGAATACTATGCAACCATAGTCTAAAAACAGGCTTTCTTCCTATACACATGATTTCCCTCAACGTGCAACGCGGGGAATTTAGCTCACCAGGAGTACTGATTTGACACTCTCAGTTGTTAATGTGAAACCAAGGTCTTCATTTTGTTGAAGCTTCAACATAACATCCACAAGATCATCTACTCCTTCCTCCTTTTCACCTTCCCCTGCTTTTGCTGCTGCTGCTATATGTTCATCGATTATGCAACTGAGTATCCGGTCAGATTCTCGCTCCAATTTATGCATTCTGGATCTAACCCCAGTGACCATCTGAAGGAATCTGAAAGATGGGAACGCATCAGCAACACCAAACCCACTCCCAACCTCAACGATCTCCATGACCACCGGTACGAACGACGACCCAGCCTCGTACACTTTCCCAAATGCAGCCCTTGATATGATCCTATACGTCAGGGAGATAATCATCCTGCTAACATTGATCGCCGAACCTTGTCTGCAGCAAATGTCAGTCACCAACCGGGCCACTTCTTGTTCCCTGATGGGGCGAAAAGAGGCAACTCTCTTGGCGCTAAGCAGCTCCAGCACACTAACCTTCCTGAGCTGTCGCCAGTACTCGCCGTAGGGCGCGAACACGAGGTTGCGGTTGTGGGAGATGATATCAGCTGCGAGGAGGAACGGTCGGTTGGAAAAGGTGACGTCGTGGGTCTTCATGACCTGTTTAGCCACCTCCGCCGAGGAAACGATGATGGTTTGGAGTTGGCCGAGCTGGAGGTGCATCAGAGGGCCGTGTGCTTCGGCCAGTTCCTGCAGCCGGCGGTGTGGGAGCAACTTGGAGCTGGATAGTTGGTGCAGGTTTCCGATGACGGGAAGCTTTCTTGGTCCCGGGGGAAGAAGTGGCTGCTGCTGCTGCCTTGCCTTTGAAGGGTTTCCTTTCTTCCATGGTTTGAGGAGTAGAAAGATGAAGGTGATGGTGATGAGGAGGAAGGAGAAGAGCAGAGGGAGTACTTGGTTTCTGTCCATTTTCTGGGTTGTTTTTGGGCTAGCAGATGGATTGGGATGGTTTTGTATTTTTGATTTGGAAGTGATGGCACCGAGCGCCATCTTCGTTGACTTTATGCAGCTTTTGTTTCTCGGCTAAATGACAATTTTCAGTCACTACTATAATGTTTCTGCAAACTTAATCTACTATTATGGTAATTAGCATAAATGGTCACAAACCTTTGCACTTAGTACAAAACAGTCACAAACCTTTAATTTGTAACTATTTGATAACAAAACTTTTTACCTATAACAAAACGGTCACAAATTAAACAGTGTGATCATTTCATACCAGTTCAAACTTTTGTTACCATGTCGTTTCAAATTAGACTTTTGGTGACCGTTTTGTACAAATTAAGTTCAAAAGTTTGAACGATCAATCACCGTTACAATTCGCTCTAGTTGTATGGTAGTTTTGTTAATGTATGTGAATGATATGATCGTCATAAAGGATGACAATGAAAGAATTCAATGGCTCACAAACGGGTTCCAGACTACTTTTTAGTTGAAAAAACTGTCTACTTTCTTACTTTCTTGGTATCGAAATTCAAAGGTCAACTGAGGGCATTCTTATTCGGCAAAGCAAATATGTCGATGAACACATGACCTGACATCTTATATGTCGTTCAAGTGGTTAGTGTCATATACTTAACGAACAAACTACCCGACCTCAAAACATGACAAACATTTAATTTTTGTAACGATTCGGTAACAAACCTTTGCACTTAAAACAAAACGGTCACAAATTAAATAGCGGTGACCATTTTATAAAATTTCAAAGTTTTGTTACCGTATTGTTACAAATTAAAGGTTTGTGGCCGTTTTGTACTAAGTACAAAGGTTTGTTACCATTCATGCTAATTACCCCTACTATTATGATCCCAAGTCCCAACCATAATTCCTAGGTATGTTCTTGATGATCTGCATATGCAATTGTTGTCTTACAATTGTTGGCTCAAGATCCGAATTTAGAATGTGGTGGATATTCTTGTTCTCGTATTACCATTAGATCAACTCCTTGAAGTTTTCTTCTCTTACTGTATCATAAATTTGATTTCAATAGTAAAAGTAAGATCGTAAGGAAAGACAAGACAAAAAGGTGGTAAGGTCAATAAAGTCATCATCTATATGAGGTTGATTTATTGTATTTTTTGTAAGGTATTGGTTTCATCATCAACCACTTGGATTGAAGGGCAGGGACTAAGATGCCGAATTGGTGCATATTAGTTAAAAGACCCGAAGTAGCAAATCCTTGTGTAAAATAAGTACTTGGCGCTGTTATTGGGCTTAAATAATTTTGTTTTTTTTTTAATATGGAACCATATGAATAATGGATAAGATCCATGAGAGAAAGATTAATGATTCATAGAAATTACTTAATGGTAAATATCCCGGATAAATCTTTCGATACAATGTTCTACATCCAAGATTGGGATAAATTCGACGAAAGGATGGGAATTTTCCAAGTCATGGAGTTTATAGAAAATGTTTAAATTCGTTGGATCCTATAGACTTGTATTCCAAACTTTTATCGTAATAAATAATTAATTGATGCAATTGTCCAAATTCATAATGATTGGCCACAACAAATCACCCCCTAAATTAGTAGTTTTTTTAACCAAAAATAAATTAGTAGTTACAAAGTAAATTTTCTATCCTCACAAATCAAGTTCAATCCCGGATCTCATAAATAAAAGACGAGACGATCCGATATGGCATCACACTATTGGAGGAAATTTATGGACTATAGCATGAAGCCCATATCTCTTATTTAATGAACTAAAAGCCCATAAAAAAATAGCCCATAACTTGACCACCGTCGTCAACCCAATTGCACCTCTAGTCGTCTTCTTCAGTCCAGTCGCAGAAATAGTACGGCTCCGGTGACGGTGTCTTTATCTTTTCCGATACTGAATCCTATTTGAGATTAGTTTATTCCCAGTTTACCCTTTCAAATTCCCTCTTTTTCTGCCCCTCGGTCCTCCCCCGCGACCTTTTCACATAAACATGACCGACCGGGATGCCGATTTCCCACCCACCAAATTCCCCAATTCCGCCGCTCCCTCCCAATCGTCTTCTTTTCTTTTCTTCTTTCTTTCCCGTCGTTCATTCCCTGTAAAGCAGTGAGGAAAAGAGGGGAGAAAAAACCCATCAAAAAGTTCCCACCTTTTTCTCCAGCAGCATTTTGAAACCCCCGCAAAACGACGAACCAATCCCTCCCCTGCTTGCTCAGAAAAGCGCGTGAAAATGGTGATCCACTAGTTGAGTACAAACCATCCATCATCGTCACCACCTCCCCACCCTATTGCTGTTTGCTTGAGCTTAGCGCTGCTATTATTAGGAGACTACTGCTATCATTCGGTTTCTTCTGACACTCTCTGCTAGAAGAAACCAACCGTATTTCGAGAAATAAGCTCTGGCAGTGGCTGTATTCTTGTCTCTTTCTTCTTCTCCCTTCTTCCATTCAGTAACCGAATCACCCGCAAAGTTGACTACTAGTACTACCCCTGTTGTGGGGTTTTGCCAGTCCGCCCTTTTGATTTGGGAAACGATTGGGTGACGATTTGCTGCAGGGGGGTTGTTCTTTCCCCCACTCTTTCTTTTTGCTTGTTTTGTTTCGGTAGCGTGACCTTTCGCGGCTGTTTTGGCTTCTGGGGATGAGCAAATTATTCTCTGTTTCTTGACTCGAAATGGATCTCTGCCGACGATGGTGATGATGGTGTCTGATTTGAAATTTGAAGTGGCTGCTACAAGTTAAGGCTCTTTTTTGGTACTGCCGAGATTGATTGCAGAAGAATCAGTTCAAGTACTCTGTTTTCTTCTTACTGGGTTCTCTGTTTGCTTGCCCGGAAATATAAAGTTTGGGAGCAAGGAGATTTTGATTCATTCGGTACCCTGTTTGTCATTCCCTTTGTTCCATCTCCTCTGCAATAAAGAAGAGTTCTTCCGAGCTTTTCCCTGTTCTGGTAAGGACCCATATGAAGATTTTCTGTTACCTACACTCTGTTTCCACTTACTGCTTTTTTCTTTTCCCCTTCTCTCCAAAATCCAAATTGATCCCTCTTGTTTCGTTGCTCTGAAATTTCCTCAACCTAGCTTGGGTTTCTGCAGTCATTTTCAGCATCACTTGATCTTTAATTTCTTTTGTTTGCTCAATATCCACTTCCACAGGTCCAATGTCGCTACTAATTCGAGCTCATGCCCTCCATTCAACCCCGAAAATGGGGAAAACCAGCCCGCCGAACCGAGACTGGACGCAGATCTATGCAATCTACGGAATGGATCAATGGCACACTCTGCTCTTTCTCTTGTTCCACGCCTTCCTCTTCTCCTTGTTATCCCTCCTCTTCCTCCTCTACTTTGACCCCTTCTGCAGCTTCCTGGAACAAACTTTCCCTCTCTTCTTCGCCACCGGCGGCGGCGCCGCCCGCTTCGCCGCAGGATTCACCGGCTGTGTGGCCGCCCTCTCCTCCGTCTGCCTCTTCATCGCCGCCGGCAACTTCTTCTACAGCTCGGTCGCATTACAGCACGAGATGGCGCAGAGGATCGTCGGCCACGTCAGCGACTGGTCGTCGGTCAAGCTGGCCCTCGACGTCGGTTGCGGCCGCGGGATTCTGCTCAACTCCGTGGCGACCCAGCTGAAGAAAACCGGCAGCTCTGGCCGGGTCGTTGGGTTGGACCGGTCTAAACGGACCACCCTCTCCACCCTCCGTACCGCTAACATGGAAGGTGGGTCGGGGCTCCGAAACTACGCTTTTCCAAGTGGTTACTTATTTTAGTATTACTCTCGTCACAAACACGTTTAATTACTCATTCCTTTTCCCCCCATCAAACTGAAAACTTAGACGAATTTTGATCGACAGGTGTGGGGGAATACGTGACGTGTCGGGAAGGAGACGTGAGGAGCCTGCCATTTGGGGACAACTGCTTCGACGTGGTGGTCTCGGCGGTGTTCCTCCACACGGTGGGGAAGGAGTACGGTCACCGAACGGTAGAGGCAGCGGCGGAGCGGATGCGGGTCCTGGGTGAGATGGGTCGGGTATTGAAACCGGGTGGAACTGGGGTGGTGTGGGACCTACATCACGTGCCCGAGTACGTGAGGCGGCTGCAGGAGCTGAGGATGGAGGATATTCGGGTCTCGGAGCGGGTCACGGCGTTCATGGTCAGTAGCCACATCGTGTCATTCAGGAAGCCGAGTCAGCAACACGTGGCGGGCTTGGGTGAGGTCCGACTCGACTGGAGATTTTTCAATTAATTAATGTTTAAGTTATTATTATTATAATCAAGATTTGTGTTTAAATTTTACTACTTAGCAGCTGTTATTAGTCAACGGTAGTAGACTGAGTGAATATTTATACGTTAAAAAGGGTAAGAGGAACTAGATCTGGGGAGACGAAGCCGATCCAGATGCTTGTGTTTAAGAAGATTAGATACCACTATACGTTATCTAATGTATTGATGATTATCAATGAAAGAGAGCATTGATGATTAATTAAATGTGTTAATCTTGATTAATATGTGTTAATGTATGCATTTTTCTGGTGGTGGGTGTTATTCAATATTGTAGCCTACGTTGAGGAATCTGTGCTTAGCTTTGAAGATGGTAGGTGTAGGTCTTGATGGCATACCTTGTTAGATTTGATTGATTAGGAATTTGATGTAATATAAGACTGTTTAAATATGGTGGACTATAAGATTAAGGGATCATTATTGGAATAAGATTGTAGTTCAACCAATTAAGGTGTTGAATTTAGCGCCGTGTAAATTTCCAGATCTGGAATAATCTTTCACACAAATAAGATTTATCATCAAACCATTATGTTCCAAATGGAATAGCAATTATTCCCTCGTGGTAAAGCCATCGGCTGCGGTTTTAATGATCAATTAGGACATCCTAGCACGATTCACGATTTGTCAATAAAGTTTATAGTAAAGTTGGGTTACATATTAGGGGTATCAATTCAGTTAACCGAATAAATATTCTATTAGTAACTAAATCCAAAAAATGGTTTTTATTTAAATTAAAATAAACCAAAACGAACATATGATTGCATGATGGTCTATCGGTTTTTGCTTTAACTGAAACCATTAAAGACTTACCAGTTTTACCAGTTAAGAGGAACCGATAAGTCTAAAAACCGGATCGATTTTGATTAATTTCGAAACCAAACACCATCTCTAGTAAAAATGGGTAGATGAGAAAGATTAGTGTGTCAAAAGAGGCAAGAGGGTGGGGAAGAAAAGACATGTGAGGGTGCCTGGCTAAAAGGATATAAACAGAATGGGGTAGAGAGAGTGAAAGAGTGAGAGAGTGTCTTTGAGATGATGAGTTGTTTCCTGTTTGCTGTTGTGGGTAGCTGAGCAGTGAATTTAGGTTGGTTTCTTGGGGTCATATTAAAGTAGGTCTTTTGCCTTTCACCCAAACAAACAATCAAATGTGCATCTTATCTAGTCAGCAATATATTTGTGAATTGATGTTACTTACAATATTAGTACCATATTTCCACTACAAGCTACCGGGCGAGATGTAATTAGGAGAAAAAAAATCATTTTGGTAAGGAATGTATATAATTTTTAATCGAGTTTCCAAATAATTCATACAAATCGAGTAAATGAGATTGCATCCTCTCGAACTAGGTTGGTTTCTTGGGGGTCATATTAAAGTAGGTCTCTTCCCTTTCACCCAAACGAACAAACAAACAAATTGGCACAGATTATTTTGGTCAGCATTATATTTGTAAATCGATGCTACTTATCATAACAATACGATACTTAAATCTGCAGAGCGAAGATATATTTGAAAAGAATCATTTTGTTCGGTGCATTCGTCTTGAAGACATGCCAAAATTGATAAAGCACATGCACGATTTTGAAAGTGAGTTTCCAAATACTTCCAATCGATCAAGTTATTGAGATTGCATCCTCTAAAGTCCAACTCACCTACTAGGGGTGGAGTTTGGTCATTTCGGTTATAACCAAAAATCAAAAGCTCGGTTATCAGTTAAACCGAACCACCTCCCAAATCTACTGACCGAACAGAGGCCTTAAGACTTCGGTTATCTCAATTTCGGTTAACCACACTTCCCCCAAAACCAAAAGCATCTCGCTCATCCCTTCGAATACCGACCGATTTTCGGTTAGTAGATAACCGGCTGGTTTCAGTTGTAACCAGTCGGTTAACCGCTAACCGATTTTCCAGCCCTACCACATACTACTTCGTGGCCTTCTCCCATTTTCTCGGCTGAAAGCTAGCTGCAGAAGGATATGACAAGGTTCTGGTATATAGCTATAGCTCTCTGCACCTAACAGAGTTTTGGACCATTAGAATTTAGAAAGTGAGTCCAAAGTCAGAGTTTTAGTCTTCCTCTGCGCCTAATTAGCTATCTGATTATTCAATACTTGCGGCGGATTGGAGTGAGCGATCTAGCTGTAGAGAAAGGTGGCAGCTTTGTTTATTGAATATAGCTTGCGTGTGTGGCAACTGCAGAACCGACAGACTGCAATTCAATAGTGATCCAAATTCCAAACTACAGAGAAAGAGAAAGAGAGAGAGAGAGAGAGAGAGAGGGAGAGATCTTTTGCATCAATGGCAAAGAACAATGGATTCAGTGATTGATTGGATCCAAGTGGGTCTACTTGGTTGCTTATATATTGGTTACTGGGCTCCTCTAGCTCATGCGCAGAGCGCCCCACCCTCGTGACCAAAGGGTTTCGGGTACTCTGCAACTGCAACCATCTTAATTGCAGCAGCATGTGTGCTTTTATTCTCTTCTCTTCTTCAGTTGCAGCACAACCATGTGCGCCATACAACAGCTTCGAAAGAGAAATCACAACTGCCACCCGATCTTCTCCCAAGTTTGTGCATTTTCCCTTATAAACTGTGCAGTCCCACCTCGACAGCTCTGTACTTCGTTTAGGGAAAACTATGCAGATGTGTTTAGTACTCTTTCCTAAATAATTTGGCATTTATGGTTGCGCGGCATTCGATCATTGACAGAATTGAAAATTTCAGTGCTCTGCCTCTGTAGTTTGATATGCTTCCACGTTGAACATATCAGAGCGGTTGCTTATTTATGGCAAGGTGGGGGAAAAAACAGAGCAGTACACCATTTTCAAAGCGGCCAGGCAGGTGGCTGTCTTTGTCAGTATGAGCCAAAGTGCCAGACTTTTTTCCTGAATGAAGCCAAACCTAGACGAAGAGGAGGCTTCAGCCTTCAGGTACTTGTGGTAGTTGGGATACGTGGAGAAGAGGTTTTATGGAGGAAACAGGGGAAGCATAAAAACAGGGGAGTGTGTCGGCGTTGCTGTGTGAGTCTCCTTCGTCCTGCAGTTGGGCCTAGCTAGCTAGGTTGCCACACAAAGTGAGCTAGTTTATTAGTTTGGGGGCAAGATATATATCCGGCTATGGTGCTCACAGTTCGCCGCAGTTCGTCTGTGAGATCGATTTCACAAGCGTGCTGGCTCGTCGGATCAGACGAGAGCGCTTTGCGTCCATCCAGTCGTCAGTAGATATGGATTGCCAATTCGCGATTCAGTAAGGTCAGCTAACCTATGAGTGTATTTTGGCAAATGGGCTGTAAACATTTTAGCAAAATTGGGGAAGATATGTGTATGATATGCTCCTATGAGTCTAATGGGTCTTCTCTCCAATAATTACCTTTTGTGGTGTAAAAAATTTGGAAGATGGAAGAGCTGTTAGAGAGTGGTATAAGATCCAGCATAACCTTCTCCCAACAACTCGAGTTATTGGGACCAACTGGTTTATGTCAAGAGCTTTTCAGATTTCCTACATTTCACACATCATTAAGTTACCTCATCATAACATCATTAGGTGGGACAAAATAGGGAAAGTTTGAGGTACTGATCATGAGGTGAGAATGAAGCATCCAAAGAAATATTAGATCATGATTATCAACCAAAAAGAAAAGGAAGAGAATATTAATTAGATCAAGCATGCATTTCACTTAATGATGCATGAGGTACAAGCTTGAAGTTCATTTGTTAGACCACCCCCCCTACTCTAATGATGCATTGCTTATTTGAATTTTGGTTTCTGCAATGACATAAATTAGTGTACAAATTATTCGATTTCAGAATCGAATCTGATTTCATTTCTAAATTTCTACTTTAGCATTCACCAACGACGACAAATTTAGAATTAAGAGTGATTATGAACTAAAAAGGAATAATAAATAATTCGCAAATACGTCATCCGAACATAATTAGGTCTTGAACGAGAGATGCTAATGTCGGCCCCGCCCACCACGCTATCACTATCCAATATTTGTTCAACATATATGTAACTACATGTTGTTGTATCAAACCAAATCCAAATTCTCTCTAAATTATACCTACGTAGCTCCGCCGCTATTCATAGTTGAAATTCCTAGCCAGTAAACATACCACAAACTTGAAGACCATTATCTAAATGGGAGCATAAATAAACCTAAAAACCAAGGAAATCTTCATTTAAAAACCCCACTGGAGAAGCAAAAGGAATATGTAAAGTCATAAAGATAAAGAGATATATGTCAGCTAGCTAGTTGGGGGATTGAATTCATCATGGGCATGGCTGCTGATCGAGGTGTGGGGAAGTTGCATCCTAGCTGTGGACCAATATCCAAACTCCAACTTGCTAGTTTCATCATAAATAAGTCACAAACTCGATCCAATCTTCAACCCAAATGGGAAAGTTTGACTTCTCAACCCTCATTTTCGTCTGCAACTGTAGCAGCATTCATGAATCTCTCCCAGTTGCTGTATTTTATCATTCTGAACGATCAGATGGGCTGAAGGAAGGAATGCGCTAGGACTGTTTTGGGTTAATGGGTTTTGTAGGCTGGAGGGAACATTTTGGTGGGTTGATAAAGATATTGGGGCATGGGCAGTGGATATGGAGTTTGGATCCTGCACAAAAGTCTTAAGCACAGTATTGAAACCTTCAAACACAGACACCAGAATTGGGACAACAACGATTTAGCTGTCTGAAAAAAGAGTTAACCAAACAACTTGTTCAAACTCCACATAACTGTAATCCAACGACGAACCAAACGCTATAGCGTTCATGACCACTAACTTGACTCAATCTTACCAACCCTTGTCTCTTCGAAAATAAACTTGTTCCAACTCCTCACAACTGTAGTCCAACGACGAAACGCTCGTCTCTCGAAAACATGACAAACCATAGTTTTTGAAACTCTCAGAAAGCAACTCAGTTATCAGAAATGGTTGCTTCACTGTCATACCCATTTCCATCAGCAGCAGCAGCAACATTCTGCAGATTGTTGGATGTGCCCACCTGCACTTCCTTTTCTTCAGCCATTGTTATCTTTTGCTTCTTGGGATTGGGTTCCTGAATTTTAATCAATCCCATTTTTGTTAGTAGCCAATCTGAACATACAGGTTTAGCATCTTGATGTTGGGATGTGATCTCCATGACCAACAGGATTGTATGGTAAAATATACTTACGGGAGTATGATCGATTGACGGCCTCCCCCTCTTCTTCGGGAGGCTGCTGCTGCCATCATTGTTTAGCTTAGGACCAGCATTGTACAGCAGGTACTTTGACACTTCAGGCGCCGAGCGAAATTTCAAGCCTGATTCCTCGTGGCGAAAATACTGCAGGTGCACACACATTTCCAACATGTTTTTAGCTTTCCACAGAGGAACTTTGGTACACATTCATCATGAGAACACATAGGAAAGTGTAATATTGATTACCGAATCAAAAAGTTTACTGTTCACTCGTTTCTTGAGCTCCATAATCCAGCCTTCTACTCTTCTAGCCATAGGCATTTGAATTGGATGTATACGGTCGATCAACTCCTCGTCTACCTCTTGATTCAGCAGCCACTGTTCAGAGAAAACAGAAACATGGACAACCTTAAGTCACCATACAATTTTCAAGAAGAAACACACATGTTTATGTTGCAGAAAGTTGTAACCTTTTCAAAATCTTGCAGGTTAGCCATGAACTCTTCAGGAAGGCCTAAAGACATTGTGTAGTCTCCACAAAGTATAGCAGGTTGTTTCTTCTTCCTTTTCTCTCCAGGCGATACAGCAGCAGCTTGTTTCTGCTCCCTTTTCCCGATCCGATGAGGCTGCCAGTGCAGAAACATTCAAAATATATCAAATCCACCAGACAAGAACATAGTAGTACTGTCCAACATAAGTTGTTAACCCATGTACCATGTTGTCATTGGAAGATCCCTCTGGTAGACTGCAGGCGATGGATTCTGCTGCAATTACATTTCCCCCTGATGACTTCAACAACCATGCTTCCTTAAACTCTTCTTTGAGCTTCTGCAGCAGACGCAAAACCAACAAGGGAAAAGTAGAATTCTGATTTGATCTGAATCTATATAGATAATGAACAATACATACGAGAATAACATAAATATAAATTATTACCTTGAAATGGTTATGAAGATTCTTGGGTAGGGCTTTTACAGCTTCTCTATAGTTGTGCTCCACTGCTGGTATGGCAGAGGAATCCTCTGCCTGAGCTGTGTTTTGATTGGTCTGCTTAGGTGAATCAGCAGTGAGATCCACTATATTTGCACTTCTTGGATCAGTGGCTACAGCTTCTACATGGTTGAGCTCCAGTTTTGGAATGGCAGATGAATCCTTTGTCTGATCTGTGTCCTGCTTAATCAGCTTAAATGAACCCAATCATACAATGATTTGGATTAGTGAATGAATATCAGACTCTAACTAGTGAAAAAGATTAATAGAGGTTTTTTTAAAGGTTCAGGGATAGGGTTGGTACATCTTCTGCATGGTTGTGCTCCACTTTTGGTAGTTTAGAAGAGTTCTCCTTCTGATTTGTGTTCTGATGGAGCAAAACAGCAGGGTTCTTTGTCTGATTTGGGTTCTCCTGGAGCAACTTAGATGAATCAATGGGGTGAAAAATTTAATTGATAAAAAAAACCTTTCAGTCATACATACTGTGGTGTAAAGTAATTAAGAACATAGTTAGTAAAATACGGTACGGGAAAGTTACGTAAAAAGTACGTACGGGTATTATACTTGGTCTCTAAGCTAAAGTTACGTTTAATAGTACGTTAATAGTCATAAATATATAAAATTAATCATTTTAAAAATAAATAAATATATAAATAATACTAAAGTTAACAATTTAATTCGTAAAATACGGATAATAAACGTGTTATACGGATTTTATACGTGTTTAGTACGGGTGTCATCAAATGAACGGGGGAAAATGAAACGGCTTGACAATAATACGGATACGGAAGTTTTAAACGGATAAAGTACGTACGGGTACATATACGTGTATTAAACGGAGTATTTACTAACTATGATTAAGAAGACACGTCGGGTATTAATGTAGACTTACTCAAAGTTTAAATGCCAACTTACTGTATAAAGAAATCGCATTATGTATGATTTAGCATGCTCGATCATCACCTGACGGGTCTTAACCTATCATTTATGGAAGTTGAAAGTATCGTCAATATTTTCTTCGATGATATTATCAAGTTGAGGAAAAGCCCATGAAAGTATAGACATTGGAAAAGGTGTGTCGAAATGAGCCAAACAAACCATAAACTAACATAAGTCAACACTAAACTCTAAGAAAATTTAGATATGGTATGTAAAGAGCATCTAACACTGAACCCTAAAGACGAGACAAAAGACGTTGGGAAAGGTAGTGACACAAAATGAACAAACAAAACAAAAATGAACATATATAAGCCAACTAAAAAACCTCCAATATGCAACTTTACCCAACAACAAAATTTCATATATGATTTACAAAGAGCATCTAACATTGAATGATGAAAACAAAGGAAAAAGAAACGTTGGGAAATGTATCTTGAAATGAACCAAACAAAGCAACAACGAACCTATGTAAGCCAACACCATGCGAATTCACTAAACACCAAAATTTCGAATATAATATGCAGAGAATATAACATTGAATCCTAAAATCATGTAAAAAGAGAAGTTGTGATAGGTATCTCAAAAAGTCAAAATCAACCAATCAAACCAACGAGGAACACATATAATCTAACACTAATACCAACATACACATTTATTGAGCAACAAAATCTCATATATGATGTGTAGATAGGAATGGCAATGGGGCAGGTCAGGGGCGGGTATCTCGATAGCCATACCCGCCCCATGGCAGGTAGGGTTCAGGTCGGGTAATTTATTACGGGGCACGGGTCGGGGCAGGTCGACCCATTGGGTATGTAATTTATGTGAAAAACATTAGAAATATTCGTTCTTTTCATTGAAAGACCAAGAAAGAAACCATAATATGATAAAATGTAGTTAAATTATTGAAGAAATTGAGGTTTTCACTTATTTACAAATTTATTATAGCTAAAATATACTGTAATAAGAGGAAAATCTTAAGTAATCTAACTAATATTATATGTAATTTAGGCAAGAACGGGTCGAGAATGGGGCGGGTCAGGGCAGGTCGGGTCGATGAGAGGTACCCATGCCCGCCCCGCCCCGCCTACGGGGCGGGTTTGACCCGCCCCAAAACAGGTCAAACAGGTCGGGTAAATCGGGTCAGGTCAAAATTGTCATCCTATGTGTAGAGAGCCTCTACCACTCAACCCCAAACACTAGGGAAAAGATATTGGGGAAGGTGTCTCAAAATTTACCTTCAATTGTTGTTTATGGTTTCTGGGTTGGGTGGCTGCATCTTTTTTATACTTGTGCTGCTTTCTTGGTATATCCAATGAATTCTTTGTTTGATCCATGTCTTGATTAATCTGCTTAGGTGAATAGGTGGGGAACAATTAGAATTAGTAAGTACTAGCACACTCTAAATAGTGGGGGCAAAATTCATAAGATTTTCTTTTCTTAGATTGCTGGTGTGTTGGAATAGTCAAACAAACCCTAAACTAGCATAAGTCAGCACTAAACTAAAAAAAAAATTCATGTATGGTATGCATAGAACATCTAACACTGAACCCTTAAGACATGAGGAAAGACGTTGGGAAAGGTAGTGACTCAAAACGAGACAAAACAAAAATAAACATATATAAGCCAACTCAAAAATACCAATGTGCAACTTTACTCATCAACAAAATCTCATATATGTTTATACTGAGAACATCTAACTCTGAACCATAAAAACATGGAAAAAGAGACGTTGGGAAAAGTATCTCGCAATGAACCAAACAAAGCAACAACGAACATATGTAAACAACACCAATACCAACATACACATTCACTAGACAACAAAATTTCAGATATAATATATGCTATATAGAGAAATTCTTGCACTGAATTCTAAAAATATATGAAAAGATATCTCAAAATATGTGAAAATACGTTAGAGAAGATGTTTCAAATTTTACCTTGACAAGTTGTTTTAGGTTCTTGGATGGGGTGGCTACCTCTTCTTTATAGTTGTGCTCTAGTTCTGGTGTTTCCAGTGACTTCTTTGTTTGACCCATGTCTTGATTAACCTGCTTATGTTATTAGCTGGGAAAATAAAACTAGCAAGTACCAACAAACTCCAAATAGTGGGAAAAGTTCATAATATTTACTATATTTTCATTTCTAAGATCAATGGCTGCATCATCGACATAGTTGTGCTCTAATTCTGGGATGGTGGAGGAATCCTTTGTTGGATTTATGTCCTGATTAATCTGCTTAAATGAACCAACCATACAATAATTTTGATTAATGAAGACTGAAGACTAGCAAACAGCAAATAGTAAAAAAGAACCATTAAGGGTTTTTGGATAGGATGGGTACATCTTCTCTATGGATGTGTTCCACTTCTGGTGGTTTAGGAGAGTTCTCTGTCTGATTCATGTTTTGATTAAGCAAATCATAGTTCTCCATCGGATATATGCTCGGCTGAAGGAACTAAGAATAACCAATGGGACAAAAAAGTTAATCAATAAAGACTATTCATTCATAAATATTTCGGACGAAGTAATTAAGACGACACAACATGTATTAATGTAAACTTACTCAAATATTTTAAACTACAGTTAATTAATTAAGTACTCACATTATGCATGATCTAATCCAAGCATCATATGACTTTTTAACCTTTTTCGTTTGTTAACGTTGCAAGTGTTATCGATATTTTCTTCAACGAGATGATGAAGTTGAGAGAGAAAAAACTCAGGAAAAGAAACAAAAGAAAAGAAGAAAAAAATATGGTTGGAAAGTCTATAACACAAGCCCAAAGCTTAATAGTAGGAAAAGGGAAACCCTATTTCTAAATATCTTTGTTAGGTCATATGAATTTTCAACAAGTTGTAGTGGTTGTGGTGCTAAATTTTAGACCTTAAAATCATGATTTCAACATTCATAACATGCAACCTTCCTAATCTTGCCCCTATCTATATAATGAAAATGGGACGGATGTCGATTGACGAGAAACACCCTAAGAAGTTCTAAAATAAAATATCAAAAGATTTTTAAATTCATAGTCCTCTCTAAGGGATTTATATTATTGTTCATACCAAACTATAAAGGGTTCATAAACACAAAATAACATTGTCTTTTATTGCTCAGTATTCTACCTATGTTGACCAATCATGAACACATGACAAAACTAAACTCTATGCTAATATCTGACATTGAATCCCACAAATTAGAAAAAATACATTCGGAAAGGTGTGTTCGAATTATCCAAACAAATACTAAACTAGCACAAGCCAACACTACACCTAGAAAATTTTAAATATGATATGTAGATAACATCTAACACCGACCCTAAAGACATATGAAAGGATGTCGGAAAGACGTGTCCAATGAACCAAACAAACCAACAATGAACATATATAAGCCAACATAAACACCAATATGCAAATTTACCAATCAACAAAATTTCAGATGTGATAAGCAGAGTACATATATGTAGCATTAAATCCTAAAGAATGGGAAAGAGACGTTAGGCTCAAAATGAACCAAGTAAACTAACAATTAACATATACAAACCAACATCAATATGCAATTTTAGTGAGGAGGAAAATTTCAGATCTAATATATGTAGTGAGAATCTGACAGTGAACCCTAAATACGGGAAAAGGTGTTGGAAAAGGTGTCTCAAAATGATTCAAATGAATCCTAAACTAATATAAGTCAACACTAAATCTTAGAAAATTTCAGATCCGATATGCAAAGAACATCTAACACCGAACCCTAAAAACATGTGAAAGGACGTTGTGAAAGATGTCTCAAAATGAACCAAACAAACTAGTATTGAACATACATAATCTAACACCAATACCAGCATCAACATGCAAATTTACAAAGTAGCAAAATTTTCAGATCTAATAGAGAATATCCAACACTAAACCTTAAATACAAACCAAATTTTCAGCCGTTGGGCTCATAATTATCCAAACAAATCAACAATGAACATATACAAACCAACACCAACATGCGAATGTACTAAGCATAAAATTCCATATCTTAAATATGTAGAGAACAAATGAACACTAAAGGCATGGTAAAAGACATTGTGAAAGGTGTCGCCGAATGAGCCAAAAAAATCCTAAATTAATATAACTCAACACTAAACACTAGAAGATTCCAGATCTGATGTGCGAAAAACATCTAACACTGAACCCTAAGAACATGTGACAGGATGTTGGGAAAGGTGTCTCAAAATGAATCAAACCTACCAACAACAAACATATATAAGTCAACAACAACACTGGATCCAACATGCAAATTTACTAAGCAGCAAAATCTCATATATGATAAGCAGAGAGCATCTAATACCAAATCATGTAGAGATGGGAAGAGACGTTGGGGTCCAAATGAATCACACAAACCAATAATGACACATATATGAACCAACTCTAACATGAAAATTGACTAAACAGAAAAATTGCAGAGAGTGTTTAACACTGAACCCTAAAGACAGAGGAAAAGCCATTAGGACTGGTGTTTCAAAATGAACCAAACAAACCAATAGTGAAATATATAACCCAACACGGGTACCCACATGCAAATTTACAGAATAAAAAATTCTAGATCTGATAGAGATAGAACAGTATTCACAGGAGAAAAGATTTGTGCAAATTGTAAAAAGGTGCAAACACTATTTCTAGATCTAAGACATATAGTTTATATACAAGAACTAAATTATACCAGATGATTCAATTCTTCAACAGGATTACCAATCCAAAAATCTTCCAAATGGTAGTCAAAGTGGTTTTCATCCATTGATGGTGGTGCTTGGGTGCCTTGGGCAAACAAGTATGGGTAGTTCTTATTCCAGCCTACCATGCAACCTTTCTCTTGAACTTGGGTTTTAGATTGGAAGAACCACTACTCTCTAGATTTGTTTGGAGTGAAGAGGATGGAAAAGTAACGGGTTAAAAAGGTTGAAGAAAAAGGTCATTGTGCTTTATGTCAACAAGTGTTATGTGATGATTACTTTTATGTCAAGAACTTAAATGAGAGGAATCTCATTTATGTGTTTCCTATATTTGCCAAAAACACATGCAACGAATCAGAAGACACTTCCTTTTTTGAAAAAAAAAAGAAAAAGAAAAGGAAGCAAAATACACTACTACTTCTTATATGTTCTTTTACGAGCACACAACCACGAATATCGATCTATAAGAATGGTGATGCAGTAATATTCCTATCACACCATCGATCGACTCGTCTCGATCTTTAAAAAAGAGATTGATGGTCCCAAACCTATTGCTTACATGTTTTCATAAAGAAAAAGTTACAGTCTTGAAACATATATGAAATCCTGACATCGATCAGTTCTAGTATCACACCATTCACCGCGTAGAAAAGAATATCTCTATTGTTGAAATTTGTAAAGAAGTTATTAAACGACATTTTTATTTGAACATAATTATATGATATCATCATCGATCACTAAACGTCCAAGCTGAAATGTCAAATTGACCATGTCGGCTCTATGAAATAAACAATATTTAATTTTTCAACGTAGTTCACATATTTGGTATGCCACCACCTAATTTTTTTCTTTAAAATTATCTTATTTACCTCACGCTTGGCGTCAAGCTAATTAGATTGACGCGCCATTTAGTATAATCATGTATTCTGCAATACATGCTTTTTAAGAATACATCTCGTTTGCTTGTTGGATTTGAAAATGAGGGTTTTTAGTTTTAAAAACCTTTGGATTTATGATGGATTTGTTGCATTATGGATTTAGAAGAGTACATTGTTTGTTTAGTTAACTTTTATCATGGATTTGTCTGACAAATTTGACTTCCATTATCAAATCCCAAATGAAATGTGAGATTTTCAAATATGTGGGGTCCACGTGTTTGGATCTAGAAAAAGAGTACAAATCCGTGGGCCTCACAAATTTGTGTCGCTTAGAAAACAATGAATTTGTGCCAAATCCTTAGATGTTTAGGATTTGTGTGTCAAATCCATCACCTAAATCCCACAAGCAAACAATACGGTAATTTTGTAAACATAGAGGCTTACCAAACCCAACCCTGAATATTGATGACAGAGGAATACGTTTCTCGGGCCATCAACACTCTAAGAATGAGTCAGCCATGGAGAAAGCGACCAATGAAATCTGTCCACATAGGATCGGGTAGGGTAGCAAGATATAGATGAGCTGAGCCGCGCCAAAATCCTTCCCCTCTCCCTTTCCCTGCTTCTCTTCTCACAAATCTATTCCAACTAAAGCACAGGCAGAGCCCAAATTTGCAGAGGCTATGGCTTTCCCTTCCCTTATCCCAGCCTCTGGCGTCCACAGGCTTTCGCTCTTTTCTTCCCCTTCTTCAGCTCGCACGTCGCAGCACTTGTTGCTCTCATCCTCCCATTCTTCATTTCGCTTCAATCCAACTCCAACTCTCCACTGCCCTCCAGCCGCCGCCAAGCGTTCTGCCGATTACAGGGTTCAGAGTTATCCTCCTGCAAAACCCACTTCAGAGGTTCTAGCTTCAGATACCAGAATTTCACATTCCAATTTATTTGATAGTTTCTGCACATTCTTAGTTCAGTGATGTGATTAGGATTTTGGACACTTTCCACTCCATTTAGCAAACCCTGTAAAGTTAGTGTCTTTATAGCTGTGGAGAATTGGAGACAATTGGAAAGATTATAACCCTCCAGCAGTTACGCAGGATATGGAGAAGGTGATTCCTTTCGCTACTGAAGCAGGCACGCCAAGTTCCCGACTTAGAAACAAGAATTTAAAGGGTCTGATAGCTGCGGTTCTTATGTTTGTTCAAATATCTTCACCTCTGCCTTACTTCGGCTGGGAGCCGTTTCCCATTTCACCAGCAAATGCGGTGCTTTATTTGCCGGACACTAAGGTTCGAAGAACTGGAGAACTTGCTTTAAGGAAGGCGATTCCAGCCAATGCAAACATGAAGGCCATACAGGTCCTTTCTCAGTGAATGAATTATGTATGCTTCTTTACTTGGAAGGGTGAGCAGCTTACGGATCGTCTTGCAGTTTTTCGATTCCAGGATTCACTGGAGGATATCTCATACTTGTTAAGGACACCACAGAGGAAGCCATACGGAACCATGGAAGGCAATGTGAAAAAAACCCCTTAAGGTATGTGGCATCAGCCAAAGGACTTTTTCGCCATCTATGTGAAGCTTTAATAATCATATACCATGCTAAAAGTTCAGTACCAGCTAAAGGAATTTGTTAAGTGTGATCATTGATGTTCTATATTCCTGTAACATGGTGCTATGGTTTCAGATTGCAACCGAGGAAAAGAACTCCATTTTGGCAAGTGTACCTGCAGAGTTTGGGGACTAGGGTTCCTCATTATATGCATCTCTAATTGATGGAAAGTTATGACACTTTTAGGTGGTTGTAATGTGGTGGAATGTGGTAACTGCTCAACGTTGCTTTGGTGTCTCGTCGTCTCATTATCGGAACGCTAAACCAGTGACTGGCTTCATTTGAACTAGTGGTTCAATTTTGAAGGATACTAAATTACCTTTTCCATTTCAAGGGTGGTTTGCAAGCTCTGATTAAAAACATTAAGGACCGGGACCAAGACAAAGTTTCCGTGAGCCTTGCATCTTCACTTGATACCATCTCTAAGCTTGAGTTGCTACAGGTATCCGTATGTAAGACTTCCTCTCATGTTTCTTACGATTCAGAATTTGTATCCAATAACTGTAACCTCCCTTTTTAGCACTGTTCCTTCCTTGTCAATCCAGCAACTTACCAGTCTCCATTTCACATAAAGGCAGAAATGGTTGGTCCATATTATGCATTACTTTGTGGATGGATGACTCATAAAGATAGCAAATTATGCTTCTTCTTTTTTTGTCAAGTTCACCAATTTCCACCAATTTATTCCTTTCAGGGATCAAGAGCGTTGTAGAAATGGTAATTGAATAGATTCCTTTTGGTTGTAAAAGGCTCCAGGACTTTCTTTCTTGTTGCCAGAGCAATACACAAACTATCCAAGGTCAGCCCTTTCATTGGTCATCCCTGTGTGATAATGTTGTATTGCAACTTTAATGGTACAGGCACAAAAATAGTGGCAGCCAAACTTTGGATTAGTTTTTATCTCCTGACTAGAATCTGTGGACCTGTAGGCTAAATGGCAGAGGAACTGTTGAATTTACCATTGAGAAAGGAGATGGTTTAGCATTTTCCCCTGAAGTGGGTGGTGAATTAAGAAAGACAGTCAAAATTCAGGTCTGATAAGCAATCTGCAATAATGAGAAAGCAAAGTTACTGTCATTGATATGTGCTCCTACTTTGAATCTCCTACATGCTTGAACTACTTTATTCCTGCTGCTGGATTTGTGGATATGACATTTGCTTGCAACTAGTTAGTTCCTATTCTGGGTGTGTGCCTTCCATTCTTTCATCTAATTTTTTTTCTGGATACCTTGTTGCTCTCTTATCTCTTCGTACTATCATTAACTATATCTACAATAAAAATTAAATTATGCGCAAACAGGTAACTGTATATGGATATTCAGCAGTCAGCACCACCGACAGCAGGGAATTTCGCAAAACTGGTAAGGTTGCTGAACCTCACTTGAACCTCACCAGTCCTAATTTCCTCATTATGTACCTTTTTTTACCTTTCATGAACGATATGCAAACATTGATCGTCTTAGGTAGTGCATGGGGCATACGACGGAGCAAAGCTCGATACCATTAACCAAGCTATCATAACCGATACTGGACTGGACAAGAACTCCAGTTACAAGCATACCCCTAGAAATAATGCCCTCAGGACAATTTGAGCCACTGTACCGAACAAAATTAAAGTGTCCAGGTAACACCATACTGTCTATACAATGATACAATACATTCATCAGGCCAATTTAGAGCTGCCAAAAGAGTTCTCACCTTTTTCAAAATGTTATCACTTTCATGTTGTCTTAAAAAAAGCACGGGGAGTTGCCAGTTCTTCCGATGTCAGTCTACGGAGCAGTTGCAATGGCACATAGTGAATGTGTCTGAAGCATATCAGTTCTTCTTCTACCTCTACGACAAGAGAAATGTAAGTACCATGCACCAATCAAACTCTATAGAGCTCAGAATTTCTCTCTTGAAACTCACCACTTCACTGGTTCCCCCTTGTCAATTTGTATGACAGTCTGGCTTAGGAGGATTATCTTTCTGACGAAGGGCGGTTCTCGGTTTTCGGGTATGTCTCCGAGGCCCTACCTAATGTCTTCTGCATGTCAGGTTTCACTGTGCTGAGCTATAATCACTGTTCTGTAAATGCGTTTGCAGATATGCCACTAGCGGGAGGGACATTCCTTGGCAGATCAAAACCCGGCGATGTGATTCGATCAGCAAAGATGGTGGATGGTCAGGATCGCCTTATACTACCAACCAAGAGCTGAGACCTGAAAACAGGACCAGCTTGATTCTCTTCTCTTTCCAAACAGGGTACGACGAAGATCTCTGATCATATCTCCCAATGACCCACTTGCTCAATTCATTGGTAATTTGATAGACACACAATGTCGATCATTTTTTTTTTTTTTGGTCTTGTAACAAATGTCTAACACCAGTAGTCACCAGGTCTATCTATCCTCTCAAAATTTGTTGATTGTTCCACCTCTGGGTGGGAAATGAGAAATATTTCTGGATTTGTCGATACTTCCCACTTCCACATCTGAAGATGGGTTTGAGTTTGACATCCGGCCATCGGTTTGCTTCCGGCCGACACGTCACTGCTCCAATTTGTACGATGATTTTTTATCCTGCTGTGATCGGAACAGAGACCTCTCTGAAGGATACATCTTCTTCACTGTCTGGTAGTGGCCCTGAGGTGTCGACTTTTGGGCGGACGTCGAGAAGGAAGGTGATCGGACATTTCGCTTTTGCTTGCCGAGAATTCGGCCGGGAAAAGGGACGGAACCGGCACCTTTTGAGTTCGCCGACGGCGACAATCCAAGAAAACTCCTTTTTTTTGTCTGAAAAATAATTTGTGAAATTAAGGGACTTCTGCAGACGTGTTTAATTTTCATTGGCTGTGAGGCAGAGGTCAAGCAGGCACACAGTGGGCTATATCGCAGGGAATCATAGCCCTCTCGTATAAAACAAGTCCTCGTTTGCAAACTCGAAACTTGGAGGAGATTAACTGAGCAAACGATTCAAAACTCGGTCGCCTCGACTCAGTTCCTCCCAGCCTCCAATGGCTTCCCTCCACGCAATTTCTCCTCACAGCTTCCTCCCTCTCTCCAATCACAGAATTGCTCCTACAGCTCAAATCCTGAGCGGGCCTATTAGGCTCCTTCCGAATCGGATTTTCTCGAGAAGCAAGCAGGTAGCTGACAGGTTGGTGGCGAAGTCGCTTGTGCAGGACGAATTCGATGTCATCCCGGTGCAGAGCGGGGATAGCACGGACCGGCAAGAAGGTATGGCGGTGGTGGGGAGCCAAGTGGAGAGAGAAGGCAACGAGTTGGCGGTGGTGACTCAGGTGAGCGGGTTCGGAGCGAGCGAAGGTCAGTTGTCGTTGGAAGGCTACACTTCTGTTTCTGGCTCCGTTGTTGGAGGAGGTGGTGGTGGTGGTGGTGGTGATGGGGAAGGTGATCAGAGGGAGAAGGAGCTGGAAATGGAGCGCCTGATTGATCGGACGATTAACGCCATGATTGTTCTTGCTGCGAGCAGCTATGCTATTACTAAATTGGTCACAATTGATCGTGATTACTGGCATGTAAGTCCCTCTATTTCCCTGGTCTGTTTTCCTTTGTAGGCGTAATTCTGAGTTGAAGTACTTGAATGTTCTCTTGGTGAGCTCTTTTGTTGCTTTTGCGGGTTTTTGCCGCTGAATATCTTTAATCTTGACTGCTGCCATGGTGTATTTTTACCTGAAGCTTTCTCTAATTTTCTATCTTCATGTTAGCTGGTTAATATCAGGGCATGTTAATGATCGAGGAACTTGTTATGCGTATGGGGAAAAAATGCTTTCTTTGTCTATTTATGTGCTAAATTACATGGTTTGTCTGGAGAACAATGCAAGTAGACAGAGCCATGTTGAGTTATGGATCTATGAGAAGTTGGCTAGATAGCTCGTGCAACATGAGCAAGTGTGGTCATCATGGTTTTTTAGTAATTGTGGCTTCGATTAAGAATCCATATCTTGGTTGAAGAAAGGGAAGGTACAATTGTTTCCTCTCAAAAACTCATTATGCATAAGCATGAGAGTAGGCTGTATAACATGCATCATGTGTTTGTGTCGATGTGAGGTTGAGCTAGATGATGCAAAGCATAGGTTAGTCGGGTAACAAATCAGAACAAAATAGTACATGAAAGCATAAGGCTTTGCTGGATCAAAGGAACTTCATACTATTTTCAGGAGTTGGCCATAAGATAGTTGATTGCAGCTTCAGGTTGCTTGCATGATGATATTAGTAATTCTGGAGATGCTTAATCTTGTCCACAAAATATTCAATCTCAAAACAGGTGAAATTTATGGTACTGATCTTGATTGTTCGTGTTTTGTTGCAACTGTCAATGAACACTTAATTTCATTGACATCTGTTCTTTACTTTCTTGTTGGTTGTTGAACTCGTGCGTCATGGAATCCTTTTTCTAATGTTATCTTTTGTTTGTCGTTCCAGGGATGGACCCTTTATGAGATACTAAGATATGCACCTCAGCACAACTGGTCTGCCTATGAGGAGGCTCTGAAGACAAACCCAGTTTTGGCAAAAATGGTTATCAGTGGAGTGGTGTATTCTTTAGGAGATTGGATTGCGCAAGTAAGTGAAAGTGATTTTGAAATAATGAATTGAAATAGATTTAATGCTGTTTGCTTTGTAATGATCACCATTTGGTTTACGGCACCTGCAGTGTTTTGAAGGTAAACCACTATTTGAGTTTGATCGCACGCGCATGTTCAGATCAGGCATTGTTGGTTTCACGTTGCACGGCTCTCTTTCACATTATTATTACCAATTTTGTGAGGTAATTTCTCTTTTTTTTTTTTTTCCATCTCCCTTTACTGAAAACAGGGTGGTCATATTCGGAAACTTACCGTTTGCTATTCAATTCGTTATTTCATCTTCAGGAGCTATTTCCATTTCACGATTGGTGGGCGGTTCCTATCAAAGTAGCCTTTGATCAAACGGCTTGGTCTGCAGTTTGGAATAGCATCTATTTCACTGTATTGGGATTCTTGAGGCTGGAATCTCCTCTCGCCATTTTGGATGAATTGAGGGCTACATTTTTCCCCATGCTTACAGTAAGATAATTGCTTTTTTTTTTTTTGTTCTTCCATCTGCACTCATCCCGCATTGCAGAAAACAGTTGAGTTATTTCCAAGTGTTGTTGTTCATGACAAAAGAACCAACCGATTGAATTTGGGAACTTGATTCTTGCTTCATTACTTCGTACTGAATTCAACTTATACTATGTGTTTCTGTTCACAGGCAGGTTGGAAGCTGTGGCCATTTGCTCATCTTATTACCTACGGTGTGGTCCCGGTAGAGCAAAGGCTTCTGTGGGTGGATTGTGTGGAGCTCATTTGGGTGACAATCCTCTCCACGTAAGTTATGCTCTCCTTGGTTTTCCGGACTGTTTTGCTCTGGCATTTGTCACTGTCGTCGCCCATTCTCCAACTTGGATATTTGACTTGTTTGATCACAACTTAAGGAAGATTGATCCCTAAAATTTCTAGATCTCTTGAACTGGGATCTGTATTATTATTTTAAATTGTTGGCAGAGTATCTCTCACCTATTGGATCGGTTTAGAATCTTCAAGTATTTTGTTTCTCGACCTTATTTTGTGGTCTGTGGTGATTCCCTCTCATATGGATACGATTACATATAGGTCTTCTCTTTGGTAGACCACCACCTCAGATAGCCAAATTGTTTGGCCGTTAGCCATTTTGTCCAGTTCACCCGACTTTTTCCGACCTCCCTACCCTTTTTCCTTCGGAAAGGGATCAATTAGTTTCACCACCCTCTTCTGTTTTCATTACAGGGTTAAGCATTCTTCCACTTACAATCATGTTTGGCTAGTTGCCGCCCACCTGAGCTTCCTTCGATCTTTGATTGATCGTGTTCATGCTACCGTCTTTTAACAGGTATTCAAATGAAAAATCAGAAGCTAGAATAGCAGAAGTACCGGTTGAAGCCAGTTCCAGTTCCGATTCTAGTGCTGCACCAGTCACCCCACACGGTCACGAGGTATCACTGGTTAAACAGAAAGATCGCGTTTTTCCCCCCCGCTAAACCTGGGCTTGTCTTTGATATTGTAACATATTGGTGCAGGAATAGAGGACCAGGAGACTGTCAAAGTATAAAGGAAGAACAAGCTAATCAGGGTTCCTAGTGTCCAATTTGAAGGCTGCTAGATGAGAGATTTGACAAGGCAGGTTAGAGGCTACTTCTAAATCTGGGTTCCTTCGAAATTCGGAAGGATGGGGCCATCTCGGTTCAGAGATTACACTGCACAACGGCATGCATCCCAGCTTGCCAATACACATACCCGCACCCACTGCACATATCTGTATATATGTTTAATATATCGCGCACGATTAAAACACTCCCTCCGTTTCGTGGCCTAGTTAAGCTCCCCAGAAACCCAGATCAGAGGAATCAATGGTACATAGCAAGATCCTCTTTGAGACATTTGCACAGGTTACCAATTGTACTATTGCGTGTCACACAAGTAAAATGGAGAAACCCTTCGCTGTTAGTGTAATGTACAAGCATATATTATCTGACAAGGTATTCCCAAACTGTTTCCCATTAATTATCAGATAAGAAGAATCTGAAAAGAACTTCGACATTGTAAAAGACAGTAACTTTGATTGATTGCCTATCGAATGTATCACCACAAGCCTCAAAAACCGTACTTAGGCAAACTTCGACGCATGCTTCAAAACATTGCCCCAAGCAAGTGGGATCCTCGCATAGAACCACAACAACACCTTCGAATGCAGTCCAGAACAAAGCCTCCCACTGCCCTGATCACGTTCATGAGCAACACCACCCCGCGGAGCACGAGACAAGAACTAGTCGCACTACTAAACCAAGAAGATGGCTTTCTCGAGTATCGATTCAGATCGATACCCTTTCCATTGTCGAGCAATGCTAGGCTCCTTACGTACTTGCCAAGAGAAGTAGGGCGTTATGCTTAACAATCCCATATCCCCAACTATGCTCTGTTCCATCGTTGAACACACGCTCACAATAGCAGAAACTATGCTTCTGAAGTTCGGGAATGAGTGGCCGTCGAAGGCCTTGTCCCACGACTTTGCTTCTCCATACTTCCTCATCACCCATAACTCGGAATTTGCACAAATAGTAGAAAAGACAGTAGCTTTGGTTGATTACATATCTAATAATGGACCACAACAGGCCTCGAAAATGGATGTCAATAAAACTTCGATGCATGCTTGTAAACATCTCAATGTTGTCAAAGCCGAGCCGGAGTATGAGTCGGTAACGTGAACGGCTCGGTCATTAGTGGTCCAGCCGGCATTAGACCGTTTAAAAACCGTTTGAGAACCGGTACCTAATAAACAGTCATCTGTATAAATAGTAGACACTTCTTAATCATGGTAAACCACAAGTAAATTACTCTCTTAAACCATTCTAGAACATCAGTACCGAAATATCTAAAATTCAATTCCAAACCACCACATTGTTGGGATAAAAGACCATATGTCAATAAAACATTTTGTCAGTTTGCATCAATAGTCAGTTTATGAAGTGTACCCAACTTGTGTAAACCTAAACTCACATGGCCACCGCACCAATACCCTTTTTCTGCATGCCCTACCTACTGATCTGATCCGATCCATACCATTCATCCATTCATGTAAATGTAAATAATCACATTCACAGTTCACAGAAGAAGAAGAAGGCCCGCAATCATCAAATTCACAGCACAGATTGGTGGATGGCCAGATTTCAATCAATGGCCAGATTGGTGGGGGAGATGTTGCGGCAGGAGCAGAGGGCTGCTTGCGACGATGGCGACGGGGACAGAAGCGCCGGGAGCGGGGAGCAGAAGCGACGATGGCGACTGGCGATGGCCCGCTGCTTGCGGCGATTGCGAGCTGCTTGCGGCGATGGCGACGGGACGGAAGTGCTGGGGCGATGGCGAGTTAGGGTTTTGTTTGGCGAGCTGGGGCCATGGTTGACGGCGGCAGGGTGGCGCCGCTCTCCCTCTGTCGTCTGTTCTACTTCTAGGTCGAAAATGAAGAGTTAAAATGAAAAGTTAGGGTTTTGTTTGGCTGCCCCATTCCACGATTGGCCTTCTCTATTTTTTTTTTTAGGGTAAACCAAACGGCCGAACCGTGCGACCGGCTTGAGCGGCTCGAATGGTTAACCGCTTCGGCCGCTCGCCGGCCGCTGTATAAAACCGTGGCGGTTAAATAGCTGATCCGAGCCGGTTTTACGGTCGGTTGGCGGCTTTGGCGGTCCGGCCGGCCGGCTCGGTTCGACTTTGACAGCACTGAAACATCCCCAACGCATAAGGGGGCGGAGCCAGGATTTGAGGTTAGGGGGGCCTGGATTTTGTTTTTCGGAAAAGGTCAATTATGTGAACAAGTTATTAAGTTATATGAACAAAAAAAATTCTACAATATTATGCTCCAAACTAATGATTAAATTATATGAACAAAAACTAAATCATGCATCTTAATGTACAACATGTCTTTAAAGATCTTTATAACTAAAAAATAAATGTATGTATATATAAATGTTTGAATACCATTAATACAACCTAGAAAATATATACGAATTCAAAAGTTAGAACTAAATCCACACCTTTAAAATAACTACCCTTACAAGAAAATATAAAAATTAAATTAACTTTTTGGTAAATATATCCGAAAACAATAACGTCATGTATTCTCCTTAGTGACTGGAGTGTTGTGATCAATGGGAGCAATTTTTTTGAAGTATTCTCCTTAGTGACTCGAGTGTTGTGATCAATAGGAGAGCAATTTTTTTGAACGAAAATATAACTGAAAAAAAAAACAAATGTACAAAAAACAAATATACGATAATTCCCAAACATCGGACAAAATTATACGACGAGCTCAGCTAGCTCCGCCGCCCCTGCAACACATGCCTCAAAGCAAGCGGGATCCGAACACAGAACCAAACCAACAAATTGGATGATCGTCAGAACGAAGCCTCCCAACGCCTTGATCGCGTTCATCGGCAACACCAGCAATGCACGTAGATGACCGAGACACCAACTAGCTGCAGAGCTAATCCACGATGGCCTTCTTGGTGGTGGGTATCGATTCAGATCGATACCCTTTCCTCTGTCCAGCAATGCTAAGCTCTTTACGTAAGGCTCAATAAAGGAGGGCATTGTTCTTACCTCACTCAGAGCTCTAACCATTCTATGGCTTCTGCCCTTTAGTTCCAACAATGTAAACAACGTGCTCGCCGTGCCCACTGCAACGAAAGCTTCGTCTTTCCTTCCGAAAGACAGCAACGAGGCCGGGCCACCGGTCGGGAAAGGGACGCCATCGTACACCTTGTCCCATGATCCAGCTTCTCCATACTTGCTCATCACCCATATTTCAAAATTCGTAACCGTTCCGCGGAAAACTGGTTCCACTGGAAGCGCTTTCCACTCACTCCTGACAACCGCTATCGTGGACGAGTCACCAAAAGCCTTCACACGCAGTTCAAATGCTGGGACTTTCGTCAAACACTTGGGGAGCATGATCTCGCCGAAGGTTTCAGTTCTCAAATCAAACACCAAGACCAAATTCCTCGACTTCCCATCTGTTTGGACGATCCCATGGAGCCTCCCGCTCGCGAAAGCAAGATTGTTCTCCTGACGAGGGATCAGCTCGTAATTGAGGGTACCAGAAGGTATGCTCTTCCACGACCCTGTTCTAAGCGAATAGAGATCGGAGACGAGGGGGGTAATCTTGCCTCCGGAGGACGACGACGCAGCAGCAACAGTCAAAACCTTGAAATCGTCGGCGCTGGAACCGATTCCGAACCCGGTCATTATCTTAATTTGACTGGAGAGATCGGGCTCCTGTTTTCGAGGTGGCGGGAGAGTCAGGGATTTGCTAATATTAGGGTTCCAGAGGATGAGGCTACTTCGATTGCTGCAGAGGCACACCAATCCGTTGACGACTCCGAGCGTAGAAGACGCTGCCACGGGAGGGACGAGGGCGTCTGAGTGGAGAGCAAAATTACCGTCGTCGTCGAAGCGCAAGGAGAACTTATTTCCGCCTTCGGAATAGCAGAGCAGAAGCGGTCGGCGACGGCCGTCGCCGGCAGTCGAAGGTCCCAGGGTTTTGGCGAGTTGACTGGAAACGAAAGAGGGACTTGTGATGAAACGGCGCCATGACTTGCAGACCAAGAGGCACTGCAACAAAGAGCTGGACGGTAGTCTGCCGAAGATCTCCGTCCATAGCTCTTCCGGCAGCCGATCGCAAATATGCTGCTCACCGGGAAAGAAGCAGGGGAACAGTTCGGCGAGAAACGATTTCATGGCGAATCCCAAAATGTGTGGGCTAATTGGATCGGAAACTACATCGAATCGAAAGTATATATCCCACGCCTGAATAAAGGGCTTTTAAGGCCACATGGGCCGCTCAGCCCAATCAAAAACAGGCCTACAAAGAGCCCAATTGGTATACATCATGAAAAGCCACTCGTCCTGTCAAGCAGATCAAGCGTCTCCGTGAAACTTCCAACAACCGAGTATCCAGCTTCTCCCCACAAACCCAACTCCGCAACCTCGAAACTCTCCGGATCGCCGGAAACAATCTCCCCGCCGGCGAGCTCGAACAGTATCTCGCCGTTCCCTCTGAACCCCAACGCCCTTGGCAATCCGCCATCGTACATCCCAATCGTCAGCAGCCTCACCCACGAATCCGCGTTTCCGTACTCTTCCATCACCCAAATCTCACTCTCCGATTCCCCCAAATACCGCCTCTTGAACACCGCAATCGTCGATTCCTTGTAACCGCACACCGTCAGGAACATCGGGCTCTCCGATCTCAACCCCTCCGGCAGCTCCAGCTCCCGGAACCGCCCTTGACCCTCCAGATCGAGAGCCTGAATCAGATTTTCATCACCGTTGCCGTCGCCGTCGCCCCGGGTGGCTACCCAGTGAACCGACCCGTTCACGAAGGCCTGTGACCCGCGCTCCACGATGTTGTACTGCGGCGCCACCATGGTAATCCTCCTCCACGATCCGGCGTTCAGGGAGAAGACCTCGACTTCGATCTCGATCTCGTCGTACTCGAGGAGCCGCACGATCCTGACCACTTTGTAATCCTGGGTCGACGAATCGAATCCGAATCCGAGGAGCGCTTCGAACCCGCCGTGGGTCTCGAAGGTGACGCCCGGTCGGGGGAGAGTGAAGGTTCTGCCGATTGAAGGGTTCCAGAGGGCGATTGTGTAATTGGATGTGTAGAGATTGTGCATCAGGCAGACAAGGCCCCGGCACGATCCGACGATGGAGAATGACTGGTTGTTGATGGTTGGAGGGGGTTTGATATCGGCGTGGTGGGTGAATTTGCTGTCGTCTTGGTGAAGGGAGTAGTGGTTTTCCAGATTGGGGCCGAAACAGAGGCGGAGGAGGAACAGGGGTTTTGGGTTCGAGGCGGAAATGGCAGACTGTTGGATGAAGTGGGTGGTGATGAAATCTGGGGTTTTGATCAGGGAACGCCAGTACTTGGAGACGCAGACGCAGGCGAGGATGGACTTGGTTGGCAGCCTGTGGAAGATGTCGAGTAGGATTTCCGGTGGCAAATAGACTGCTTCCATTTTCGATGTTGGGGATTTGGGTTTCGATGAAAACAGAGGAGCTTGCTGTTATAAATAAGCAATCTGGAGGAGGACTTTTTGAGGTTACCGCGTCATGAAGTCTTCGCGAGCGAGGAAGCGAAAGTTGAGGATAGTGGTCAGTAGGGGGAGGAAGTGAGAGGATCAATTTCCTGACTTGGTGCACGCGAAACTGGTAAAGTTTGGAACTTTGGATTGGGGGGAAGTTTCCTGGCCGTCATTTCTTTTGTAATACCAAAAGCTAAACGCCACAAGCCAATTCTTCTGTTCCCATTAGGTACGACGGTCGGCAGAATGGTCTAAAGATTCGCTTATGCGATTCACGAATCAAGGATAGAACTACGAGACTAGCTGCGTCTTGTTTCTATAAGACAGTATAGATTAGTTGTTTCAGTTAGATTGGCCAAACCCAATTCGGCCACATCAAGCATCTTCCTTCCTCTGATCTGGGTAGAGGTGCGGTTGAGCTAGTGCAGTCTGCTCTGCACAGAGGTGAAGCAGCGTCTGCGCCTTAACCGAGTTGGTCGTGCAATTGCTACCTGCTGCAGTTACGTTGTAGTTGTCGGATCAGATCATCTGCAATGAACTCCAATCCTTTTCTGCAGTTAGTCAATGTTTCTTGTTATAGCTTGAAGCTGTCATACAAGCTTCCCATGGTTACTAGCTATGGCATTAAATATCAGTTGCTGGTGACAGTCTAATGATGATCAGTGTGCATAAGTATAATGATTCAGTGATGCCAATTGCCCAATCTAAGTGAAGGCCTCGAGTGCTCGTCACTAAAATATGAGCAAAAGAATATTGCACTTGAGAGAAAAGAATCAAAGGTCACGCTCAGATTCGCAGGCTGGCAATGATCGAAGACAAAACTTTTTTTAGATTTAGAACTGTACCAGCTAGCCATGGTATGAACTAACTAGTACAAAATTGAAGAGAGGCAAAGAATGGCGTTTTGGGAATCAAGATAGACGATTCCCTTCAACTCACATTAAAAACAGAGGAGTCAACAGAGCTATACATCAGAAGATAAGGGAAAGAGAAGAAGCCAGGCTATATACAAATACAACTCATGAGTCAAGACGTCGATGATACAGAGAATTTATATCAATTAAGTTTACATTGATTACGCGGCCATGGACATGTTACAAAGGCGACTAGGAGTCGGCCGGAAATTATTCCACCGCCGGAGGCTGGGCCGCCGGCTAGCCGGCATCAAGGCCCTCCTCAACACCTCCCGACTCCCCGCCGCCGGATGCCTCCTCAACTTCTCATGACTGCTGCTCGGAGGCATGGCGTGACGATTCCGCCCACCGCCGCCGGCGGTTCTCGCCGACGTCCTCATCACCCTCGGCGACGGTGCTCCTCCTCCTCTACTTCCACGAACGACGCCGTCTCCGGGACTGTTACCGATCCGGCCACTCGTAGCCCCGCAGCTCATCTTGGCTCTGAGATGGTTTGATGACATTAATATTGATCTAAAACTCCAATCTTCTTTTTGCCCTGTTTTCTTTTCGATGCTTGAGATTGTTGGCGGGGTTTCTTATATATATTCTTGGTGGGTTGGGAATGTGTTGACTTTGACTTTGTTCCTATTGGCTGGCGTTGGTCAAACACGGATGGAGTTATTTTAGTTTAGGTAGTGGGCTGGCAGTGAGGAAAGAATTGTTATTCCGTTGAATTGGTTTGGGGGTTGGGTTGTGGTCAAAGGGTGAGGAAGACAGCGACGCGGCCCAGTCCTTCTAGCTGGGCTTCGGGGTTATTGTATATGGGCTTGGACCGCTACCACCTAGGCCCGCTAGAGTGAGAAAGGGCTGGCCCGGTATATAGCAACGACCAGTACGACTTTTTTACAATGGACAACTAGAGGTGGCAAATGGATTGATCCATGGATTGGTGGATTCATGGATTGGATTAAATAATTTTGTGGATTATCCATGAATCCAAATGACATCCTCAACCAAGGACCAATGTGTAAAATGTGAAAAGTTTAGGTACTAAAATGTCACAATGAAAATTTTTTGAGGTACCAAAACGTAATTTTTGAATGATATTTTCGTGTAAAATAAATTTTGGGTACAAAAATGTAAAATATAAAAAGTATAGGTACCAGACTGTAATTTGTCATTTGGATCAAATGGATTGGATTAGGCGGATATTTTTAATGGATTGGTGGATTGGATTGCCAATTACCACCTCTACCATGTTTGACTTTTACACTATGTTTGGGAAGAGGTGCAAATGGGAGGAGCGTGCAAATGGGAGGGGTAAACACAATTTTCAAGGCATTTGCACCCGTTTGGATAATTTGTAACAATAGGGGGTGCAAAACGGTGGTGCAGAATTACTATTTCGGCTTATGGTCCGAATTGGGGTGCAATGGAAGGAAGGAAGGGGGAGGGGGGAGATTATGAATTTTTTTAATTATATTATTTTTACATAATAATTAATATTATTAATTTTATGTTATAGCTATCATTAATGTAGACGTTGTTCGGGGTTGACCGTTTGACTTCGAGAGCAAGTTTGTCAATGTTCGTCTAGTCAAATCGATATCTCTTGGTTGACTCAAATTTGCATTGAAAATTAGAGATAAGAAGCGTTTGTGGAAAAGATAGAGAATAACGGTTTAGTTGACTCAGTTTACTTAACTAAATAGTTAAAACTTACATATTCGAACGTGTTTGACTAAGTTTGATCATATTCAATTTAAATATAATTAAAAAAACAAGTTGGGTTTCGAGGTCGCTCGACCAATAATTATTATTGTTGTTATAGTTAATTATTATTTGAGCTTTATTATAAAATAACTATTTTTATTATATATTGATTTTTATAATATTTTATAGTTAATTACTTACTTTTTCATCCAAACAACAATTTACCCCTCCACTTACACCCCCACCAAGTTGCACCCCCAGCAATTTACCCCTCAACTTGCACCCCCTCGAACTTGCACCCCCTCGAACTTGCACCTCACTTGTTGCCAGGAGACGATCTCGTTTCGTCGCAATAACACTTCTGACAACCATATATTGCTATAAGGTCTAGACACACAATGAAACGAACAATTTAGCATAAACGAGGACAACAGTAAAACGTGAAATCTTAGACAACCAGTAATATTTCGGCCTTGCCAGTTCTCCTCTGCAGAGGGATTAAATATTAATAACATAAAGTCATTCATCCCTATAAAAAAAAAAAAAAACAAGGCTGGGGAAGCAAATCCATAAAATAATAAACAACCCCATCAACTGAAAACGCCCAAAAGTCGTTCTTCCACATCCACCTCGTCAATCACCCTCGGTATTCAAGTCGTCATACATAATTTTTGTTTTACTCGATCAATCTATTCTTTTGTTTTCTTCACGAATGTAGAGTTCTCTTGTTTGTTCGATTTCGCCTCTGAACACACAAAGATAGCAAATTCAGTAACTAATAGTAACTGAATATATAATACCACACTAGATAACTATTTTTTCTTCTTGTAGAGAGTACTAACCAGGCACTGGCGGCAGACAACAGATTCTACATATCCCAAAAATTATACTGTGATAGCAACAATTGTCTTTCCCACAATGCATACCTGTTGGTCACATTATGAATTAAGTTCGGGAAAACAACTTTGGATAATTCAAGAGTTAGATTGGAGAACAAATAAGCGTTGACAATGATGTGAAAGAATATTTGGTTGAAAGAAAGGTCATGAATATTCAAATCTTAATAAGCTAAGTGATACATTGATGCATAATTGATTTCCTTTGATATCATATTTTAAATAAATGATGTGACATCCAAACTCAAAATTGCATATAAGGTTTAGATATACTGGGCATCTTAACTAAGCTTCATTTTACCCTCCAATAGCCGAACTTCGAGTGCATTAGAGATTCAATAATAAATCGTATCTGAATGGGTTATACAATAATTAGAAAAGGCTTTTATGACCAAAAAAAAAAATCAACAAAAACACCAAAATAGCAATTCAAAAACTTGTTTGTGACCGTTTCAATTGCTTTTAGATGTTCTTTTCATTTGTTACCCAGAATGATATTATTTCCTTCTGGAGAGAGACAAAGAAGAATTAACGAAGGGAAACTTGCCCCAATCCCACAACAACTTTCTTGTGGTGACGGTGACGATCACGTGTTGATTCTTCTCGTAGAAAGCTGCATTCAAATGGAATGAAATAGTTCTATATTAAAAAACCATTTCAGCTCAGCAGCTGGAATGAAGTAAAAAGAGAGTGGGAGGTTAAGCTGGGGGAACTTGCCAGTAGAATTATAAGGCAACAGCTTCCTGGTGGCGATGATGATCGTTCGTCTGCTGCCATCCTCTTGCAAATCTGCTGCATCCAACGACTGGAGGGACGCAAAAACAGAGACAAGAACCAGGAGGAGGAAAAACAGAGCCTTCATATTTCCCATTATTGATTGCTTTCTTATCAATCGGGTAAAGTTGATTAAGGGCAGTATTTATAGTGAACTGCTCAATCGGGTAAGTTAATTAACTAATTAATTAACTGAATGTTGAATAAGGTTCAATGTTCAAGCATGTGAACTGATCAATCAAACCAGAGAGAGTGACATATTTCGTCTCACAACTTGTATCTTTCTCCTCTGTTTTTTTGGTTCATTGATTCCAGCTTCCGGCCGCATTATTTGGTCGGCATGCAAAGACGGAAAGGAGACGCGAGATGAGATGACAAAAATTGGCAAATCAATCGCTACCACTAAATATGACAAAGCGACTACAGCCACAAACCTACGATTCACTATCAGATCCCAGATGGACCGATATCATCAATCGGTCAAGTACTAGCTACAAGTGGAAATGTTACAAAAACAGGGTTCTGGCTTTGTTTTACACATCAAATTCGAATCTAATTCCTTGTCCCATTCCTCTAAAAAAAAAACCCATAATCATCATCACCTTGCTACAACGCTATAGCTAAGTAAAACCAAATCCCAAAGGTTAGTCAGACCCAAAGAATCCCAGTTTATTTACAGAGTACCCATAAATCACCACTGTTTTTTTTTTTTTCAGAGCCCGAACCCGAATCCGGTGCCGGGTTTGGCCGGGTACCCGTACCCGGCATACGGGTCGAGTAATGGGTTCGACGACATGAAATTGTGTGTAGTTGAGAGGCCGGCGGTTTGGTTGTTGAGTTTCTGGTTCTGGCTCTGCCTTCTTAGCCCGCTTTGAACCTCTTCTTCCATGGCGGCCCTGCTCAGCGTGTTGGATAAATCGACGTCGAAATTAGCTGCGGTGGCTGTGCCTTGCGAGATGGAAGGGACGTAGAAGTCGTTGTTGAGACCTGCGGTTGTACCGGCTTGAGTCTGGTTTTGATCCGGTTCAGATGCAGGGTTGAACCGGAGGAGGCTGGCCCAGTCGAAGCTGCCCGATCCCAAATTGCTCAAGCTCAGCTTTCGGTCCACTTGCATCGGTTTAGCGGATCCTGGCTGCTGCGGCAGATTCAGGAACCGCTCGTCCATCTCCGGTAGGGAGTCCAACACGTCGTCGTAGTGGGACGAGGACGACGAGGAGGAACCGTTGTTACTCTGCTCTTGGGTGGATAGACCGGGCATGGGTTTCTGCCCGCCGCCCGAGTTTTTCTTGTAGATCCGGCATAGAACCCAGTCGTCCAACTGCAACCGAACCAACCAAATGAATCAAACCGAACACAAAAAAAACATGAAATTGATAATCTCTAAATTAAAACCGGTCAAAATTTTGTTACCTTCGTGCTGCCGTTCTTGCGCGACGAATCAAGAAGGCGGTACTCGTGCATGATCCAATTGGTTTTGGTCCCTTTCGGAGCTTTCCCAACGTAGAAAACCAGAGCCTTCTTGATACCGGCCTTACGCCCTTCGGTCGTGATCACTTTGTCGGTACCGGTCGCCTTCCAGTAACCCGAACCAGCAACCCGATTCGGCCGCGACCCGTTCGGGTACTTCCTGTCTCTGGGGCTGAAAAAGTACCACTCTTTCTCCCCGAAGATGGCTTTCCCTGCAACGAAAACAGAGCAGTAGCACCACCATCAGCAAAAACAATTTCGTGGGGAAATGAAATTAAATCAACGATTGATTGAATCAAATCACCGTACCTGGCAGAACCCATGGATCGTGCTTGTACAAGTCAATCTCCCCGATGATCTGCAGCGAGAACGAATGCCCGGCGACTTTCCGGCAGAGATACTGAACCAGAAGCTCCTCATCGGTCGGGTAGAACCGGAATCCCGGCGGCAGGCTCAATTGAGCTAGCGGATCTTTGTCTTGCACACCCATTTCTCTAGATCCGGGGCCGGGAGCTTGAAATTTGAACAGATGAGAATCCTCTGGAACTCTTTTTTTTCTTGATGGCTGGCTGCTTGTCAATTTGGGCGCCAACTGTTCTTTCTTTCTTTTCTTTTTCCTTCTGCGCGTGTCGACATTATATATAGAGAGCGGCGTAGAACGTAAGAGAGAGAGAGAGAGAGATAAGTACGGTCGTCCTTGTCTCACTGGTTGGGCAGATGGGCCCCCAGTTTTACTTTCTATCTGACGGTTAAGATTCGGCCCACGTGCCTTCTTCTTTCGGCCGACCTTATCCAAACAGTCAGGCCCAGGTTCAAAGCCCGCAAGGTGGATGGATGGCCAAATTCACGTGTCCCAATTCCATAAATTCAAAGTCTAATAAAAAGTCTAAACTAAATTAATCTCTATTAGCTCAGCTATGCATTCTCAGGAAAATAATTCATCCATGCGTAAATGAAAATTCGTCGCGTGTGGTAGTCTAGTTACAACGAGATTTGTATGACATGAATCCAACGATGTAAACACGTACTTACTACGAGAGCGGCTTTTCTCCCGGGGGTGCATGAACCTGTGACCAAAAGGTAAGGAAAGGGAAAAAAGGCAGACACGTGTAGGAGTTCTGGAAGTGTGTTACAGAATGGGACAAATAAGCAGAGAAAAGTGGTACCTACTTTTTTTTTTTTGGCATGGACCCGAGCAAAAGTGGCTGCAGCAGATCATGTAGAAATAATAATAAAATAAAACGTCGACTGAAGGGGAGACTTGACTTGGGGATATATGTGTCGACGGCGTGGGCTGGCATGCCGACACGTGGAGACGTAGCTGTCAAGTTAGGCTTGACGTATGCCGTATGCGTGATTTGTCAAGTTATGAAGCCAAAGGATAATAAAGTTTATTTAATTTTCTAAACTAGGAAAATGAAATGGCTGCTGTGTCATTTCGACACGATGGCCATATTGATCATTGATCTTCCGGTAGGTTCTTTTTTTTCCAGAAAATTGTTTTCATTTTCTTAAAATTATTTAGTAAGATCAATATTTGCTAGAGATAATATATTTGTTTAGTGTGCACACTGAAAGAGTATAGATTAATTAGCAATTTAGATGTGCCGTGTAAATTCAGAGTTAGACGATTAATATGCCTTACATCTACAAGATGATGTACATGTATTTGTCGTAATTTTTGTTTGTTGATACGAGAAACGATACCGGTACCTTCAATGCTTGCGAATAAATTGATGAAACCATGCATAACAACACTATGAAATGTTGATCGAACGATGGCTTTAATCGGTGTTTTTTATAATGACGGCTGTAAATGGTGATAATGGATTAGGATGGCTTGCTTGTTACGTTGTAAAGGAAGACCAAATCCAATTGAACGGAATAGTTATAAGTCAAAGTTTGAGGAAATTCGAATTAGGGTTTACCGTTAACGTACAAGAAAAAAAAAATCGAATGAGTTTTTCTATAATTTGGAAATTGAGGTACAAACCGGCAGAAGCGACAAAAGCATGAGGAAATTTACGTGCGTGGAGGTGGAAAAGGCTAAAAAGAATGAGAATTTTAATTTTGCTTTTATTTTTTTTCCTTTTTTTTCTCGCTTTTTTGGAATATAAGTTTGGTGAGTCAAAGGGGACACGTAGCTGCGTTTGTGTACACAGAAACCATACCCTCTTAATTATATAAAAAAAAATGGAAGCCATATCATCATAAACTAATTTTAATTACTATTTGCTAATTAAAGTATGGAAGCCATAACAAAAAGCAAACCAAATTCATGAACAAAAATTAACATGTAACTACTGTGGTTTACATGCCAAGCTCGCGATGGAATAGCCGAAATAATCATGTCTGGTATTTTCGTATGATGCTAAACAACCAAACTCAACTTTGAAATTAGCATCATACCAATTATCAAGCACATGTGTAAATCATGAAATTTCCATTTGGTCATAAACCTCAAGTTTATATATATATATATGATTGTAAATTTCCATCTACACACATGGGTTGTGATTTTCTTGTCATGCATATCTCTGCTCTTCATATGGAATATATGATTTCTTTGCATATACAACGGTCATTGTATTAGAGAAATTAAATTGATCAATGTGCTAGTATAAAATGTTTATTCTCGCAATATAGTATCGTTATGAGATATTGGTGAAAACTAAATTTTCACTACAAGAAAATTCATTTTCCTGACAGTTTTCCAGTGATCGGGGTCATACACGACGAGAAATCATGTGGACTTCGTTCGTATATACTGGTGATCATGCTTTATCACAGTTTGACCGCTCTCAAAAAAATTCTGAATTTAATGAGAAAATAAGAAAGTAGTCTCGCGCTTTCTGTCGGCCACAACTGGTTCTAGTTAATTTACTTATAATAATTGAGTCCAAGCATGAATAGATGTCAAGGAGAGATAAGCAAGAGCTTGCTTACTGTGAATCTGTCTCATAGCGCGTGGACAAGAAGGAAATTGTTTCTAATTAATTAACTTATTCCAACTGAGTCCAAATTGAACGTAAATCTATGGGTATTCGACCTACTTTTTATTCTATACTTGATTTAAAATTACAAAACACACTTACCATTCCCTAAAAAAAAAGAACCCACAAAAATGAAAATAGAGAAAAATCAGAAATACGATCGAAAACTCTTATCATCTTACCCAAAAATAAAAGAAACTATCGTCGTCGAATTTCCTTCCATCCTCACCCTCGAAATCAATTTCTATCACCGTGAATCGACCTCCAAGCCTACCAATCGAATTGAAACGGCTTCCTTTGCCGAAGAAACCATGCATCCAGACTTGAAATTTCCTGGCTATGATTTAATAACCCTAGCTAGGTAGCTGCATAATTTATTTTTTTCATGAGAGAAGGAAAGAGGGAAAACCGGTAAAGAGAAGACCAGCAATATATATTATATATATCACCCTCTTGAATTCATTAGTAGCCAGATGCAACAGAACTGCGCATGAAAAAACTATCTTATAGCAATAGACACCCAAAATTAGTAATGTTGATGCTGCAGGTGCATGGGTTTACAACGGAGAATGTCAGCCTGACCAGCTGTTAGGCTACTGGTTGGGGAGGAATTAGTGAATCTAGCGACGAGTTAATATATTAATACACTCATTAACAGTTTGTGGATTATATAACATACTCATATTTAATTTAGATCTTACGAGAGAGAGATTAATGAAATCTTGCCAGTGGGGTGTTGAGATGGACTACGCTACTTGTTAGGTCTCCCTCCCAATACATTTGCCTTCCTACAAGAACGTACGAAGTTTATGGGAGTTGCTAAAGGTCGCCCTTAAAATTGCTAAATGTCGCCCTAAAAAACATCAAAGTTACAAATTTAACCTTTTAGCTACTTTACTCTTCCTTTAGCAAACAAACACCTCTTAGTAAAAAAAATAAAACATTATTCAAAAGAGAGAATCCATCATCGTCATTCCGGAGTTGGAATCGTCGATATGATGTCTGTATCATGACTAGCGACTCTGAATCGGTAAAGTTCACTAAAAAATTTGGAAAAAAAACAAAAAAAGTGAATCGTAGCTCATTTGCGGTTGCACCATGGGCCAACCGCAACTCACTTGCGGTTGCACCATGGACCAACCGCAAGTCACTTGCGGTTGGTCCATGGTGCAACCGCAGCTCACTTGCGGTTCCACCATGAGCCAACCGCAGCTCACTTGCGATTTCACCATGGACCAACCGCAAGTGAGTTGCGGTTGCACCATGGACCAACCGTAACTTGCCTTAGGTTGAGCGTTTTTTTGGAAATTTCGTAGAGAACGGGCGACGACGGCGAGAAAGACGCCGACGAACTGGTGCGTCGAGAGGGATTTGCGAAGAAGGCAGATGAGGGGTTCAGTTTGAGGGGTTATGGATTGTTTGGTTTGTTTAAATTTTGAAATTTTATTGGGGTAAATAAGTCATTTATCATTAAAGTTAGGGCGACCATTAGCAATTTTAAGGGCGACATTTAGCGATTCAGAAGTTTATTGGGTTTAATCAATGAATGGAAGTTAATATTAAACTAGAAGGTAGCGATTGAGCAGGCAATTTTACATTATGAGTCAAAAAGGACCCGTTATTTGAGGATTACCCAAACCCAACTCATTATGAGTCAAATCAAATTTAGGCAATTTTACAAATTCATACCCAACTTTGAGTTTGGGTCTAAATTGGACATATAGTATGTAGTACAAAAAATTGGATACCTAATTTAATGCAGATTGTGCCTTATTTTTTTGTTATGAACCAAACAAAAATATGGAAACACCGACACTAAAAGTGTAATAAGGATTGACGACGATTAATGTGATATTAAATATTATCTTTTGTGTGTACAATCATTTGAACCAAAATAGATATCGATCCACATGAGTCTGACCAAAATGAGTTGACTCAAATTGGAACCGATTCAAACTCCAAACCAATAAAAGTATATATATAAGTCGGGATGGGATTAGGTGTTAACTCTTATAGGGGTTAGCACCGTGATAACTAGCAAAAAACGCTACTAAAAATAACGAAATCACTACGAATTATTATAAAATCAATACAATATCTAAGCTAAATCACTACTAATTCAAACTAGTAGTAGTTTTTCCCTTGGTTAGGACGGTGCTAACTATTGTACAATTAGCACCGTAACTCCTCCCATATAAGTCAATTTGAATACCCTCATAAATCATGACAATCAGATCAAAATATCCAACGAATCAATTCATTAGCGTTGAATGGGACAGGATACGGTGACAACCCCCTTGGGGGTTGTCAGATTCACAACCAAGGGTATTTTGGGTATAAAAAATGAATATATTAATTACTTTTTGTATTAATTATATTGGGAATTAAATACCCATATTAAATACAATTTTTTTCTGAAATTTAAATCCTATACATTAATATCTCTATCTCTCTCTCTCTCTTCCTTTCTCCAGCAGCCACTCCGCATCGACCGACAAACTTTTTCTCCGGCGAATTCTCTCCGGCAGACTCCCTCCAGCAACCTGAAAAAATGTACCAATGCGTTAAAAAGTGTACCAATCTATTAGTCTACTGGTAATTAATATACCAGTGCTAGTGGTACGCTACCAGTACGTTAAACAATGTACCAGTACTAGCGGTACCAGTAAAAAATGTACCAGTACTAGTGGTACGCTACCAGTACAACGCTACCAGTAGAGAATAACACAACGCTACTAGCACTGGTAGCGCTACCACTAGCATTGGTAGCGGTACCAGTAGAGAATAACACACACAAAAAAAAAACAGATGATAGTGGTACCAGATGATAGGGGAGTCACTGGTATTGGTACCAGTGAGTAGTGGTAGCGTACCAATAGCGCTACCAGTGGTATTGGTACCAATAGTGCTACCAGTGGTATTGGCACTAATAGTGCTACCAGTGGTATTGGTACCAATAGAGACTATCAGATCTGGAAAAAAAAAATAGGGATGAGGAAAGAGGGAGGCAGGGAAGAGTCTTGACCTCGCGGCGGCGGGGCAGGGGAGGACAGCGGCGCGGCGGGGCGCGGGGGGAGGACAGCGGCGCGGCGGCAGGGGAGGCAGAGGCGGCGACAGTGGTGTAAAGACGGCGACAAGTGCGGCTGGGGCGACGAGGGCAGCGGGTAAGGCGGGGACAACGTCGGCGTGAGGAGGAAGGCGGTCGCGACAAGGATGATGGAGGTCTGCATGGTGATTGAGGTCGACGATGATGGAGGTCGGTGGTGGAGCTCTTGATGGCTAGGGTTTTTTTGTTAGAGATATGTGAGAGGGGAAGAGGAGGGAGACGCAGGAAATTGGGAGGAGGGTCTGTTTTTTTTTTTTTTTTTTTTTGGTAATAAAGAGTATTTATATGGAAAATGGAAAGGATCTCATGTGGTAAGTTTTCCATTCCGAAATTGCCCTTGGTTTAATCTTAACCATTAATTTAAAAAAAAAGAAGAAAAAGACAGGAGAGAGAACGTATCCGATGGCCACAAAGGTGGTTGTGAATCTGACAACCCCCAAGGGGGTTGTCACCGTATCCTGTCCCGCGTTGAATACCTACGTATCATATTTAGAATCAATTTGTTCAAATAAGTCAATTTGTTGAAATAGAGCTAAATGCGCATCTTACAAACACCATTCTTTTTTTACAAACAACCTTTATTTACTTACTCAACCACAATGATGAAACAGACCATTGATACAACGTTTTTTCCTAATTATGACACCCTTCTAGTACTCCATCCACCATTTACCTCACAGTCTCACACCGTATCATTATTACTATAACTACGAGGAACCCTTCCGCCGCCAACATCTCCCCCGCCGTCGCCCTCCACATCATCATCGACCATCTCCTCCACCGGCTTGTAAACATAAAACCACGCAACCACCGCATAGTACACGAAGTTCGCCACTTGAACCACCGTCACCAGCCAGTAATAGCAATCCAACTTCCCCCGATTCAAGTTCCGATCCGGCAGCCAGTTCCCCTCCTTCCCCGTATACTCATGCACCAACGACACCATCCCCGTCCCGATATAGCTCCCGAACGAACCCGTCAGCGACGACAGCGCCGCCGCCGTGCTCCTCATGCTCTCCGGACACTGGTCGTACAAAAACTCGACGTGCCCCACCTGGAAGGGAGTAAGTATTATGAGATCCACTTACAGTTAATTTTTCCCCCCAACAATTCGAATTATTGAGACCAACTGGTTTGTGACATACTATCAGCAGCAGAGCTTATTTGCCTAAATGTTCTTATGTTCAAATCTCTACGACCCCCAATTAATATTAACAGCTGATTTAATCACAAAGTATGGCAGGCCTATGCAAATTTCAAACCCGTAAGTTGGCTTTCGTTTGAGAGGCGTGTAAGTAGAGGTGTAAAATTGGCCCTAGATACCCACCAGCCAGGTCCCGTTCAATCCGATGCTGACTGTCGAGCTAAATCAGTTTGTCTAGAGGGCCAGTTTAGGATCATATATTTTTTTGTCTTCTCAGGGGAGTGTAGAGTTGGGTAAAATTAGGGTGGAGTCACTTTTGACCCATGACCCCATATATAGCAACAAATAATGTTGTAATTCCTCGTACCAAAAGAGTGGACTTATTTGTAAAGTTTTAAAAGTTTAGGTACTATAATGAAATTTAAAAAATATAAAGGTACTAAAACATAATTTTACATCAAAATTTCAGGACCTATTTGTAGAAAATATAAAGTTTAGGTACTAAATTTTAAGGAAAAAATTAATTTGGATACCAGAGTATAAATTGTTCAATTCTATTTTTGTTGATTAGGTCGACCCGACCCAGCCCAATTCGAATGCGTGAGAAAGGATCAAGAAGAAATAAGACCGGATTTGTAACATGACCTATATATCGGACCGGGTATTTTAGGGTAGTTCTAGGGTGAGGGACTAAGGGTTGGGTTTGACCCAATTTCACCTCACATAAAAAAAATGATATATCAGATTTTTTATTGAAAACTTTCCAAGAATTCAAATTATCGGAATCAACTTATTTACGACAATACTACGTACCGTCATGAACACGTCAGCGACCCCGTGGAGGACGTACTGCGGCACCAGCCAGAACACGCTGATCGGAATCACGGCCTCCGGCGCGTCGAGCAACCCGTGGCGAGCGGCGGCATCCTTCCTCCTGACCTCGACGAGGGCAGAGACGGAGGTGGCGACGATGTTGATGAGGAAGCCGACGCCCATCCGCTGGAGGCAGGTGATGCCCGTGGGGTTGCCCGTGAGGCGGCGGAGGAGGGGGACGAGGAGGCGGTCGTAGAGGACGAGGCCGGAGGTGGTGGTGATGACGCCGACGACGGAGAGGGAGGCCGGCGGGATTTGGAACGTGGAGGAGAGGTGGCGGTTCATGGAGAAGGCTTGGAGGATGACGAAGCTCTGGAGGTGGGAGGAGGCGGCGAAGTGGAGGATCCCGGCGGCCCATATCGGTAGCATGCGGAGGATGGATTTGAGCTCTTCCACCCGGTGGACGGTGGCGATCCGCCATAGGTTGGGTTTGGTGGTGGTTGAGGTGGCGGTGATCAGTGACTCGCCGTCGTGGCCGTCTGTTGCTACTATGATTGCAGCTCTGTCCAGCCACCTACGAGCAACGCAGTGAAGGTCGGAATTTTACATTCAAAATACCGTGTGATTTTAACGTCCATAAATTTTATAGTGAAAATCAGAATCGTAAACAGGTAATTAATATCGTAAATCATAAGATTTTAGAATTTAAATCCGAATTTTACTCACCAGAACACAGGTTTGAGTTTGTCTTGGAAACAAATAGGAGTATAGGCGACCAGATTTTGATTTGGTGGCTAAATTATTTACTTTCTTGGAGTATAGGCGACCACAATTTATTTGGTGGCTAAATCATGCACTTACCTGAACTGATCAGTATGCAGCAGCCTTCCATTCAACGAAATATCCGCATCGAGCTCCCTATTCCGATACAACTCCCCATGCTCCGCCGGCGCCACCGCCGTCCTCTTCCTCCACGCCGCCACCACGACCTGCGCCAGCCGCACAAACGGGCTCCCGCCGGGCTTCAGCTTCTTGTAAAGCGGCGAGCCCAAAACGAAAGCCACGACGGAAACCGCCATGGCGGCGGTCGGGATCCCGAGCCCCCATCCCCAGCCGACGTTGTCCTGTATGTACACTACCGTCGTCAGCGCCGTCACGGTGGCGATCCCCATGCTGAAGAAGTACCAGTTGAAGAAGTTCCAGCGCCGGGACTCGACGCCGGACTTGGTCATGTCGAGCTGGTCGGCGGCGAAGGTGACGACGCAAGGGCGGATCCCGCCGGTGCCGAGGGAGGTGAGGATTAGGGCGGCGTAGAGGATCCACAGCTGGCGGGAGGAGGCTTCCTGGCAGTGTGACGGCGGCGAACATGGCGGCGGGCGGAGGGATGGAAGCATGGCGGAGAGAGTGATGCTGATCATACCCTGTAGTTCATTAATCATGACTCGTTAGAACACGTTTGCAATTATACTAAAGGTAGCAATTGCGAAGATGCGGTTGATTCTAATAACTCTGTTAAATGAAAGTCATTATATATGGATTTGAAATTTGTTTAGGTTGAAATATTATGGGCTTAACAAAACAAATGAGAGTAATTAAGATTCGAACAGAAGATATCTCAGTAGCAGAAGGCTATGATATCACGTCAAGAACAGTCTGTCCCGTTAACTGTGGGAGATCATATAGCACTTACTAACAACTTCCCAGCGCGAAACTTTTTCTAAGATTGGTTACGGTGGGGTTGCAAAAAGTATTAAACAACTGTTTTTTTCCAGCAACGCCACTTTATGGTGGAGTCGGAATTCGAATGAGAAGGGTTGACTCGAACTGTAATGTTTGAAAGAGGGAGGCTAAAGTCTTATCTACTAGTATGTTTTTAAGCAACACGTTTTGAAATTTGTTCTTAATACATTTTAGGAATATAGACAGATTTTTATTACACGATTTCGCGACACTTATATTTTATCTGTAACGCGAGTCCTTATCATCACAAATGACTAACTCAAATTGTCACAATTCGCAATAGGATATCATATTCACCACCGTGTAATCAATATTTACGCAGTATGTATACCATTTGGTAGATGATAGAACCGACGATGATGGTCCAGTAGCGGCCGGCGAAAGAATCGGCGGCGATAGCGCCGAGGATGGGGGTGAAGCCGGAGGTGCCGGCGAAGTTGGTGAGGGTGTTGGAGGCTTTCACCATCGGCAAGTTGAGGACTTTGGTCAGGTACGTTATCATGTTCGCCTGGAACCCGGCGCCAGCAAACTTGTCACACATTTCGTTTCCTGCATGTACGTGCAAAATTTCATGCAATTATTCTAGTCAATTAATTTATAACGAAATTTCATGGCTAAAGCATTACCCAAGATGAAGGGCATTGTTTTGACGCCTCCAAGCTTTCTCTTCTTCCCGACTTCACCGCCGGCACCAATTTTCTGATGATCAGATCCCGGCGGTGTGTCGTCCAGATCATGATGACGATGATGCACGTTCTCCATCAATTTCTATATGTTTCTGTTTCTCTCTTTTGCTGTATTCGAGTGAGAGAGAGGAAATTGGCGATGTTGATGATGAAAAGGTCCGATGCCGGGGTTATTTATGGAGAGACAGTGTGAAGGCAATTTTGTTTGTTTATGGTTTGGCTAGTGGACTGCTGAGGAGAAAGGTGTATAGCTTCAGTTTGGTCGTGGAGCGATGATACTCTCGGGCAGTATTCTCTGTGAACAGAGAGTTCCAGGAAATTGTTTTTGCTTTGTTATTTAAAAGGAGTAATTATTATTTGTTGCATTTTCCTCGTGTCTTCATTTTGTGGTTCTTTTTCTTAAAACTTGCTTTATTCTGCTAGTAGTCTGGTACTAAATTGCAGACATCGATATTGTAATAACTAGGGGGTAAAATAGAAAACCACTTTTGAAATCGGGTGTATAATTTTTGGTACTGTTATTTGGAAATTATTACAGAGAGTTTGTAAATATTAATACAGGATTTTTAAATCCTACATATATATTTGCAGTCATTTAGAAGGTTTAAATATTATTACACGCCTACACAGTTTCCTTTCTCTGAGAAAGCTCCACCTCGCCATTCTCACCACCTCCATTAACATCACCACCTTCATCTCCATCCTTCACTTCCTCCACCGGCTTGTAAGTATACAGCCACGCAACCACTAGAAAATACACAAAGTTCACCACCTGAATCCCGCTCACCAGCAAGTAATAGCAATCCAACTTCCCCCTGTTCAAGTTCCGATCCGGCAACCAACCCGTATACCTATGCACCACCGACACCAGCCCGGTCCCGACGTAGTTCCCTAACGAAAGCGTCAGCGAGTAGAGCGCCGACGACGTCGTCCTCATGCTCTCCGGCGACTGGTCGTACAAGAACTCGATATGACCCACGGCGCCGAACACCTCCGCCGCGCCATGCAGCACGTACTGCGGGACCAGCCAGAACACGCTCATCGGTACCTGCAAGGAGAGAAAAAGGAAAGGCTAAACTGTTTATACTACCAAATCTCGAGTTATTGAGGCTGAATGATTTAGTCGTTAATATGGTAACATTCAACCGAGAAGTTATGGTCTTGAAATTTTATGGCGCGATCTCAATATAAACAAATGTTTACCACAAGAGACCGCGGTGTCTTCGACTTGTGCAATCTCAAAGTCTAATGGTTCATCGCGCGGTTAGTAGAGGTGACAAATAGATTGGATTCATGAGTTGGTGGATTGAATGGATCGGATCAAACAAAACTGGTGCTAGCTATCATGGATTGAATCAGATAGATTGATGGATTGATCCGTAGATCCAAATTATATCCAGGTCTTGGACCATTATATAAATTTAAAAAGTATAGATATTAAAATGTCATAATGAAAAATTTTAGGTATCGAAACATATGTATGAATAATTTTTTTCTTAACAATACAAATTATTGTGATTAAACAGTTTGTTCGTTTACCACGGCTTTTGGGTTGTCGAGCAGGCCATGTTGAACCGCCACGTGTTTCCTCCTCATCTCGACGAAAGCCGAGACCACCGTGGCGACAACGTTGATGACGGCGCCGATGCCCATGCGCTGGAGGCAGGTGACGCCGGCGGGGTTGTTGTTGGTGATGAAGCGGCGGGCGAAGGGGACGAAGAGGCGCTCGTAGAGGACGAGGCCGGCCATCATGGTGACGACGCTGAAGATGGAGAGGGATGCCGGCGGGATTTGGAAAGAGGAGGAAGAGAGGTGGCGCTCCATGGAGAAGGCTTGGAGGATGACGAAGCTGTTGAGGTGGGAGGAGCCGGCGACGAGGAGGATGCCGGAGATCCATATGGGGAAGACTCGAAGGATGGATTTCAGCTCTTCTACTCGGTGGACGGTGGTTAGCTGCCATAGTTTTGGTTTTTGAGCTGGAGGAGGTTCGTTGAAGTCGTTTTCTGTTGCTATTGCTGCTTTGTCCAAGCACCTGTTTTTCATGATGATAAGAGGAAGGTAAATCATAACCCAACCATTCCATGCATGAATTTATTTAGTAAACTCCATGCATGAATTTATTTAGTAAAAGGCATTGTTGATTATAGCGTAGAACCATCAAACTAATTATAATAGTGGTTCGACCCATTCACTTGAACAACTAGAATAGACCGAACATTTTTTTTAACGGTTTGGTATGAAACCAGTTGAACCAGTTTGATTGGTACCGAATCACTGTTTTCAGTGGCGAAGCTAGCCGAGAGTCACATAACACACCCAAAGTTTGAGTGGAAATTATTAACCTACATTCTACAGTAGAATGTAGTGATTCACCCCGCACCGCAACACATAAATCGTTAACTTTTTCGGTTCAGTTACGAGTTTGATTCAAACAGATCAGGTAAAAGGAGCTCACTTGAACTGGTCCGTGTGAAGCAGCCGTCCGTTGACAGAAATGAGAGCATCGAGCTCTCGGTTCTGGTACAAGAGCTCAGGGTCCTCCGGCGCCACAACTTTCCTCTTCCTCACCGCCGCGACAACAACTTGCGCCAATCTAGTCAGAGGGCTACCTCCGAGCTTCACCTTACTATAAAGCGGCGATCGAGCCGAACACAAAAGCGACGATGGACAACGCCATGGCGATCGTCGGGATCCCTAAACCCCAGTTCCAGCCCACGTTGTCCTGTACGTAGACCACCACGGTCAACGCGCCCAGCGTGGCCGTTCCCATGCAGAAGTAGTACCAGTTGAAGAAGCTCCACCGTCGGGGGCCAGCACCGGCGGCGGATGATTTGGTCAGGTCGAATTGGTCGGCGGCGAACGTCATGACGCACGGCCTGATCCCGCCGGTGCCGATGGAAGTGAGGAGGAGGGACGTGTAGAGGAAGCGGAGCTGGTGCGGGGAAGCTTCCTGGCAGTTGGACTGAGACGGGCACGCCGGTGGCCGGAGTGACGGCAAGGTGGCGGAGATGGTGATGCCTATCATCCCCTGAAAAAGTGGAGAGGTTCGTCATTTTGGCGCGACTCGAGTTACTCATGACGAGAAACTCGATATTGAACATATTCTAACAATTCGAATAAGGGGCGGATGGAGTGTGTAACTTGGTGGATCTGTTGCGGGAGGAAAATAAGTAAATTATATATTATAGTTAAAACTGAAAAACGAAAAATTAAAGTGCGCGTCTTTAATTAAGAATGGTAGATCGAGAGGTCCTATGTTCAATCTTAGTGATCTCATTTGTTAAATACATATTTTTTTTAGATATGGTTTCAACCCCGTATAAGTTGATTTCTTTTGAGGGGGCGTGTTAGTAAATGATATAAGATTAATGTTGCAAAGAACATTATTTAAAAGTGAATGACTAAGTGAATCTTGAATAGTTGATTGGTAAAGAGAGATCGATATTATATTCCTGATACTTTCGACTGCGTAATATGTTTTAATTTATCAAAAAATTTCTACATATAAAATGATATCATAGATGATTAAAAAGTTAACAAAACTATTTTGTCATGTGTATTTTTTTTCCTAGAAAGACACGTCTTACAATAAATTCTGGCTACACCTCGCTTCGCTACAAGTCTAACTCGAGCTATTGAGTTGAATTAGGTTTATGACGTACCAGCTCGTAGACGAGGGAAGCGACGATGATTGTCCAGAAGCGGCCGGCGAACGAGTCGGCGATGAGAGCATCGATAAGAGGGGTGAAGCCGGTGATGCCGCCGAAGTTAGTAAGAATGTTGGAGGCCTTCACCATTGGCAAGTTCAGAACTTGGGTGAGATATGTTATCATGTTTGCGTGGAACCCAGTCGCGGCAAACTTGTCACATATTTCATTTCCTGTGTATGTCAATTGTCACATGATGATCGGGGACAAAAAAAAAATATTAGATCTACACAAATTTATAATTTGAGATTTCTTTTTATAATGGTAATATATGTTTTACTTTTTTGTGATTTGATTATTTAAGACATTTGAACATGTTCGAAAATTGTTATTTGATTAAGGGAATCCAATTGGGTTCCCTCCTTGCAAGGTTTAACCTTATTTCGTAGGTTAGGATTATGTCTTGATTTTATTCTTATCGTCCCTGTGTTAACGACCTGAATCGATTTCTAAGGTTCTCAATTATTCATGTATAATTTTCATGGTTATTGTTTATAATTAATACACAATCCAAATAAGGACTTTATCCAATGGTAATACCTAGGGGTGTTCAAATGGTGCGGTTACCGTGTTAATAGTTTTAACCGGCATAATTTGGATTATTTAGTTTGGTTAATTTGGATAATTTGTTTGGTTTGGTTAAATTTTTTAGCTTGTTTGGTTTAGGTGGTTTGGTTTAGTTGCAGACACTCCTAACCGATCAAACCAAATTCACGAGTTAAGTAATTAGCTATATATAATATATTATATACACATACTTAATACTTTGCATAACCACTCAAGAGTCAAATGTAAGATAATTGTATTAGTTACATGTATATATGTTAAGGGTTAACTATAATTTTGGGTTGATTATTATTTGTTATTCATTATATAAATTGCGAATGGATGCACTAACCAGAAATTTTTATCACTTAATGATAATGTGATGGTATATTGGTTATTTTGGTTAACCAATTAACAAAACCGATTAAACTTTAGTTTGGTTAATTTGGTTGTTATATTAGTTTGGATGGTTTGGTTATAATATTTTATTCCATAGTTAATAAAATTTAGGTTTATTTAGTTTGGTAATTACCATGATAACCATTTGAACACCGCCAATAATACTAATAGTTTTAAACCTAAAAATCTTACATTTGAACCTCTCAATTAGCACCTAGTTTCAAAAATAAAATCTAAGTCACCTTTAATTTGTAAAAACATTTTGTTTATACACGAATAATTGTCTCTCGACTGAGGTTTTTTCCTTTAAAAATACGTGGCATTATGTGATTAGTCAATCGTGCAATCAAAGAGGTGAGATGACTTTTCTTTCATTAGGACATACAAATGTACTTCCCACAATTGAGACAACATTGGATTTTGGACGATCCATCCATTTTTATACAAGCTTCATGTCATTATTTGTTCCACATGGTGCACGACTGAACTACAATTTTTATTCTCATTTTTGTAGATAATGTTCTTTAGTTCTGGGTCGGATTTTTGTGGACAAATTAATGATAATGTAATGATTTATGCTTTTGTTCTCTATATTGTATGGGATAATAATAATAATTAACAAGCCACAAAAGAGGTAAGCTTGTTATAAAAATTCGGTTAATTTTTGTTTCTTGTGAGGAATCCTATGCAGGTAAAACTACTATAGTAACGTTTATCTTAAAAGAAATTTTCTAAGGGACATGAGCAATTTTTCTAAAGAAGTAACAATTTTCAAGGACTTTTGACAATTTAATGTACAACAGTCTATATATTCAATCAACCTAAAGATTAGGTGCATATAGCTTATTTCTAAAATCCTTAGATTGATAAGTGTTGATAAATTAAATTATAATATTGATGATATTGATGTAATCCTTAGATTGATAGGAGTATGGGATAATAATAGTTATAATATTAGATAATTTTCGATGGGATCCGGTGAAATTAGATAACTGTTACGAAGCATGTGCTTCCTTCTCTTCTATGAGGAATGTACATATTAAGACAGAGCTGACTAAATTAGTGGTTCGATATAAGAGTTCACAATTTTGGTCGCAAAAAGACATCTTGATCTATAACTCATTATGCCCGAACCTTCTGATCAGTCCAACGTAACTGTAACAACTAGCCGTTAAAATTTTTTGGACCCTATCTTGCTTTGCTCTGTCGTCTTCAGAATTCATGCCACATGAACGTGGATCGGCCAACGCGCCCGTCGGTTGACAGATCCGACCGGCGCGACCGATCACATCAGTTTGGTTGGTTGGTTTCTTGTTGTGTTATTGACTCAGAAATCACTTTAGGGATATATAATGAGGAACCACTTACCTAATATAGACGGCATTGTTCTAATGCCACCGAGCTTTCCCTTCCTCTTGCCACCATCACCTTCATGCCGCAGCGCCGGCCGTCGCTGCCGCCGCCGCCGCGGCTCCTCCTCCATGGACGTGTCGTGATCCCCGTTCTCCATTGGCTAAGGCGCTGTTTCTTGCTTGCTTTAGTGGAGATAAGTGAGTGAGCAGATTGACGTGAAGAGATCATTGGATGGGAAAGATATAAAGGGGAAAGGGCAAAATTTAGCTGCAACCCAGGTTACAGCGTGTAGCTGCTGCCTGCCCACGTGGCCTTTATTGATTGGGTCCAAATTCCTGAACTGAAGCGAGAAGAAGGTGGGAACGGAACGGAACCGGAAACAAAGTTTCCGTTATTTCCTTCTCTTTTTTTTTCCAATTGGGATATGGGATTAAGTTTCAGTAATGCAGCATCTACCAAATTATATAGTTTGCGTTACTTTATTGTTTTACTTTACTTTTAGATTTAGCTGCACTATTATTTACCAGAAGATAAGTGATCATTTGGGACAGTAATTGTGAAGTTTTAAAAGCATAATTCTAAATGAATTAAGTCTAGCGGTGATTACAGAACTTAGTAGAGCACTCGGTCGCATTTCATTAAAAAATTAGATAATGTAAAAAAAAAGATAATAATAATAATAATATTCATTAGAAGATCAATGGTACACGACGATCTTTTAATTTAGCAAAGTCATCAATCATGGAGTCTACATCAATACCAATAGCATACCCTCTTCTAAATAACATAGCTAAACAACCAACAAGAATATCATCGCTCATATTATCGTGCAAATAAGTTTTCACATGTTTCATTGCTCAATAGGTTCTCCCCATAGTAGTCGTTGAAACGGTCACGATCAACACTAGACAAATCAACCGACTAATCAATTTGTATTGTGTGTTCATCAATGTTTCAACCAACTTCTCTAGTAATTTCGGAAGGGAAGAAACCTCATATTTTTTAGTCTTTTACATTTTAGACTTTTATGTTTCATTGTTTTATTTTTTCAAAGGAAAATCATTTGGGTTTGAATATCTAGGCTAAAAGTAGGTAATAATTTGAATATGTTCATATGAACCATTTTTCTAATTACAAAAAAATTTATTATCAAATAACATTGAACCGAATACCTAAAACTGAAAAATTCATAATTATCATACTATCTCTAAATTTAGAAGAGGGCTAGGACGTGACCCGAGGTGACGACCACCACATCCGACACTGATAAAGTCTAGCAAAATAAAGAAATCACTCCAGGGGATTGGTATACATTACAAATAGAAAATGAACGAAATCGTAATAGGTATTATGGATACCCATATTATTAACTATTGTATTTGTATAGGGAATACCTTTTAATGGGTATTTCGGGTATCCTTATAATACAAACGGGTGTTAGCGAATAAACCCGCCGATACCCAATATTAAAATTATTAATCCCAAGTCTCATATCATAATAAATATTACGATATTTGAGCATCCGTAACTCTAAAAAACAAAACGAATGTGTATTCTCAAATAGCCATTTTCCGTTGTACATCCCTAACTTAATCTCATATTTCAATTGAAAAAAATAGAAGGAAATAAGTCAAACAACGGAAACTTGTAAAAGAATAACGGAAACTTGGATTCCCGTTCCGTTCCCTGCTTCTTCTCACTTCAATTTAATAAATAAAAGTAGGAAAACTAATTTGGACCCAATCAATAAAGGCCACGTGGGCAGGCAGCAGCTACACGCTGCAACATGGGTTGCAGCTAAATTTTGCCCAAGGGGAAATGGGGTGGCCCCGTGACATGTAAGGACGAATTGGGAGAACCATTTTTGTCGGACTGGAGTGGAGCCCACCGGTTTTTTGAGCGATCTGGTCTCTCTCTCTCCCCCCGTGACGTCGTAGCTTCCGTCACTCGTGTTTAAACGACGTCGTTGTTCTCACGGGCCTTCACGTTCACGGATCGGGGGGCCAAGGGTATGGGCCTTTGGCTCAAACTTACGGGCCCGACTCGATTCCCCTTCATGGGTCGGGGTCAAGGTTATGGGCCTTTGGCATCGTCCGCCGTCCGGTCACCAGCCAAACGACACCGTTGGGGTTGTCCGGGAGCAGAGCACCTGTCAAGAGATCAGAGAGACAGAGACCCAATCCTATCAAAACTCCCTTCTTCTCTACACAGCTTTTTTCCCTCTACTCTTGACAGTGATTCTGAAAGCAGCAGAGGAGGCCAAACTCTTGCCTCCTTCCCTCGTCTTCACCAACAGCTTTCTTCGTCCTCCGGCCGGGCGTTCCCACCATTTCCCGCATATGCAGAGTCATGCAGGGATTACCTTCGGTTTCGTACCTAATGCGACGTGTACACCTCCGTTCAGGGAATGGACAACGCGGTTGAGGTAATTTTCTGTTTGCTTCCTCTAAAGTGTGATATTGGGTAGAATAAAGTTCGAGACTTTAATCTTTTTAGTCTGTTGATTTCTTTGTTGGGTTTTTGGTTGAAGATGAGTTTGATGATTTGTTCATATTTTACCAGAGCATGTACGGGTGCTCCAGTTTCAAATGCTTGCAGAATCTCGTCAGATTTCCATGGTAAAGGAGGGTTATTGTCTGGAATTCATGAGAAGCAGCTTAAGGTCGGAAGCCAAAGATTTTCTCAACAAGCTGTAGATGAGAGCACATCAGGCGACTGTGTTAGTGGGAAAGAAGACAATGATGTGTCTAGAGGGACATTGATATGGAGGGCAATCAAATTACCCATTTATTCTGTTGCTTTAGTTCCTCTCACGGTGAGTTCTTCGCCTTTGTCATCAGTGCCGTGTGAATTGCATGTAAGCATTTTCAGTTTCAATTAGATGGATAAACACTCATTCTGTTTCACTTAATGCTTCTATGTTGTGGAATCAGGTTGGTGCTGCTGCTGCCTATTTGCAGACGGGTGTGTTTTCTGCGAAACACTATTTCACTCTCTTGATTTCTTCAGTCCTTATTATAACGTGGCTCAATTTAAGGTGAGTTCTTCAATGGTCAAGGGCAGGGCATTTTGTGCATATTTTTCTCATATTCTGTGGTCTTACCAAAGTACTGAAAAGCTATCCTCCATAGTCCATCTGACTTCTTATAATTCCCGATATCTGGTTGATGGCCAGCAACGATGTATATGATTTTGATACAGGAGCAGACAAGAACAAGAAAGAATCAGTTGTTAACTTGCTTGGAAGGTGAGTTTGTCTTCATTTTTTGTGAGGATGATTAGCAGGCAAAAAGACAATAGTACTGCTGATTTACTTCTGATGCCCCTGGAAAAGCCGTTCAGGAGCCTTCATTGCAGCTTACTTTTGTCTCATCCTCGGTTTCTTGGGGGTTACATGGACATCTGTGAGCTCAGGAAGCATACGTGCAAACTTGTTCTTGACTTGGGCAATTATCTGTGGCTACATATACCAGGTACAGCATTTTAACAGGTTTGGTATGAGATCCAGGAATTCTGTTTGAAAAATGTTTATGCTGCTGAAATGTCTAGTTTTTGTGGTTTGAGTTTATTCATGCTTAACGAGGTCAAACTTGTGTTTCATATGTTGACCATGTAATACATACCCTGCAGTGCCCTCCTTTCCGGTTAAGTTACCAAGGACTGGGTGAGCCCTTGTGCTTTGCAGCATTCGGTCCATTTGCCAGCACTGCTTTTTACTTATTGCTGCGAACAACAAGGCCAGTACAGTTTTCAATATTGAAGTTTTCCTTTGATTATTACCTTGTTTCATTCATTGTTAACTTTAGTTTTCGACTATTTCGACAGTGGGACGCACAATTTTGAGTTAACTGCAACAGTTCTCTCAGCATCACTTCTCGTTGGATTCACGACAACTCTAATCCTTTTCTGTAGTCACTTTCACCAGGTTTGGTCTTCGTTTTCTTACTCCCCTTTCTTCTGCTAATCATGGATAATCTTTTTGACATGAAATTTAACCAATGCAGATCGAAGAAGATAAAGCTGTTGGCAAAATATCACCCTTGGTCTGTTCAAGCTGCCTAGCTCTTTCTTTAATCTTTTTGTACTTACTTACTGTGTACTGTTTAGTGGTTAATCTTTTTTCCTTTTTTGACATGGAACATGTAGGTTAGACTGGGCACCAAAAGAGGTGCAATACTAGTTAAAGGAGCAGTTTTGACTCTGTACTCTCTCTTGGTTGCTTTCGGCATAAGTGGAGCTCTTCCTTTGACTTGCATTGTAAGTTCTTCATAAATGTTCAAGTTTCTAGGGTCCATTGTAAAGACAGTCTTCCGTTGCTAGTTCCATTCTTGAATCCACATGCCATTGTCGACTGTCTAAAACGTCACGTCTTTTTCCAGCTTCTCTCCGCCCTGACCTTGCCAATGGGGATTAGGGTGGTCAGATTTGTTGAAGAAAACCACAATGTGAGCGCTCTGATACCGGTGCTCTTATCTGCAGCTGCTCTATCTGTTGCTGTTATTATCACTAGATTCACTCACCTTCAAATGTTATCTTTTACAGGACAAGGGTAAAATTTTTATGGCAAAATATTACTGCGTGAGACTCCATGCCTTGCTCGGGGTGGCTCTGACAGCAGGCCTAGTGTTGGCTAGGACGGTTACGAATGGATATGTGCCAAAGCAGATATTCTCCTGAATGTTGCTCTAAGCAACACTTACCTTGAGACGGTAACGATACGAAGCAGGGGTCGGGTTCTGTGGTAAATAGAGGTGAATTCTCGACATTGTCGCAAGAGCAGAAAGACCCTTTGCTGCAGGTGCCTGTGCAGCTGTGATTGTCCCCATTTTTATACTTAACATGAACCAGTTAGCCTATAATTATCATTTTACCCACTAATATGTCCAGGCTTAATTTCATGGGGTATTCAAGACAATATTACAGTTTTCTGGGTGTTAGTGTAGTTCACTTGGCCTAAGGCTTGTTCTTCGATTCCTTTTTTCATAATACATGCATCGTAAAGATCCCACATCAACAATCACAACCTCGAAGCAACATCCCTTTCCAAAGCAAGAAACAAATAAAGTGAGAATGATTTTATTTTGGGTTATTACTTATTACGGTTTGAAAAATCCCTGTAGTTGACTTGTCAATGCACTAGGAAAAGGATGGCCAGAGGAAAAGAAGCCAGACAGCCGATAAACTATGCATGTCAAAATACATACGTGTACAGTCCACTCCCCCCTAATATATGGATAAAAATCAGTTGTTAGTCTTGATTAGGAGAATTTTCCACAAGCCAAATCAAACACAGGAACACACTAACCACCACGACAATGCCGGAGACCAGTAGAGCAACGACGACCCACTGGCAACTTCTGCAGTTCTGTTTTCTTTCTTCTGTGCTCTGCCTTGTTCTCTCTGAACCAGTCGAAGGAGAAGAAGCAGAAGTCATCAGCAGATCTCATTTCCCGGATGGGTTTCTCTTTGGCACCACTACTTCTGCTTACCAGGTTTCTGGGTTGTCCTTTTTTGATCTCTCATTTCCGCATGTCCCATGGGATTGGAACTGAAAAGTCACCGCCTTTTGGCTTCCTTTTGCTTCTCAGATTGAAGGAGCTTATCTTGAAGATGTAAAGGGTCTCAACAACTGGGATGTCTTTTCTCAGTTCTAGACAGAGACCCTCTTATGTTTGCAACTGTCAAAATCATCAGTAGTTCAGTACAATTTGCACATTCTTCTGTTGATTTGGTTTTTCTTCATAAAGGGATACATCCATCATTTGAAAGTATTTGCTTCTCAATCCAAAGTTGTACTCATTAGCTTTTAAGCATAATTGATCTAACCATTCCTTAATAGGGAAGATATAACCTGACTTAAGTTGGAAACTACCTAGGAAAGACACTGATCATTTACAGTTAAGTACTCTTTCTATTGATCCTCCTAGAAAATGAAAACACAATTGATTAAAAAGCATGCCAAAAAGCTGAACACAATTGTTTGATTGTAGAAAATGAAAGTTCGTTTGTTTGATTAATGTTAGCCTAGCTGCTACCAAAATGATTCCAAGGGGGATAAATCTAGTTTAGATCCACGATTCACAAAACCGAACAAAACAATCACAGATCTAAACAAACAGGAAAGCGGTAATAGCAATCGGAGAGCTGAGGTTCATGAAAGGGAAGCATTAAACACAGGATGCGAGAAAACGATTAAAGCAGCTGAAACATGCAATGAAACTAATGGATTGAAGAATAAAGATAATCCGAGAGCCACATATGTTTATGGAAAGAAAGACAAAGCAATCGGTAAACGAATAGCAGCTGGATGCATACCAAATATTGACCTCAACGTAAGATGAACTACACAAATACAAATCTTAAATAGACAGAGGAGCAATTCATTAGAAGCATTAAAGGAGCGGAGCAAAGGCCATTGAATGAAGATATCAGCAAACGAATTTGATAAGAAGAATCCTCATCGCATAGAGCCAAAACCTACTAACCAAACTCTGAAAGTTGCATAATAAATTTGTAGAAGCAACTTGATACCTAATTTGCACAATCAATTTTAAAAATCCAATGACCTAAGGAGACAACTATTACTAATGACAGAACAAAGTGATATCAAGGATAAAAAGAGAATAAGCAACATACAGATATGCAATCAATAGATCTCTCGAAGAGGAAACACAAAAGAGGCAAGCAACCATTTTTTCCCCTTCAGTTGGAATGCCATTCATTTAAACCGTTGATCAATTAATCCTCCTCTAATGCCTCCTTCCAGCCTTGTTCCAAGCTGCAGCGCCACAACTGTGAAATCAAGGTTATTCAAATTCCCTGCTGTGAAATCAAGTATATATGTATATATATTGACGCTCACAATTTGATCAGTGATGATCTAGTTGCCTTATGTCTTTGGCCGCAGCAGGGCAAGAAGTGAGGACACTGTTGTGCAAGTGGTGGAGCTGCTTTCAGCTTCCCATCTCAAGCTGAACCATTTTTTCCATTTGCTTTCAAGGCTCATCGATTTCCAAATTGGGGTAGAACCTAGCAGAGATATAAAAAGATCACATACACGACATATAATTTTTGGTCAAAATGTTCATACATAAAAAGATGCTACCTTGCGGCCAAGGAACCTCCCATTCTTCTCAGATTTGGTAGCTGCAGGCATCTAATGAGCTCCTTCATCCTGGAAATGGCCTTGGTCTTGCTATCCCCTTTGACCGGTTTGGCGTCTCTCTTCTCGCATTCCTCTGCAGACGGAGAGGAAACTGTGGAGGCAATGTAGCATTGCCTTTGCTGCTGATGGGTAGAACTTTGTAGCCCATATGATGAGCAGCAGCAGTGGAATTATTGCAGATGGATCCCGCTTTGTACCTCCAGCGAGCTCTTCTTTCTTCATCTTCATACAACGCCTTCTTGTGCTTGAGCTATTTTCAACTCTTCTTAGGTTCAGCTTCTTTTCTGCCTAGAAGAAGGATAAATGGCGATCACCAGTCGTAGCGGCTGATAATCTGATTCAAGTCATATCAACAAATCTCCACCTTGACTTGAATCCTCTTCCTCTGAAATCTCTGATGTACTCTGCTCCTTCTCTCTCTCTCCCGCCATCAATGCCCCGCAGGGCGGAGTCACCCACTCAAGACATTCAGCAAGTCCAACCAGTGTTGGAACTTGCCATGTGGAACCGGCTTCGTGAACATATCAGCAGGATTATCCGCGGTGCCAACCTTCTTCACCTTAATCCTCTTCTCTGTCCTCAAGAAATGATACCTCACATCGATGTGCTTAGTCCTCTCATGGTGGACTTGATCCTTGGCCAAGCATATTGCATTCAAACTGTCGCAATACACCACTGCCTAATCATGATGTAGACCAAGATCACCAACCAGTCCCTTCAACCATATTCCCTCCTTAGCAGCTTCTGTCAATGCCATATACTCTGCCTCAGTAGTAGACAATGTCACCGCCGACTGCAAAGTTGCCTTCCAGCTCACTACAGAACTCCCAAGAGTGAATACATAACCGGTCATCGATCTCCTCGTGTCAACATCTCCAGCATAGTCCGAGTCAGAATACCCAGACACCAAGCACTCTGTATCACTTCCGAAGCTAATCCCCACATCAGGTGTACCCTTAAGGTACCGGAAGATCCTCTTCACAGCCTGCCAATGCTCCTTCCCAGGTTGTATCATAAACCTGCTGACAACACTAACAGCATGTGCAAGATCATGTCTAGTGCATACCATAGCGTACATCAAGCTACCTACTGCACTAGCATATGGGACTCTCGACATGTACTCCTTCTCAGCCTCCGACTGTGGTGCATAAGCTGAGGATATATGAACATTTGAAGCACTAGGAGTATTTAAGGGCTTTGCTGAAGACATGCCAAACCTCGACAGTATCTTCTGGATGTAGCTCTTCTGTGACAAGAAAAGCTTCTTCTTCGACCTGTCCCTGTAAATCTCCATACCCAAGATCTTCTGAGCAGCTCCCAAATCCTTCATCTCAAACTCAGCACTGAGAAGCCCCTTTAACTTCTGGATATCAGACTTTGACCTCGCAGCTATGAGCATATCATCTACATACAGAACAAGATAGATCATCGAACCATCCTCCACCTTGTTGTGATACACACAACAATCATATGGACTTCTGCTATAGCCCAGCTCAAGCATATAACTATCAAACCTCTTGTACCACTGCCTCGGAGACTGCTTAAGTCCATACAAGGACTTCTTCAGCTTACAAACATAGTCTTCTTTTCCCGGGACCTCGAATCCTTCTGGCTGAGTCATGTAAATTTCTTCCTCCAACTCTCCATGTAGGAAAGCTGTCTTCACGTCTAGCTGCTCGAGCTCCAAGTCATAATGTGCCACTATAGCTAGTAGCACTCTGATCGAAGTATGTCTGACCACTGGTGAGAAAATCTCATTGTAGTCAACTCCTTCCCTCTGCGAGAAGCCTCGTGCAACCACCCGAGCTTTAAATTTCATGCCCTCTTTAGAAGTGATTCCGTCCTTCTTCTTGTAGATCCACTTGTTTGTAACAATCTTCCTTCCCTGTGGTCGTTTGACTAGCTCCCAAGTCTGATTCCTGTCGTGGGATTCCATCTCATCTCCCATTGCGGCAAGCCACTGATCAGCTTCGCCACCCGAAACGGCTTCTTTATAGGACTGTGGCTCTCCTGCATCCACTTCTTCAGCAACCTGAAATGAATACGCCACCATGTCCTCGAAGCCATACCTCTCTGGAGGTACTCCTGCAGTCGCTCTCTTTGGTCTACCGGAAGCAATAGACTGTTGAGCTCGTGCACTGGACTCTGAAGTTTCTGGCTCTGCAGAGACATCCTCATCATGTTGATCTTCTCCACCTTGGTGCTCAAACTCACTCTCATTGAGAGTTTGCAGCTCCACCTGCTTATCAACATTCCTGCTACCTTCAACAACAGTAACCTTCAACATGGGGTTAAACATAGACTTCTCATCAAATATCACATTTCTACTGAGTATAACTCGATGCTCAGAAGGTGACCAGACTCGAAATCCCTTAACTCCATCTCCGTAACCCACAAATACACCCTTCTTTGCCCTTGGGTTCAGTTTACCCTCATCCACATGATAATAAACAACACACCCAAAAACTTTCAGTGAAGAGTAATCAGCAGGCTTACCATACCACACCTCATAAGGAGTCTTCAACTCAATACCTGTGTGAGGTCCACGGTTGATCAGGAAGCACGCCATGTTCACTGCTTCTGCCCAGAATCTTCTCTCTAGTCCAGCATTAGAGAGCATGCACCGTGCTCTCTCCAACAATGTCTGGTTCATCCTTTCTGCAACGCCATTCTGCTGGGATGTATCTCTCACAGTCCGATGACGGGCAATCCCTTCATCCTTGCAGAATTCGTTGAACTCAGAATTACAAAACTCCAGACCATTGTCCGTTCGCAGCTTCTTGATCTTCTTCCCGGTCTGATTCTCCACCAATGTCTTCCACTGCTTGAACTTCGTGAAAGCCTCACTTTTCTGCTTCATCATGAAAATCCAAGTAAATCTCGAATAATCATCAATAATAGACAGAAAATACCTGCCGCCTCCAATGGATTCAACTCGTGAAGGACCCCAACAGTCGGAGTGGAGGTAATCTAGTATCCCCTTCGTCCGGTGGATACCCTTCTTGGGAAACTTGCTGCGATGTAGCTTCCCAAACACACAATGCTCGCAGAATTCCAAATTCTGCATCTTGTACCCGCAAAGAAGATCCCTCTTCGACAGAACTTGCATCCCTCGTTCACTCATATGCCCCAATCTCATGTGCCAGAAAGTGGTCATATCTTCCTGATGAACCTGAGATTATGCAACTACAGCAGAACCAGACAACACAGACCCTTGTAATCCATACAAGGTCCCACGCTTCACGCCCTTCTGCACCTTCCTTGAACCTTTGCAAACATACACAACTCCACTTTCTCCTTTGAAGCTGAAACCCTTGCTGTCGAGTAGACTCAAGGAGATCAGGTTCTTTGTCATTTGTGGAACATGCCTGACATCATTCACGGTACAGAACGAACCATCATGTGTCCGAACCTTTATGGACCCGATTCCAACAACCTTGTAGACAGCTCCATTAGCCATGACCACGTTACCACCATCTTTCTGCTCGTAGGTTGTGAAGCAATCCCTGTTCGGAGACATATGGTATGAGGCTGCAGTATCCAGAAACCACACATCCCCACGATGTGTCTTCTCATCTACAGCCAAGGCGAGATCGTCTTCAGAACTGTTGTCCACTTCTGCCACGGCAACTGAACCTTGTTTCTTCTGTTGCCCTCTTCTCTTGGGACAATTGTACTTCCAATGCCCCACTTCCTTACAGTTGTGGCAAGCATCACCTGGCTGTGGACCGGGACCCTTGGAATTCTTGTTCGAATTCCCTTTACCAGATTTCTTCTTTCCCTTTCCACCTGTAACAGCCAAACCCGATGCCTCACCACCTGTACCAGATCCAGACGCCTTATGTCTGATCTCTCTCGTATGAAGAGCAGACCTGACATCCTCCAATGACACGCTTTCTTTACCAGCAATAAAAGAATCAACGAAATTCTCATACGAACTCGGCAAAGAAACCAGCAGGATTAGGGCAGCATCCTCGTCATCAACTTGAACATCTATATTACGCAGATACAGCAAAATAGAGTTAAGCTGTTCGAGATGTTCCCTCAAAGGCGTACCTTCTTGCATCCTCAAGCTGAACAACCGTTGCTTGAGATGCATCTTGTTGGTTAGGGACTTCGTCATATACAGACTCTCCAACTTTAACCACAAGCCCGCGGCAGTCTTCTCAGCAGCGACTTCAATGATGACGTCATCAGACAACGATAGCATGATGGTCGAGTGGGCCTTCTCCTCCAGGATATTCCACTCATCGTCATCGACCGCTGCCTTCTTCTGTTTCGCAGACAACGGCCCCCACAGCCCTTGCTGTTTTAATAAAGCCTACATCTTGATCTGCCATATAGCGAAGCTGTTCTTCCCCGTGAACTTTTCGATCTTCATGTTCACCGACGTCATTCTTCTGAATCGAAAACCCTAGCCTGATTTCCAGCCGCGGCTCTGATACCACTTGTTATAAACGCGCTGCTACGGATCGGGAAATCGCAGGAATCGACAAAGCAAGAATACGAAAGCGAGAATCGAAAACACGACACACGATTTACGTGGTTCACTAACACGATGTGTGTTAACTACGTCCACGGGCGAGAGAGCCAGTTTCACTATATCAAGGAGATTACAGATTACAGAGGAGTATGAGAAGTATTTATAGTACTTCTCCGTGTGGGTCTAAACCTAATCCAATCTGGCAAAGGAAACGATTACAGACCAGGCCCAGAACCCGAACCCAAACGGTTAACAGCGAGACCCCCGATTACCAGTCGTAGCGGCTGATAATCCGATTCAAGTCATATCAACATTGGCCATAGGGAGAATTTCATTGGCAAAGGCAGGCAGGTAAGAGCGCAAAAGAGAGCTGGTGGAAGAAGAAGAACTGGAGGTGGTTGGAATATGGGAACAGAGAGAGAGAGAAAGACTCCCAATTCCAATTTCCAATTCTTTGGAGGCTCGCTCCGGGCAGGTTCGGATCACTTACAATACACAGCTCTACGAAGGAAGGTGAGAATACGTGCAAAGGAGTATGGGAGATTACGTGCGCCAGCATCTACGCAGAGGAGGTAGAGGGGAGAAGTACAGTAGAATGGTCTGAGCAGCAGGGGAAAAGCATGGTGGCCTGATGGTGATGGGTCAGTGCACCAGAGTAGAGGTGAGGTTACGCTAGGTCGGAGAGGGCAATAACGCCGAGCGAGAGAGGATTTTTTCCATTGGAAGCGTTGGCGGGAGGAAAGTGTACCCACCTTTTGTGGCAATAAAGTGTACCCACCTTTTTTACCTTTTATGTATAAAAGAATTAGGCAAATTTGCCACCCGCCAAATCAAACACAGCAACCCACCAACCACCACCACAATGCTGGAGACCAGTAGAGCAACGACGACCTATCGGCGACTTCTGCTGCTCTGTTTTCTTTCTTCTTCTGCGCTCTGCTTTCTTCTCTCTGAACCAGTCGAAGGAGAAGAAGAAATCGTCAGCAGGTCTCATTTCCCAGATGGGTTTCTCTTTGGCACCACCACTTCTGCTTACCAGGTTTCTGGGTTATCCTTTAATTGCTCTCTCTCATTTGCGCATCTCCCATGAGAATTGGAACTGAAAAGTCGCCGCCTTTTTGGTTTCTCCTTTGCTTCGCAGATTGAGGGAGCTTATCTTGATGACGGAAAGGGTCTCAGCAACTGGGATGTCTTTTGTCACGTTCCGGGTAAATTGCCCTTTTGACCTTTTTTTTTCCTTTGTTTTTTTCCTCTCCCCCTTTTTCATGGCTGAAAATCCGTGTGATTCACAGGAAACATTAAGGAGAATGGCAACGGGGACACTGCTGACAATCACTACCATCTTTTCTTGGTATCAGTTGGTCTACTTACCTGCCCTATTTCCCCTGCAACATTGGTCTGCAACTTTTACCCTTGAATTGAATAGATGCTGAATCAAATTTCTAATGCGCAGGAGGATATTGAATTGATGCATTCCCTTGGTGTGACTGCATATAGATTGTCAATCTCATGGACCAGAATTCTACCCAGTATGTCTGCTTTCCCTTGTACTATGTTTGATAGATTTCCATCTATATTTAGCTCATTGCTAGAGAATGGTAACAGGAGGGAGATATGGTGAAGTAAATCCAATGGGGATCATGTTCTACAACCGTATCTTAGATCGTCTTTTACTTAAGGGTACTCCTCTTTTTATCCACGCATTGTCATTGAAATTCTAATGTAAATGAACCAAGTTTGTGAGTTAAGTTTTGCTGTAGTTCTAGAACTGAGAATACAACAAACCTGCAGGGATTGAGCCATTTGTGACCATACACCACCATGACATCCCACAAGAACTCGCGGACAGATATGGGGGATGGCTCAGTCCTCTAATGCAGTAATTGAATTACAGTCCTTTCCTTTCCTTTCTTTGCTTGTAGTTCTATTCTATCGGGGTTATTCTTGTGCTGGTTCATTCCCAGTGTCTAGCATTTCCTGGTTTGGTCTGCCTGTTTTCTGAAGCACACACTTGTTCGAAGTTTCTGTTCATATCTCTTTGCTTACTATCCTGCAGGGAAGACTTTGTGCATTTTGCCAGAATTTGCTTCGGGAGTTTTGGGCATAAGGTGAAGCATTGGGCGACCATCAACGAGGCAAACCTGTTTGTGGACATGGCCTATATTAGGGGATGGTATCCACCATCTCATTGTTCTCCACCATTTGGAATCTGTTCAACTGGAAATTCTGATGTAGAGCCTCTCATTGCTTTGCATAACATGATATTGGCCCATGGCAAAGCGGTTAAGATATATCGCCAAGAGTTTCAGGTAAGACAATGCATGATTCCAGCTTTGACAACTTGCTAAACTCCTGTGCTTCCAAATACCGAGTAGGCAAGTAGTGTTTGATGCTTCCAAGTAGTTCAACAGAGTTAATGCCGAGTCTTGTGTAGGGAAAGCAAGGTGGTTCCATTGGGATAGTTCTGCATGCAATGTGGTATGAGCCACTAAGAGCCAATAATGAGTTAGATCAGCAAGCTGTGACTCGGGGGTTAGCCTTCGGTGTGGGTTGGTATGTGCTTTGTAACTTCAGCTTTTGCTTGATCATTCCTAAAATTCAAAATGCGATGGAATTCGTTATCATCCAGGTTATTAGATCCCTTGGTATATGGAGATTATCCTTCCGAAATGCGCTTATTGCTTGGAGATACACTGCCAAGGTTCACAGTTGATGAAATGGACTATCTTAAAGGAAGCATAGATTACATTGGTATCAACCATTATCTAACACTGTACGCAAAAGACTGCCTCCATTCTTCCTGCGCTCCAGGGGGATCAGATCATGCTATCCGAGGCTATGTTTACACCACAGGAGACCGTGATGGGGTCCCGATAGGTCAACCGGTATGAATCATGCTGTTAATTTCTTCCTTTCTCCAAATGTATAAAATGAAGCCAAGTCACTAATTATTTCCCACTGATCCAACTGCAGACAGGGAATCCAAGGTTCTTTGTGGTACCAGGAGGGCTTAAGAACATTGTTAACTACATTAAACAAAGATACAATAACATGCCAATGTATGTTACTGAAAATGGTAAGCCATGTCTTCAAATTCTTGTTGTAAGTGAATAGGGTGGTTTCGAGATTCAAGTCTTGAACCCATTTCTCCTCCATTTTTTCCTGAACTGCAGGATATGCGCCGCCACCAGGTGAAGAAGTGCAACTGAATCAAATACTGCACGATGTCAAAAGAATCGACTACCACAAGTCCTACCTTGCTGCTGTTGCCAGCTGCATAAGGTAAATATTTACTGATTCTTCGAAACTACCTCCCCTCCATCATTGCGATCGATCTGTAAATGGACTGAAAAACAAACTGCATTGGCAATGTTTGAACTGAAACAACTCGATCACAAAAATGGCAGGGATGGAGCTGATGTTAGAGGATACTTTGCATGGAGTTTGATGGACAACTTTGAGTGGATTGATGGGTATACTGTGCGATACGGATTGTATTATGTCGATCGAACGACACTTAAACGTATCCCCAAGACATCTGCACTCTGGTACAAAGATTTCCTCGCAAATTCTTCTGGCAATGCTCTTGACTTAACACAATACCACGGGAGACTAGAGCAGGATTTAAGAGTTGCTGGACTGGAAGATCTGTAAACTGCTAAAACAGTACTTATTGGAAGGTAATACATAAGCCTTGTAATTAGTTTGTATCTACGCCCGCAGGCAACTGTGAAATTTAAACCACTGCTGTATACAAAATCACAAGCACTTGTTCTTTCTTCCAGTGTTCTTGTTTATTTGTATCGGTTCGCAAAATGTTCTTATGGCAATTTTATTATACATTATCATGATTTTATTACAATAGTTAACTGTTATCATTAAAAATATTATTTAGACTGCTAATCTTGTCGATTTGATTATTTATTTATTTAGTGTTAGAAACAAGATTTCATCACCAGAAAAGTTTCGGTACTCAACAAAGACTTTACTATCACTTCACCCGAGTTAATAACAACCCGAGTTATTTATTTAGTGTTGAAACCTCTATAAATAACAACCTAAGTTATCAGTTTATCACTCTAAAAATCACGTCAACAAATTATTGTGCATTTTGAGCTTTATGAAAGAAGAAAAAGATGTTGAACATCAAAGGTAGTTGTTGTTGTATAGGTGTAGATCAATATGTCGATCATGTCGAATGTCCGATCGATCTTTCATTTGCAATCATGGAGTTCATTGTCTTTTAGAACATTCTTCATGTAGTTGGCTTTAGCTATGAAGATATCTTTTCCCCTACCCGATCAAAATTTCTATGAAGTGGTTGATCGATTTATTTTTGAACATCAATCTTTTTATCATCAGATCGACCTTAACTTATAAGTTATCATGATTGATCATTCTTTTCATTTGTAATAATAAGTCTCGTTGTAAGTATACTATTCATTCAATCGTATTGTCAGTGAGTTCTACTGTAACTTAAAACTAAAATTCATCATTCTCATTCCTTATAATTAATCACCAATTCCAAAATAACAAATTTGAATCCAAAAAATTGCAAATATTCCAAAAATACCGTTAATATATTTGCCGCTCTTTTTCTCCTCGAACAAAGGAAAGAACTTTCCTTTCTTGAGCAGGAGCGTTTACAAGTCAGCAGGAAAAAAAAAAAAAATAGGAAACCTTCCACAAAGTTCTAGTCCCCAGTCTAAAATTTTCAAAGAACCTCCTAGAACTCTCTGTAACCTCTTCCAAAGCTCCATTCTCCATCCATCCAGAAATTTCCCCAAAATTTCCCAAACTTCCACTTCCAATCCCTATATAAAGCTCTCTCCACCTGTCACCTTCCCACCAAAATCAGGCAAAAAAGCAAAAATCTTAGCAGCAATCTCAGAATCAAGAAGCAATTTCATAATCAAAGAAGCAGTTTTTCAAAACAGAGCAAAATGGATCTCCGATTCGTGGGCTTCGACTACCCGGTCCTCCAGACTCTGCATCACATGATGGACAACATGGGTGAGGAGCCAGAGGCGAACGGCGCCGGCGCCGGCAGCAAGTCCTCCTCTTCCGCGCCGACGAGGACGTACATGAGGGACGCCAAGGCAATGGCGGCGACGCCCGCGGACGTGAAGGAGTACCCGAATTCGTACGCGTTCGTCATCGACATGCCGGGGCTGAAGTCAGGGGACATCAAGGTGCAGGTGGAGGACGACAACGTGTTGATCATCAGCGGGGAGAGGAAGCGGGAGGAGGAGGAGAAGGAAGTGGCGAAATACGTGAGGATGGAGAGGAGGGTTGGGAAGCTGATGAGGAAGTTCGTGTTGCCGGAGAATGCGAATACAGATGCCATCTCGGCGGTTTGCAAGGATGGGGTGCTGACGGTGACGGTGGAGAAGGTGCCGCCTCCTGAGCCCAAGAAGCCCAAGACGATTGAGGTCAAGATCGCTTAAAGGAGTGTGCTTTGGTGACTGATCGATCAATAACTGTTCGTGGGGTTTGTTTGTTTTGTTGGGTTGGCTGATCGTTTGAGGGTTTTGAGTGTTGAGAAGCTTGTCTCTGTTTACTTTTTCCTTCTTCCTGGTTTTGTACTAATGCTGGTTTCTTCTGTGCGTGGTTTCTTGTTGAATTAGTGTATGTGGATTTTGCTTCAATGAATCGTCTATTTTACGATGTTCTTGAAGGTGGTTTGGTTGGGGGCTAGTGTGTATTGATGAAATTAGAGAGCTTTCTTCGACCATTTTAGTTGCAGAGGAAACAGAGTACTCTGTTCTCGGCTTAGAGGCTAAAAGAACTCACAAATCCATTTTAACAGATGGCAAGAAAAAACGCAACGGAGAAATGGGCTCGCCGATTGTTCCACAAACAGGGTAGAGGATCTTAGCAACTCGAAATCTGGATCACTGCAACATTTTTGTTGCATTCGGATGAAAGGCAACCATTTAACTCACTAGATAATCTAAGTCGTGCCAGTTTGACGAATTGAGTTGGATCAAGGGAGGGTGTTGGGTCTCTATCATTATGGATGGTATTATATGCTCCTCGTCTTCAATAATGGATGGTACAACTTCAAGTGGGCTTTTATTAGATGTAACAGCCAAACCTTTTATAATTGAAACAGAGGAGAGGACAAGAACATAGAAGGAGAAGAAGAAATTGGGCGGAAAATAAGAATGGAAAAGAGAAAGGTCACATCAGAACTTCCCACCTTAGATTGGAATTATTCTTGCTTCCGCTGTACACTTGTCAGTTTTTTTGCTTCATTCAAAGGTTCTGTACCAGTAGCAGAGATCGATAGTGAGAGAGAGAGAGAGCTCAGTGATTGCTCTGAATCAGCTTGTGGGCCGGACAATTTCACATGGGACCCGTTTTCCTCCAAATCGGACCCCCGGCTTTCGTTTCAACAGAACAGTAATCAGCAAGCAGCAAGCACATCTCGCACTCTCTCTCCTCATCTTTCTTCTTTCTCTGCTTCCATGTGCCACACATTCTCTCACTCTCTGCGTTCTTCTTGTTCTTCTTCCTTTGCCGTTGCCGCCAGCAATGCCTGGACTGTGGATCAGCCGCCTCTAACTGCATTACACCCACTTTAAAACCCGGATCTTCCTCTGTTTTCTTTCGAAAGGAACCGAATGGATCCCAGAACTGTGCTTGATCACGCTCTGTTCCAACTCACACCAACCAGAACCAGGTATATATTTTTTCTCTGGAAGCCAAACCCACTCTTTTGCGGTTGTTTTCTCATCTGGGTAGTTAAAAAGTTTCCGACTTTTTCACCTCCCTACTGGTGGTTGTGATTCAGATGTGATTTGGTGATATTTGCTGTCGCCGGCGGTGGCGGGAGTGAGAAATTGGCATCTGGGCTATTGGAGCCATTCGTCTGTCATTTGAAAACGGCCAGAGACCAGATTTCTAAAGGAGGCTACTCCGTTATTCTCCGTCCTTCATTTTCCCCTAATTCGTCCTGGTTCACTAAGGCCACTCTTCAGCGGTAAGTTTTTCTTTCGTTCTATTTTGCCCAATTCCTAAAAATCCTAATTGAAACCGTTTCGCGAGAAAGTCTTTAGTGTTCTCTAGTGGGAATCTTTAGTCCGTCTGTCCAAGCTGATTCATTTTCTTAAGATTCTGATAAGGACCGGAGATTTTGTCTTGATTCCCCTTGGCTGGAACTTAGTGCTGCTATGAATCTCGTGATTTTGTATGCTTTTGTTGTCTGGTGATTGATTTGTATTCTGCAATGTTGCCAATAACAGATTCGTTCGCTTTGTGAACACCCCAGAAGTTCTTGAGAGATTCGTGACTATTGAGAGGGAGCTTGACCAGATTGAGAGTTCAGTTCAGTCCAATGAGCTCTCCAATGTTGATGCAGATGGTGAGTAGTGAATCTGGATAAAACAAACTCAAAACATCTGATGTCAATGTGCTAATAGTAGATGTTGATTGCACTGACATAAACTGGAAATCGTGGAATGTGAGCCAACTTTTACTTGGGTTTTCTCTAGATTTTTGGTCACTTGTATGAAAGTTGCTTACTTGAAGCTATTTGACATTGTAGGAAATTACAAGCCAACTGCCTCGTCTAAGGTATGTCATTAGTGATAATCCGAAGGTTAGGGAATTGCTTGATAATGATTTACTCAGCCTTTACATCTATAAACTTGTCGTATTTCAGAATGGAGCTAGTGATGCTGCATCAGAGGAAAATTCAAAGTTAGTCATTTGAACTTGCGATCATCCGAAAGAATATGTTCCATGGAATCGACCTTGTAATTTGACTGCTTGTGGTTTATTAACAGGGTTCATCTTCAGCGTGCTTTGGAATCTAGGAAATCTATCCTACGCAAAGAGCAAGCAATGGCCTATGCTCGTGCTTTGGTCACAGGCTTCGAGCCTGACTGTATTTATGATCTTATATCTTTTGCTGATGCTTTTGGAGCTTCACGGTTAAGGTATGATTTCTGGCGTATAAGGTGCATTTGGTCTTGAACGTTGACCTTTAATACATTGGTATCGTCATCATGTTAGCGGTAAGGATTTCACATCAACAGACAATATTCATCCTTTCAGGGAAGCATGCATAAACTTCATGGAGTTATGCAAGAAGAAGAATCAAGATCGACTTTGGATGGACGAAGTTGTGGCAATGCAAGCCGCTCAGATGGACTTGCCTTCTCTAAGAAGTTCCGGAATTATACTTGCAGGAGAGGAAAGTTACCCTGCCGGCCAGTTATCTGGTGGGAGATTCAATGGCTCAAATGATGCATCTGAGACAGCAACTAGTCTCGGAAGTGTTGATCTCAGCCAAGGTATAATATTTCTGGTTAAGAAATGAGAATTACTTGACCCTTGAATGAGCTTGTGTTGATGGAAAAGTTGTTGCTGTGGAAAAATGCAAACCAGGAGATGGCTGATTCAAATTTACTGTAAACTAATTGATCATTGCAGATAGTGGTTTGCCACCATCAGCTGATGGCAGGGGTCAAGTGCCAGTGCATTGGGCAAATCATCATCCTCACTACATGCACAATTTTCAAGGGCCAGTTTACCAGCAGATGGGCCCATATCAAGGCTACGGTTTCCCTGGTGCACAGTTTCCATCTCCATATTTTCCGGGGAACATGCAGTGGCCTCCAACTGGAGATGACTCCAACTTTTCATCTTCGAGGAACAGAAATAAGTCTTCTTCACACGCAGATTCAAACCGAGAAGATGATTCCCCTGGAACTGGTTCTAGCTCGGACAACAATTCAGATGACAACGAGCACAATGGTAGACAGCTGTCCTCGGAGGAGAATGTCCGGAGAAAGAAGCATGGCAAGAAGAAGTCTTCAAGAAGAACAGTTGTCATCCGTAACATTAACTACATTACTTCCAAGAGAGATGGGGAAAAGGGTACTGGGGAAACATCTGATGATGAAGATGATGAGTTCATTGATGGAGAAGCTCTGAAGCAGCAGGTGGAAGATGCTGTAGGTTCTTTGGAGAGACGGAGTAAGTCAACTTCTTACCGTCGTCATAAGAAATCACATAACAATAATGCCTCTGACCAAGAAAACGCCAACATGAATGCGAAGAATCTAGATGGGCAAGGAAAGGACCAGTGGGGTGCCTTCCAAAGCCTTCTCTTGAAGGACAATGATGCAGACTCATCAGAATTTAAAATGGAATCTGAGAATGCAAGGAAGCAGGAAATGCTGGCAGATGATTCCTTCATTGTTAGGAACCGGGATACTGCAAGGGATGTTCAATCTCAGATCCAGAACTTTGAAGGTGGTACAAATGGCCATGGCTTATTGCTCAAGAAGGGAGATGACTCGTATGATGAGCTGTTATTTTCTCAAAAAAGTGATAAATCAGAGAATATCCACTTGCAAGCTGCGGTTTCTGATTACTCTTCCGAATCGCGATTAATCAAAGTTCAGAAAGAAGGAGATTGGTTTGCTGGAAACCAGATGGACACGGTCAACAAGAACGCCAGTGGGGACATCAACCTGTTTGATGGTGATCATATTCGAGTTGAGAAAAACAGTAACAAGGATGTTATGGCTGATGATTCATTCATGATCCAAGCCCGATCATTTGGAAATGAAGCTTCGGATTCTGTATTAAGAACCGACATAAGCATGGTGGGAGATGTGGCGGAAGTTGCTCAATGTGGTAATGGTACTCTAGAAAAAGCTGAAGGATTTGGTAATTCCTGTGAGCCAGATGACCTTTTTATGGTGCTTGGGCGTGATTCGGCAGCTGATCAGCATAATATCCCTTCTTGGACCCCAGAGATAGATTATGAAAACGACATTTTATCTGCTGAAGCCTACAGAAAGAGCTCTCCTGTGGAGAAAAGTGCTACTGAGGATGAAGTTGTTGCTGTCAGTAAGAAGACTAATGGTAAGTCAAAAGTTGGCAGTGGACCTCTTGGCAGAAGCAAATCGGAAATTCCATCGAGGACTAAGAAACCACCTCTTGGAAGCAGAACAACTATTCCAAAGAGTAAATCCGAGAGGGTAAGTGAAGATGAAACTATTGCTTTCTTGTTTACTTTATTAGTGTAATTTATAACATGTTTGGATAGCCTGGAAAGTGGAATGCAATTTCCACTTTCATTACCTTAAGACGCATGTTCAATTATCTTATTAAAAAGAATACAATTCATTTTTGTAGTTGTAAGAATCATTTCAAACATGAGAATTGAAAATGGAACTGTATGGCTCGCCTTGTGCATCTTTCTGACAATTCTTTGTCTGCTTACAAGCAGGAAGAAGAGAGTAGGAAAAGAGCGGAGGCATTAAAGCTCGAACGTCAGAAGAGAATTGCAGCGAGGAGTTCTGGCAGCCGTAATAGTCCACTGACAGCATCTAGGAGAAACTCGACTGGAACATTAAAAGAAGGGAAGCCCAAAATACAGTCTCCAGGTTCAAGCCAAGACGGTAAGAAGTCGGTTTTCAGAAGTTCTACAATTGATCGCCTTGCTGCTGCTCGGACAACACCAAAGGTGGAATCGACAACTCAATCGAAACCGAAAAGTGCAATGTCGAAAGCAAATGGCCTTCAGCAGAAGGGTTCTGCTAGAGATGATAATAATAAGAAGCCCAGTGCAAAACCTGCGAAATCTGATGTCACACAAAAGAAGAACACTGCACAGAAAACCGAATCATTAATTGCTGCACAAGATACTCCACCTTCTAATGACACTGCTGCCTTGAGGGAGATCAAGGAGTTGGAAAGATTACCGGAAGAGAAAAATGAAGGAAGTACTATGAGTTTAAGTAATGGAATGGAGGGAAAAGGATGCAATGATGCTACTATTCTAATTGAACCTTCTGCAGAAACAATTCCCTTGAAGGGTGACAGTCCAGCAACCTCAGCTCTTGCCAAAGGTGGAGAGGCTTCTTCCTTCGAGCTTATGGAGGATATTTCTGGAGTCATGATACATCCTACGCCAGAGTCACCAGATAAACAGCTGAACCAGTATGCTGTTAATATAGAAGAGGATGAGAAGAGAAATGTGCATCTAGCTTTGCCACAGCTCTCCGAGATAGAGATATCCACTCCCGCGCCTAGTGAAGTAAACCCAGAACCAACTCACACAAGAAAGAAATGGAACAGTGGTGAAACCTCTCCGAAAGGCGCAAAAGGGTTCCGAAAGCTCCTCTTTTTCGCAAAGAAAGGGTAGAACTATTACAAGGATCGATCAAGGCGAAAACTCAGTTGCGGAGGATCTTGATAAAATCCAGGTAATATCCTCTCCAATCCACCAAATGAGAAGAGCAAAGGAAGTAAAACTACACGGTAAATAGAAGAGTGAGTGATAGATGATTTTGTATTGGTCTTATTGGGAAATAAGGTCTGGAGCTTTGCTGACATGTCTGAAGATAGCAATGTTTTGTAAGTTTTAAGTTAAGTAGCTTCTATTCCAAGTCATAAGTTTTCATGGTGTAAAGGTTTCTGCTTCCAGGAAGGATTTTCCTGTTTGTTCGTTTTGGGACATCGATTTTGAGTTGCATTGTTGTGATGTTGATTTTTCATTCAGATTTGTTCATGTATGCATTGTAAACACCTTTATAATGATCTGTTCATTGTTAATCTCTATCTAAACCTATTCTTTTTTCTACAATGATTTGTTAGTGTACGTTTTGTTGTTCAGCAACAGAAGATCACCTTCAACAAGTTAGTTGCTGTGTGGCGCCACAGGAGTAGTAAGCTATATTCATCTGATTATATAAAAAAAAACAGGTGACTCCTTCAACGAAATCCGCTGTAGCACATTGGCAATTTCAATCCTAGAAATCCGGGTTCAAATTCCGGCAGCGGAAATATTTTTTTTTCTCCAAATGTTTTTCACCAGAAAAACACAGATCATTGATACCACCATGTGATCCAAAGCAAATGGATGATTACACAAGGAAAGAATTAAAAGAATGGTTGTCTAAAGATTACAGCTTTACAACAGTCTAGTTTATCAAGAGAGGCTGCATTCCTGGGGAATCCCCTGTGGAAATCTCTTGTTATCAGCGCAGTAATTGTAGATCATGTAGTTCTTCTGCGCCCATTTCATCCTTTCTTGGCCCGTGGTGTCCATCTCCTCCGACAACCACTCGGCGGAAGAGGAATCCGGAGTCGATGATGTTGCAGAGCAAGAAGATTTGCCGTTGGTCCACACGCAGGCATTGGCATTGAAGCCGCGATAGGAGGCTGTGAATGGAGCGTTCGACCAATCCGTCTTCACGAGCCCGCCCCTCGTAGCCCAGTCGTCGGCGTTCCACAGGCTGGAGTAAATTCTCATCGGCTGGTTCTTTGGGAAAGGAATGCCGTTGCTCTCCATGTTCTTGAACTCCCTGATTGGGGTGCCGTCGACTGAGAAACTGAAAAAACAGAGCAACCAAAATTAGTGTCAAATGTTTTTTTTCCCCGTTCACAGTAATTGCAGGCAAATTGGTGGATGTTGTTGTCTCTGATTAGGCTTACATGATGCGCTGCGGGTTCCAGAGGATGGAGTAGGTGTGGAAATCGGCAGTTGGGTCGAACCACAAATGAAACTGCTGCTCTCTGTTTCCTTTCCCCTGGCTGAAGACGTTAGTGTGGAGGATGTACGGGTCGCCGCTCAAATTCCCCAAAAACTCGAAATCGATTTCATCCCAGTTAGCTCCTTTCGACGATAACTGCAACGAATTATATATAAATGTCAGCAGCCATAAATAAAATTGAATTGATGTGGCAGAGAGAGTGAATTTAGTATAGACGAAAACAGAGAAGCTACTTACATAGTATGCAGTGACAGTTCCAGCAGAGTTTCCAGGGACGAGCTTGAGCTGCATATCAATCTTGCCGAACAGATACTCGTTCTTGGACTGAAATCCCGAGCCGGAAGCCTTGTCGAGGGAAAGAGTGAGGAGATCGCCATTGTTGAGGATCTTGCCTCTGCCGTCTCCCCATGTGACATCAAAGTCCTGGTAGAAATTGGCAGCTGCTGAAGCAGCCACAAGCACTGTGGCGACGGCAAGAAGCAGGGAAAGTGAAGAAAAGCGAGCCATAGTGAGTTTTGAGCAGAGTATGGAGTGGTTTATGTTTTCTTCTCTGTTGGGCAAATGTGAAGAAGAAGAAGAAGAAGAAGAGGAAGCGAGTGTGTGAGAAATGGGGAGTGTTATGGAGGAGATATATATGCAGGTGGAGAACTCAACTGGGTAGCATTGGAGCTAAGACACAATCAATGGAATGGACGCGGAAATGGTCAAGTGGAAGGAAGCTTCTTCTTCTTCTTCTTCTTCATTCCGCTCGGCTAAGCCTAAGCTGTGGACAGCTAAGAAAAGCAAAAGTGAAGAAGTCGGCGGACGCCGGCGGCCGGACGGTGGTTTAATTTCTGCCTGCCTGGTGGCTGTTTTTTTACATTATATTTGATGCGTCTGACAGTTTGTCGTGTTGTGTAACGTCAAATTGACGGGCCTTGCCGTCACAAAATGGAATGATGGGCCAACGTTGAAATTGGGCTTTTTGGATTAGGGGTATAAGATACGTCAAATGCCAAACAGGCCCATAAGATACGGCCCAATAGGCCTATGAAATGTGGCCTTCAATCACCGCACCGCTGTCGGCGGTGTTTTTGCAGACTTGCAGGATCGGAATGAGGAAAAAGGCCACGTGCCCACCTCCACCGCCGCTTCTGTTTGCTGGAAGCTACTAAACGACAAACATAATATACATTGAGAATTTAGTACCAAAACGAAGTTTCCAACGGAAGGGGAAAGAAAGACTAGAAAAAGAAGCAACAAATTCTTCCATCTTTCTTCTGTTTTACTCTATTTACTCATCTTTATTGGTGTGTATATACAAATCGTTCGTTGCACCTGCCATCCCTCTGTTTCAGCTGGAGAGTATTTTAACTGCAGGTTGGTTTTACTGAATTCTATAGAAGGGGGGGTTGAGTCGGTGGGTTTCAGAGGGAGAGAGAGAGAGAGAGCGAGCAAGATCTTGAGTTGGTTGCTGAAGGAAGCTCGCTCGTCTGCATCGATGGCTTCTAAACTTGTGTTGATCATCGTCTTCATCTTTGATCTCATTGCCTTCGGCCTCGCTGTAGCTGCTGAGCAGAGGCGAACCACTGTGAGCTTCCTTCTCCCTCGCTTTCTGAACCCTTTGAACTTGTTTTCCCCCTATTTTGATCTTTCATTTTACCTGTACGCGTTATGTATGCATTTATGGCATCTGGGTTTCGGCTCCCTTAGCTAAAGGTGAAAACTTTGTGTATGGGAGCTGAAAGTTTCGCTCCGTGGTTCCAGAAACCGTAGAAATTTAGGAAGTTAATGTTTTCCCCTTTTGCAGGTTGGGGAAGTGAAACCTTATTACCCTTTCAGCTCTTTTTTTCTAGGTTTCGTTGTTCTTTTTGCCCTCTGCATTGATGATTGATGAGTTGTTGTCGAACTTTGCCTGATTTTTCTTGGTAACAATGGGTGGTCATTGGACACTCAGATCTCGAGGGATTTTGTGTGTGTTTCGGCCTTTTCAGTGCAACAGATGGCAAGTAAATTTGGGGGCTCTATGGAAGAAAATAGATTGCCTCATCTGCGGCCTGAAACACCAGATCTGTACTCGTGATCTCTGCATCTGGCAAATGAACCCGTGATTCTTAGAATGGAACTCGTGTCTTGATCTCTGACATCCGTGTCCATGGCAAGGATTTCTGTAAGGTCGACTAGTGATTGCCATTAGAATCAGTTTGTCTAGCTCCCAATTGTTAGTCAACTGTCATATCTGACGAATCTAAGGAAGGGGATTCCCTCCTTTATTCTCCAGCCATGGAAATATGTTGTCAAACTTTTCTTACTTGGATTCGTTTGCCTGGTGTCAAAAGTAAAACTTTAGGAACCAGTTGCTTTACTTAGACAGACAGCCAAGTTGATCGATCTGAATGCCAGGAATGCTGTGTTGTTGGTTGGTATAGGCTTTTAACGTCAAATGACTGGAAGCAACTCTCTAACCAGTGTTGAGGTATTAACAAGCTGTTGGTGGGTTTGACTATAGGCTAAAATCACAGCAGATCAAGAGAAGGACTACAACTACTGTGTATATGACTCTGACATCGCAACTGGTTTTGGCGTGGGAGCATTCTTGTTCCTTTTGGCCAGCCAAGTCCTGATAATGGTAGCAAGCAAATGTTTCTGCTGCGGGAGGGCCATGAACCCTAGTGGCTCCAGGGCCTGTGCAGTCATGCTCTTCCTAATCTGCTGGTGTGTTCAGCACCTATCCCTTAAGCTGCAAAACATATGGAAAATCCTTGTATTCTATTGAACGCTTCTTGAAACACCTTTGCAAATTGTTTTCTTCTTTCTCAGGTTGTTCTTCCTTGTGGCGGAGGCCTGCTTGCTGGCGGGTTCGGTGAGGAACGCCTACCACACCAAGTACAGGAACAACAGGGCTATCTTTGGTGCCGACCCACCGACTTGCCAGACCCTGAGGAAGGGAGTTTTCGCGGCTGGAGCAGCTTTCACTCTGTTCACAGCCATCGTCTCCGAGTTCTACTATGTTTCATACTCCAAGGCCAGAGGTGGTGGCTCCAACCAGTAGAGTTCTACTATGTTTCATACTCCAAGGCCAGAGGTGGTGGCTCCAACCAGTATGGCAGAGAAACTGGAGTTGGGATGGGTACCTACAAATGAGTTTAGCCTTTAAATATATACTGTTTACATATGTGACTGCTTGCTTCCACAGACTTGTGATATGGGCTTTCAGATTGAAATGATGTGTGTATCAAAACGCTCTTGATGTAGTTGTTGGTAGGTTGTGTATTTTAAGTCTCATGTTCATGATTTGTTTCTCCTCCATGGCCATGTCCACAATTCTTTCTGGTCTGTGTTGTAGTAATTTGCAAATAACTGATGAGTTTGTGTTCTTCTGCAATGCCTTTCTTCCTTTAGCAAGTGTTTTCTCGTGGCTTGAAAATTAAGTATGAAAACGATGTGTGAGTTTGAAGGGAATAATCGTTTGGAAGTCAAATTCTGGGATTTTCAGAAGGAGATGAAATTATGACTTCGAGGTTTGTAACGTTTAACCTTCTCTTTCGAAAGACTTTATAATATGATTTTGAGTCAAAGTCGAGGTGGAGGTTGAATTACGCGATCGACATTTTATTAGTCGAACTCAAATTTAGGTTGCTAAACTCATTTAGCGAGTCGAACTCGAGCTTCTATTTCTGTAAACGAGCCTAATTCAAATTTACCTACTAAATCTCGTGTGTCAAACTAGAATCGAGCTTTTTGTAACAAACCGAACCCGACCTATGGCAAAGCTCGGAGCCCTACTCTAAACAAATAGAATGGTTGACCGATAATTCCTCCATCAGCGGGGGTTGTCGGTTGTTGAAAAGTCAACGGCGTATATTTCTTCTGCATCAGACGAAAGAAGAATTGGATCGATATTAGTACACAATCATCATCGAGTCCACTACACAGGAAAAAATCAGATAATGGCGTCCACGATGCTGTTCACGGCGGTGTTCGCTCTGGAATTCGTCGCTTTCCTCCTCGCTCTGACGGCTGAGCAGACCCGAAGTCGAGTAAGTCGCCGCCTTCCCTTCTCCAGTCGTCTCTATCTTGACTTTAATTTGTTTTGTTTCTTTCTATTTCAATTTGAATCAAAATTTCAGGCTACAGTTGTGGTGGACACCAATTGCGACTACACCTACTGCGTCTACGATTCCAACATCGCGACGATCTGGGGATCCGCCGCCTTCGGCTTGCTACTCGCCGGTCAATTCCTCACCTGCTTCTTCCTCTCCGGCAAGGCTTCCGGCAACAAGCGCCGCTGCTGTGCAGCCATTTCCGCCGCGATCTGCTGGTGAGTTGCGAAAAAAGTTGGGTCTTGTTTGATTAACAATCCATCGGGTTAGAATTAGGAAAAAAACTTGAATCGATTCTCACGCAGGATTGCATTTTTGGGGGCAGAGGCCTGTTTGCTGGCGGGTTCAGTGAAGAACGCGCAGAGGACCAAGTACAGGTTCCTATACATGGCGGGAGATCCCCACTGCGAGACCCTGCGATCTGGGGTTTTCCAGAGTGGAGCGATTCTGATTATGATCTCCAGCTTCGCTTCTAAGATGAACGTCTGGTGGTCGGAGACGGAGGAAGGCGCCGGTGCCGGCGATGGCTGCGGCGGCGGCGACTTGGGAGCCTATACTCCGCTCTAAACTCCAACCGGCGTACAGTTTCTATACGGTGTCGTTTTCACATGTGGTCGTCCAGACTGTATCCTATGAATGAGTAGTGAAGCGCACGTTCCCCCATTAAGAAATTATTAAAATGACGCCGTTTCGTGTTGACTCCTTAATTGGGTTTCACGTTTGAATTAGTTACTTACCTTTTGTATGGGCTCACGTTATATTTAACTCAGGTTTTTCTTCTGTAAATATATAAATTATCCATAATTATTTTCCTGATATGATGTTAATTATGTAGGCCACCAATGACGAGCTTAATTAAATTGAGCGGGCTTTCTCATGATTCTAGCTGCTGGCAATAAGCCCAGGCCCATGGGCCACGAAATGATGGTCTCAGGGGTGGTTTGGAAGTTGCGATTGTTAAATAGATGTATTGTTGAGAATGCATGTATAATATTATACATGCATTGTCGAATTTGATGCATTGTAGAATACAACGTTTGGTATGTGTGATTGTGTATGTCGCATAAGCTAAAAGTTGAGACAAAATAATCTAAACTCAACTATCTCAACAATCACAACTAAAAGTTGAGATATAACAATCACTCAAAATGAATGATAGTTTCTGTCACATCACAGAAACAATTCATGCAATTTTTCTGATAAAAAACAAAAAAAAAATGCATTTGTAAACAATACATGCATAATGACAATCTCAACAAAACAATCGCAACTTCCAAACGACCCGTTAGTGTCAGCCGCAACCATCATTCTTCTTATATATCTTTGTTAACTTGATATCCCCGAGTCAAAAGAATCATCTTTCTACTTAGGTCTTGTCATTCTAGTTAAAGTTGACTTTTAATCCAACTCCCTCAAGTTTGTAATCCAAAATCTCGTCCTAGTCACGAAAGATGTCGTACGTGTTAAAACTCAATCTGGATCACATACCAAGAAGATTATAATCGTAACTTATATCCTGCTCATAGAGTTATAACTTTCCATCGCAACGAACAAAAAATACAATAAGACTGACATTTATAGACCGTTAAAAGTACGCAGTAAATGTACTCTAATAATCATGCTGATGACTCTCCTCTGAGTTCCAATTAGTTTTGATTTCTAAAAGTCGTAACGAGACATGTGATCGTGGTACAGTATGGAACAAAAGAGTAGGGATGGCAATGGGTCGGGGACGGATAGTGCATATCCGTTACCCTACCCAAAGTAGTTCGGGTTTTATTCATACCCATACCCACATATGAAACGGGTAGAAAATTAAAACCATGCCCATACCCGTTCGGGTTTCGGGTATCCACGGTTATCCATGGGTAATGATTTCTCTTCATAACTCCAACTAATATATTAACATTCACACGTATTCTCACATTACGCAAGAGGAAAAGTATGACAATAATTCACTAGAATGAAGAAAATTAATTAAAACAACACAATTTCATGAAAATATTATATTTATATGCTAAATATAAAATATGTTAGAGAAAAATAATGACTATTTCTAGACAAAATACATATGTATGTGTATAATCGGGCGGGTTCGGGTTGGATACCGAGAAACCCATGCCTACCCATTACCCGCAATATTCGGGTTCGGATTTTACCTGTACCTACTAAATGTCCTTCGGAGTCGGGTTTTACCCTACCCGATTAGACCGGGTTCGAGCGGATATCCACGATTACGAATATTTTTGTCATCACTACAAAAGAGGAAGAAACCATGACCCTGGAAGTAACTTGGTTACTTGAGCACTTTTCCCTATTCTGAAACGTGAATTTTTTAACTAACCGAAAGGGGAGAAACCAACATTACTTCCTTATCTCTTCATTGTTTACCCCCTTTTCCACCTTTCTTCAGTAATGGCCAGGGAAAGGTAAAAGAAACAGAGCCCTCATCCATGGCGGATTCACAGCTCGGAGGCAAAAAATAAAAAAAAAAGGGAAAGAAGAACAAGAGGGCCAAGAAAAGAGAAACAAGGAAACAAGGTAAAGCCGGCAATCGTCCCAAGAATCATTCATAGTTAAGACAGAACCAGCCCCAAAAGCAAAATAAAATAATTAGTAATAAATAAATAACAAGAAAATACCAGACTACCACACACGAATCACGATCCCTCTCTCTCTCGCCCGCCTCCTTCCTTCCTTCCTCCACCGGCAGCAGCCAGCGACGCCATTATCTATAATCTGCTCCGTTCCCTTTCTCCCTCTTCTCTCCGATCTCTCTCTCACAAGGAATCTTCCACCCCGAAGGCAAGATTCTCGGGATTTCGATTTCGGGAGGCGGAGTGAAACCGAAATGCCCGGAGGATTGAGCTAGATGACTCTCTCAAGTCTCGACTCCCGCCGCCCGCCGCCGAGAGAGGAGGAGGAGACTAGGCGATGAATGTAGAACGCGACGGCAGGGGGAACAGCAGAATCAGCAAGGAAGCCTTCGGCGGCGGCGGCGGCGGTTGCGAAGATGACGATGAGGAAGGCGAGCGATTCTACGAGTCGTTGGATCGCATTGCTTCCTCTTCCTGCTCCTGCTCCACTTCCAATTCCGACTCCGATCCCGACCCTCCCGTCCCTTCCTTCTCCAGCAATTCCGCTACTACTAAGTCTCGATTCGGCTTCTCGTCTTCCAACTACGACGTCTGGATCTCCGAGCCGTCGTCGGTGTCCGAGCGCCGCCACCGGCTCTTCAGCCAGATGGGGCTCTCTTCCGAGGAGTCCTCTTCTTCTTCACTGTCCCGCCGCCAGCCCGACGAAAGGTGTGTTGATTTGAACTTCGATCATTTCCCGCCCCGCCGCTGCTTGGCTTCCAGGAATGCTGGGGTGTCCCGATCGAAATCTGACGGTGGTGCGGATCGCCGGGATGGTGACAGTGACGGCGGTGACACAACTTGTAATGATGATTTCAATTCCTGCTCCTCCTTTTCCTCGTGTTCTTCTTATTCGTCTTTGGTGCCTGTTTATTCTGCTTCAACTATTCTTTCCGACGATTTGATTGATGTAAATAGCTGTAACAACAACAACAACAACAACAATCACAATGACAAGAGAGTAGTAGTTGCCAATGGTAAGAAGAAGAAGAAGAATGGCTTTGTGGTTGGCGGAGGCGCAAGGAACATGAATCATTGTTCCTCGCAGCCTTCTGATGTTTCCCCTAGTAAGCCCCCTTCTGGTAAACAAGGTAGGAGTATGGATGTGAATAGGAGTTGGTCCAACACAAGCATTGCGGAACTCATGGAGGGATTGGATGGTAATGGGAATGAGAATGATAATGGATCGGCTGAGATAACCCAGGCTTGTACAATTAAGAATCTTGATACCGGGAAAGAGTTTGTTGTTAACGAAGTCAGGGAAGATGGGGCGTGCAACAGGCTGAAGGAAGTGGGGACTGGGAGGCAGTTGACAATGGAGGAATTTGAAATGACGGTGGGTCATTCACCAATCGTGCAAGAGCTAATGAGGAGGCAGAATGTTGAGGATGGTGCTAGGGAAAATCATGATCCTGGTGCCATTGGAGCTGGAGGGTTGAAGCCGAAGAAGAAGAGCAGTTGGTTCAGAAGTATAAAAAACGTGGCAAGCAGTGTGAAAGGTCATAAGGAGAGGAGGAGTAGCGATGAGAAGGATACGGGATCGGAGAGAGGAGGGAGGAGGTCGAGTTCTGCTACAGATGATAGCCAGGATGCTTCATTTCACGGACCAGAAAGAGTGCGAGTAAAGCAATATGGCAAGTCATTTAAAGAGCTGACTGCGCTTTACAAGACGCAGGAGATTCAGGGGCATACTGGCTCAATTTGGGCTATTAAGTTTAGTTTGGATGGTAGATATTTGGCAAGTGCAGGTGAGGACTGTGTGATCCATGTTTGGCAGGTGGTGGAAACAGAAAGGAAAGGAGAGTTGTTGCTTGAAAAGCCAGAGGATGCGAACTTTAATCTCTTAGTAACAGTAAATGGGTCTCCTGAACCTCTGTTCTTGTCAACTTCTGCTGATGGTCATAATGAAAGGAGGAGAAGAGCGAGGTCATCTATAAGCAGGAAATCTGTGAGCTTGGAACACATCATCGTTCCCGAAACTGTGTTTGCACTTTCAGATAAACCTTTTTGCACATTTGAAGGGCATCTTGGTGATGTCCTCGACTTATCATGGTCCAAGTCTCAGGTTAGTAACTACCCCATGAAATGAAACTTGCTTGTTCTCTTCTAGCATCCACATCTTATCATTTTTCATTCAATATCTTACTTGGCTATCTCTTCTCTGGTTTCATATGGTCAAGAACCGTGGTTTTGCTTCTACTCCCTAGCTATGCCATAGATTCATGGCAGCGCTCATTTGAATACATTGTGAACATCTATTATAGTGTTTTGTGTGTATCCAGGATAAGTTTGTTTCTAAGAGATAATTCTTACGGATACTGCGTTAAAATCAGTCATCTTTGACACTTCTGTTCTATGTAAAGTTAAGAACAGTTAACACGTCCATGTGCTACTGTGAACTTGAATTTCTAAGTTTAGGACTGAAGGATATAATAGATTCTTCTGAAGGATGCTGATATAGTTCTGTTTACTGGACTCCAGCACCTGCTTTCTTCTTCAATGGACAAAACGGTGCGCCTCTGGCACTTGTCTAGCAAGACTTGTTTGAAGATATTCTCACACAGTGACTATGGTAATATTTATTTCTCCTTCGTCTTAAAGATGGGTATACAGATTTTATACACCTTTGATGCTAACTTATTCTAGGTTTGAGGTGGCTTTAAGTTCTACCCAAACAAATAAGGGTTGAAGTTTACCATTTTCTGTTGATAATGGTGTAAAGTGATTACGAATGGGCTTTTGAATATAGTTGTCTTGTAGAAGCTAAAACCAAGGAAGGAATATTTTGATTTTGTTACATTTTGGAACCCTTTCCTTTCTTTGAATGAACTTATTAGCCATGTCTCATGTTATGCTACTCTGGATTTTCAATTGCCAGTTACTTGCATCCAATTCAATCCGGTTGATGATAGCTACTTCATTAGTGGGTCACTAGATTCAAAGGTTCGCATATGGAGTATTCCCGATCGTCAAGTTGTTGACTGGAATGATGTACATGAGATCGTCACTGCAGCTTGCTACACTCCAGATGGTCAGGTAGGGCCAGAAGTAATGTATACCTTGTCCAGATTTTAACATCTTTAGGGATTCTAAATGGAAAGTTCCTCTTTGCATGTGAAGGGTGCACTTGTTGGTTCGTATAAGGGAGGCTGTCGGCTCTACAATACTTCTGGTACAAATCGATTTAATTACTATCTTGTTGACAGTTGGGTTCTGCTAACTGCTAATACTTAAATGGCCTTCCATTTCAGAGAATAAGTTGCAGCAAAAATCTCAAGTCAATCTACAAAACAAAAAGAAGAAATCTCACCTGAAGAAAATTACTGGGTTCCAGGTAATGTTTACCCTTCTATGTAACTCCTCAGTTGATGGCAAGTTGACCAGATGGAGGGGCATTGTTCTTTTACCGGCTGATTTCCTCTTGTTATGTTCTTCTTTAGTTCGAGTCTTTGTGCATCATTGCAACCTGATTTCTGCAAGTCAGAACCAGTAATATTCAGATTCCTACCACTGATTTGTGGTTTGTTTGTTTTGAATAGTTTTTGCCGGGAAGCTCATCTGAAGTGCTCATCACCTCAGCAGATTCTCGGATACGAGTCGTTGATCGCACTGATTTGGTTCACAAGTTCAAAGGTAAATAAATGGTTCAGAGACCTTTGTGAGTATGATATGGACCAAGTGATGTGTGATCATGGTTTTTTTATATTTGTTTTGTTTAATAGGTAATGTTCAATTTGAGATTTGAACCTATGTTGGCTCGATAATTTTTAGTTCCCCTATTATGCTAGACCAACGCCTTCGGCTGGGGATTTTAGGTTCTTGAGAGGCTGATTCTATAAGGCTAGACGTTAAATAGTTCCGACTTGTGGTTTAAGCAAACATAAAAAAAATACCTTTCAGTTGCTGGCAGTCGTGTTACACATTCCAGGTGAAAGGAGTTTAGGCATCCACCCAGAAGGAAAATGGCATCATATAACTCTGTAGCATAAAGCTAACTTTCACATTCAAATCATCCTTGCCTTTCTAACAATAAAAGTTGAATATTGTGAGAAAACCCTAAAGATTTGCCTAGAAAGATCCTACTGGACAAGTATTTCTAAACTGGACATAGAATGAACAACATTAGCAGCATACATACCTTTGTTGTAATGAACACAATAAATGATTAGGGGCTAGACAAGTCGTGAACGGCATCATCTCATTTTCCATCACTAATGAGCACAGATCTAATTCAGATCTAATTGGTTAGATCTGTCATCAAACATTGTCTGCATCCAATTGTGTGTTCTCTTTGGCTTTCTTATGATTTATGAAGTAGGAATTCAACTGCTAAGGGCTCTGTTTGTAGCTAAGAAAACAAGGGGTGATCTGCAAACTAAAGTGCCTATTTTGAATTACTTATATACAAAGAATGTTTGTCAAGCAAGCTCAGGTGGTGAAAATATATTAATCCTTAGTCAGCTCGCCGATGGAAATGACTGAATCTCAAAGGCATTTGAACTTGATTAGACGAGTCTTGCTTTAACGGAGGTGATAGTTGGCTAAATAGGTGGCCATTTTTCTTGTGGCACACTCTAATTATTGATTTTGAGACTCAAATTGCTTGCAGGGTTTCGGAATACAAACAGTCAAATCTCAGCCTCCCTCGCAGCAAACGGCAAGTTCGTCGTCTCAGCGAGCGAGGACTCGTACGTCTACGTATGGAAGCACGAGGCCGATTCGCGACTGACCAGGAGCAAAGGCGTCACCGTCACACGGTCGTACGAGCATTTCCACTGCCAAGATGTCTCTGTAGCCATCCCTTGGCCCGGAGCAGCCAGCACCGACGACACTTGGGGAGGAGGACACCTAGCAACACATGGCGGTGATATCCATCTCGACGACATCCCCACCTCCCTCGCCAACAACCATCCTCCAACACCCGTGGAGGAACCACCCAGTAGGAGCGACGATCGCTCCCAGTCATTGCCTGGTGGCGCCGCTGCCACCACCAGCAGCCCACTGAACGGAATCATCTCCAGCGCCACGAACGGTTACTTCTTCGACAGAATCTCGGCTACATGGCCGGAAGAGAAGCTGAATGCAGCTGCTGCTAGAGCTCGGAGCCCTCGAACCAGCGTGGACGTGAGCAACGGGATGATCAACCAGAACATGTCAGCAGCATACGGGATGGTGATTGTTACTGCTGGCCTGAGAGGCGAGATTCGAACTTACCAGAACTTCGGCCTGCCAGTTCGAATCTGACGTGGAAGTCAAGGAAGCAACGTACAGTCCGGTGAGGCAGCAGGTGTACAGGGAGGGAGGGGATTGTTTTGATGAGATTTGTGCAGTAATTTTCAGGCGGGAGGTGGTCGATTTTTTCATTTTTTTTTTTTTTTCTGTTCTTCTTGGTGGGTTATGTCTTTTTGTTTTTGTTACTGGTTTTGGTGCTTGTTGGAAGTTGGAGATGGGTACAAGATTTAGGTTAGCCATTTTCGACTGAGCACAGGAAAAGAAGGTGGAAATTTATAGAGTTGTCTTTCGGGGTTAGAAGAGTGGGGAAGAAGAAACAACGTAAAGAAGGAAAAGAAGTCAGGATGGAAACTACACCGTGAATTTTTTAGAAACCAAGCCAAAATTGTTAAGTGTTTGGGGGAATTTGTAGAGTTGAGTTCATTACAAAAATGAACATTCTTTTTCTGGAAGTGGTGTTATTGTGTTTCTTGATATGGGTGCGTGGGAGCATATCGATATCGTCAGATCATCGACCATCGTTTACTTTTTGTAAATATTACGAGGTGGGAAAATGTTGTAAATTGTGAAAGCAAAACATTATTACTGTTTAACAGTTAATACAAGTTGATACGGAAATTGTTGTCAATAATCTGTTGTAGCTGGTGAAAAATTAATGACAAACTAAATCGTTCCTCGCGTATTTAACATGCAACTAGATTAATCTATGTTATCTTTATGATAAATTTTCGAGAGGAAAACGAAGGAACAAAAGAAATTAGGTTTATGTTTTACTTAACAAGGATACAACTAATTTTTTTTTCCGCCGGGAGATTTTTCTATTATATAGTTTGAGCATGTACGCAAATGCATCTTAACTTCTTTGGGCAAAGTTAACAACACAGTTCAAACGAGGATATTCGATAAGATGTGATTTGAATTAAACCACACAACTCCTATGAATACACCTTAACTTCTCTGGACAAAAGGTCAACCACACGATTCAAACGAGTACATTTGACGATATGATATTTTAAATTAAATCATACGTACGACTCCTATGAAGATTCCTTGCGACTTTTGCCTCCATGGTGTTAACCTTGACCATCATGTTGCCCTCTTGCAAATGTACTAATTTAGTCTCCTAAGCTGAATAATATTGTAAAAATTATGGAAGGAGAAAAATGGTGCAAAGTAAAAAGCAAAACATCATTACCGCTAAAAGAATTTAATTTAAAATTATCTGATTGCATATATATATATCAACAATACGCTGTAGCTAATTGGAAGGCAGCAAGAGTTGGAGAGTTAAGTTTAAATTATTATAAATAAGAACAATATGAGATTGTAGTTGATCAATTCAGGAAGATCAGGTACTATAAGGTAAAATTGCCTTCAGCCATGGGCCACGGCCCACGAGTCCATGACATACACGAGATCAAAAGAATTCCTTCCAAATTATTTTACATTTTTTTCTTTCTTGGGATTATTTTATGATGCATTTCTGTCTCTTTCTTCTCCTCTACCTTCGTCGTCCTCCTCCCACCTTCCCCTTTAAATCCACTTTTTGAAATCTTTTTCAAGGTCTCTCCTTGCTTTTTCTCTAACGAGCTCTCTGTGATAGCGTGGAAAAGCTTGCCAGTAGTAGGTTTCACTCCTGGATTACGTCTACGATTCCATTGCTCACGCAGCTCATTGCACGAATTCCCCCTCTTGCATTTGGGATAAATGTATGCTAATCAACTGTTACTCTTAACTGCTACTGCTGCTTGCACTTCGCCATTTCTGAGCAAGTAAGTTCTCCAGAATCGAAAGACCCAATTGCACACTGCAGCAGCCGCGAGCTTCCCGGCTCCTCTATGGTGGGTTTTCTCTTTTTTCGAATGTTTCCCTTTTGTTTTATTTTGCTTTTCTATAGAGACAAAGGCAACTTGCTGAAAACAAAGGGGATGGATATTGTCCTGCTTTTTGGGGGTTTTATTGGGAGGCTTTCTTGTGAAGCGATTCGCGTTGAACGTGATCCTGTTCATTCCTCATCTTCCCTGATTTCCCCTACTGCTGCTTCGGGTTCACGGTTTCTTTTTACCTCCTCCACAGCCTGGCGAGATGTGGAAGGTGTTTCGGGCTTGTATCGGCGGACATCGATGATAAATTGATCTCTGGGATCTGGGTATTTCTATGATTCGAGGAATCTGGGGGCTTTAGTGTCTAATGGAGGATATTGGGCTGTTTAAGCAAGCATGGCAGTGGCTGCAAATGCAGAAGCACACTTGCTCGCGGGTCAGAACTGCAGCAGGGTGTGTGAGAGAGAGGGCTGGTGTCCTTATAGACCGACATTGGCCGACGGTGTGTGGCGGGTTTGCCAGATTTGGGAAGTTGATAACTTTCTTGTTGATATATTGGAAAGAATGCTTTGTCAAGGGCTTCCTATCGGTTCTGCAACTGGACTCGGCAGCTCTGCTTCTTATTATGTGGAGTTGCTTTCTTAGTCTCACATCAATATCATGCTTGATTTACGTACTGGTTGGCATGGTATGGCCCTTCCTTTTTCCAGTCTTTTTCTCAGCTTTTCCATGATGATGAAGTGTTGAACTTGTAGCAAATGAGCATCTATGAAGTGGGGCATGTTCATTGTCAAGAACATCTTTTTATTGTGGATAAGTTACTAGTAGTAGGACTGTTGGTCCGTGGAAAGAGAGTCAGCGTTTGCATTTGTCAGGGTTAGGTGCTAGGCCTTTCATCTCTTGTTCTGTGATTCTCAATGTGATCTTTCTTCGAGGTAGAGAACTAGAGATGACCATCATTCACATCTCACATAAATCTGTTTGGTCGATTCAGTGTTTTGACATGCATGGCTGAAGCTTTGTACTTAGTCCTTGGAGATTTGTGGTGTCTATGGATAGAGGAAAATATGTAAGAAAGCCTAATGCACATCCTTCATTGATTAGATGGAACTTATCCCTATACGGGGTTTTCCTCCTTACCTTGTTATGCACATCTTACGGCGCAAAGCCTTAAGTTGTTCCATTTCTGTCGTGTTTCTAGTCTGCACTGCTTTGTATTCTGATCTTAGTCTCATGTCAGTATTCTACTGTCTGTATGTGTAAGCTTGTTGCATTTGAGCTGATAACTATTTTTGTTCTTCTCCAGGGAGCTGCAGGAGTTGCTGTTCAATACTTGGGTTATACCCCTGGGCTTTTTATCGTAGGACTAGTTGCTATATTAACTCTATGGATGTATGCTAACTTTTGGATAACAGGAACCTTGTTTATAGTTGGAGGTATGGTTTCTTTTCACATCATGATTTTGATGCCTATGTTGATGAGTTACAATGCCAGCATGTTTGATTCCTGGTTTCTATAGTACTGAATTTATGCATGCTTTTGCAGTAACAACCTTTTGTCCTATTTCATATTACTTCTAATTTGTGTTCTGCGAGGGTTATCGATTACAGTAAATCTTAGTGTGTTTGTAATTTTATCTTATGATAGATTGCATTCTGCGTGGTGATTTAGTTTTCGCTGAATTTCATGCCTAATAACAATTAGAGCTTAATGATATGGATTGTTGAGGAGAATCAGTCATTCATTTATCATATAACACGTGTTATGATTGTGTAGGATAATCAGTTTCTAGGATAATAATGGAAAAGACCCGCAGAACCATGTTTCTAGGATAATCAGTTTCTCCCTACCTGGCTAGATTTCTGATCTCTGAATTATGATATTGGCCGATTTTCCTTTTTGTTGGGCAAGGATGCGAGATAGAATGAAGGGCAGATAACTTGGGGTGGGCAGTAGCTTTTAGTTGAACATAGAGTAGAATTACTTCCGAGTTGTAGGAAACGAGAAGATAAGGGCCATAAGCTCTTGCAGATGACTGAGACTGTTAGATGGTGTTCTTTGTTTTGATGAAATTTTCTTATTCTACTTACATGATTGTTTTCATGTGAACTGAAATTCTCTTCTGGGATCTAAATGCGACCTTCCTGTGCTAAGATTGCATTTTCGTAGAGCAATCTTTCTTTCATGCATATACTGAATCACTGCAATGAAATTCTTTAGAACTTTCTTTGAAATTCTGTTAGTTTCTGGAGTCCCAGTTAGCACATGGGAAGTTCTAACCCCTTCCACTATGTAAATGCAGGTTATTTGTTTTCACTCAATCATGCTAGGTTGGTGGTTCTAATGGCGGCTATATATGCTATCTATATGGTCCAAGTTCGAGTGGGGTGGCATGGTGTTTTTCTGTCAGTACACCTCACATTTTTCTCAAATGACATGTTGAATCTGTTACTGCAATGTTGTGATAATATCAGTGAGTCTGTCCCTGTGGAGGAGCAGAAAGATCCCGAAACAGTTCAAGAGGATGGGTTCTCTCCAGATTGTGACTTCTCCATGCCAACTGATGCATCTGAAAAGGTGCATTCATGTAAATCTTCCAGTAAGCCAGCTGGTGTTTCTTCAGTTGTTAGTAACCAACCAGAATCTTCTACTAGAAAGGTAGTTAGAGAAGACACGAGTTCAGTTGATGAGATGAGGAGGATCTTAACAAGTATTGATCATTATGAAGCTCTTGGGTTTCCTCGTCACAAGCGGATTGATGCGGCAATTTTGAAAAAGGAGTACCGGAAGAAGGTAACTATGCTACTGAACTAGATACTCTTACGCTTCTGTTTTGCTCGACTGTCACTTGAATTCAAAAAAATTATGCATCTAAACATGCTTTGTGTTCAGTGATTGAAATCTCACTCGACTCACTTTTACCTTAGTGTCTTAACCTTGTTTTGACTTCTTTCTGTGGAAAGATGAAAACATTGCTAACGCCTTGAATGACCATCATTAATAATGCAAGTGCAAGAACACTTTACTGGAACTTTTCAGATAATGTGTATGAAGCAGTTGTTGATACTTTCTATTCTGTGATTGAATCAAGTACTTATAGTCCAAGAGACTCAGTGAAGTGACAGGCAACAAAAAAAGTAGTACTCGAGTTCTCTGGTTCTTTTCCATTTTGATAATTTATGCTTTGTTATGTAGGCCATGCTTGTGCATCCTGACAAAAATATGGGGAGCCCGTTAGCAAGTGAATCCTTTAAGAAACTTCAGTGTGCCTATGAGGTAAGCATCTGATTAGTGATGAAAAGTTTTCTTATCCATTATTGTTGGATAATATACGAACTTGCTCAGATCCAAGCTCTGCTGTTGTTAGTTGATGTCATTCCTCAATTATAATCTTTAGGTTCTTTCTGACGGCACCAAGAAGCGGGATTATGATGAGCAATTGCGGAAGGACGAGCTCAGGACTAGAAGTGTGTGTCAGAAGTCCTATAGTACCTCAACACAGGTACAATAACTATTGACAATAGACTTGCACTGCCTGAGGTTGAACATAGTTTTCCACACTTTGTTTGTGATATGGCCCATTTTTATGAATTGCCTAAAGTTTAGAATTGATGTGAAATAAGGGTGCGATAGACTCATTTGAAGTGAAGGAAAATCTGTGTTCTGGTTTAAAAAAAAAATCCCTGGAATTAGATCTCAGTTAGATTGCTGAAGACATTGAGAAGTCAAACTGGAGCGTTTTTTAACTATATTCCTCATGAAAGCAGGATTCTCCCGACTATTTTTCCGAGGAATCAAGGCACATCCAGTGTACAAAGTGTGGTAATTCCCATATATGGGTGTGTACGAATAGGAGCAAGGCCAAGGCAAGATGGTGCCAGGTCAGTGCTCTGTTTCTAGTTGTCTGTGAGTTGGTAGTTGCTCCATGCTTCATAGTGCTCCCAAATGTGTGGCCTGTATATCATGTATCATGTGAGGATGTTGGTCACTCTGATTCATGGTGGTAGTCGTCTTTCAGGATTGTTGCCAATACCATCAAGCCAAAGATGGTGATGGATGGGTTGAATACAAGGGCTCATTGGGGTTTGACACGTCTGTAAAGGTACAATAGTTCTATGTTGGGTTCTCAGTTGCCATCCGCCCATCCCCATGAATTCTGAATCGTATTCTAGTAGTCTGTGACACCAAGCATGCCCTCCTTGCTTAAAGCTGCAGTTGGGTACTGCTATCTGATAACCTTCTGTTAATCGTTAGTGTTTATGTTTTACTTTGCAATTGCGTAGGTGGAAATCCCCCGTGCTTTTGTATGTGCTGAAAGCAAAATATTTGACGTCTCTGAGTGGGCTATCTGCCAGGTCAGTACTTGTGTCTTTATGATGTGCATTGTGTTTCCATGCCACTTTGTTTTTTTTAGCTTCTTGAATTCTGTGGTGAGTTTTAGCACACTGAAGAATAAAGGTTTTTCTTCTTCTTCTTCCATCCGGACAGGGAATGGCGTGCAGACCCAACACTCACAGGCCAAGTTTCCATGTGAATATGGTTGGTCTGGAGAAAACACAGCGGTCGAGTACAGGACGATACCCATGGGATTTAGATGCCGAGATGATGGACGAAGATGAAGAAGAGTTTGAGCTGTGGCTACAACAGGCTCTGGCTTCTGGGGTGTTCTGCGAGACTTCTAAACGCAGGACAAGCTGGAGCCCTTTCAAGCTGAATCCAAAGAAAGGGAAGAAACAGGGGCGGAGAACATCAACTTAACGAGAGATGGGGCAAGAAGAGAAGTAGGAACTCCTGGGGATCACACACAGTGACTACTTAGTCCTCTTTCTGGAAATATCGAGCTACCATCGAAGCTGATTTATGGATATGGCGACTAGCTTGATCTGCGTTGGGAAGACATGTTTGGGGAGGCAGAGAGGCCCATGGTCATCACATGGCCGCAAGCCAGAGGAAACAAAGCAACCAGAAGCAAGTGCTCTGCCAAAAAGTGATACCATCTGAATCATGGAGAAAGGAAGAAATGAATGTGTGTTGATTGTCTTCCTCCCTGGAAGAGGATTGTGCAGAATGCAAAATGTTATGAAAAGAACTTGCCTCTGTCATACAAAGTTTTATCCAGGTGGCATTGCCTCATTGGCCATTGGGTTTTAATTTGCTCAATCATAACTACAGTCAGCAGCGAGTGGGCCACTTGATAGATTGATAACTACCTTCCGCAGCCCAGCCCAATCCAGCCCAGCCCACTTGTGGTTTTTTCTGTTCTACCTGACGTGACGTCGTTTCTCGACGATTAATTAGCCAGACCCGACATTAACAAAACGCGTCTACCTCTAATCTCTCTCTAATTCAAAATTCTGGTCGCTTTGCCTGCTCTGATAATTCTGCTCGGACGTGGATGTAGTAACAAACCAAAACCATTAATTAATTCAGGACGTTGATCGCTGGGTGTGGCTCGCATCGCCGGGGTGTCAAAGGAGGGTCATCGACAAGATGTGTGTGCTGGCGACTGTGTCCGATATTTCGGTTCGTGTTATTTTCGAAAGAAGTTGAGATGATTTCCTCGTGTAGTTAAAACAGGTATTTCTTGTTTTTCTAAATTATGTATATTCTTAATTTCTTGGTAATACAAAAGGTATTTCTTGACAAGAAAACAATGCATTAATTTTGTTAGGGATAAAAATTAAATAATGTCACCGAAACTCGAGAGGAATTAGGACACACTACACTCCAAACTCGTTTTCAGGACGATTAAGTTGATTATTCTAGTTTGACGATCCACATAGGAAACTACGAAGAGTTGCCAGACTTTAAATCTCGGTCAAATCTAACTAACTTGGACCCCCCGACATAATGAACTAAATGTTTTGGTAAAAAAAAATTCAAGTTTTCCGAAATTTTTGAGCGGGTCTAGAGGTGAAGGCCATAAGAAAAAGATTGTCTACCTAATAAGGAAGAGAGCAAAAAAAAGACCCGCTTTGATACCATGTTGGGACATCAGATTACACGGTGGAAAATGTCGTGTATTATTACTGAAACCACATGTAGCTTTATATAGTGTACAGATGCCGCGACTTCTATAATAACCCTGATACTAATGCGGAAATTTACCCAACTCGTGATTCTGATAAGCAATATAACTTTGCCCAATTACACAACAGTACTCGTAGTATAACACAATACTACTCGTTACTCCACATACTCTAATAGTCTCTCTACCAATTTACCAATGCGTTAGAAATCCATACTAACTCCCTTAATCACTTGTAATCTGTACCAATTTTCTAAGCTTGTGCCGACGATATCTTAAGCGGAGATGATCACATCATTAATTAGCGGCCCCCTTTCCACAGTCGATTCCTAATAATACTATCTTCTCCTTGTTTGGTACTGAAAATTCTTCAATGGTCCTCCTCCCTCTGTTTTCTGTGAAAGCACCAACTAATCCAAATCGCCAGCTGCAACACAGCCCGATCCCTCCCCAGCACTGAAAGAAACTTGCTAACCAATCTCCCTCTTCGTCTTCGTGGTGGAAACTTTGACTCCCAAGTCTCTTTCAATCCACTTGAGCCCATGCATTCATGCACCTATAAAACCCTGCCTAAAACCCTTCCATTTCTCCTCATCCCTTTTCAACCCATTCGAAATCTTCCTTCCAAACCCAAATTCCCAATCCGAAAAAATGGCGGCAGCTTCTTCTTTAGCTTCCTCGATATTGTTCTTCTTGCTGATGGTGATCGGCTCAGCAGCTGGTAACTTCAACCAGGACTTCGATGTAACATGGGGAGACGGCAGGGGAAAGATCCTCAACAATGGCGATCTCCTCACCCTTTCCCTCGACAGGGCTTCCGGTTCGGGGTTCCAGTCGAAGCGCGAGTACCTGTTCGGCAAGATCGACATGCAGCTCAAGCTCGTGGCTGGCAACTCCGCTGGCACCGTTACTGCCTATTACGTACGTATGTTAGTTAGGGGGCTTTTCAATCCTCTGTTTTTCTCTCTCTGTTTTGTGGGTGGATTGATTTTTTTTCTTTTTTTGTGTTGTTTCATATTTGGGCAGTTGTCGTCGAAAGGATCGACGTGGGACGAAATCGACTTCGAGTTCTTGGGGAATTTGAGCGGGGACCCTTACATCCTCCACACCAACGTGTTCTCCCAGGGGAAAGGAAACAGAGAGCAGCAGTTCTACCTGTGGTTCGACCCGACCGCAGATTTCCACACTTACTCCATCCTCTGGAACCCGCAGCGCATCATGTAAAACAAAACCATGTCTTCTCTTCACCAGACCCAGAAATCAAAATCTAGTGATTTATAATTCGGTGACTAATTTACGATTCATTTTGTTGTGTGTAGATTCTCTGTGGATGGAACCCCGATCAGGGAGTTCAAGAACATGGAGAACAGAGGAGTTCCGTTCCCAACAAGGCAGCCGATGAGGATCTACTCGAGCCTGTGGAACGCCGACGACTGGGCGACGCGCGGCGGTCTGGTGAAGACGGATTGGTCCAAAGCTCCGTTCATGGCTTCCTACAGGAACTTCAGATCGGAAGCTTCCTCTGCCACGGCTCCATGGATGTCGCAGCAGCTAGACTCTGCGAATCAGCAGAGGCTGGCGTGGGTGAGGAGGAACTACATGATTTACGACTACTGCAAGGACTCCAGGAGGTTCCCTCAGGGCTTCCCTCCAGAGTGCAATGTCGCCTAATTGGCTTGGCGGGACTGTGATCACTCTGTTTCTGCGATTAAGAGCACAATCGTTTGTTCACCTTGTTGTGATATTACTGTTCTGTTTTCTCTGTTTGTTTATGTAATATATGGAACTGTATAGTGATAATGTTTCAAATCACTTTCAATTGTTGAAAACAAGTATACAGTGTGAAACTACAGAGAATAAAATTGTGTATTATTTTACCTTGTTCTCCACTTGTGACAAATTACACTAACAGAATAAAATTGTGTATAGGAGAAGGGGATGTCACAAGATCCTCTGGTTGCCAACATGTTGACTCTATTAGAGAGTGATATAAGATGCAACGGAACCTCCTCCCAACAATTCGAGTTATTGGGAGCTATTGGTTCTTGACATGGTATCAGAGCTGGTTTGACCAAGTGGTCGTGTATTTGAATCTCCACGACCCCCAATATTAACATTTAATTAAAGCACTGGTGATTTCGCCCATGCAAACTTCAAGCTCATGGGTTGGTGTTTTCGTTTGAGGGGACGTGTTAGAGAGTGATGTAAGATCCAGCAAAATCTTAACTCGAGCTATTGGGAGCAACTGGTTTTTGACAGACTCGAGTAGTGCTCCCGGATTTTATACGTACGAGAGTCGTCAAATGAACGGGAAGAAATTGAAGGAGCTTGATAATAATATGAATACGGAAGTTTTAAATGGATAAAATATGCACGACCATATATACGTATATTAAACGAGGTATTTACTAACTATGAGTATTAGGTAGTTAAGGGTAAGTAAGGTCTTTTAATTATTTTTAATTTTATCAACAGAATTAACTGCGAACGACAATCTGAGTCTATAACTATTGATCGCAAAACATTAATAATGTTCTAAGAGGTCGTTGGGTAATTATGGACATGACGTGAGAACTTAAATTGTTAATAAAGAGATTATAAACCAATGATAATATTATGCAAACCTTGATAAACGTTGATAATGTCGCTGCAAGTTCCATATAAAAACATTAAACATTGATAAACGTTGATAATGGCCACAAAGAGAGTTGACACTTTCAATTTTATGTTTCTATTTTTAAATTTAAATATTAATTTTAAATTTTGTAAATATTAATTAATAGTATTAAATTTTTAATTTAGAGTTTCCATAAAAAAACATTGTATTTTTTTTTGGTGTAAAGGAAATTCAAATACAAGTGATTAAAAGTTGATTATATAGAAAACATTGTATTTAATTATATAAAAAAAATATTTTATTTGGGCTTTGAGAAACCGGCCCAATAACGTTCGGCAAACATCCAACTCTCTGCTACCTAAAACCCTACTACTGGCGGTAAGAAGTCAGAATTCGGTATTCGTCGAGGGCAAAGCTTCTGCCGCCATTTTCAGTTTTTTTTTCCTCTGAAATTTTCTGTGTCGTCGGAGGTAGTGAAAGATGACGAAGAAGGAGAGGAAGGTGAACACGTCGGGGAAGCCGAAGCACTCCCTGGACACCAACCGGAGCAATGGAGCCAGCAGCAGCACCAACTCGCGAAGTGCGGCCACGGTCCGCCGCCTCAAGATGTACAAGACGAGGCCGAAGCGTGATAGCAAGGGCAAAGTTCTGAAGCACGATCTCCAATCGCAAGAACTACCCAACACTCGTATCCAGCCGGACAGACGCTGGTTTGGTAACGCGCTACAGCCTTTTCATTTGACGATTTTGCCTCTTTGAGGTTTCTTTTGGCACTGGATTTTGAAAGAGCTAGAAAATTTTTCTTCTTTTGTTGGTTTCTTAGGGAACACGCGTGTTGTGGATCAGAAAGAGCTGGAATTTTTCAGGGAAGAGCTGCAGAGTCGTATGTCAAGTAACTACAATGTTATTCTGAGAGGGAAGAAGTTGCCCTTTTCTCTTCTGAATGACCACCAGAAGGTATGTGTTAACCTATTTGATCTTGATTAGCCAATTTCCCATTATGAAATGATTTGTCTTTCCTCTCTTTGGTCTGCAGTTTGCAGGCCAAGTAGTGGTGATTTTAGTTTTTGTGTGAACTTCCCATCATTGGTTGATGCCTAGAACTTTTAATTGAAGCTTTGCTGGGGTTTTTATTAGTCTCCTCTGAGGTTCTCACAATTCATGAAATGTTATTTCTTTGTGAAGCAAGCTAGAGTTCATCTTCTTGATACCGAGCCTTTTGGGGATGCATTCGGGCCCAAGAAGAAAAGGAAGCGTCCAAGACTTTTGGCGGGAGATTACGAGTCTTTGGCCAAGAAAGCTGATGAATCTCAGGGTATACTATTGATTGTTTCATCTGTATTTTAGAGCTCGGTTATATGCTATTTGCTTGTCATTTCCTCATATTATTTCTGTCCGTTCCTTGTGTATGCGAGCTGTGCACTTTTTTGCATCATCAGACATCACTGAAGTTTTGTGACATCGCAGATGCTTTTGAGGAAAAGCATGGGAGTGGAGCGGCGGCAGAGGGGGATGGTGAGGATGGGTTTAGAGACCTTGTTCGCCACAATATGTTTGAGAAGGGCCAAAGTAAGCGAATATGGGGTGAGCTATACAAGGTTATTGACTCATCTGACGTTGTTGTACAAGTAAGTCATTCATTACTGTATTCCCTTTTTAATTCAAAGAATTAACCAACCAGAGAGTCCAAATCTCTTGGTTGTTAAAATATCATTGTTTGATGAGGTTACAGTGCATCTTATGCTGTTAGTTATAACTTCGCTCCTTGCAGGTTTTGGATGCAAGGGACCCCCAAGGTACAAGATGTTATCATTTAGAAAGACACCTGAAAGAGCACTGTACACACAAACACATGGTGTTTCTGCTCAATAAGGTCAGCTGAACTAATCACTCTTCTCTTGTTGTGAATGCTATTCTTTGTCTTTCAAAATTGGAACTGTTTTTTAACTTCCGTCTCTCTAATTCCAGTGCGATCTTGTCCCTGCTTGGGCAACAAAAGGATGGCTCAGGGTGTTATCCAAAGAGTATCCAACTTTAGCATTCCATGCAAGCATCAATAAGTCATTTGGAAAGGTACATGTTGAGGAATATTGCATTGACTTTTCGCCAAACTAAGCTGGTGTCTGCCATATCTAGCTTCTAGGAACTAAATGTGAACAATCATCCTGGATTCTCCCAATATGCATTGGATTCTGCTAGCTCTCTCTATCCTTTGTGGTTATTTTGCTTTTGAGAGATGCACCCTGCTTTTTTTCAGTTGAGATATATATTATTTGCTCCATCCTCTTATTTTCAAATTTTTGGCAATAGGGTTCTCTTCTGTCTGTACTGAGACAGTATGCTCGGTTAAAAAGTGACAAGCAAGCAATATCAGTTGGATTTGTTGGCTATCCCAATGTTGGCAAGTCTTCAGTCATCAACACACTTCGGACAAAGAATGTAATATTTGTTGTCTGCTGTTGCTTATAATGATTACGTTCCTTTTTATCATCATATACTCATTGATGTCTAATATTTTTGTCTTCGCTAGGTCTGCAAAGTTGCTCCCATACCAGGGGAGACTAAAGTGTGGCAGTACATTACTCTTACCAAGAGAATTTTCTTGATTGATTGTCCTGGAGTTGTCTATGAGAGTAAAGATTCTGAAACAGATATCGTACTGAAGGGTGTGGTAAGTTTTTGCTCTCTTGCTTTTCCCAAATTATGCGACATGTGGCTATCCTACAAAGGATTGATCATGTTATTGGTGCCACATAGGTCCGTGTCACAAATTTGGAAGATGCTACAGAACACATAGGTGAAGTTCTGAAACGTGTGAAAAAGGAGCATTTGAAACGTGCATACAAGATAGAGGATTGGTAAGTAATGTAATCTCCTTCCATCTTTTTATTCTCGCGGGTGTGCTACTGATTTTACAGAACACATAGGAGAAATTCTTTATTTGCCGATGGGAGACCTACTTTACCTACTAGATTGTGGCATCTGACTTTTATTCTAGCAACTGATATACTGATGATGCAAAACTTGCCTTTGTGTTCAGGGTCGATGACAATGACTTTCTGGTTCAGCTGTGCAAATCTACTGGCAAACTTTTGAAGGTTTGATTTATGTTCTGTTATGCCCCTTGATTATAATTGTGATGCATGTTCAAGCAAACTGTTGATAGTGAGGGTCTATTTGTTGCGGTTCCTGCATTCCTTCTCATGCTTTTCTCCTTTTATCTGATCTCAATCTGACCGAGTTGGGATGGGTGGGTGTGTAGGGAGGTGAGCCAGACTTGATGACTGCAGCTAAGATGATACTGCATGACTGGCAAAGGGGTAAAATACCGTTCTTTGTCCCTCCTCCACAACAGGAAGTTAACAACGCATCATCAGAGGAACCTACAGCAGATGGTATTGATGAGGCGGCCATTGCGGACAAAAACAGGGCATCTGCAGCTTTCAAAGCCATTGCAAATGTCATTTCGACCCAGCAACAGCGAAGTGTCCCTGTACAGAGAGATCTATTTAGCGAGAATGAGTTGAAGGGTGACAAGCCTGGGCAGCAATCAGAAGAAGATGATGATCAACAAGACTCTGAAGCAGAAGCAGAAGCAGAAGAAGATATAGGTAACGATCAACCAGATACCGAAGGAGAAGAAGATGATGATCAACAAGACTCTGAAGCAGAAGACGATGATGATCAGCAAGATACTGAAGAAGAGTCAGATGATTGAGCTCCCTCTTTTATTTCGAAACTCCCATGGTCCTTGTACCTTGTTCTCCATTTTTGGCCTCTGGAGTGTATCAAATTCCCTGTTGCTGAGAGTTTTGTTCCCTCCATACCAGCATCTTTTGCGTTGAGAGTTGTAATGTAAGTTAAAACTTGTTAACAAATGATGTGAGGAATATCAAGAATTACTATTCACTGCTTGTATCTCGTGCGGAGAAGATGACATGAATGGCTGCTCTAAGGGATACTGTGAAACTAAGCAGAGGAGCTCATGGACTTCCTTCACCAGCTCATGAATTTGTATTTGACATAATTATAATTTTTTCTTCTTCTAGATTCTGTATCTATTTTGAGAGAGAGGTGTCATTTTCATATAGTCTCTGTTTATAGGCCAAACCATCCCCCTAATCATGGAAATTGGAAAACAATCGGTAGTTCGGTACTGGTAGTTTCTTTCCCTCGCAAAAGCATTCTCAATTATCGATCTGGCTGGTCATCCACACCATTAAATTTCTCGGCTAAAATGGACCCCATGACAAGGAAATGGAAAAAGAACAAAGAAAGCTACCGTCAAAGAGAATTAAAAAAAACAAAATAAAGCTCAGCAGTCAGCAGAGAGATCCTTCCTTGCGGGGTTTTCTTCATTCCTTCTTTCATGTGCTTCGTCGGCCGTGTTTCGTGGCATTAGTAGAAACTAGAAAGGTGGCTGCTTTACAAGTACCCAGAGAGCAAGAACAGGAAGAAGAAGAAGAAGAAGGAAGGAAGGAAGGAAGAGAGAGAGAGAGAGAGAGAGAGAGAGAGAGAGAGACTGATAAATCTTTCCTGGAAGTTTCCTTCAATCTGGGTCTGACTCAGAAGTGACCAAGAAGCGTATTTGAAGGTGCCCATCTTTGATGCTGTTAGTCTGAATTGGATCTGCTCTTCAATGCAACTAGTTCTTAGTATAGTCCGAGTGTCCCGTTCGTGTATGAAGATGTGAAGAGAAGGAGTTTCTGGGTAGAGGAAAGGAAAGCGGTCAGACAGCAAAGGTGGAAGCTTTTGGTTGAGAGGGAAAGATGTCCGATCTCTGGATACCACCCTATTCCACATTCGCCTTTCCCTAAGTTGGGTTCCATTTATAGTATCCATGGGGGTATCGCCCTTCCTCCAGTGAATACAAAGAGAAAGAAAGATAGCTCGCTTTCAGAGGATTGTCCGGTCTTGTGTATATCGTCGCCGTGTGGGGATCTACAAGGAATCTCCGTAGTCAGATTAGTACTGTAAATGCTGGTTTCTATTCCGTCGTCGAGATTTGCAGGTTCTGGGTTTCAGCTAAG